CAGAAATATCAATAGATATACTGAATTCAATCAATTCAGTATCTAAAAATATTTAGAAATTAAATAAAATTAATTTCAATAAGTTATTTACTGTAGTTATCTGAGCTTGTGAAGAGAAATAGTATAATACACAAAAATAGAATATTTTTATTAAAAGATATAAAATCTACTGCATCTGATTATCAAAGTATAGAATTGATAAAAAATTATATAAAATTGATATCAGATAAAAATAAGAGAAAGAAAAAAAAAAATTAAAAAAAAAATTTATTTATATACAGCTCTAGTGACTGCTGTAAAAACTTCACTCAATTTCTAAAAATATATAGATATTATAAAATAAAGAAAAAGAAAAAAATATATATTAATAAAATACTCAAGCTCAACATCTTCAGAAATAATTTATATACAATAAAAATTAAAACTCAATCTGTATTAAGAATTTTAAAATCTCAAAATAAGTATATAGAAATACAGAATACATCTTTATCTCATAAAGAATCTGATATATTAATTCAATATTCTCAATAAGAAGATTTATAGAAAGTTTAATAAAATAATAAAAATATATACACAGAGAAAAATTAATCAGAGTAAGAAAAAATAAAATAAAAGTAGATAAAGCAGTGAAGTGAGCATCTGAATCTCTATAAAAATAAATAGTAAACACTTATTTAATAGAAAATAAAGAAAGAGAAGAAAGAGTGAAAGTAAAAGTAGAAACAGAGAAAAATAAATAAATTATAAAAGAATTAGAAATAGAAATAGTAATAGATATACACAGAGTGATATCTGAAGTAACTACAAAGTATTAGCAGTTATTAGAATAAAAAAAAAAGTATATATTTATTAAAAAAATAGAAACTTCTTTTGAAGTTTTATAAACAGTTGCAATAGAAATGAAGATGACTGATGAAATAGTTATATATAAAAAATAAAATACAAAACTGAAATAAGCTTTTACTGTGTATATAATTAATACAAGAAATAGATATATACTTACTGTGAATATAGAAAAGTATTATATCTCTGTTTGAACTATTCTGTATATATATTTTCTTTCTATAAATAATCAGTTCAGAAGTTATATATCAATATAAAAAATAATAGCAGTTGTCTGATAGACTGAAAGTATATAAAAATAAGAAAATAATACAGAAATTGATATAGATGAATATAATACAGAGATTTTTATTTATTATAATTTTAATAATACAGAGACTCTGAACAATTTCATTTATAATAAATTAGAATAAATTTATAGAGAAAGAGAGAATATTGTATACACTCAGCATAATTCATTCAAATAATATTGAAATCTCAGAGATATATAAGATTACTGTATATTTTATACTTACTTTAAATAAGAAATATAATCAATAAATAGCTAGTGAAATAAGTTGTATTGTATAAAACTTATATATAAAAATATATTTTATCAGATACAGTGAGTGTAGAAGAAGAATATGAGAAATAAAAAAAAAGACTGTAGAAAATACACAATATCTTTAAGAGAGTAAATATAAAAGAGAAATCAGTATAGAAGAAGAAGAGAGAATTGATGTAAATAAAAAAGATAGAATTGAGAGTAGTAGAGAAGATATAGATAGTGAAAGAGATAGAAATAGCAGAGAAAATAGAGATATAAATGAGAGCAGAGAAAGCAATAATAGAAGATAATACAGAGATATTTATTATTATATTATCTTTATAAATACTGCTATCACTGTTTATATCTGCATCAATGACCTCATCAACTATTTTGCTTACAATCTCATTATTAAGCAAAATGTCTATATTATTATTATTGCATTCAATTTTTATAATATTGTTGTAGATAATCTTTTCAATAGAAGTGAGATTATCTGCAGAGAGATCTTCAGAAAAGAAATTAGAATGATTATAAATTAGATATATACTCTGATAATGAAAAATAAAAGTTAGCAATAATTAACAACTACAAAAGTTATCAATTTGCAGTTAAATTAGCTTTTAATAAAATTTGATTGATAAAAACTTATCAGTAGATTATTCAATACAACTGAAATAGTAAGAACTGTGATAATTAGATACTATATTATAGAATAAAAAGAACTAGATATTCAATAAAATAAAATAGATATATAGAATGATTGAAAACAAAGCAGAGAAGATTAAATAAAGAAATATGAGTGAATGAATAGAATGAAATAGTTGTGAATATAATATAGTTAGTAATAAGATAATATTGTTGTGATAGAAATTCTTATATATATAAAGTAAGAGTATTTTACTGTTTTGAATTAGACAATATATAATCACAACAAGAGCTTGACAAATATATACTATAAATATTTCAGAGATAGTATACTGCAAAAATGAGTATAGACAATAGAATATTATTATAAAAATATAGATAGATTTGATAGAGAAGAATATAGTAATTTCAGCTTATTATTCTTTTATAATATATATTACTCTTTATTATTAAAGATGATATACACTACTGCACTAGTTATTTTGTATAAAAAGAGCTGCAAAACTTAGAAACTTTGAGAAGCTCAAGTAATCTTTGAATCACAGTAATATTATCATTATTATTATTAATAATTATATTGATTTTTGAAGCTTTAGAGTATTCAGAATCCTCTGATTTACTCATTCAATAAATAATTTATTTTATAAAATTATTAATATTTAGATTAATAATCAGACTCTGATTTATTTTATAGAATATATTAAAATATAATTTAATATAGATTCTCTGATAATTTCAGAGACTGATAATAAAGAAATTATAAAGATAATTTTTATTATAGTTCTCTATTAATTATCATATACAAGCAGACAGATAGTGATATTGATATATATATATCAGATAATTACTATTTTTAATATATAAGTGAATAAATTTTTTGAAAATATTAATTCTTTTCTCTTCTAGAGATATTATATATACTGTATTTATTTTATACTATAGAATTACTGTATTATTAAATTGAATGAATTTTATAGTTAAATAGACAGAATCTATCAGAGATTATAATATATAATAGAAAAATAATTTTGAATATATTATTTAATATTATTACTTAAGTATTGATAAATCTTCAGATAATTTTTATTGATTTTTATTGAGAATATCTGTATTATTAATTATTTCTATATTTAAAAAAAATATCATCTTTTATATCTGATAGTTAGTGTTATTAAATATAATAACAGATTTTATATTCAATAAAATCTGTACTTTCTTCTAATATTTACAAATCAATATATTCAGATTTTCTTCTGATATAGAGTTCAGAGAAGATAAAGATAAAGAAAAAAATAATAAAAAAGATGATAATATATATATTAATATTAATTATTCACAGAGTGTAATGAAATCTGCTGCTGCTATAATTATTATATTATTAAAATTCAGTATAGATATTAGTATAGAACTGAGTATATCATTTTCAGATTTCTTATATTCTAATATTTTATCAATATTTTATACTAAGTCAGAAATTGTTATATCTTTCTCTGTTATTGTATATTCAATTTGATTATTCTTTACTTCTAAGATAGATTCTTACTCAGTAACAGAGAAGAAGAATTGAAGAATTCTTGATTATAAATATAGTATCTTCTTATATTCTGATATAAAAGTTATAGATAATTAAGAATCATTTATAATCAATCTGATTTAGAAAGATTCTGAATGAAAATAAATAAATAAATTTTTGATTTCTTTAAAATAGTAATGAAATCTCTGCAGCAGTTTTGACAGTAATTCCATCAATTATATTACTTTTATAGATAAAGAGCTCTCTTTTCAGAGAAATAATGTCTAACTTATTCAATATAATATTGATTGCAGTGTATTCTAATCAAAACACATCATTTTTCTTAAAAAACTGCTATCTGGGCCATAACCTGTGGGATGGTTGATCTTGTTATTGTTGTGGTCGCTAGCTAACTATATAGGGGTAATCACGTGCGGTGGAGGGCCACCTGGGCAACTAGTGCCCAACAGGTTCAGCTTAGCTAAACCTGACGCAACACAAAGACTTCGGCACTTCCAATATCCAATATCCATCAGCTTTTGTATTTCCACTTGTCTCCCAGTTTTACAAACACTTGCACTACGACGATCCAATAATATCCACCTCCGAGTTGCGTGCTAAATCGTTCGTTTTTTCGTATTTCCACTTCTCCTCCGTGTTTCAGGATGTCCACCAACGAACATTTAGACGGATGTGGTTCCCCACTATGCTGCGGCTGGCGGTCGCAGTGTATAGGTGGTGGGTTGAGTGGCCACGCCCACGGGTATATATATCACTATGAGCGCAACCATTTAACAAATGGTTACGTTGGCTTTTTGCTATGGATAACCTCGTGGTCATAGTGCTATCTCATCACACGGGCCAGTTGAGGAACGAAAGCGCTTAGTCGATGAACTAGCTAAGGCGCTAAATAATGAGCCAAAAGCACTTGCTGAAGAACGCGACGGAGAAAGATGTGTGATTTTGAAAGGAGGCCCCTACCAAGTGGCACATATCTATCCCAACTGCCTTATCGAGTCTACAAATACACGTCGAATTCCCCACTTCTGGACGCAAGACAAGATCAACTCCTGGCGGTCGTTGATATTCCGTGATCCCGAAAACCCGCTGAAACCATTTGACGCCTGCTTTAACTTGATATGTATGAACAATAATATCCATTCTTTGTGGGGAGACGGCCTTATCGCGATTCGTCCGCTCAACTACAACAACGATAAAACCACGCTGGAGGCTGAGATCCATTGGCTGCCGAGATACAACCATGGACCTCTAGATGCCATTCGTCTTGATACTCCAACCCTGTCAAGCAGAGGTTTACAAAAAACTTCTTATAGGAGTGGCGTTTCGGCGGTCCCTATCCATATCGATGGCCAGCCCGTAACTTCGGGTCACAAAGTCGTCTTCGAAACCACTGATCCGAAGCGACTTCCGCTCCCTAGTCGAGAACTACTAGAAATGCAGTGGACATTGAACCGGGTGTTATCTATGTCGGCGGCTGCCGACTACCAAGGCTACGATGAAGACGACGACGATGACGACATGCCAGTTGGAGAGGCAGCTCGGAGTGTGGGGGATTGGCTTGGTTCCAACGACTTTCAGCAAGGACCCGCAGAGCCTGACTCTGAAAGCTCCTCAGATGAGCAAGAAAATACGTTTCTTACGTCCCCCGATCCCTCTCCCATCAAAACGACCACCGCGGTGGATACTCGTGAGCAGTCTAAGGTTGAAGCGGGTGGTGCTACGGCGGGACTTTAAATTGGGCATAGTGCGTAGGAGGCGTGGTATTTGTTCCCTCTTCTTTCCGTTTCTTCGCCGATGTGTCGCAGTCTACTGCTGTGTTGTGCTCTTTTATCCTTTTTATCTCTTTAAGTTGCTTTACTTGTTTTACTCCCCCTCTGTTTCGCTGCTTGCTCTAATAATCTGGCCATCGTCAATTTGTCGCCCATACATCTTCATTTTATCCAATGTGAGCATCAGTTTATACTTCTAGATTAGCCTTGCCTGACCTGGTACAGCTCCAATCACCTCTGTGACTCTTGCTCGCGTGAAGAAATGAAATCTTATACTGCTGGTTGTTATGGGTCTGATATTCTTCTGTTGCCCAGCAGTCTTTTGTCTCCTATAAGTTGAAAAAACCAACGCCATCTCTTCACCCCACCAGAATTACTCCATCCAGCCTCTAGAGCCGAGTGACCTGAACGCGTTGGCCTTTGGCTGAAAATGGATCCATCGGTCTCAAAGAGCCATCCCCCGTCAAGAGAGAGAGCCAGTCCCGCTTCAAGGTGAAACCCGGCACATGAAGACCAATGCCACGGTTTAGCAAGATAAGCCTGTGGACCCACACCGAGTAGAAGGTGCAGGTGGCTAATAGACGCCTTCTCCAGGGGAGACTTGTAGCAGTGTTGATCAACAGAATCTGGGAGCGAGGGCAAAAGCCCCAGGAAGCAATGGTGGTGATATTCAAGAAAACATGCAAGTTGAGCCATGCAATAGATAAAACAGGCGTAGAAAAAAGAATGGCGGGGTGATCCTGTATATGGGTGAGAGGAGAGGCAGCATGTCTACTAGAGACATCTGCATCATGATTGCAAAAGAATTCAATTAAGCATAGCAATATGAGAGGCAGCAAGCCTACCAGGGGCATTGCATGCATCATGATTGCAAAAACAACTTCAAAGGAGACAGCTGGGCCCTTGCCCTCTCCAAGGCACTTACTTACTTAATCTGCTCCAAAACCAACAATCACCACCTCCACCGTAGGGAAGACGGAATCAACCACTAGATTGAAGAAAAACTTTCAAGCATTTGACAGCGCTGAAGGACCAAAGGCCATAACCTGATGAAGGTGGAAGGCCAGTTCATTGTATCTTAGCGGTTAAATCGGTGTGGTCACGTGTCATTCTAGCCAACAAAGAGTGTGCAACCTGGCGTTGCTTGGCAGCGGTTATCTTGCATCAAAGATGTCGGAGGCAGGCAGATGGGAATATGCAGAGTGACACAAATTCTGGCACACCTAATTTTGTGGGATCAACGAGCCAACAATCGCAAACAGTGATGAATGGAACTGCTTCCTACGAGGAGGCCCTGTCGGAAACACAATTGAATAACCCACTTTTCTTTCTTTCTTTCCTTCTCTCCTTCTCTTCCACCCCGCGGGAGGCAATAGATGGTGCTCGAATCCCCAGGGAGGATATATCCAACGAGTGGTGAGTAAAAATCTGGGGAAAGAGGGAGCGTCGGGCCGAACGGCTCTACCGGTATGAGAGGTCCAGGGGCCCCGGGGCAGATTTCGTTCCAGGGCGAGCCCTATAAAACAGGTATGCATGCTTGCACTGAACTTGTTAGGAGGGGTTAGAGTCGGTGGTTGGGAGGAATAACTAACTCAAGCCGTGGAGCGCTGAACTTTCTAGATACTCAACCCTGTTCAAACCTAGTTGCTCTCTAACAAGTTCCTTGCTTGGGGGGGTTCTCAAGGAAAATAAATTGGAGAAAAAAGCAATCTATAGATGAACACAGTTTGTATCGGGGGAGGGCTATTGGAGGAAACTGTTTAGAGTTGCCACGACATTTTTTTTTATATTGACGACGCTGGTTCGGAAAATTATTTATTAGTAACTGGTTCAAGTGCTCTAAGAGTTCAGAGAAGGGAAAAAGTTGCCGGCCGAGGACCGATAGGAATAACGAAATGCGTAGTGGAGCAATTAATGCATAACTGGTTTAAATTTCATGAAGGATCTGATCCCTCAATGGAAGGAAATAAAAGATAAACAGCTGATTGCCAGCTTAAATCAAGGAAATACATTCCAATCCCTATGGTTGTATATGAGCGCTGCGGCACTTGACACTCGCACATTCACGAAAATTCACGGATCTGAAGATCTCTTGATGAGTTAGCTTTTTCGCCACTTTCCTGCCCTGGCGATCTGATGCCCTTGGGATACTACGAGTGGGAAGGAGAGGATGGGCTTGTCAGGGCCAATGGTTTTCCACATGGAGGAGAGAGAGATATGTATTTACTAGCTAAGGTATCAAAATGCGGCATTATTGCTCTATGGTTTAGAGAATTGATACGGATTGGTAGTGGTAGAAATGCCTATTAGTTTTAGTAGAGAACATGGTACACAGCCCCATGCGCCCTGGAAATTTATCTGGTCAACTATGATCCTCAAAGCTTGAGCTCTGTCTGGTATTGAGATTTTCTACCCACCATGTGATGGATAGAAAATTGGTTGGAACTGGAAACACTGCAACAATATTCATTATCCGTCTCCTTTTGCTTTTCCTTTCCACAACGTCCAACATCGGTGCTCGTTCCAAGGTTGTTGTTGTTGCTCACGTGGAACGTGGGGTTGGGAATGTGAAACCTAGCCTCTCAAGGGGGATATGCAAGGGGGGCGTGCTCCTGCAGGGGAGGTTGTTTGGGTTTTATGGATGAGCCAAACTCAATTGATTTCTGGTTCCAGAAAATGTCATCATGCAGGACCGGTCGACACCGGGTAGCTTACTATTTTGTTGGAGGGCCCCTTTACTCCTTCCTCCACAGAATGATGCTGGGATAAGTATCATCATGGAATGACGATCAGGATGACTGTCAGCAGAAGATCAGGACGCATCGCGGGATCCATAGGTAACATCGTATTCATCCGCATCACCGAAAGTCGATTTGAGACTTTTACAGTAAAAAGCCAAAAGGACTCCACGACAAAGGTAGAAAAGGCAGTCAAAAAAAGAGACCGCTGAAGAGCAAGTCGTATTGGCCACCTCGCGCACGCCTGCGTCCAAAAAGATTTGGTGATGGCTGGGTGGCAATATCGTCAGCGAAGACTCCCAGACCAGGGGCTAATGCAGGACGAACCAGGACGAACCAACCAAGCCACACACTCCCCCGTCCTGTCGTAGAAGTGGGCGATGAATTTCGCTCTTGTCTTTTGTGAGGAACTCGATTCCCCTGTCCATCCTGGGCAACGCAGTATACGGAGTACAGTTGAAGATCGAGATAAACCATTCCCATAGGGATCAACAGGGAGTCCGAAGCGTAAGAATTTAAAAAGAAATCGGCTCCCCTTGCCTTTTCGTCGTTTTAAATGACTACGGTACGCAGTAGCAAGAATGGACCTGTTTCCATGGGTGGAAAATAAGCGGAGTGGTGTTTTTGACTTGTCACTTGAGCACTGCCAAACGAAAAACACATCAACAGTGATGCAGAAGTCACGAGGGAATACAGTCTACATATTTATAAAAAAGAGATAAAGGAGACCATGTCCTGCTCGCAGAGCAGATAGAACATTGAAATAAGAAGACTTAAGGACGGTTTCTTGTTTGCTGCATCCACGACGGCTGTTTCAGGATTGCGAGCAAGAAATCCAGGATTTGCCCTTCCCGTTCCCTTACCCTGGGAGTCTCTCCAACACAGTCTGCAGGGAAAAAAAGCACCAGCATCGCCCAGCAATCAACCCCCGTTGTCATTTTCATCGAAGCAAGCAGACTTGGGGCCGGCGTTGGACCGGCGTGGGCTGGTTGTGTGCTGGCGGCGAGCTGGTTGGCTGGCGTGTGCTGGCGTGGGCTGGCGCTGGCACTCCGCGGCCATTAGTTAAGCGGAGCCAAGGCCCATCGAGTTGCTGTACCTTGGCTGGCTCGCGCCGATCGACTTGGCCTGCAGGAGGCGCTGGTGTCTTTCCTCCTTGTCCAGCCTCAACCTCAACTTCAACTCCATCCCCAATCCTCAACCTCCACAACTCTGCAACCTCTCCGGCTCTCCAGACTCGGTTGCCGCACACGGTGGATTCTTGTCTCTTATCTCTCATTCAGCTCCCTCCTCCTCCCTCCACCCTCCTCCTCCCCGCCTCTCTCACCCCCGCAGTCTTTCTCGGTTTTCCGGGCACCCCGTTGCACACGTCGTGGTCGACGATTCCCACGGCCGTTTGTTTATCGCTTTGCCTTTGCCCTTTGCTTTTATTTCAATCACTTTCTATTGCCCTCTTTTTTTTGTGTTTTGAGCAAACCTCAGTTTGTCTTTGTTTCGGTCGCTTCTCCCGGCTACAGCCCGCTCGAGTTCCATCGACGATGCTGTTCTGCCTTTAACGCCCACAGGTCCTTTCTGTCTGCTATCAATGCCGTTTCCCTCCTCAAGGCTGCTGCAGGAGGGCTAGATAAAGTTTACCACAGGGCTTTAGGCATCAACACGAGGAGGTTGGAAGATCAAGAAGTATGTGTGTTTTGCTTCCTTTTCTTCATTTCTCGCAAATGTCAGGAACTTGTTAGCAGGAACATTGAGCAAGATCTTGACCTTTTGGCATGTCCCTATTTCGTGGTCGTGAATTGGCACCTCAGCACTTGATACATCCATCCGTCAACATCGATTGTCTGGCTTGGCACGCTGTTTACTGCTACTGCTTACTGTTTACGAGGCCAGCAACATTGTCACCCCTTTCACATATTTCTTTTTGTTTTCCCTTTTTCTTTTCCATTTCCTATTTACCCCACATTCCACTACATAGTACTTCATCAGAGCTACTATGGTTCAGAAGCAGCTCTGGTCTTTGGAACCGTTTCGAGTTTCTTCCTTCGCCGCTAATTATTCGGCCACGACTCATGGACCATTCAACCCCACCTCCGTTTTATGCCGTCTGAAAAAAAGTGTTAAAACCTAAAGCTAACGTTCGTGTTGTGTTCTCTCGGATAGGAAACTTCCCAAAGGGACCGAGAAAGGATATTTTCCTTTCGGTGGTCCAGTTCAAGAGCCATGGCCCTGGGCTCAAATTTCGTCGCCATCTCCTATTTATTCGCCTTCCTCCATACGATAATTCCAACAATCGCTGTATCGTTAGACTACTGCTCATCTGTAAATACAGGATCTAACTTTGATTCCGGTATTGTGCTGCTTATTTCGCGGTTTCGCTATATCGATCTTGTGATAATGGAGGGCTTTTGTTGACTTAATTCAAATAGTTCTTAGTATTTATCAATCCACCGGAGCCTGCCGCATTACTTGTACCGATGATTATGCAGTTGCGATTCTACAAGGCAAATCATGCTGGTGTTCCAACAACGTGCCGGGTGGCACTATCCCCCAAAGTGCGTGCAACGAACCCTGTCCTGGGTACCCGTCAGACATGTGCGGCAACTCCCAAGAGGGTCTCTTCGGCTATCTACTGCTGAAGAAACCCTCTCAAACCATTGGTCAAGTAACTCAAACCCCCTTATCGGTGAGTACAAACGTTGGATTTTTTTTAGGTCCCAGTCCATTTTCCGCTACCCTTGCCTATAATTAATTTCCTTACCTCATCTATCACTTTTTCGAACTCAACATGGAATTATGAACGCATGGCCCCTAAAACCTTCGATGAAGCCGTATGTTATGTGCATCCATTTTGACATTTGATACCCAGGCCACATCTCAAGCTGCAATTACGGTGACCGTCACTAGTTCGCAGTCTGGAAAAATGGTCACTACATCTGTACGAAAACCTATGTTTTCCAATGATTGTTTCATTTTTATGGACTTTTGTGTTTGTCCAGTGATTTATGCCTCACTGATTTTAAAAGACTCATGATGCTTGTGCTAATCTTGCTCCAACGTTTCCTAAATATAGAGCTCAACGTCGACCTCAACAGCTACCGCAACTAGTGGCGTGTCGACCAGTTCTGGAGCAATCATTACTCAGACATTGCCTCCAGGAGCTGGCCAGACGGGCGGAACCACGTCTAGTTCATCGATAAGCGGCGGAGCAATAGCGGGTATTGTTATTGGGACCTTACTGGCCATTGGACTTATTATTTCCGTGATCTTATGGCTCTTCTGTGTCCGTCGACGTCGGGAAAATGACACGAAAATTGATGTGAACGGCTATGAGCCGCCGGCGCCGACCCCGAGCTTCCACAGCACCATCCAAAGTCCACCTATGACTTACCAAGGAGGCATGTCCATGAATGGGGGAGCAATGGGTACGAACGACCGATATCGATTGAACGTACCAGGCTTTACGGATAGTCGCATGAAAAAGGATGTCGTTATTTATCCAAATGGAGATCGGCAGAGCAATATTTCTCTACAGGACAATCAGGATTACTCGAGACCTGTATTGAGAGTATGTGCCTCTCACTCTCAACTATCCTCTCGGTGAAAAGCTTTGGGCATCACTGTTCTAACTAACCTTGACTTCTTCTCAGTTAACCAACCCGGACCCATAATACCCACGGCTCTTCAACAATCCCTTACTTTTTTCGCTCACAAGCAACAACATTGCATATATTTTCCACGTCCCATATGAAACGCGGGACCCCATGTTCGTGATACCCTTTTTCATCATTGATTGCATCTTGTCACTCCGGCATAAAACCACCATATTTTCACCCAGATGGCCCCACGCGCCTGCTCGACGTACCCATCGAAACCCCCTTCTCCGAAACCGAGACTGGGCTGTATTTGATCGTCCAACATAAAATCCACAGCGAGCAATCTCCATAGAACATATCATATCTTAGGTTAGTTGAAAAGATGAAACGAATTTCCTTCTCTTGAAACAAAGTCAAAGGAACAGATAATTAAAATTTGCCCTCCTTGCTTCTCCTGTCATTTTCCATCTCTTTGCTTCCTGTCTTTCTTTGTATCCTGGATATCTTTTAATTTATATCATTCCCAAACAAAAAGTGGGAGAGGCGTGCGTTTGTAACCGATCATTGCTCTTTATTTTACTTTCTGCTCTTTTGTCTTTCTCACCTTGTGGGAACCCTGTACCTAACTACAAAAAGGAGCATGTGATGGAATGGATGGATGGCTTTGTCTTTATATATCCAGCTCTTTTTTTCTCTGCTCTCTCGCCTTTTTTTACCGTCTACCTACCCTTACTACCTCAGCTTTTTAAACTTCGTCAGCACAAACCAAACCAACTCTCACACGCAGACACACACACACACACACACACACACACGCACACCCCTACATCCGCATGAAATTCATAAGGTACAAAGAGAGAAAAATATTTATATAATCTATATTATTGTAGTGTAGTAACCCTCTTTCCTTTCCTCTTAATAAAAGAAATTCTTCCAGCCCAGTTCAGAATCATCTTCATGCATATCTCGCATTTGGGTTTTGCTCTCAGGGAATTTTATTTTATTTTTATTTTTATTTTTATTTTTTCAATTTCCCACAATTCAAAACTGAGAACTCCCTTTCTATTCCGATATGATTCCTCGCCTTGCCTTCCTCTCCCCTACTTCTTATTTTGGGATTGAAGAGACCTGTATTAAAAAAAGGGCAATGACAATTGCTAGATTCAGATTCGCCGAAGCCATTTTTGATAAGTTAACGAGGTTGGCAGAATGCGGACTCCGTTTCTGGTTGAGCTTATGCCAAATAACTCATCATGTAGGAAGGCTAGGGTTGGCGGTGGTATCGTCTAATGTGCAACGATTTAGTTCGCTGTACGTATGTAGTATTCGTGCATATATTAGATTCTGATCCTGGTGATTGATCCTGTATCCATGCTGGATATGTTGTGAATGTATTGGCTTTGGGTCGTCTTTCCTTCCCCCCGGCAATCATCTCGTCCCCGTCCGCCCCTAACCCCTTTTCCTCTTTATGTTTTCCAGGGAGAAGCAAAATGTAAATGTGCCGCATATGTGGCCACTGTTAGAATACATTCCCACAGATGTTTGAGAGTAAAAATCTCTTTCATTTCTCGGGCTATCTTTCCCCCTGCGATTGATTTAGGGAGGTGTGCGTTTCGTGGGGTTGAGTAGTTAGGGGACACTCACACTTGTTTGTTACTGCTGATTAAATCAATGATGGATGCATATATAACTTTCCGCGGGCAAACAACAGATAAAATAATTAATCGAGTTGGAATAATACCCCGTTGGCAATAGTAAATATCACATCAATGTTTCTTCGAGTTCAGCAGATTATTACGTTTTGAATGCTGGGCTGGTTGGCATTTCCGACAAGGGGAGCGACAAGGGACAAAGGTGAGAAGAAGTTAACTATTCTATTCTCGAGGTATCTACCCCCTTTTTGTCTCCCTTTCCCCTTATTCCATGAAAAATAAGGCCACAAGAGCCGGATCGCTTATACACAGATAGTAGTAGATATTTTCCAAAACCCATAGTAACTCCCGGTGCTATGCAGCAAGCCCTTCGACTTAGCGCACACACATATATATCTACACATATATCCCCCCCTCCCAAAAAAATACATTAAATAATAAACAGCACATAAAAAAAAAACTTATATACCATAAGTAACTAAATCACGCGGGGCTCGTTGGCTCCCACGGCAGCAGAACCTTCTTATTCGCAGGAGGCCGGCGCGGCGTATTTCTCCCCAAGTTCTGCGAGTTAACCTGCACCTCCATCGTCTTCAGGATTCCCCTAGAGCTCTGGGTGCGCTCGTTACTACCCGCCCGGTCGCGTTGGCGGAAATCCACCACATCGGTCTCCGGCATGCCTTTAATAATAGCATCCTCGCTGCCTTCATCGCTCTTGCGTCCGTTAGGCGGTGACGTCCGCGTCCAGCCATCGTTCGTAGTTGTGGTCGTTGTAAATTCATCCATAGTGTATGTGAGCATGTCGCTTCCTGCGCGCTTCTTGTACCCAAATCCGCTTGCACCTGCAGAACTATGTCCCTGCTGGAAATAGCGTCGACTGTGGGAACCGCTCGGTTTGTAGCCCGGTGAGGAGCCGGCGCGTCTTCCGGAGGGCGTGCGGCCGGTGGTGGCGGTGAAGAGAGGGCCTAGGGTGGGGATGCAGGCAGCGATTATAATTAGGTATTGCTCCGTTGAGATCCAGGTTGTTAGGTTTATCGTTTCAAAGGTATAGTCGGAACGGGCGACGAGTTCAGCTAAAAATATTGTTTTGACAACCGCGGCAGCAGTGGCACTGATTATTTTCCCCCCGCGTTGTTCAATTAGCAGTAGGCTCTGATATGCAGAATCGAATGGACGTAGTCGATACGATAAGACGCAGTAAAGGGGGAAAAAAGAAAGAAAAAAAAGAACTCACACAACGCCGAGGGCCAGAACACACGTAAGGCCGATTTTTATGTTTCGGGCCATTTGGAGCTGCCATATAATGAAAACAGGGTAGAGAGCAAGAACTAAATCAGATGCGGCAGAAAAGGCTGTTTGCGCATGAAATCTGATATCAGTCTGATTGCCTTGTAGAAAGCGACTAAGGGAGCATGCCCGACATGGGGGAAAGTTATACATACAACCCTGGAAAAATGCATAATCCCGTTGGATATTTGGATGCCAACATGAGCCCTTCTTGCCGGGGCCTACGCCATTCCAGAGAGCAGTTGTCGGGGTACATTGACCATAAATAGTGTACACGCAGACGGAGTTGACAATGGTCAGTACAACCATACCAACAAAGAAGATATATCTCTGTCGTTTCGCTCTATCGACGATTCGAAGGAGGAAAAAAGCAATGGAGACCTTGCCCCAGTTCGTCGACATGACATGAAAGCCCTGGGAGATCCAATTGTACTTATTCGCTTGAACCTTTTGATAATCGTTTAAATAGTAGACATGGCGGCCGGTTCCGTAATGGATACAGATCGTTACACAAACGGTGTTCACAAGCGCGCATACCTGTAGGAAAACAATTAGATACCATAATAAATTGCACATCAAAGGAAAAGGCTTTAAAAAAAAGTCCGCACCATCGCCAGGCACATGAAAGCATCGTCCCATCCCCAACGTTGTATTAATCGGGTTCTTGTTATGATTCTTGCCAGGACCAGAGCGAGCGCAACACCGCATTCCGTCCACGTTATGGCATTGAGCATAGGACCTTTGTTAACGTCTCCATCTGGAGGTGGCCCCAGATCGTCCATGGTAGTATAGTCTGTTTCCACCACCAGTCTAGCTAAATACCAGCTCTGTGAAACGTCATTGACAAAAGTGTGGCAGAGAGGCAGCAGTGGAAGGGAAAAGGGTCTATAAAAGTGACCCGCAACAAACTATGAAAATGATCTCCAACGGGACGGCTTAAATTAGATGATCTGGCCACGACGGAACATGAAAAGAATAATATTTTCATTCATGCCAGGAAAATATATTGCGGCTTACCGCGGACCCAGCAAGCAAGGGAAATGAGACAATATCAACATCGAAGAACGCCGCTCAAATGTTCCTGTGTGTTCGATTCTCACCCCTCCTCATTTTCTCCGTGGGGCTTACTGCGTACATAGTACGCTGCGTACTTCGTAGGCAGGAAGTCCAAGTACCGAAAGGAAAGTAACATGGCTGAAAATCCTGGCAAGGTAACCTCGAATAATCGCGTTGATACCAGAGCAGCCACAAGAAAGATGGACTCCTAAGCCTTGACCATCACCCTGCAAGGAGTTGAACTAGCTGCACCCTGGGATGACGACAGGAAAATCGCTTCATTGTCCAATGAAGATGGCGTGCCGGGCGGCCGGCATTAAATCACTCTTCCTTTAGCCAGTGGGCTGCCGTCATTTAGGCCCTTCCTGCCTTTTCAGGAGGAACATTTTTCAACGAGGAGGCCGTATGGAAATACAGCCAGAGGCGGATAGAGTGGCAATTGATCAATGCGATGGGTTTTTGCCGAGTCTGTTGCTTCTGTACAGTTGAGGTTTCGTTTCTTGAGGCTGCATCCTGATCAAGAAGTTTCCACGCCAGTGCCCAAGCCTGCATCGGAAGATATACCTCTGGACTCGCATGGGATTTTGAAATATTACCGAGGGCAAATACCTCAGTGAGCTGAAGACTGTGAAAACCAACAACGCTGAAAAGCCCAAGGGCATGCTTTCACACATTCGACTCCCTTAACGAAACGCTCATCATATAATTACTAGCGATTTTCAAGACCTCGAGGATCTCGTCCCGCACCAACTTGGCCATACTTGATCTCCCCCTTCAGAGATTGTTCCGGAACTAACGCTTAGTTCGAAGCTAAACAAACTGTTCAGCCACTCCCCATGTTGGTAGCACATCATATCCCGGCCCCATGAAGGCGCGCCTCAGATTGCCGCTTGGCGGAGTCGCAGACGATAGCTCCGCTTTGGAGACATCAGCATTGGCTACATGATTTAGTGTCTGCAACAGTCAGCCAAGTTTTCTGCATATTTCCCTTTCTCTCAAGCAAGTAAGACGCCCGCAGACGCGAAGAAGCCAGTCTGGTAACTGAATCCGACAAGAACAGCTTTGATGTTAAACATTTGGTTCAACATTTATTCGACGAAAAACGGTGTGAGCTTCCTTGATATTCCCTCTCAAGCATGAGTATTTTAACCTTATGCTACTCCTGGATGTTTTAGTAAGGAACTAAGTTGTTAGGGTAAGGTGTGTCCCGAAATGACGAAAATGCGACGCTGTAACGTGGGCTGGTCAGCGAAGGTATTCATTCTTCAGTGAGGAATTCGAAATCATTTTCGGGAAGGATTTCCCATGTGGTCTTCATTTTCCGCCAGCTCTAATACCAAATTGCTGGTATCGTTATTGATCCTTTTAACCTGTATCGTCCTAGTCTCATTCAGGCACCCTGCCGTCGACACCGTGGGCCAGTAATCGAGATACAGGATCGCGAGTCGAACTCTAATATATTCTTTTGTCAAAATTCGAACCAGGCCACGGTAGGAACTTTTTGTCATTAGTTTACTCCTCTGTCACGTTTTATCTGTCCAATAGCACATGAGATTGTCTACTTATTCTTAGACAGCCAACTGTTCAAACTCAGCGAATTCTGTTTGATTACGGAAAAAAAAAAAAAAAGGCTGTCCGCACAAGGCTGTGGGACAGCATCGCAAACTTCCACTTTTCATTTTGTGTTTCATTTCGTTCTCGCATCCATATACCCAAAGCAGAGCATGATAGCAAGCTCTCCATATTGGATCCCTGAACATCCAAGGAAGTTGAAAATTGGAATTGCTATGGCTGGGCTTCCATCCGGTCTTAGCTGTGGTTCTCTCATTTCACTAAAAAGTGATGCAACATATCTGGAATAAGAAGTTATTCAAACAATAATGGGGAATGTGAATTCCTCCAATCAAGTAAAACGATGGGGTGTTTGCGCCTGGTTGTCGGAAATCAAGGCTGACTGAGTCTTGTTCGCCATGGTATAGGATGTATAGGATGTAACAAAGGCCAAAGCATCAGCTGTCAACCGGGTCTGACTGGGATGGCCCGAGCCCACCGCGCCTGCGCAAATATGTTAGCAAGATCATGACCAAGGAAAAAGATGCCTCTAGGCACCGTACCTGGTGGGTTTAATTTTCCTGTCAGTCTGCACCGAGACTAGCTTGACAAGCATCTGGGTGCTTGGACAAGCACTCCTAGTGTAAGGAAATTAAAGCCTAAGAGCGCCAACAGACTCGGCAGCGCAAATTCGTGAGGCGTGCAAGAAAACCCTGCTCAAACCGTTTATATCATTCCTTCTGTGTGGACGTAGTAACTAGTAATCGTCGAGAGGTAACAAAGTGCGGTGTTAGGGCGTTGCCGTTTCCGATATGGGCGATTGAGAAGATATAACGATGCCAACCGACCATGGTTCCATCAAATTGGGACCCGTGGCCCAATTGGCAAGGCGTTTGACTACGATTGAACATACCTTCTCATCAAAAGATTGTGGGTTCGAATCCCACCGGGTTCAATTTTTTCTGAATTCTTTTTTTTTTTTTTCGATTGTTCTCCCCCGCCACCCACCCAATTGTTTATTTGTATGTTGGTCAGAATTGCACACATATCAAAATTGATTTTCACAAAAATAGAAACTGATTCTGAAAGTAACGTATATCATGTGGTCTTAATCCCATTTTACCGGATTACGTCATATTTTTCAGAGCAAAAAACTCCCCCCTCAGCTCAGACAGCGGAAACAGGCTTCAGAGAAATGAAACAACTGCGGCGCTATTTTGTTCGGCTAGTTTAAACCTAATTTTCCTAAGTATGAAAACACAATGGCTCAAAAAAAGCATGATTTGGTGTATTCATGCCCGATGGCAGCTGAATTCTTGAATTACACCTTAAATTACCAGACATAGGGCAGAACCTTGCCCACAAGGCAATAATAAAAAGGTACCGAATATGGTAAGATTCGATTGCACAATCTTTTGATGAGAAGGAGTATATAATCAGAGTCAAATGCCTTGTCAATTGGGCCACGGGCCCTCGTTTGATGATACAGATTCACAACCACAGGTTACCTGGAGACGCAGAGGGGGTGTTAAAAAACCGAGAGTTTTGTTCTATGATTGATAGAGAGCGGGAGTGTGATAGATAGAAATCTCCAAACAGACCCCAAAAACAGAAAGTTCGTGTTGAACCCGGTGGGATTCGAACCCACAATCTTTTGATGAGAAGGTATGTTTAATCGTAGTCAAACGCCTTGCCAATTGGGCCACGGGTCCCGCTTCATGATGCGACGGTTGTCGAGATGCTTACGAGAAGGTTGTTGATAACTAGTTAATGTGTTTGATTGAACAACTTTTGCTGGTTCATGGGCCCCGCTAACGGACAATCTCAGCTTTCTCGAAGGGGTCTGGAAAACCTGGATCCTAGCACATGGACGTTTCTTCTTGGGATATCCTGATCTCGGGAATCTGACCAATGATGGCTAGAGAATAGGACATAACTCGAGAGGGTAATACAACGCCAGAGCTAATTTTGCATTGGCGCGGCTGGAATGCAGGTTGATCAGGTTAATTGCGCCTGTGTTAACTTTCAATCCATGATCTTGTCAGCAATCCTTTCAACTGATAGCTATTGAACCACGTCACAATTTCTTGGATATCTGACATCTGCCGAAAGTGGCTAGCGACAGAGTTAGCGGATTTCTTCATCTGGAGACGGCGAGATACCATGTGCTGCAATTTACTGTCGAAAGGGAGGGGTTTTCATTATCTTGCATTTTGGGGCGGTTCGTGAGGGGGTTACTACACTACTGTGCAATATCCCTGAGAGATACCCCTGTCCCTTGTGGAGCCGGTAACTTTCCTTTCCCTTTCACACTGGCCGAGTCAAGATTCGCCAGTCTTGGGCATGGCGCTGGTAATAGTGAGCGAAAATCGAACCTGGATGGAAAAGGCTCGCTAGCCTCTTGTTTTATGGGCACCCTGTTTGCTATCTCGCACAGAGCCCGCAACTGAAACCGCGGTCAAGTATAAAATAAACGTCAGTTCAGTTTGTGTTCTGGACATACTACAAATTTATAACGAATCTTCAGAGTAGACGTAGGAAGAACATAACCGGCAAAATGAAAAGCGCCCAATTAGTCTCCAAGGCTGGCTGGCTGCGGTATGTTTAGACCGTCTTAAACTTAGCCGGCCCGGCCCAAAGCCTCATCCTCTTTCCAAAAATCTGTAATCCCAAAACCATCAAAAACGCAAAGCCGCAAATTCCCGTCATTGTCCCGAACTGGCGAATGGTGCCTTGTTCATGCGCCCACCGTACCATGAAATAGCTGACAACAAACCCACCTGTCGTACGCCCGAAATTGATCCATGCGGCCACTTCTCCACTAGCCTCTGGGTAGCTATCTAGAACGTATGCGTTGACCGCAACAGTCGTGATCATAATTCCGAATACATACAGACCCCATCCCAGCGAAGCTAGCATGTAATGATACTCCCGCTCGAGTGCGAAGCCGAGCAGGATTAGTCCTGCAAACATAAATGGGGTTGCGATCCAGGTTGCTACGTATCTGGATTCGGGCTCTAGGCGACCGTTGTTGCGTCGTGCGGCCGTTCTAGCGATGAGGTCGTGCAACCAGTGACCTGCAATTTCGCCGAGGATGGCAGCGGTGACGGGAGTGAAATAGAAAAAGCCTTTTAGAGCTAGTGGTTAGGGAGGAAAACGTGTTGGAGAAGGATGATTGGGGTGATATACTGACCAATCTGTTTGGGGCCAAAGTTGTACAGGGGACCAAGGAAAATAGAGAGGGTGGTGTTAATCCCAACAACCCAGGCGAACGTTAATAAATAATAGACCATGGAGATGAAGACGGGTGGTTTGCAGATAATGATAAGGGGGCGCATGCAGGCATCTTTGAATGTGTTGCGCAGATGACGTGAGTGCCACTGCTCAATCCCAACCATTCGCTTCCACTGTGGTCCACGAGGAGGCTGCTGAGATTCAGGAAGCTTGCGATCATAGTATGTCTCGTCGATACAGAAGATGATGAGGGCTAGGCAGAGAGCTGTCATTATCGTGTAAACACCGAAGGCCCATTGCCATATCTGCGTGTTGATGATGAAAGCGGTGAAGAGAGGGCCGAGATATGGAGAGACAATGATGAAGCTAGACCAGATATTGATTTTTCGCGCATGTTCGTGGAAGAAAAAGAGATCCTTGATGAACATGAGGCCACCCTGGAGAAAATATTTTTCAGTAATTCGGCTCTCAAAGATCGCATGTCGATTTGGTAGTGATTGAACTAACCCCTTGAGCCACTGTGGAAAAGAAGCCATTGAGAATCCTAGCAGCCTGAAAAGCACAAAATTTGTTAGACATATTCATTCCCACTGTTTCAATGACTTATAAACGGGCTTACCATGAAAGATTCAAAGGTTTGGGCTGCTGTACACCAAACAGCTGTCGCAGTTGCGATAATGGCAAACCAGAAAAAGACAGGGTACCGGCCGAAATACGCCGCAAGAGCCACGACAAATACACCTCCTGCACCTAACATGAAGACATTTCCGACTTGTGAATGGTTTACCTCATCTGGGGTCATCTTCCAGATCCTAGATATTTTTTTTAGATAATTAGAATATTTTCTGCTAAAATTTCGACTCATGAGATGTATATCTTACGCAGATTGTGGAAGCAGTGTCACGGCCCCCGTTGCACTTCCATAATCAGGAAGGAATGCAGTCATAGATACAATTATGAGGATGAGATGCTTCCTCGCCCATGACCAGTTGAGGGGATCCAACGGCGATGCTGATGGCTGGGGGATGAGGATTGTACGCCCATCCTGAGTCGTTTTCAGATCTCCGCTTCGCGCATGAGATGTGTCAAGAAGATAGCCTTCCTTCCCGGCCGCGGCTTCAAGATTGTCAATTGGATTGCCAGAATCATCGATGGTCATTTTGACATGGTCAGAGGCGTCGGAGGACGGCTGCCTGGAGCTACCCTGACCAACCATTGCTATTTCTTCGTACTTTTTTCCCGGCAGGAGAAGATGAATGGGGGAAATGGAGAAAGTGGGTAAAGGAAAAAGGTGTGGTAAACGAGTGACGAGAAGATTAAAAGAAAGATCGATAGAAAGAAAAAGGAAAGAAACGAATACGGAACTCAGGAAGGAGAAGAGGGGAAGGTAGAAAAAAAAAGGGACATCGAAAATCCAAGTTCATGCATGAAGTAGTGAACTTTACACGCCGCAGGCCGAATTCCACATGGCTCCCACCACAACAAACGCCATAGACTATTCAGGGGTCATTCCCTCCAGGTCCCCCGGACAATGTCAATTGGAATGACATTTCCTTAGAATCCCTTTGTTTCACGCCTCTTGACAGACTAGTTGCATTGTAAGCTAGACAATTGAGCATTGATCCTTGGTCCAGCAAATGGCATGGCCCGAGACAAAAACGGGCGAGAATCCCAGGCTCGTTTAGATTGCAGGGCAGACCGGGTTAATCACATCAGCTGGGTACCACATGGTGTAAAGGATGCAGTCTGCAGATTCGGATGCTTGCCGTTACTTGTTTCGCTTAGTTGCGTCCTCATAGAGGTGAACTCAAGAGTGTTATTTCAGGGTTGCGGTATAATTACAACCCCGGTCTCCGCTATTTTAGGCGCTAGAGGAGTAAGATTTCAGACTTTTCGAGAACACCGCAAGGAACATAGGCGCGGCACGGACGGCGCTGGGCTCAGCCGTCATTTATTTTCTTGGCCGCTGGCATGATCTGAGGACCTAATGGGGCGGTTGGCACCTCTCCCGCCGGGGGGCTTTTGAGCAGCACGCCAACTGATAAGCTAGCTAAGCTAACTTAAGAACTTCAGGAACAAGTCCTGCCACTCCCGGTCGACGAATTCAGGTCGAGCCGATGCATTGAGCCATCAATTTCGGCCATTTTGGCTTCGTTTTCAGACACTTTTTTTTCCCGGTCCACTGGCGGATTTTGGAAACTAGCCCTGGTAGCTTATAACCTGCGGCTGTCCGTGATCAACTGATTATTACGGGAGTTTTTGAATTCACGGAATTCCACGCCGCGGAGTAAAGAATTGAATACTCTGTAAGGAGAATTCTAAATGATACTCCCTTCGTTCCCGAAGAACGACCGTCATAATATGAATAAAATATCTCAAATCGGTCACGCCCGCATAGGAAAGAAGCCAATCAGACTTGTCTTGAGACTTCATGAGTTTGTGGTGTTCGGAAAAATATCCACGTGGTCTGCAAGTTTATGGCGATTATTATGGATAAGAGATTCAACTTGAACAATTTCTCAGTTCATTTCAATGAATAGTGCGGATGTGTTTTCTTGACAGCCCTGTCGGTATTTTTACCATTAATTGACGTGTCATATATGTTGTCCGTCGAAACTACGCACAAAACATAGGTCTGGACTGCTTTGAGTTTGATAGTTGACAATTCCTCATCATTGAGAGCATGATCTCTGCGTTTGTGAATGCGTTGTTGTCGCAGTACCAACAGGGGTCTCTTCAAGTGCTTCAAATGGGGCGGAGCTTCGACAAACTACGGACCCTGGAATGGCGAAACAGATCGACTGATCGAGTATGAATTGGTAGCCAGTACATTGAACTGGTCTGCGTTGAAGAGCCTGGCACTCAAGAATTACAGGATAGGAAAAACGGGTCTCAGTAGCAGGGGACGGAGGCGAATAATGCCTTTGATACTTGGAACCTTGTAGGGATCGAACGATGGTAAATGGTTCGTCTTTGTTCGCTGGCTGCATGAGAACTACCCCAGGGAAGAGAAGACGGAGAATGTCGAATAAGAAGTGCAGTACACACGCCGTAGTACAACATAGTAGCAACCCTCTGCGGAGGTGTTCCGATTGCCGTCCACTGATGATCCGAATGATAGAAAAGCGCCTAGTAATGCAACTCGACGACTAACGAGGGTATGATGCGCCTACTTTTCCATTCATTGTTCATATCGCCCAATTGCAAACCAAAGACCAAGCAACCACCGGGCAACATGACCATTGGCATATATTTCAAGAGGTTGGTGAAAGGGGTCCCCAAAATAGGGCATACAACCGATGCAAAGCCATATGCAGTTCGTGATCCTATCAGGCTATCATTGATCAGTTTGCGTGATGGGCCTAATGACGATCAAAAGGAACCATTCGTCACAACACCGACGCCCAAATTCCCACAATACTAGCGCAGCATTCGACATCTGACGTCAGGTCGAGAGAACGCAGATGAGAGATCCTCTTTCAAAGTATATTGAGCGGTGATGAAGCCCCATTTATAATGGGATAGATGGATTCCACGCCAACTAAAGTGCGATGATAAGCAGGTGGGAACTGGCGTAATATCTTGGAACTTCGAAGGCATAACTATAAATTGCCCGTAATATGTAGGATGGTGGGGGAGATAACCGCACTTTTGTCGAGGTGGTCCATTACAAGGACCAAGGGCAATAAAACGAGGCAGGAGTTTGAATCATCTAGGATCCTGCGCATCGTTTCCGTGGTCTCTTCTTCTTGGGCTCCGTCCATTCCGCTGCATGGAGCGGTATTACCCAATATCCTGGGAAACAAACTTTTCTGGAACAGGAGCTTCCCTGGAAATCCATGCACTTGGTGTGCTGACTCTAGAACGTAGGATGATGTACCCTGGTGATGCGTGCAGAAGGTCAAGAGGTGTCAGACGCCACCAAGTGCTAGTTGCATTTGGCGCGAGGGGATTGATGTTAATTTGGTTCCATTATTGTTGGGGAAAGCACAATGAGAAGTCTTGGTATGATGTGAACATGGGGAGAAGAGGCGTCAGCGAGCGCATCAAGGCCTGTATGAGCTGAATGAAGCATTTTCGGGTAAACTGGAGCAAAACTAGAAAGGACAGGGAGAGAGTCAATAGCTTCAGTCAAATTGATATAAAAATTCCCGTAAACGCAATTGAGACGGTTAATGTAAACCCTGTCATTCAGGAAAACGCGGCGTTATGGGTGATCAAGACTCAAGAGTAACTACGCCGTATAACTACCGGTTGTTGAAGGATGTCAGCAATGCTTGCTGATAAAGCGTGTGTGAGGTGATTGGCGGAAGTACCTGTGCTTTTATCCGTGGGATGCCTCAATTGAGGAATCGACTTCATTAAACAAAGTTCACCTTATGCCAGCTGCTCATTTCGAACAACAGCTTCTGATCCCCCGTTCAATAATGCATGCTTTGACTGTAGTGTGAGATCCCAAAGCGAATTCCCATGCGAGTCCAACGCACATGGGGAGGATTAGAATGTGTTGGCTCGCTGCCATTACGACGGTGCAGCCCTGCTCTTCTTGCTAACCCTGGTGCCTTGATCCACATGGCCTGGCTTGTCGTCCTTGAGAGGACTTGGAGCGTGGGGTTGGCGAATCTCACATCCTATGGTTGAATCCAGGCCTTGTAGCACGCGCTTCATGGGAGTCCTTAGGATTTTCGAAGCACATCGTCTGAGGTTTGTGGTTGATTGCAGCTGCTTGGCGCACTTGGAATACCCCTGTACCCCTGAATCTGTTTGGTTAGGTCCTTTAAAGTGCAAACTCGTCCGTTTTGCTGCTTGTGTTTTTTTTTTTTTTTTTTTAATTCCTGGCAGCTTCTTGTTTTGGTTACCCCGATTTGGCTGACATCTGGCCTTGCAATGGCTGTGCTCTCGGATTTCTCAGCTTCTTCCCGGGACCTGCGAGTCCTTCCTCTCTTTGCGCCTCCACTGCCCCGCCTCTCCCCAAAGTTCCAACCGAAGGTGCATGGCCAATCTGATATAGAAAGTGATGGAGTGGAGAAGTATGAAGTAGTTATCTCTGGGGTACGTTCTGAGAATCACATTTGCTCATCTAATTGTTATGTCGTAGTTAAGCCCGTCCTTATTTATGCAATCAAAGACGCAAGGCGAACGCGCCACATCATGTATACCAACTATTGTTGTTGAGTTTACTGTAACTATTATGGACGCTTCAACCTGAAGGTCTTTCTAGTCATGTGCGATATGTGGGTTGAGATCTGACACGCTGTGAATTGTTGTAGGCAGGTCCTGCGGGCTTGATGCTTGAGCTACTGTTGGCCCGTTATGGCTTACCAGATACATCTCTCCTTTGCTTGGACTCCAAACCAAGTGCACTAAAATCTGGCCAGGCAGATGGCCTTCAACCCCGTACTCTTGAGGTGCTTAAGAGCTTGGGCCTGGCCGACGAGATCCTCACAGAAGGCTGTCAAATGTGGGATGTTGCCTTTTGGAATCCTACTGCGGATCCCGAATTAATATCTAAGGGACGATTGATCGAGAGAACATCGATTGTTCCTGATATATGTGTTCCGGCACGTTTCCCACATGAAGTTACCATTCACCAAGGGCGCATCGAGCGTATATTTGAGGACAATCTACTCAAGTACTCCAAACGCGGTGTCTTACGATCTAGCACCCTGGTGGATGTGAAGATAGATGAAGAAGGGGATCCCGATTTCCCCGTTATTGCACAAATCGATGTGGACAACGTTCGGCGCACCATTCGAACTAAGCATCTTGTCGGGGCGGATGGTGCCCGGTCCACGGTTCGTAATTGTATGAGCCTCCAGATGGAAGGTGACTGGATGGACCACGTATGGGGTGTTGTCGATTTCGTTGCAGATACGGATTTCCCTGATATTCGACGAAGAACCGCGATTCATTCTCCCGTTGGATCCGTTATGATTATTCCCCGTGAACGGATTTCTAATGGAGACTACCTTACCCGCCTCTATGTGCAAGTTCAGGAGGATGTACGGCCAGTGGATGAAGAATGCAACGGTCGCAGCAACGGGGCTGCCGTTGACGCGAAGGCTCGCCGAAGCAATGTTACTGTAGAGGGCATATTCAAGCAAGTTCAGTCCGTCTTACAGCCGTACTATATCAAGCCAAAATATGATGATGATGCAGTGGATTGGTGGACGGCGTATCAGATTGGGCAGCGGGCCGCAGATAAATTCATAGTGAAGGATTCGAAGGGAGTACAAAGAGTTTTCATTGTCGGTGATGGTAAGCATAATACCACATAAGTCGATGTTGAACGGTAGCTGACGATCTCTTAGCATGCCACACCCATAGCCCAAAGGTCAGCACCACTTCGACTATTATGAGTATCCTGTTTTAAATCCATTCAAATGTATTCGGAGCACTGAATTTGATCTAGGCAGGACAAGGAATGAACGTTTCAATGATGGATTCCTATAACCTCAGTTGGAAGCTGGCCTACTTCATCAACGGTCTTACACCTGCTTCTGCAGATAATCTTCCAGACCCAATCCTTGATACTTATCATGAGGAGCGACACACCGTCGCAAAGCAACTCATTGAGTTTGATAAAGCCTTCTCTTCTATGTTTTCAGGGAAGATTGGCGCAGGAGAAGACGAAATTGGAGGTGATGCAAACGGATTATCACATGAAAAATTCCTCGAGGTCTTCAATACTGGAAATGGTTTCACCAGTGGTTGCGGTATTGAGTATCCGGAGAATTCCCTGGTCGAGAAGGACTACCCTAAGAATCCAGTTCAGGGTAAAGACTACTTATCTGGAATTCTGCGTCCGGGGCGGAGGCTACTCAACGTAAAGGTGAAACGACATGCGGATGGGTGCCCTCGAGATCTCCAGGATGGTAGGCGTTCCTCTTTCATTTCTTCTCCACCACAAGGTCCTACGTTTTTTCCTCAAGGCCAAGGTAGTAGTAGAATCGGATCATTGAAAACTAATCGAAAATTAGATTTCCCTTCCACGGCGCGTTTCAGGATCTTAATCCTGACATCAAATGACCTGCTTTCCCCAACAGGCGTATCCGCCGCAGCCCTCAAGAGTATTGGATCGACGCTCCTCACTAATAAGTTTCCGCCTTCTATTCTGGAACTTGTTGCCATTCACCCCGAGCTTAAGTCCGATTTCCTATGGGACGAAGTCCCTAGTGAGCTCAAAAAGCATGCAGAAATGCGCTTTTATAACGGGAGTGCGTTGCAGGATGTGTATGCCACATTTGGGGTACCAACGGATAAAGGTGTTATTGCAGTTGTGAGGCCTGATGGGTATATTGGTGTTCTTGCTGCTTTGGACGATGTGCAGCGAATTGAGCTGTATCTGGGAAGTTGTCTGCGAACTGTATGATATAATGTAGTATAGAGTAGCGACTGGATTCAGTTTCCCTTTTGTTCTTTGGTGACAGCCAGTTTGGTGACTCTTAGTTCATCTTCTGACTTCTTATTTCCTTGATGTTGTTCTTGAATCTGGAGTTCTAAACTCACAAATACAGTGGATAAACTTTCCCTTCTCTATTACATTCTGCTATCATAATTGCTCATAAAATTAGGGTTTCTAGCCCCTGAAGATATGGACATCATTAAAGGAAGACACCTCAAGCGATGGAAAAGAATAGTACATACTTATGTTGAGGGTCTCAGCCACTTGTGCAGCATTTGGTTGGAATCGAGAGAGACAAATGGGTCCTCAACTGCGTCAGATCCATGTGCCAATTCCAGACTTATAAAAATGGAAAATGCAGCTTTCTATGGATCGGTGAGTTTCTATTAGCTCTTCCCCTGTCATTTCATTCACCCACAATGTTGAAATAAAACCTTCTCTCATCTTTCTCTTACCCTCCTTCGCATACAACCATCGTCAGATTTTTTCCCAAAATCCCCACGAATAAGCCAATCCAACAAGGATCCTGGAGCCTCGAAGCCGGCCAGGAGAACCCCATGAGCTCCATTGATTCTTGCAAAACCCGTCCCTCAGCATTTGCGACTGCTGCATGGTAGTTAGCTGCCAGATGCTCGGTCATCATCCCCTTTGTTCCTCTAATGTATTTAGTTCGAGTAACTTTCCACTCCTATCACGGAATTCTAAGACAAACTCAGTGGGGCAAACTGATTGCAAAGACTCTGAAGGATGGCATGAGGTCACTCTGGAGTATAAAATATATGGCATGTCGAGCACGTCGTGCGGTCAGTATTGGAGAAGTCGACAGCCGAGAAGTAGGAGAGCTGCTTAGGTGGAAAAGGTGGTAGGCAAAGTGGCATAGGTAGTAAGGGTGTGAAGCAGTTATAATGAGTGGCGACTTTGAGCTTATGATATTCCGTATTATACTCCTTTTTCAGAACAGAGGAAAGTTTCTCTAGCGAATACTGCTTCAGAATGATTTGTGAATGATAATTTTTTGCCATTATCCATTCTTTTCGCAAACCTTCCCAATCAAAAGCAAGTGATTTGCAAATGCAGAAGTCAAAATGACCCGCCAATCTGAATTTTGAACAAGTGGTATATAACAGATTTAAATAGCCATGATTTGAGAAAAGAACCTCCCTTGACAAACAAAGATGTGTGCATGAGTCGAGTGAAACATCAAGGGTAACATTTAAATGAACCGGTATATCCCGCTCATGGTCATTGTATACAAGGAACATCACCCGTGTAAAAGGCTGGTTGAAACAACTGCGGTACATTCGCAATGTCGGTGGTAGTCCTCGTCTCGCATGAAGATATAGCGACATATCTCGAGATGTTGACAACATGTAGTTAGGATGAACCACGCCAAGGATTCATATTTGGCTATGGACTCTGGTAGCTCGCAACTATGTGGGTTGATGCTGTTCTAGATAAAATGACCTAGGGAAATGCTGCGTGTACAGAACCCGAGTAACTCGACCGTAGGAATCCTCGCTGACTTAATATTCCTTCCTAGTGATGGCTGCACTGCACACTGGTTTCTCAAAAGGTTCAGCGCAGACAAAAGATAGTCAAATGCGGTTGACACCCAATACCAATTGGTATAACGAAGAAGGAAATAAGCGGCCGATCGCGTTCAGTCAATTTCGCCATTGCTGGACCCTTCCCAGCTATCCCGGAGTCCAATTCAATCTCCATCGATATCTTCCAGTTCGGCCGCCAACGGACTGATCCTTTCTTCTAGAATATCGAGGTCTTCTAGTTGATGTCTAGAGGGTAATTTCCACAAACTCGTTCCACAAACACGGTCCTTTGTCAGCAGGTCGTCGACAAATTGGTCAATATACGTCAATACAAAACCATCCTTCATCCTCCTCTTGAGTTTCCGGTAATCCGTCAATAAAGGCTCGAGAGACTTGTATATATCCGCAGCATCAAAAGTCAGCCGGATATAAAACGCTGCTAGAGCACGAAGATATTTGAAATCCCCAACAGCTTTAACAACACTAGCACCACCTTGTTCCTCCTCCAGCCCGTTCATTTCGCTACCTTCAACATGGCCATTTTCCGGGTCGTGAAAGTTCAAATACTCCAGCACTATCTCCTTCTCTGGTGCAAGCTGGAGCAGCTTAAAGGCTAAACATAGGAATGGCGTTGGCTTCTGTGCAAGCCCGTATGTTCCACCGATGTAAGACAGTTCCGCGGCTCGATCACAAAGGGTTGCCGCGTTGAGGCCAAAGCATTGTTCTTTCCAGTAATATGACTCCGTGATGCGATCGCGAACGGCCTTTTCGAAGAGTGTGGCTGGATTAACACCGCGGATTAGGGGACCGGAGTAACCCCGATTGTCCAGGAGGGCGCTGGCATCGGCACGGTGATGCGCCATTGTCGGCCCTGAGCAGTGAAGTTAAAGTCTCTTATTAATTGATTTCGTAGGGTGATGAAGAAACAGGCATTTCTAAGAGTAGGACACATATGATTGCTTAAAGGCATGGTCGTTGTGTGAATCTTTTTTCATTTGGCGTTGACCAAGGTTATCACGTGTGATTTAGTTTGAGGATATTTAAGCTTATCGATAAGGTTGCCCTCGCAACCAAATTGATGTCATCAGTTTGTCCCGCTTGGCTGTTGTTCATATCCCATTAATATAGGCCGAATCCTCGTAGGGAAACCCTGCATCTAAAATACTACAAGCCACGCTCGACTGAGTTACAACCTCATGGCCGACAGAAGAACCATGGTATGCAGCAATTTGCGTCGCAATTTTACCTACCCGATAATTGATCATGGTGCTCGTGACATCTTCGACTATCTCTCTTGCAATATCAACATCGATAATTAGTTTATTTACTCTTGTTCTATTTTTGTCGGGCTACGTTCTGCAGCAGAAGTCTGTCAGGGGTATACAAGCCGCCATCAGCCCCGCCACGCAAACCCTCCTCACCTCATGGCCTTATGCTGTACCCGGCGGGTCACCTGCTGGCGCATACGCTATCGTTAACCAGCGAAAAGGCACATTCTCCTTCCCTAAAGTTGTTGTGGAAAATGATGGTACGGGAGGGAGAAGGGGAGGCGGAGTCGGGGAGGGAGGGGAGTCCTCCAGCAATGAAGGGCTTAACACAGGACAATATGATCAAGGCGACAGATATGGACAAAAGCATAAACAAGCATACCTCCAAATGATATCAAGACCCAGCGCATCGGGTATCTGCTCGAGTCTTTTGTTCTTTAAGACACTCACCTCCCAAAGCGAGATCCAGACGGACAAAGTATTCCTATACCCCAAATCGTGGAACCAGAACTCACCAACGAGGAGTATTGCGGAGGCTTTAAAAATCCTCAAACAGCACCAAGACGAATATGATATAATTATACACGATATTGACATGACGGATCCAAACTACCGCTTCCCATCCAACACCAAGCTCCTCAGAAAAGCTTCACATAAATTGATTCACTACGAAAAGATTTTTTACACCCGCTCTCCTGGCGTGCTTCTTGATTCCGCAAAGCTCAATAAATTGTTTTTCTCCCAGCCTCCCCAGTTCTCACCCTCGCCCTCATTTTCGTATTCGCCATTTTCGTCATGGAAGAAGAGAGCACAATCGAACGGAAATTCACAGACCGATGTGTGGGTTCCAACCCGCTTATCGACCGCGAACGCAGACCTTCCCTATGCGATTCTAGTCACAACGGAACGTAGCTCCTCAGGTGGTATTTCTATCAGATCCCATGTACCGACTCCATCCGTCAAACAATCGTTGATCGTTCCGGCAGTATCTAAATTTCCAGTCAAGGAAGGTTCGGAGATGCATCCTGCCTATGTGTTCTTTGAGAAAAATAAGAATCAAATGCAGGATATGGAGAATGTGTATTATCAAGAATGGAAGAAACAGGTGCAGGATATCTGCCGTGGGATTGACATTAATGATTGATGTAATTTCTGGTTAGGCGTTAAGCGTGCAATGGGTGGTTATTTTGCTTGCTATGGTACTCTTTGCAATTTCAGATAGTTCTCCAGGTTTCCAACCTGTGCGTATATGCATACGAATTTGAACTTGATACTCTTTGGTATTTTCGATTTATCGTATGATTTATGTCTTGGATGTAATGGGCCTTGAAGCTTTGTTGTATTGCGAAATTCTTTGGGTATTGATCTAGAGACTTTGGGAACTTCTTATTTCCTTACAGCTTAGAAACAGTTAATTCCGCATTTGTAAAATATGCTTTTTGGCAGCGAGTTCCAAATCGGGTAAGCAAAATTGACAGCACTTTCAATTGTATGGGTATGGCACATTATTATCAGTTAATAAAATATGCTAATAGTTTCCAATCGCCCAGCATGCCATTCGTAGTTTAACTTCCCTGTCAGAATCCCAGAGAAGAATTGCCCATGAATACCCCAGATCCAGCTCCACAGATTATCCCTAACTAACACCAACAGACACCTGATAATAATAATATATGCCGATGAGTGGACAGCATTTGCGGAGTAATGCATAATGCAAAACCATGGCACCACCAAACTTATTCGCTCGAGGCTAAATGATATCACTTCCAAAATCCCCGTACGCCATGTGAAAAAATGAAAGGCCATTCCAAAATGATTAGTCAGACACCTGACAGGATAAATAACCAATTGGGGTATATATAGTAGATAGGAAAGAGTACAATGAAGAAAAAAGAAAAAAAAAAGCTTAGACGTACACTGGAATTGTGGCGGTATATAGTAAAATCCGTCCCAAAACCGAATTGTGATGTGATGCAGAATTTTGAGGATGTGAAGCAGAATGCGAGAACTTGCTAGTAATATCCAGGAAAGGAAATGGTAGTTTCAGAGAACACCTATCTCATAACCAAGCAAAACTTCTGTATTCGCCCCTTCCCAGCCTCGGTTACCGCCAGTGGATATCATGTATCGACAAGCCGTATCCATGTATAGCTGCGAAATAACCCCGGTACGATGGCCCGGAACAATGAGGAATGGCACACTTGAACGGCTCGAAGAATTTTCGTCTTTGAGATCATAAAGACGTAGAATGTCGTAAGAAGCACTATTGAAACGTCGTTAGTAAATAAAACCGAGGCTGACCAGGGAATAAGCTGTTCATCCCAAAATAAGATGATGAGTTTTGTTACAGAGGAACAGGGACATACCACATTAGATGTCTGCCGTTTGGCATTGCTTTGACGGCAGAGACAGGGCCGCTTCCCTGGGGAAATTTGAAAGTCCGTTCGGCGTTGCGGAGGCCTTTATGCAGACTAAATTCTTCTACGGTACCGTTGCGCCGTCCGGCATAGATATAGTTCCCGTCCGGCGACCAACACGCATTCATGCACCATGGGGGAGCGTTTCGAGAAACTATCTTAGCAATGGGGTTCGGTTGTCGTCTGTCCCAGACACGTATTGTCCCGTCAATTGATGCGGAGAAGAAAGTAGTATCGGATGTTATGTCTGAACTGTCATCTGACGAGGCCTCAGTTTTATCTTGGCTTGTTGGGGCACGTACCAACTCGTCGGCGTGGGGATCTCCATTCCCTATGATTTCAGAAGATATACCATTGGGCAGATTCCCAACCGCAGCTGCTGAAGATTGGGCTGTTTGGTCATCCTTTTCTGAGACCATGTCCTCCGTATGTTGGCTATTTGAGACACCGTTTGGTTGAGCATCAGCCATGTCTATTTCGTGCTTATCTTCGGGTGGCTGAATACCATTTGCAAGCGCCTGGGAAAATTCATCATCTTCGTCTATCGCAAAAGCACCACCGGATGGTGCTTCGGTTTCACCCCCTTCGCCGTCTCCGAAAAGTGAATCGGTCCCGAAAAGCGAGTCCGCCGGGGATCCAGCAGCATTATTCGCACTAGAGCCACCCCCAGCTTGCCGCCCTGCATATTCCCCATTTTGGAAGGCAAAACTGGAAGTGCCGTTTGCCTGGTTGTTAGATGAGAATGTTCCGTTCGTCAGAGGAGGCTCCCCACTCTCTTGTGGTACAGGTAGATTGGATTCCGGCCGTATTTCAATGGAAGATATCTGCCCCGCAGTTGAGCCGAAGGTTCGCCTTGGTTGCCCAACATTTAGGTCCCAGTCATGGATCCTTTTATCCCAGCTTCCCGAGAGGAGAGACCGTTCATCTGACGTGAGACAGAGTACTGAAACTGCTGAGGTGTGTTGCTGGAGAAGGGCAATTTCTTTTCCCTCATCGTGGCGGACGGACTGCAATCTTATACTACCGGACTCGAGACCAGAAAGGAGCCACAGCCCTTGACTGTGAGAGGCAAGAGAGTAAACAGGTGACAGGGCGATCCCATCCATATTCTCCCAATATGTCATCAAAACGCCCGCCTTCACAACGCTATCCACGAATGGGTGTCTTTGCGCAACCGTCAGCATTAATTTGCTGTTGATGGAATCTACCCAGTTGAATTTTCGCACATATCCGTCTGAACCACCGCTAAATATCCATCGCATATCTGCTGTTGCTGTGACGGCATTAATCGACGTACTGTGTGGAGCTGCAGTGGTTGGAACAATATCATAGCTGGTAGCAGCGAGCGCTTCGGGACGTACAGCAGGGCGTAGGGGAAGAGACGAATCGGACACGGAATTATTGGAAGGAGAAAGAGGTTGGTTATTCTGTTGGCTAGCTGCGGCAGTCTGGCCATCAGACACAATGCTGGAATTCGACGGGCTTTCAGGGTCGGGCTCTGGAGCAACATCTTCCAGGTCGCCCATCGTGTCATCCATATCATTATCGGAGCTGCCATCTTGCGATCCTAGGACGAAACGATATTAGATCGAAGATAGTAACACCTAAAGCAGCGCCACAGAAAATATCCCTCACCTGCTATATCACGGTCATCGTCCTCGTCCCCAATTGACGGCATCTTTGTACTAAGTCACGCTAGTAGTTCTATACCAAGTCGAGATAATTCCCTTTGTCCAACGATAAGAGAAGAACGATAGTAATCGTTGTGCGCGGGATAGGGAGTCGTAATGAGAATCGGGATATAGGATTAAAAACTACTGACACAATATTAATCCACCAAAAAAAGGGAGGAAAAAGGGAAAGTTATAGTGCTCGCGGCATGATGTTGGTGTATCGCAGCTCGTTTAGCTCGGCAATTGCTGCACGATGATTTAAACAGACTTTCTACGGCAGCCCATAGAGACAATTGTACACCACACTGCAGGGTTATTTCCATCTCAGCTCGAATGAGTTTTAAGAAAGTAGTGTATACGATATGTACTAACTACTAACTAGTATATACTGCACATACTCCTTCCATTACTTTCTATGTTTCCTTTTGGTAAAGTCTCGCCGTGTTTATGGACGGGCAAGCCATAGATAATGTGGACTCTTTCTCCATCGTGATAAGCTTTGATTATTTGCTGAGAAGACGATTTCACCGTGCCAATTCTAGGGTCTGAAATGACCTCATTTCAATGTCTGCGAAATTGCTCAACTTCGCCTGAAACTGTGCAACGGGAAACATGGAAATTCTTTTAGCTCAGTTTCCTCTATCTGCTTGAAGAGTACAAAGGGTCCATTGTCTGATGCGAGAAGCCCTTCTTCCGGTTTACAATGCGACTCCTCTGAGTCTCGATATTACTCAGATGGAGTCGCGGAGCTTGATGTTCTATTCTATTTTGAATTCCGCCCTTGGCCCAAACCCAGTGATGGCCATATTTCCCTATCCAAACGTTTGGAATGGTTAAAGGTACCGTAGAGACACGGAGTTGACTCTCTACATCCATCTTCCAACCTAGCTCTAAAATTGAGGAGAAGCAATTCCAAACACTGAGGATCGTATGGAAGGCGAGCGAGACAAATAGATGTTGGCGAATAGATGTTGCCGGTGCTTGAAGGCTGCTGAAATAAATCACCGCACAGGGTAACATAAAGGGAGCCGCAGCAACTTGGACACAAAAACCATAAACAAATAACTTGACCCAGTCCACTCCACCCACTCCATTTGCTCTCGTGCATACTTTCAGGAACGAATTCTAAATCTGAATGCATCTTCACCGCGAGATTTTGGCTGCGAAGTTGTGACTTTTCCTTGCCACGCCAAGCCAGAAACGTATTCACCACCATTCCGATGAAGCAATGCCTTTACCCTTGAGAGGTCAGTCTAATTAATAGTCGTTTATCAGCCGTTAGCCCTTTGATGCCTCTATACATGTGCTCTAGAGTTTTCGGGAGAAAAAGGGAGATTTTATGGAGCTAGATATATATATATAGTCGCTTAAATATTTAGTGGTTCGCTGAGCCCCCTTGGACTGAGGCTAACCACCATGAGAGCAGGCAGATTGAACCCTACGCGTCTGCCAGGTCCAAATATTGCTCTAAACAAAGATATCCAGGCGTACGTCCAGGAGACTCGACATGCAGCTGCAGGGGATACCTGGGCAGCAAATCCAGAGCTTCCCACCACAAATGAAATCTTGGGGATCGACGAAAGCGATGGCTCCTCAGGAAGCAATATTGTCGATTTGGTCCCGAACAACATAGACGGGCCATGGCTGTCAACAGAGATGTATCTGAGGGCTCATTACAATCTCCTCAGAGAAAATGCAGTTGCTCCGCTGAGGGATGCGGTGGCTTATGTGAAAGGCCAACCACGCATGAAAGATTCCCTAGATGTCTGCATCTATGAAAAAGTAATCTTTTAGGCGTTTTTTTTTTTTCCGTTTTCCAAACTAATATATGTATTTACTAGGTATATATCGTTGGGATAACTTGCGGAGACGCGGGAATAGCTGTAAAGCTTACATTTTCCACCGCTCGTGCTGGAAAGAATATTGTATGGGAATATTCACCAAGGCTAACCACCGGCACCATCGTCGCACTGACCCCGGCAAATGACATGTTCAAATCAAAATGCATTGTCGCTGTTGTTGCTGCTAGGCCTCTGGACGGCTTGAAAAAGAATCCAGCGGAAATAGATATATTCTATACACGAGCTGAGGATGCAGAGTTTGACCCCCAACTGGAGTTTGTGATGATAGAAGCTAGAAGCGGCTATTATGAGGCATCGCGGCATACATTAACCGCGTTGCAGAAAATGGCAAGGGAAGGGTATGTAGATTCGTTCATATTTACGACTTCGTGTGCATTAAGAGTATATCTGATGATATTTTAAAAGCTTCCCCTTCTCGGAATACTTGTGTGGTCTTCAGCCTAATATTGAACCCCCCGAGTACATCAAGCTGAATCCGTTCATTGACATGTCTGCTATCGGTGAAGAGGGTGAAAAAGTGGATGTTCTTAACAACTGGCCACCTCCTCCTGAGTCTCTGGATTCTTCTCAGTGGAATGCGCTACGCCAAATTCTCACGAAAAGATTGGCTATCGTACAAGGTCCGCCGGGAACCGGCAAAACTCATGTCTCCGTCATTGCATTGAGGTTGCTCCTTGCAACCATACCCTTCACTGATCCACCCATTATCATCGCGGCTCAGACAAATCACGCACTGGACCAGTTGCTTCGCCATGTTGCGTTGTTCGAAATGAATTATGTTCGGCTTGGTGGAAGGAGCACGGATATGGACATAAAGAAGCGGACTATCTTCGAGTTAAGGAAAGCCAACCCTATTCCAACAATCCCAGGCGGGTTATTCGGTCCATCCAAGAAACGGCTAAAGGAGCTGGCCGAGAACATCTTCAAACTCCTCGAGCCGTTTGCCCCAGGCAACTCTAAGTCGCCGATACCGGCCGCACAACTGCTCAAATTGAATATCATTTCTCAATTGCAGTATGATTTGCTGGTCAAAGGGGCTGAGGGGTGGGTTCATGGGGGTGATCAGGTGGAACCTCTTTCTGCCTGGCTCGGAGATAGAAAAGTCAAATTCGAAGTAGTTTACCAAGCGAACAACTTTGGTTTTGTTGAGGATGACATCGATCTTGAATACGAGCAGCTCAAGGAACTGGAAATGGAACAAGGTCTTGATGAGGAAGACTCCGAATATTTGAGGGGTCCATATATGTCGTTAATGGAGCAAGTTAGAGGACACAGCCTTTCCGCAGCAGCAGCAGAGGCTTTGCGAGCCCGGTATTTAGAGTACGACGATCTCTGGAAAGTTCCTTCGCGCGACCGTGGGGGAGTTTATTCGATATTTCAAAAACTTGCGAAGGCAGCCATTCGAGCCTTGTTTCGTTCCTTTGCGAAGAGATACGAAATGGCCACTGAGAATCTTAAAACTGGGAAGTGGGAGTTAAATTCGACAATTATTCAATCTGCAAGGGTTGTGGGCATGACGACAACCGGCCTAAGCAAATATCGCGCCCTTATTTCGAGCGTAAAGCCAAAGATAATTATGATTGAAGAGGCAGCTGAGGTGATAGAAGCCCCCATTACCGCAGCATGTGTAAAGTCATTGGAACATCTTATCCTCATTGGGGACCATAAACAACTTCAGGGTAACTGCGCAGTTAAGGAGCTCGAAGGAGAGCCATTTTTCCTCCAGGTGTCATTGTTTGAACGACTTGTGCACAATGGAATCGACTTCAAAACCTTGACAAAGCAGCGGCGTATGGCCCCTGAAATCAGAAGGATTTTGGCGCCCATATATGACGATCTAGAGGACCATCCGTCAGTGGTGGCCAGACCAGCAGTTCCTGGAATGGGCGGGGTCAACTCATTCTTCTTCTGCCATGATTGGCCGGAGTCTTCTGATAGTCTGCTATCCAAGTATAATGATAGGGAAGCACGCATGATTGTCGGGTTTTTCATTTATCTCCACCTCAACGGAGTGCCTGTGCAAGACATAACCATTTTGACCTTTTACAACGGTCAACGAAAGAAAATTCTGAAAGCTTTAAGAGACAATAATATACTGCAGGGGCAGTATCTAAAGGTATCCACAGTCGATTCGTATCAAGGGGAGGAAAATGAAATTGTCCTGCTGTCCTTGGTCCGTAGTAATGAGAACTCTGGAAATATGGGATTCCTTGCTGTTGAAAACCGAGTGTGTGTAGCTCTGTCAAGGGCAAAACGGGGGTTTTATATTTTTGGAAACGCAGAGTTTCTTGCGGTGTCCAACCCGCTTTGGTGGGAGGTTGTTCAGATTGTCAATTGCGGCCCAAGGAGAATCGGATATCGCGTTCCAATTACCTGTGGCAACCACCAGGCTAAAACCTACATCGCGGAGCCAGATCACTGGTCGTTAACCAACGGAGGTTGTACTTTGAAGTGTGACCAGAAATTGAAGTGCGGTCATGACTGCCCGCTTCGCTGCCACGCGTGAGCACTCCCACCAACCCCGGGTCCCTTAGCCAATCTACTGACACTTATGTTTCATAGGGTATCGCATTCACAGGTGAAATGTCAGCAGCCATGCACCGATCTCCTCCCTTGTGGACACGGCTGTGTTGAAATTTGCGATTGCCCCTGCAAGTGCCAATACGGCGAATGCGCTGTGCTGAATGGGTGTCTCAGAGCTGGAGAAAATTCGTCATCACCAACTCGAGAGAATCCAGTTGTCACTCCAACTGGTACACGTACCGGCCCTCCAAGAGCCCCTGATGCACATGCAGACTTCGTCCAGAACTATCAGGCCTATTCTAACGGCGGAGCCAAACAGGACGACGCACGGCTTGCCTCTAAAGAACTGGCCACAATTGAGTGTGAAAATGTCAAGGCTCCTCCTCTCCTTCTTGGCAATGACGCCCCCGGCTTCGACAAATGTTCGCTCCCTATTCTGAAGGAGAATGCAGTTCTGCCAGTGAGATCCACGGGCCACCACCCACCGACGCGCCAGAAATACGTACAGTATTACTCCCCCGGGCGGCCATCATCGAATAGCCCGGATAAAAAGGTATAGTCCGAGCCGCATCTAAGAATACGAAATGTGTTGAAACCGGGGCGTTGTGCCTGTCTCGTAGGATGGATAGTTCACGTTCACGGGGGCGTTTGCGAAACTAATGATATTCATGGATGTGTTTTGCTCATGAGGAATTGTTCACACGGGTTAACACCAGCCAGCAAACTTAAAAGGGTGACTTTAAAAAGAGTTTTGAGTTGATTTCCAAGTGTTCCATTTCCCTTTCCACTTGCTTATCAATAACAGTTGGTACATCCGAGCAGAAAGCATACCTGTATTATCAGATAGAATGGGTAATGTAATCAAAGCCCGCCATGACTCTCGATTATGTAGTTTCAATAATAATAATCATTTCCGATTTCGTTAGTTTGGTTTCTCATCCCGTCCGCTCCTTCTGTTAAGCCCTTTAAATCCGAAAATATAATGATGGAAAGCCAAGGATATAAAGATGCATATAGATTGATAGACGGCAGATAAGCAGTAAGTAGATAGATAGCATTTACTTTTTGTATATGTACAGGTGTTCCTTTATCCGACTCGGGGCTATTTAATATATAAAACAGAAAGCCACCCAACCTTGCCTTGGCAGTAACTTACCAAACTCCATAAAAAACGTCGCAAAACCAAGGACCAACACAAAAGAAAAGAGAAAAACCGCTTAAATTTTCAAAACCAAGTCTCCTCGAGCTGAGTGGACTTGCTCGCTCACTCACTCATCATCAATTAGCCTCTTACTCTCCCACGACTTCCTAGCCCCTTCCATCAACGCCTCAAAATTTCCACTATTTTCACACATGGCCCTAAATATTCCACCATTCCTCTTAATAAGTTGCCACGGCCCGTCATACTCTACAACCTCCCCATGGTCCAGCACAAGCACCTTATCATAGTCGATGATTGTCTGCAGTCTGTGCGCGATAGTGATAATGGTGTTATCTTTCAGTTCGCGGAGGGTATCTTGGATCTTGGCGTCGGTGGCATAGTCTATGGATGCGGTCGCTTCGTCCATCATGAGCACTTTGGGCGATTTGAGGAGGGCGCGTGCTAGGCAGAGGAGCTGGCGTTGACCCTGGGATAGGTTCGAGCCAGATTCGGAGATTGGTGAATAGATGTTTAGGAAAATGTTTTTGTTGTCGGGGAAGCGAGAGGTGAGGTCTGGGTCGCTGGAGTTGCTGTTGTTATCCACATTGGGGTATGCTGGAGTATTGGAGCCCGAGACAGAGGCGGATGTTGAGCTGCCAATTAGATGGACGCGGCGGAGCGCAGTGAAGATTTGCTCGTTGGTTAGTAGATTGAAGGGATCGAGGTTGCTACGGATTGTTCCAGTGAAGAGGGTGGGATCTTGAGGGACAATTGTGATTGCTTCACGGAGGTCCCTTAGACCAATTTGACCAATGTCGACACCATCAAGGAGGATCCTGCCACTTTCCGCTTCGAGACCGCGAAATAAAGCCAGGGCAAGCGAACTCTTCCCAGCGCCTGTTCTGCCAACGATCCCAACACGTTCGCCAGGCTGCACTGAAAAGGTCACGTTCTTTAAAACTAGATCGAGATCGGGGCGGTAGCGGGTAGAATAATTATCAAACTGCAATGCACCGTGTGTTGGCCAGTCCGCTGGAGGACGACGGTCAGGAATAACTGCTTCAGCCTCTTGCTCAACCTGCATATACTCCTCAATCCGCTCGACAGAATTCATATTTTGCTGGTTCTGCGCGTACAGCCGCACTAACCAGAGGACGTTCTCAGTGAAGGTTACTGCATATGTCAACGCCAGGCCCGCCGCACCAGCATCAATTTGGCCAACGCTCATGACAATTACCGCTGCAGTAAAGAACGACACTAGCGCACCGGTGATATCGACGCGGAACGCCAACCATCGATTGCTCCCCCACAGATATAGGTATGGTCGATTGTAGGTATTGATTAAGACATGGTTATCGTGGATGAAGCGCGCACCGTCTCCATAGGCACGAATGGTGACGATACCAGATAATGTTTCTCCAAATTGCTGATAGAGAGGGCTCCTTTGAATAGATTCCAACCGCTTAAGATCACGAGATGAATTCAAATAAATGGCACCTAGCGTAAAGTAAATGGCGGTAATGAACACGGCAGCGATCAGGAACTTGGGAGTGATAACCGAAATAAGGATAACAATCAGAATAACGGAGGCTAAGCAGTGGAGCATTCCTATTGCGGTGGCTGCTACTTCCTGGTCGACTGCCTCAAGGTCCTTGGAGAATCTATTCATCAGTCGGCCTAGCGGCGTGGAGTCAAAGAACTTAAACTTCGCATGGGTCACGGCGTTTAGCAATCGCTTGTGGATCCTCCACGATGCATGCAGTGAACCCCCGAAGAGAATCAATTCCCTCACAAGTACTGTAAAGATATAAGCGAATGCCAATACTGCATATACCCCCAAATAGTAATATGGATTTACATCGTCGCGGATGGGGCTGTCGTTATCTGTAAACTGCATCTCAGGAGCTCTCCACGAGAACGAGCGGGGAATATCCGCAGTGACCAGCGTTGGAAGTCTGAAGTTAGACAAAGCAGCTTTGTTTCCTACGTCGCTTATGGAGACCTTCTTCATTGGGTACGCGTTTGCCCATTCTCGAATCCAGATATTAGTGGCTAATGATCCTACTTGCTGTGCGCCAAAGGCTAGAAGGGCGAAAAACCAGAAATACCACGGACCCATGGCCCGAAGATACATGATAATTGTGGAGAACTTGACGCTGCCAACAATCTTTTCTTCCCTGAGAGGAACGGCGACAGCCGGGCCCTTTTTCTTGTTATACCTTACATCGGCTCCGTTAGCAGCTCCGTTGGTGGTTCCATTAGCAGAGGTTGTCCCGTTTTCCCAGCCAGTTTTCACTGTCTCAATGCTTGATAGAGAGTGCGTTCGAGATTTCGATGAGACAGAAGCAGGTCGGGATTGAAGAATTTCATCGCCAAGAATTCCAGAAGCAACGACCTCCTGTGTCGTTCCCTGTGCTGTAATTCTACCGTTATCAAGAACGACGAGGAATGCGGCGTTGGGAACGACAAGCGATATATTGTGTGAGACAAGGATGCAGGTACGGTTTTGCATCAAGGGGCCCATAATGGCCTCCCTAAAAATGTGCTTTGCTGTGTGTGAGTCGACCGCACTAAGACAGTCATCGAGCAACAGATGTCGGGCTTTGCTGTACATGCCACGAGCCAAGGATATCCGTTGTTTCTGTCCGCCAGAAAGACTTATGCCTTTCTCCCCCACCAGGGTTTGATCGCCAGCATCTAAGATTTCCAGATCTCTACCCAAGCCACAGGCCTTTATTACAGCCTCATACCGACCTTGATCAAATGGCGACGCGAACAGGATGTTATCCTTGATCGTGGCATTGACTAACCATGCTTCCTGCGCACAGTAAGCAACGCTGTCAGTAAGACCTGTTGCCGGGTCAACGCGCAAATCCGCTCGATCACTCGTTCCACCAGGGAGAAACACTGATCCTTTGAGGAGCGTCATCTCTCCCAAAAGTGCCATTAGCAATGACGTTTTCCCTGAACCTGTCGGTCCGGCAATAACGTTGAGTTGGCCAATGCGAAACGAAACATCCATGTTGATGAGACAGAATGCTTCGCCAGAGTCGTTACCCTGCGAGCATAATGGCCCCGTCGTGGAGCTTGGGAGGGAAGGTCCCCACGAAAGGGTGGCATTTTCCAAAGCGATTCTAGGGGCTGATTCCGAATGCTTGTCCGAGCGCAACTGAGTATATTTTTCGGTTTCCTCCTCGTTCAAGAAATTTTCCACGCGGTCGATGGAGGCCTTGGATTCCTGGACATGAGCGATCATGTCTGCCAACTGGTCCAAAGGTATTCGGAGGAGCGAGAAAGTGGATAAAGCAGGGAATGCTACTGAAGGAACCAGCTTCTTGCCTTCAACTATGGTGTACAGGAAAAATGAAATCAGCGTGATCAGTATCGGCGTTCCATACCAAACTGTGGCGGCACAGGCCCACAGCATATATCGCCGACGGAGATTCTTCAACTCAGCCTTCCGCTTCTCGTTAACTATATCTTCAAACCTCTGTTCCCATGCAAAATACTTGATGATACGTATGTTTTGAAGGACCTCATTGGTCGAGTGAATACGGGCATCAGTTCCCGCGAGAATCTCGTGTTGAAGCACCCTGAACCGCGATGCGATATAAAGATTCAGCGGTAACATAAGAGTCATTACGCCGATTCCAGCCAAGGAACTAAAGCCTAGAATTTTGTATAAGATGTAAATGGCAATAGCCGTCTGCACCGGGAAACTTGCCCAGAGGTAGTGCAGGTATGCGCAGATTTCACTAACTTTGAAGGAATCAATTGCCATCAAATTGATAATTTTACCGATATTGGCTTGTGCGTCTGGTTCGCCCGGTTTTGGTTGCTCACTACTTTCGGTGTTAGCGTCTGCCGGCTTATTATTCCAACCCAACGAGAATATTTTCTTCTTTTTCGTCAGCTTCTGAGATTTTTCCTCGTCTTTCGAGGTTTTCGTAATTGCACCAGCTTTACGCCGTAACGCCTTGGCATATAGCTCGCCGATGATGATGGCGCGCAACTTAACACTCAACTTGCGTCCTCTCCAAAGTGCTTGGCCATCTGCAACACCTTGAACGGTCGCACAGACAAATAAGAGACTGACGTAGAGCCAAGCAGCATTCTTAGGAGTGTTCTCAGGATCTTGAAGGTATTCCAAAATGAGTTTGAGCAGCCAAGTCGGCATAAAGGAAAAGAAACTGGAGAAGATGGTCCATGCTCCCTGGATGAGAAGCGTACGATCAAAATAACGCAGTAGGCTCCAAGCTAGAGAAGAAGTTCGTCTAGCCTGGCGGAAATCCGCGAGAACAGCAGCAGCTTGGTAGCTTGGGAGCAGATTCCAGACATCCGGCATCTCAAGGGATTTCCGAAAACCTTGCCAGACTAACGGATCTAGCCATGCAAATGAAGCCAAGGCTAGCAGACTCGCAAATTGCTCTCGAGGCGGGGGGATTCCATCTTCGTGCCGAACGAGGAGGGTCTGGTTTCCCTTGCGGGTTGTGATAGTCAAGAGAAAAAGGAAGGAGGATAGCAAGAAGTCGACGATCGTCAGAGTATGATTCGGGGTTGGGTGGATCAAGACGGATCGAAATACCATGACGGTGCATAACCATTGAAACGAATATAATGACGCAGTGTGATTCCATAACTTCGGTATGGTACAGCGTTCGGATGTCGAGAGGACCAACCTGGCAATCACCAGCATCAACATATAGGCCCACGAAATCAACCTTCCAATTGTTGGGCTCGTTTCATTCAAAGCTCGCGAAGGTGTTGCGAGGCTCTTGACGGAAACTCCCAGTTCCCCGACAAGCGCCACAATCTCCAATATGGTTACAACATTCTTCCACCGCGGCCAGTTCCGCTCAATGGTTATAGGTGTTGTAAGGCTAAGGGCCTTATGTAGCATCAAATCGCTCTCCGCATCCTCAACATCCTCTCCATCATTCTCATCTTCTATATCATTGTACTCAACAACGGTGGTCGGAATGGGTTTGTAACCATGGCGGGCCCAAGGGAGACGAACATTATGCCGGAGGACGTGGGAAACTATCAATAATAGTGACAAAGCACATGCCGTAAGCGGGAATATAAATTTAAGAAACCTGTTTGAGTAAGGATGAGAACATCAGCAAGCAGAATACAAAAATGGAATGCGAAAGAGTTTTGGGAAACAGACCTCTGCTGAAAACACAGGCTAAGGTCATCAACGACCCAGACGGGACCTTCACAGCCCTGACGCATGGCGTATATAAAAACCCAACTCCAATCAAGCGGGGCAGTCCCGAGAATGACGGAGACAAAGGAGGGAAAAAAAAAAGGGGAGGGGGGGGGGGCAATAAAAAGCTTCAAATCAGTGAAAAAAATGCTATACAGAGACGAACGAGAAGTGAAGTAGCAATTTTCTCAGCCAGCGGATGGCGAACAATGAATCAGGAAATGGAGTCTAATTGAGAAGACATGACTGAGGAATAGTACCAGCTCCCAATGAGTAACTCTCCGAGATGAGCGTGGCGGAAAATCGGGCGCATGAAAAGAGATGAGGAGAGATCAGAGGTAGAGGAAGCTTCGACGTCGTAGACAATGGACGGTTACAATGCCGCTTACTCCACAAGACCCGAGTCAGCTTGACTAAGCGTAGCAAGCCGTGGAGTAGAGGGAAATGAAAGAGAGAGTACAGTCAACGGGGTCGACAACCGTGGAGGGCTAGTACAAGGTAGGGTTTTTGGTAGTTGAATTAGCGAGAGTTGTAGAAAAAGGTTGGATGGAGTGAGTCTTGGTTATTCCGGTCACGTTCCGAAGCTCGCCCGCCAGGAAATCAGAGCATCGAGATTCCGCCGCTGACACAGTTATGTCATCCACGTTAACCAGGTAACTAGTTAACTAGTTAACCAGCTAGTTGATCAAACGTTGAAACAACGGTCATTCACCATAAGAATGTCTCCCGCACCACAGGGAACGCTAAACTATGCACTGTAGGCATGAGACTGACTTGGGAATAATAGCACACATCCCCCGCGACTAATTGAATCCTCGCTGACTTGCCCATCCATGTCCTGCACGTGGCCCTTGAAAAACAAATATAGATGGGCGTTCGGGTTACTGTTTGGATCCCATAAGATGGCTACCCCGTAGTTAAAGTGAAATCAGGCTGCGCCCTCCGTTCCTTTCTATGCAGGCCTGTACTTCTAGATCCAACACAAGGCAGACAAATAAGCAAAAAGGAGGGAAGGTCATTTAGCCAGCAGCCAACAGTGTAGCTTAAGCCTGACAGCAAGCCGTTCGAGTGCCATGTATCCCATCTGCAAGGATAGCACGGAGAGGTACCTGGTCAGCTGTCCCCCACCATTGTCAATATTTATTTACATAACCAACGAACGAACCTCGATGTTGATCATCTCGCCGCATCTCGCCGCAGCTGTTCCACCAACACTTCCAACGCCTCACTCTGTAACCTCACTCTGATAAAGAAAAGAAGAGAGATATAATGACTACTTTGGATCTGCTATAGTCCCCTTTACTCACCTCTCTTCATTATTACCCGCCCAACACCCTCAACTCACTTCTCTCCCCCCTCGGACCCTTCCGCTGCGCCAAAAATCCCCCTCTTCCCCGAATCCACGCGGTGTCCACTTTATACAAGTACAGGTCTTAAATCATCATGGCGCAAAGGATCTTGATGAACGAGTTTAAAACCCTTGCTAGTGAAAAATGGGTGCATATTGAGGTTGGTCCTCATTCCCCCGAGTCCTTTCTTCCACCGCCTGGCCAAAAAGGCGGCATCCTCTCCCGCAACCCCATTCGGTTACAGCAAAGGGATGGAAGTAGATAAGGTATACGAAAAGTCGTCAACTAAGTAAATTTGAATTTATAGCTCAACAACGATGACATTTTCCACTGGAATATTGCTCTCATCGTCCTGAACCCCGACTCACTCTATTACGGTGGCTACTTCAAAGCCACCATGACTTTCCCGCAAAACTATCCTTATTCACCACCAGGTATGTCATGCTGAAGCATAATAAATATAACCCTGAAACGGCCCTGTCACATGTCTTACCAAAAAGGCAACCCTGATAAACGCCCCCATCCTATTCTGAGATAATGAGGGGGAAAAAACAGAACAGAAATTACCCCTCAGATACGGACTAGAATAAGCCCAACTCCTATCTCTACAGACCACTAAAGAAAACTCATCCCCGAAACAAAACACAGGCTTCAAATTCACACGCCCCCTCTTCCACCCCAACATCTACCAAGACGGCCGCCTCTGCATCTCCATCCTCCATTCTCCCGGCGAAGACGAACTGTCCGGCGAGACCGCTGCCGAACGCTGGTCCCCGGCTCAGCGCGTGGAATCCGTCCTAATATCCATCCTCTCCCTCCTCGACGACGCAGAGGTCTCCTCGCCAGCCAATGTAGACGCGGGCGTCATGCTCCGCAAGGACCCGGAGGCGTATAAGCGGACGGTGCTGGCGGATGTAGAGAAGAGCAAACAGGACATTCCAGCGGGCTTTGTGATGCCGACGCATGAATCCACGGCGATGGGCAAGAAGGAAGGGCTCGGGGCCGGCGCGGGGCCGGATGCGCTGGCCACGATGGATGATGAGGATTTTTGGGTTGATAGTGATGTGGATGATGATGATGATATGTTTGGGGGAAGTGATTCGGATAATGAGCTTGTGATGGATGACGATGACGATGATGACGACGACGACGACGATGATGATCATGGCCATCAGGATACCAGGAGTTAAGGGAAACTGGGGAGGAGAGGGACCTGACTTCTTCCTCCCTGCCTCTCTTTTACTCTCTACATCCATCACCTTCTTATCCTCCTGTTTTCTCCTGCTTGGTTCCCTTACATCCCCATTTATTTTCCTTGTTTCTTTTCTCCAAGCATATGCATAGCGGAATTAGCCTTCCTTTTCTCACTTTATTTTATATCATTTATTTCCCTTGCGTCCTTGCATTTGGTGTTTAAAGCGACCCGGCGCGAATCTCCCCAGTGGTTCCATTGCTTCTCCTCTCTCTCTCTTTTTTCTTATATTTTTCTATTCTTTTAAGTATTACCACTTCTGACTGGTGCATTTGCAGCAAGCTCCAAGGCTCCCTTTTCTATCGAAGGACTTGGGATTGGGATTGGGATTGGGATTGGAGGTTGGAAAGGAGTTTAGTTCTTTCAATTAGCTGTTATATTTCCCCCCTCCCCTTTCTTCTTCTTTTAGTTGACCGCCTGCTCTCAGTTAAAGAATAGATTTCCTTTGTTATTATTTGTCATTATTTTCAACCCTTGTCAGGCAGTATCAAATTTCTCCCTCTTTGTTTCTGTTGCCCCTTTGCAATACAAGTACGGTCTTTTTTTTTCTTTTTCTTTTGTTTTTGTAAATAAGGGGAAGAGAAGAACAGAAAAGTTGAAAGGGAAACACCATGAAATTTTCTTGGATGGTCTTCCTCTGTCAATATTCGATACAACTAGCTAAAGGTTATACGATCCTGGCGTTTTAACAAGCTAAGCAACTTATATGAGCAGCCAATCAGATATGATGTATTTAGCCATTGTTTCTCTACCAATCAGTGCTGCTGAAACCTGGGAAGATTTTGCTTGGTCATTTCACTCAGACTGTGTATCTTGTATGTATCTCAACTGAGAGAATCAGATCATTTTTACTTATTTTTTGATCATTTTGCATCATTATTTTGGCCATTCTATAGAAAAATCTTTTCATATTATTGACTTCTATCTACAGAGAAATTGAACTGTTTTTGATCATTCTATAAAGAGATTTGTTTTGCACGGAGTACTTCTCGCGCTGCCAAGACTTCCACCCGCGTAACTGAGCCTCTAACCTGAGCCGACATCTTGGCGTAAAGCCACCAAATGGAAATTCATCATGTGACACGCAGCTGACTAACTGCCACCTTGACATCATCGGTTGCCCTTTCCGCCCGCCGCGGATGCAACAAGCTTTTATTTTACTTCGATCTGTCCACTGCAACTCCATCCGTTCATTCCCTTCCATCGCTCGAACTCACTCATTCCCTCTCTCTCAGCCCGTACATCTCCTGCTGGTGACTCGCCTACCATGGCAACAAATTCAAAATATACGCCCGCACCACAGCGGGACTCGCTAGACTCGCGCCCGTATACCCAGAGCCCTCCATCGTACCAGGCAACATCCGGCTCAACGGGTGGCCTTCTCGACGGCCATCCCCGCTACGAAGATGATAACGTCCCTGATGATTTCAAGGTTCGTGGTATCCCGCTTTGTTCTGGAGAACCGCCCTGTCCAATGTCCAGTTGAGATAATGTCTGGTTGCTGACCCCTCGTTGGTGGTGCCGTTGTGCAGTTTGGAAACTCTGTCGCAGAAACAACTCTTCCCATCCGGATGCAATTCATCCGCAAGGTCTACTTTATCTTGTAAGCCTCATCATTTCTTCTCCACCCCGATCCGATATGGCCTCTCGCCTGCCTGTGCTTTAAAGCTTCCTCTCATTGGCCTTATCCAGATACAGATATTGTTATATACGATGTTCTTCATGCTGAATACTAAAATCAATCCAACTTTAGATCTCTCCAGATCCTCTTCACCACAGTCGTAAGCTGTGTTTCCTTCGTCAGTGACAGCTACCGCAGCTGGATCCAGTCACATTCTTGGCTGGTGCTCGTCTCCGCCGTCAGCGCTCTGGTATTCATGGGCCTTACCTACTGGAAACGAAAGAGCTACCCCACCAACCTCATCTTCCTCAGCATCTTCACGGCCCTTGAAGCCTACGCCATCAGCGTCGTGACCTCTTTCTACGATGCCCGTGTCGTCCTCCTGGCTCTCATTTTGACCCAAGGCATCTTCGTCGCACTAACTCTTTTCGCCTGCCAAACCAAGTATGACTTCACAAGCTGGGTCCCGTATCTCTTCGGCGGGCTTTGGTTCCTGATCCTTTTCGGCTTCGTAGCCGCCTTCATGGGGCCGAGCAGTAAAGTTGAGCTGGTGTACGGTGCGGTGACAGCACTCCTGTTCAGCGCTTATGTCCTGGTGGATACCCAACTGATCATGCGCCACTACCATGTTGAGGAGGAGATTGCCGCCGCCATTTCCCTGTACCTGGATATTGTAAACTTGTTCCTCGCCATCCTGCGGATCCTGAATAGTCAAAGTAGTGACTGAGTTGAAAAATTTCGATGGGATCTGTGAAGGCTAATTCTTTCATTTGTACCGCTGTATGTAGCCGTATTTCACTTTCGTGGACAGGGAGATGTAGTTAAGAGTTAAGAGTTTCAACGAGCAGGACTAAATTGCCTCTATCTCTCTTGGACGGGAAATTTTGTACGAATTTTTGTTTAGCTTTTCTTTTTCTTTTCTTTTCCTTTTTTTTCCCCAAGCTCTTCTATCCATTCGAATATGAGCTTTTCGCGCATTCCGTCTCGACTCAAATCCATGTAAGAGAGAAGTAACCCTATTTTCACGTATACCATTTCCCCTCCTTTCTTTTAGGATCTCCAAGATGAATAAAGTCCTCCGCTATGATTGTAAAAGCCATTATTTCCTTTGTGTATATCCTGGACAAAACGTACGAATGGTGAATATAATACCACTGTGCGCGGGGGTCCAAGACAACCTGCGGAAATGGGTTTTTATATTGTGTTATATGAATGAAGATGTTGGAGGCCAAAGTGAATGCAATTGTAGAAAGTAAAAGGCGATGATATATACAGGTATGGCACACAAAATGATAATAAAAACGAAAACAATGGAGATGAAAGATGAGTACAGAGAGGGAATAATAGAAAAGGGAAAAAAGTTATAAAAAAAAAAAAGGAATCGAAGAGCAAAGATCGTAAAGTACTCCAACGCGCAAAAGACGTTCTCTGGGCGAGAGAAAAAACGTATGATATAATGGGAAAAAACAAGGGTAAAATACTAGAATAAAAGAAATAGAGCAGTGGGTTGCGGCGACGCTAGGTGCAGGAGTAAAAAGGGAGGAAAAGAAAAACAAAAGAGGAAACGCCAGCGTTTGGAACCGGAACGCCAATATTATGTACGACTCCTCAAAAGCGAGATACGGGTTGCTCGACTCGACTCCGGGAATAAGCCATTTATCCAGGAAGAAGAAAATTTATGTGTATGTATATGTATATAGAAGCAAAAGAGGCGGAAGAGAACGGGTGACGGATGAAAAGGAAAAAAAAAAAAAAGAATCCCATTCCGAAGGAGAAAAAAGACTTTTTCTACTCACCCGACTCCCCAAATTCGCTAATGCCTGGTCGAGTAACGGAGACATGTTGGCATAGATCTGGTAGATATTATGGAGAAAAGGATATGGAAAAGGGTTTTCGTTTTGGGATGTGTGTGTGTGTGTGATTTTGTGTCTATGCTGCAGGCGGAAAAGCAGGGGACAACGACGGACCTCAGAGCACTTGGGTTGAAATAATACATTTGAGGCTTTAGAGGAGAGATATCTGTTTTATCTACGTCATCGCGCGTGCGCGTGCGTGTTGTACTTGTGCGGGAATGGTTGTTATTGGTGTGATGCAAGGAAGAACGTATTGGTAACCAGACAAACAACCATGACGATAACACCGTATATTGCGAGGCCCAGGCTCAGCTTGCGTAGCAGAGCCTTTCGCCACTGTCGTGTGTTTCGTTTAAGGATTCCACTAGCTGAGAGGAGGCCACTGGCGCTCAGAAGTCCCTCGCTCTCTGCGCCAACATCTGACATATCGTCAGCGGCCGCTTCGTCATTTTCCTTCATCAATTGTTGATGTATGGCAGACTCTGGAGAGGAGATTTTATAATAGAAAAGGCCAGGAAGGATGAAACTAATGCTGGTGCTGCCGGTGCTCCCTACGTAGGCCAGCACGGCTTCAAGGGATGACACAGTCATGGCAACCATGTAGCTTAGTATTATAATGATAGTGGTGATTATTGCAAACCGAGCATCTCCCATGGAATCCTGAAGTCGATTTGGTCGCGGAAGAAGCGGGTTGCGGTTAGGTGAGGAGTTGGCAGTGTTGGATGAGGATTTGGGACTCCAGCGCCATTTAAGAACGGCGTCTAGCGATGCTCTGCAAGGATGAACCTGAAGCGGGTATGAAAACATTACGAGGACGACGATTGCAGCACGGGCTACTGTTGCTGATAATGACGGCGCATACATGCCAACAATATTCCCCCCAATATTGTTTCCAAAGGAAAGATAGCCTGTGATTGCGACAAGGATATATGTAAAGGCAGCGCTACCAATGCTGGAGGCAATAACGGTGGTTGTTCTGAAGTGTGTGCTGTTGGAAATTTCATTGAGAATTGAGAACATCTGACATACGGGTGTTAGCAATGAGATGCAAGAGGTTGCAGTCGAGACCGGGTGTTAATGGAGCAATACATTTTGATGACAGGTGTATGCGAACACCATAACCGGAAACGCACTCAGGGCAGACACTGCGCTTTGCCATTTAAAATAGTTAACCGGGCCACGTTCCGCCATTGTGTCTCCTTCGATAAAGTGAGCCACGACTAAGACGAGCAGGTAGCCAATAGAGGTTAAAGCTATGATGCTCGTGTATTTCAACGAATCCAGCCGTCTCAAGAACGAAAGCGGAATTACAACCAACCTAGAAGTAGAAAGTTAGCACAATGACCCAAGCAGACTGTCCTAGGACAAAGAACATGGTAAAAATATGAGATTACACACATAAACGCCGTAACCCAGAAATGACGATCAAGTAAAAAGTCCATCCCAGTAGCGTCCGCACCGAAACCTTGGACTACCCCAGGCATAAGATCTCCTATGATAATCAGGTAGCTTACGCCGACGCCGAAGCATTTTATGGCGATTGCTGCATCGAATATAACGGCAGCATTCGGATATGTGATCTGCGATAGGGCGAAGAAGGATGCGGCTCCTTTATCCAAATATTGGGCACATAGCGACTGTAGATACAGACCAAAACCGGCTGCGATTCCCGACCATAGGATAATAAGGACTCCGAGGGTGATTCCCATCCGTGCGAGGGCGCTGGGCATTGCAAGAGCACCAGCACCAACAACTACTACGGCATTAAAATCCAATCTTCCGGGAAACGATTTGGGCTGTTCGACTCGTTTAAACTCACTGGTATTGAGCAGGTTGATAACGCTGCTTAGCCAGGTCGCCTGTCCACCCAGCCCAGACTCTCTTTTTCCCGCATGGTGTCGTCTGCCTCTATCGTAGGTTAGCCATCCATATCGTCATCTCCGCTATTTCTTCTAGAGAGTTAATCGGCACAGTGCTGCCACCCCAGAACTCAAGGGTATCTCCGTACCGGCGAGACCAACTGTGAGAGCCACTACTACTCGAAGCAACTCCCTCCGCAGATGCTTCGGTATCCATATTATTAATCAAAAGCGCACAGCCAACGGATAGACTTCCGTGGTGGATTGATTATCTGCGTTCTCAGGACTTATCGATGGAACCTGTGGCGGTCTCGAGGCATCGCAGGACAGTCGCAGAGAAAAAGAGGGAGGAAATGAGGCTCTGTTATAGCCAAAAATCAGGCATAAATCGTTCCTAACTATATTGAGATAAAAAGCTGGTGTTTTAGGTGACAAAAAAAAAATATTTGAGTGATTGATAAGGGCGAAAGTTCGGCCATCATGAGTTTTTGAGCGGATTTCACGACATCGAGCTTGGCGCGCAGTCTCGGCAAAAGCCAAGTTAGTTCTTAGGTCAAAAACTAATCAGTGTTTCTGATCACAACAGGGGACATCTTACAAATGGCCAGCAAGATTTAACTATGCCAAATAGCAAATGTATTGACTAGAGCTCTTTTTGGCTTCGTTTCGCTTACTGTGTGCAATTATTGAGCTTCTCATATATTCCGTTCCAATTTATTTGAATGGGCGGATTAAACTTATGGTGCAAATAACATCTTATCCCCTTCCTTGAGAACTGACGTATTGCAGCATTCTGATAGCAGTTAAGCTACTGTAATTATCGAAAAAGCAAAAGATGGTTGGATATGCCCAATATTAGCACAGGATTCCCAGATAGCAGATGCAAGAATTTTTTCTCCAGTTGCTTCAAGCTCATCATCGAACTCAAGATCGTTGCATTCTGACACAGGAAGAATAGTTTCGGATACCTTTATAATCGTTCCGCCTCAACTGGAATCATTTTCCCGGATACCTTCGAATCGCTAAGCATCATCTATCTCATTTACCTGGGCGCGACACCTCCCACTGGAAATCAAAACCCTTCTGATGTGGCTGATCACATAGCTGATTTCTTCATCAAAAATCTCTTCAGACAGCTGAAGAAAGTGCTTCAGAGCTGAGAAGAATCAACCTTTGAATTCAAACCCCGAGGCAATGCTGAGCAATGCTATCAATGGATATGTGAAGAGCTGTGCAATCATTTCAAACCACACCAAAAGCTGAAAATTTCCAGAGGTAACACACTTAAAGAGAGTATATGGCAGAAAGCATGTGCTGAATGCAGTGTGAACCTTGAGCTCACAGTGAATTGTTGTTGAGCACCTGCACTGTCTTATCAACATCTCCTGAAGAATGATGGGTTGTCATCATAGTAGATAAAGAAGATTCAACACTTCATTGACAATCATAGATACTGGCAGTCTGAGACAGAGCCTTTTCAACAACATGTAGTTCTTCACAAACACGAAATGCAAGAGGTTCTTCACAAGAAGAACAAAGTATAGCATCAACACAAGTTACAGAATCAAGATCTAACTGACAAACACAGCAGCCAATCAACAAGACACAACTGACTGATGATGTAGTGAGCAGAACAAGATCCCAAAGCACACCAGCTGCTGAGGTGAAATGCAAGCTGACTGCTCCATTCCTGGGCTGGCCATCACCCCACAGCCACTGGTGATCACTGTGTGATCACTGGTTGTGTTGTTTTGGCTCAGTAACCTTGTCTGCCACTGTCTTGTTGTGTATCATTTTCTGCCTTTATTCTCTTGTCAGGTTCCAGTTTTATCTCATTTTGTGATTTTTGATATTCAGAAATGAAGACACTTTCATTCACTGATTTTTCTGTTTGTTTTCCTATTGTTCCTGATCAACAAGTTACTTAAGGGATGTCCTTGTAAATTTTGGAAAACAATACTGTTTTAAAACTGTAGTAATATTTGATATTCTTCTGTAGATATTATATATCAAAATCGTAACCTCTTAATTTTTTAATGCTTGCTACGTACTTTTCCACAGCTTCAGATCTATTGGCAATTCTTTCGATTCTATTCTGAGACTAATGATGATCTACCTGCTAAGCGATCAAATCCGACTCTTTCTCCCGAAGAATTGAATTGCCAAAGGGGTCAGTTTGTGCCCGGTGCTAATATATATATAGAAACTACGTCGGATAAGCAGTACAAGAAGTGGGGGATCATCTTCATAGTGCTCACCATGTCAGAATATGGGAGTTAGGAATTTGGAAGAACACTGATGGAGGCGAACCCTCAGGGAACGTGCATGTCGGCGTCCCTGGTGAAGCGAGCCCATTGGGGAAGGTCACGATTTTGAGCTAATAGCCACCATAGTAAGGTCCCCTAGGGGTGCCACAACCCCAGTGGAAAATGCCACGAAATTATAAGTCCGTAAGAAGCCAACATGGTGCAGGATCTTCTCTTGCTAAGTTCCCTGGTGCCGCTTCCACGATAGCTGATGGGTCCGCGCGTCTTCGTGGAATATGACTTATCGAGCCAACTTGTTAGTGAGTCAATTGATGCTTGCTGCCTGCGAGCTAGAAGACACTCCAGCTTCCGGACTCTTTTCAGATCACTCAAAACTCAATCATGACGCATTGCGGGATGGCACAATGCTGGGTGAAAGTGTTGAGGATCACGGCGGTTGAAACGCATGTAAGAGATCTGAAACTCATACATGTATCTGTATATAATATATATCTGCCTCTGCTAGAACGCATGCAGAAAAACACAACAAGCATGAACACATGACCATCGCTTAATATCAACAGAAAGGCCATAAATAATGACGATCCTTGAGGAGTGCTCCAGCTTGAGCTGAAAGACCAGAATACTTGGAACGCCTCATTGATTCTTAAACAATTGGGTTCCCAGGCCGTTTTGTGCCTGCATGCCCCTGCTGTAGCATCAAAGTCCTCTGTGCAATTTCACAGACTTTTGTCCAATCCATTCCCCATTTATCTAGGAGAATCTCCATATACGCATCCACATCCGCTTGGACATCCACCTCTGTTCCCTCACTCTCACTCTGCTCATCTGAGTAAACCACCACCTCATAAAATGCAGCTAGTTCGCGGATGGTTCTGAGAGCTTCCTGCTGCTGCCGCCCTAGATATAAGGAACAATGTTAGGATAAGAGCTAAGAGATATATTAAAGTGGCAGGGTAAACATACTGTATGGTGTGCGATCGTTAGCTTCATCCTTTGCCTGCTGACCAAGGCGGTAGAGGCCTTTCATGTGTTTGGGAAATCTGGGATGGGATTGCCATTGAACAGTGTCGGGGCCGGTGGGCTTGAGAACTTTAACGAGATTGATGGGCTGATGCATTCGGCGAAGAGTGCTGTTTGTTCGTATTGCTCTCTCATTCTCAAGCATGACTTCCACTCTTTTGAACCCCGCATCCATCTTTGCCTCTACCTCTTGAAAACGCTTGTCCACATCTTGAAAACGCTTGTCCACATCTTGGAAACGCTTGTCCACATCTTGGAAACGCTTGTCCACATTTTGAAACCGCTCGTCCATCTTTGCCTCTACCTCTTGAAACCGCTCGTCCATCTTTGCCTCCACCTCTCGAAAACGCTGGTCCATCTTTGCCTCTACCTCTCGAAAACGCTCGTCCACATCTCGCCTCAACCCATTTATATGGTCTAAAATGGAGCCATTGTGGGTTTGAAGCTGACTTTGCATCTCCCGTCTTTGAACCTCGAATGTTCGTCCGAGGATAACTAGACTCTGATCAAAGTATGTCTGAGCATCATCGGTTGGAGGCGGGGTTCGCGCGGCGTCCCGAGCCAGTTCAGTCACAACTGTAGCGGACATGAACCTGCGAGCCATTCTTGTAGGCTGTATTGGTGATGCTGTGGGTGTTTTTGTTGGGGGTGTGGATCGGTTCGTCCCCTCTATCAGCATGGCGCTGGTGTGACAGAGCTCTTTTGCCCCAGTTACCTAACAAATCATCCACCAGTTGACTCAGCCTCACTTCTCCAAATTTGGAATAGTTCACATACTAAATCAAGAACGGACTGTTCTGAGACAAGAGAGACCTTATCCGTTGCTGAAACAAAATCTCGCTGAGAATAAACTGTTGGAGGGGTTGGATTGGGTGATTCGTCCCCTTTTATACCACCACGGCGCTGGTGGTGAATGAGCTCTTTTGCCCCAGTGGCGGTTTACGCATAAGACTTGGCAACACCCATAAATGACATTCTCTACGGATTTGACATGAAATAACGTTTTATTGACGTTGTCGAATGATGAATTGCCATAACTTTGACCGGGGACCCCGTTGGATAACGCTTGATGGTTCTCATAACTACTATCCAACTCTATAAGCCAGTCGGATCCGTTCTTGTACGGATGTATTGTTAGTTGTTATTATTTTTCGTTGTTCTTCTGTGAATATTTCCCTTGGCCTCTGGATGTAAGTAGGGTCTCTTTCCCGGTTGGCGGGAGTTCCTGGCTCCGATTTGGCCTCCGGGCTGGAAGATGTATACACAATCCCTCTGCCCTTAGCACCGGTTCGCATATCAGGGCCGATGGTCCTCCTGGATTGGGTATCGTTCGGAGAATTCTCTCCATCGCTCTCCAAGTCCACGACGATCGGTTGCTCTGCTGAAGGCGGTTAAAAGGCAGAGCTCTGGATACCATCCCATCAGAGACGAGAACCGGTATTGCCCAGAATGCAATTCCCCAAGTGATGAAATCTGTGATATGTGTTGTCAGGTTATCACTGGTGTTATCAAGAGCTACTAGATAGAAACTTACTTCTCTTTTCTTTTCCTCTTCTTTATACTTGTATGTAATGCACTTGCCTGTTCACTGAAATTGCTATCACTTGATCTGTTACAAGTTGGATCATTCTTCGCTCTTTGATTTAGAATAATCGCTTTTGAATCACAGAGAAAGGATAATGTGATCAAGTTCATCTGCTGCTCCACTTCCTCATCCTGCTAGTAATCACCCTCCAGCAAGTGTGCAACTGCATGGACTCTAATACATGTTCAAATTATTATCACATTCACAGCAAAAGAAAACTCATCACTTCTCATATCCTTCAGTTGAGCTGTAGGTTGCCTTGTCACTTTGTCACTTGTTTATCTGGTGTCTTTAAATGGCTAAAGATCTTCTAAAATGAGAACTTAACTATTGACTTTCTTTCTTCCATTTCCTCTTTTTGTCACCACAGCAGTGGGCCATTGTCGGGAAAAAGGACACCAAGATGCGGCTTTTACATAGTAGCTTGAACATGGCTTGATGTGCTGCTGCCGTGGGCATGCCAGACTACGTAAACCAATCAAATCACACTTTGGCTTCCTTCTGGTCTGGGCCATGAAGGCACAATTGGGTATGACCGTGACGAGCGACTTTACGCGTTTGACGGGATCACCTCTTGGCGTACTCTGGTGGCAACACACAATAACCATCCCACTTTGTCAATTGCAACGCTGTACACAGTCTCAATATCGTGTTTTGTGATAGTTATTCATTGCTGACGTGAAACCGGTTCTCCGGTACGAAGAAGCAGACTCGATTATAAGGCATTTCTTAATTTCAATCAGTTTTGACACAAGATTCGCCTAGAGGTATCTCGTCGATTGTGGAATGCGTTGAAATCTGCTTAAACCCGAGATTAACCTTCTTGGATAGACATGGCTATGTGGAAGTTCGCATCTCAAGTTGGTATTCGAACTGCGGTCCGAGCTGCCTCTACCTCACCTCAACCCACCAAAGTTGCGGGGGACATATCGTCCGTTTTTCCTAGCTTGAGATCAGACTATAAGCCAGAGCCCCTCCCAAAGCGGTTTGAAGACCTAAAGTTACGTCACTTCCTGCGGAATGGAAGTGCACTGAAGAAGAGTTGGGTTAGATTATTAGCCAGCCTTGAGCATGAAGTGGAGGAGATTAGGAAAGCTGGCAGTGACGTAAGTATAGCGTTGTTGGTGCTTGAGCTAGGATCCGATGGCGTGGGAAACCAACGCTGGACGTTCAGACGATGCGAGGGTTGACGCCACTTGCCAAAACCACAGGTTATACCATCAATTGATTTCTCAGATATTCTATCAGGCAAGGTATCGCCTGGTAAGCTAGCTGAGATTCGTAGGCGTGGATGTGCAATTGTAAGGGCAGTTATTCCGAAACCAGCGGCTCTCGACCTCAAGCAACAGGCAACTGAATATATCTCTGCCAATAAAAATAACGTGAAAGCATTTCCCCCTGACTCCCCCGCCGTTTATGAACTTTACTGGTCACCCTCACAAGTCGCAGCTAGGGCGCATCCCAATATCCTTCGGACCCAGTGCTTTCTGCAAGGAATTTGGTATTCTTCCGATCCCAAAACACAGCTCTCCACGACCTACCCTCTTTCCTACGCGGATCGATTTCGCATCAGAAATCCAGGCGATGCGAAGTTTGCCCTTGGCCCACATATCGATGGAGGATCGCTTGAAAGGTGGGAGGATCCTGAATATTCAAGTGTTTACCAGAAGATACTGGATGGTTTGTGGGAGGAGTATGACCCTTTTGATGCACGGCACCGCGTTCACGCGAAAATGGATCTTTACAATGGAGCAGGTGCCTGCTCCATGCTACGGTTCTTCCAAGGATGGCTGTCGATGTCCGACACGGGACCAGGAGAAGGAACCTTGCACGTATGCCCAATGTTAAAATCCAGTACCGCTTACACCATTCTCCGCCCATTCTTTGATGTCCAGACTTCGGAACCCCTGATGGATTCTTCATTCCCCGGCTCCGTTCCTGGAGCGTGTCAGGAATACTCGGACCTATCTCACCCGCACCTGAAGCTTTCCATTACCATGGTATCTGTACCCCGGGTTGAGCCAGGTGATTATGTTGCATGGCACTGCGATTGTCTCCATTCTGTTGACAATGAACATCGAGGTAAAGGTGATTCGAGTGTGTTGTATATTCCTGCAGCCCCGCTGTGCGAGATGAACGCAAGATATCTTCAGAAGCAGCGCCAAGCGGCCTTAATATATTCTCCACCGTGGGACTATCCAAATGCTGGCGGACCCGGTGAGTTTGGCTTTGCTGGAGCAGTGGATTGGTCGACATTGAGCCATGATGGTTTACAGGCCATGGGAATGGGTGATGCACCATGGCAGGTTCAGGGAGGTATGTCTCAAGGTGAGAGGGAAGCCATTGAGATCGGGAACAAAATTGTGTTTGAGAACAATTCATAGTTGTCCCTTTGGTTGATCACTCAATTGCTGTTAGCTCCTAGCTTAGTGCCCCATGTTGATTATTAGTGCTTCAGAACAAGCAGTTATCTATTGTATAACAAAAGAAAAGTTGTATTATAATGTAATTGCGAAATATAATTCTCCTTGGAATTTCCTAGCAGCTATTTTCAAGTCGCCAATAGAAACCAGCACAGTTTTTGCACTGATCGGTGGTCCAGCCCTCTTGGCCAATGAGTAGTTGTTATTCTAGAACGCAGGGAAGCTTGACTTCTTCATGCTGACAACTCAGCCTGCTAACTCTGACCACCTAATATCGCCCTCACTCCCCAACCTCACCCCTCCCCAATGATCGCCGCAACCCAGTTGAAATAATGCGGCTTCAAGCAGCCCTTATTCTGCTGGCCTCTGCCGTGCCCGCTTCCCTGGCAATTTTCGCAGACGAGGCCTACCACATAGATTACCACCACGCCTTACTAGGAACTCCCCAGGGACACTCGACTTTCTTCCACAAGCCCAGCACCTCCTCTGCTGCGTCGTTACTCTACACGCTATCTGAAAAATATGTCCTGGGTGCAGTGAACCCGAAGGATGGTGCGATTGTCTGGCGTCAGAACCTGGCAACAGCAGCGTCGGCGGATGATGGCCACCCATTGCCGTCGTTGCTAAGAGGTGTTGAAGGTGAGGATGCTGTGGTCAGTGCAATTGGCGGGAGGGTGGCTTCGTGGAGCGCATTGGACGGGAAGTTGGCCTGGGAGAATGAGTTCCATGATGGCCCGGTTGTCGGGTTGGAGACGCTTGTCCTTGATGAGTCCGTGGACCCGAAGCTGGCTGCGAAGGATTTAATCGTGCTTTTTGGCAAGACATCGGGCATTGTTAGACGGTTAGATGGGGCATCCGGAAATGTTAAATGGGAATACAAAGATGATAGGTGTGTTTAGTATTATTCAGGAGTACTGAGGTTTTCTCCGCCCGTCAAGATTATTTTGGATTCTGACTTATATTGGATCCTGACTAACTATTTTGTTTTCTCAAAGTGATAACTCCCCGTTCCAGGTGTCGACTTCACAAGCTGCTATTTACTATATTTCTTTACAACCTGCAACACGGAAGGGATATAAAATCAAAGTTACAGCGCTAGATTTGAACACGGGTCACCAAACGAACCACTATACCCTGAACTCTGAAGGCGAGGTTTCCTCTCCCGAATCTATCATTTTCGTTGGAGCAAATTCCAAATCTCCGTTGATTGTATGGGCGGATAGCACATGGAAGACCATAAAAATAAATGTGATTGGAACCAAGCACATCCATTCTCTTGATGTTGAAAACAACAGCGGCGAGGATATCCAGAATGTCGAATTCCACGCTCCTCGTGCCCTCAATGCGGAACCACATTTCCTAATCCACTATGCGACAAAATCCAAATCATGGGCAGAGGTATATCACACGGACATTAAATTGGGTGAAATATCCAGAGCTTACCAGCTTCCAATGGTTGCTGAAAGTTCGGTTTTCACTACGAGTAATAGGGATACCAACGTCTACTTTACTCGGGTTACGAAAACTGATATAAGTGTCGTCTCGTCTACCTCTCATGAAATCCTTGCTAGATGGACTCCTAGTGAAGCTGTAACTGAAAATGCACGCCACGCGGTCTCCGAAGTCGTTGCTCGTGGCTCTACCTATGCCGTTCGATTTGCCCAGGTTTTGGAGGCTGGCAACTGGATGCTGGTTCGAAACGGCGATATTGCATGGAGCAGACCAGAGATTTTGACCGAAGCCGTAGCAGTGTCCTGGGCTGACGTCAATGGTGGGGAGAAACTTGCTCAAGCACTGGAAGTAGAAGGCCATGAATCATTAGTGGGAGCATACGTTCACCGGTTGAAACGCCATGTGAAGGATCTGGAGGGTTTGCCTACATGGCTCCGCGGATTACCCGTCCGTATTCTATCGAGTTTCATGACGAGTGATGGTTCAGATCTCATCAGCTTTGGATTCAGGAAACTAGTGATTGTGGCCACCCGGAATGGTTACGTTCTGGCTATAGATCACGCGAATAAGGGCAAAATTTTGTGGAAGACCAAGGTCGCTGAATCCCGCGATGCTGACTGGAACGTGAAAGCTATCAATGTTGCTCATTATATTGCGACAGTCTATGTGGAAGATGGCAGCTTTGTCAAGGTCAATGTCTCTTCAGGAGAGATTATTGAACGTGGCAATCCGTCTGAACCCCTTGAATCTATCGTCCTGATACCCAGCGGGGGACATCAAGTTGCGGTCAGTGTCCAAGCTCGTGGTGTACCCGATTTATCCTCTGTGCCCCTGGACGGCAACACATTCATTGTAACACTAAATGGCGGTCGTGTCCTCGGTTGGAACTCCGCCAGCCCCAAGGTGCCCCTTTGGGAATTTTTACCTCCCAAAGGCCAGAAACTTATCAATGCTATAGCCCGCCCACCTCACGATCCGGTTGCATCAATTGGAAAAGTACTGGGAGATCGCTCTGTTCTCTACAAATATTTGAATCCAAACCTTGCTCTCCTCACGGCCGTTGGGGATTCGACAGCTGCCTTCTATCTTCTCGACGCTGTATCCGGACAAGTCCTTCACTCCATCACCCAAACCGGTGTCGACACCAGCCAACCAATTACCACAGCTCTGTCAGAAAACTGGTTCACTTACTCTCTCTGGGCCGATGTAACAGAAATTTCAGACTCAAAAGGCTACCAGCTCGTGATATCCGAACTGTATGAATCCCCCATCGCCAATGACCGCGGCCCACTAGGTGACGCCGCAAACTATTCGAGCATCCATTCAAACTCCGGTATTCCCCGACCCCACGTAATCTCTCAAGCCTACATAATCCCTGAACCCATCTCAAGCATGGCCGTCTCTCAGACCCGCCAAGGCATAACCACCAAACAATTACTATGCTCCCTGCCCGCTTCAAACGGCGTCATCGGTATCCCGCGTCAACTCCTAGACCCCCGGCGCCCAATTGGTCGCTCGCCAACGGCGAATGAGGCGGAGGAGGGCCTGACCCAATACGCAGCCTTCCTAGACTTTGACGGCAGGTGGTTTCTCACGCACTCGCGCGATGTCATTGGTATTCAGAATATTGAGTCGAGCCAGACGTTGCTAGAAAGCACCAGCCTTGTATTCGCCTATGGGTTGGATGTATTTGGCACACGGATCCATCCTAGTCAGGCATTCGATATTTTGGGCAAGGGCTTCTCTAAGATACAGTTGCTGTTGACTGTTATTGCGCTAGCTGTTGGCGTTGCGATGCTGGCTCCTCTGGTAAATTTCTCTCTTCCCCTGTTTGTGATTTTCCCACACCTGGTTGGGTTTGGTACTTGCAATCACTGTGAATGCTAACCAGCGAATCTTCTCGCTTATTTTCACAGGCCCGACGGAAACAAGTGGACTTGAAATGGAAGTCTTGAGAATAAAGACCAATAAATTCACACGGAACAATATGCGTGAAGCCCACTCAGCAAACCCAAAATATCCGCTTCTCAAATCCATCCTCTTTGATAGAGAGAATATTTGGCTGTATTTTATTTTATATATGGAAGTAAAAGGAGAAAGATAAAAGTTCCTTTACCGAAGTATTCTGATTTCATTTTATCCCCCTGTTTGCTATATTGCTTGTACATTTCGTCAATGAGGCATGCATCTCATCGGAAGCTCTAGAAATACATTTACTATCCATTTTTTACGTACATTATATATAACCCTTCTCACGGCCATTGTCCTCAAATTGAACTTCGTCTCAGAGTGAATTTCGTCGCACAAAGCACACTAGAGGATACCGCGATGACATGTGGATACACATCCTAGTTGTTTGCATCACAGTCTCCACACGGCCAAGGCGCTAACCTTTAGCTAGTTTTTGTCAGGGGCCGCAGCTCGACGATGGAAATTGCAAAATCGTTCTTCTGCTTTTGTTCAGATGTCGCCAGAAATCGTTCCAGCGCGATGTGGTATCTTCTCTATTTTGTGGTGGTGGCCAACTCTCTCGCTTTCGCTTTTCCCTCAGCGACAGTTCCCAATGACAGGCAAAACCCCCCGTTCGTAATCCCAGAACCTACCAAGCTACCCTTGGAAGATGGGCTTGCTCGGAGGCTTGTTCGTCGGGCCACCACCCAACAGGCCGAAGCCACGATCTGTGGTTACTATGCAGGTTCCAAACGTCAGATTCCCTCTCCAAAGAGTCCCAGTCAACAGCAAACGAGTTTGCGATTGAACCAAATAAACTAAATAAAAACGTATACAGAGTCCCGCTTAGCTTGTTACAATAGCAATGCCTGTGTCTTTCATTCTTCGAACGCCAATTTCCCCGCCATGGTGGGTTGCTGTCCGACTGTCTCCACCACCACGCCTTGCACTTTCATCAGCACTTGCTACGGTAGTTCTCAGTTTTCGGCAACCCCTTCCCTTCGCACCTATTCCAATGATCCGTTCGTGATGTTGTGCACTGGCAGCCAAGACCCGCACTGCCATACCAGGACGTGGCCTGGTCTCTCGATAGCGGATTACCAATGCACCTATTCAGGCACCTCCTCAGGGGCCGAGACAATGTTTACCATCGGCTCCCTGACCGATGTCAAGGACGAGAATGACCAGATTACGGAAACCATGTCGATTTCCTGGGTCGGCGACTCGGTCTTGTTAGCCATTCGGGCTGCCTCTGCCACAATCACTTCAGATCCTGAAACCACGGCTCCCAGGACGGCGGCAACGGAGAGCAATACCGCGCGACCAGGAGACGACGGCGACGACGATAACTCTGAAGATTCAGCCTCAAAGCCCCCAATAGGGCCAATTGTTGGCGGCGTCGTCGGCGGCGTGGGCGGCCTTCTCGTCCTTGTTCTCGTCCTGGTGTTCGTTTGGAGAAGATCGAAGCGGAAACCAGCCACGGCTACAGCGGAGACGGCCGCGGGTAAGACTGACCCGGAGCCACCATCGCCCTTGGATGGCGATCTGGGACCCGTGATTCATGAAATGCACGGCGTTGATGCCCACCGAAGACATGAGCTAATGCCGGAACGAACGTATGTGGAACTGCCTGAACCGGAGGTGCGACACCAATTGGAATAAGGAGTTGGCTCAGGTTATTTGTATCTAGTAATTATTCAATCTCTTTTTGGTCCTCGTACTTGTATATAGATATAATAACTCTATATGGTGTATATAATATATTTAAACGGTCAGTAATAATACTCTTGTATTTTTGGAGATAATGTAACAAAGGTGACGCTGAGAACCTGCTCCGAAACCTCTACCCGAAGCTTTTTCTTTTTTTTTACTCCTTTCAATCCAAACCAGCCTCTCTACGCCTTGCGCTGAGCACACAAGAAAGGAGTAGCCACGACATGATTTCGATGATAACAAACTTATCAGTTCCGCATGGCGACAAGGTCAAAACAAAGAAGAACCAACCCTGTCTTCGCTGACGCGGGAGACAAGAGAGGATGAATCGAATAAATAAAAATATCTATCAAAGAAATAAGAAAGAGGAAATACGGCACCGGTTTCTATCATCTGACCCGGCAAAAAAAAAAAAAGTCCAACGGCAAAGTTGTTGGGGGGGAGGGAGGGGGTTTGGTTAGACATCTATCTGTCCCTATCCATATGGGCATCCTTAAGAAAATTCCTCCGTGCCCGTGCCTTATTTGTTCGAGAGAAGAAAACTAAAGCTCGTTTATCTCGTATTCCTCCGTTTTCATCCCAGAGAAAATAAGCATATCCGAAAAGTGTTTTTCTGAAAAAAAAAAAAAAAAATGAAAAATGATAATGAAAAAGGTGATAACGAGCCTAAATTGTGTCACTGCAGCTTGCGGAAACTCGGGGAACTAGTATATATTTCCTCCTGTTTTGCATTGCCATCTGTTCAATTTCCTCTTTCACACGCTAGCTTCCTGGACAGGAAATTGAAAGCCGTCACCCCCAGTCTCCATTTCAGCTCTTTGATTGCGAGAAATCGATAGATTCGTGGTGCATTTTGTTTCGCTACGCCGTGGATTCAGGGAAATACATTCCTGAGCTGAAACTAAACTGGATCAAAAAAGAAACCCATATCAAAAACAAAATGAAGAGAAAAGAATAAAAATAAAGGCCAAAGACTCCACCTCAAAAAGAAAAGAAAAGACATATAACAACGGATCCGTTTTATTTCGATTGCGTATCACCCCCATCTCCTCACAGCCGCTTCCTCAGCAGCCTGCCTAGAGAACGAAGTCCACGGCTCCGGCGCATCAGCAGCGTCATCGTCAATCTTTGTTCCCTTGAATTTGCAGTTTTCGCCAAGAGCAGGGAAGCCCGCCACGCCATTGAAGGTGATGGCTTCATCGCTCGTGAAAACGAGGTAGCCATCCTGCGGCGACGTTCCCTCCTCCGTGTGGATTTCACCCTCGCCTGTCGACCTCCCACGCCAGCTGAAGTAAACGCGGAGATCTTTCACGTGCGCGGGCCCCGCTGCATGCGGGATATCGTCTCCGTCGTCGCTGCTGCCGGTCTCCCCTTCTCCATTGCCACCGCGCGCTCCGCCAGCAACACGACCACGCTTGCTCATCACGGCACGGAATTTGTCCAACGTACGCTTGTCTGCCGCGAACAGCATCGTGCCCTGAATCACACCCAAATTGAACCCGCCAATCAACCCCAAGGGACTCTCTGACGTCCTTGTGATCGTAAGCTCCATCTCCTCCGCGTCGTCCGGCCAATTGTCCTCCACCTCCTTACAATCCAACGAGTAGATGCCAATTATTTTATCTAGTAGAAACCCAGTGGCTCCTGCACCATTGACAGCTTTGGCAGCCCCTTCTGTAGCCGATTTCTTGGGTCTGCCGCGTTTGGACGGTGTTGGTGCCGGTTTGGAGGAGGAGGAGATAGTGGTGGTCGTAGTCGCGGCTGCATCGGTGCTCAGTCGCGGTTTTTTGCTAGGCGCAGTCGGATCATCTTTCCTTGGCCTGCCGCGCCCTCTCTTTGGGCCAGCAGGGACTGGTTTTGGGGGATCGCTGGGATTCTTGCGTGGTCTGCCTCGTTTCCTTGGGGGTCCATCGCTCTGAGCGGGCTTCTTGACGGGGTTTCCAGTCGCGTCGAGCTTTGGCGGGCGACCGCGCTTTCTGGGCAAGGGAGCATCAGCCATAGCTGCGGGAAAGGTGGTAGAGGGTGGACAATGGCCAATGGTTCGAATTGGCGCAGCAGTGACGGCAGGAAGTGCAAAAAAGACGAAGACGACGACGAAGAAGAAGGTGGTGGTAATGGTGATGATGAAGACGAAGAAGAAGAAGAAAATAGCTGGAGACGCGAAAAGGGGAAAATATCGGCTAGTTCGTTGAGCACGGGGCGGGCAGGAAACATGGGCCAGCCGCTTGCCTGATTCGGAGCCTGGGCCTGAAAGGGGTTAGCGTGCCCTGAACCAAGATTTTGCAACCGTCGCCTTGGAAGCCCTTTGGCGGTTACCGTGGGATTGGGGCCAGCGATCGGGATACCGTGGGAGGCCTGGGACTGGGACTGGGACTGCTGGGACTGGGAGTGGAGATGGCGCAGGAGGAGCCTCGGTGGATTACATAAAGGGCAGGACACGCCAGGGGACAAAACCACTCAGGATGCTACGACGGAGGTACGGATCTGGGCAATTTGTAGCTCCAGTGTCCCAAATGCTAATTTAAAAAAAGGGATGTGGTGCTACGAATCAATGGGCCGCTGCATTTGTCTATCGTGGTTGGTATCACGCCATTCATTTTCTCCCAGCCTCGTTTAGCGACTCTACACAAAGAAAGGGGCTGCTGTCAGAGAAAGTCCCCAATGAAACATACATTAGACGATGTGGGAATTGTGGTCCGGATAAAGAAGAAAACAGAGTGAATACTGAAAGGAAATAAAAAAGAAAGGATAATAACAAAAAAAACAGAAAAAAAGAAAAAAGAAAAAAAAGGAAATGTAGTTTGTTAGCCGATATATATTCTATCTCACAAGATATGAACAGAGTGAGGGTATGTATTAAACCATGCAATGATGAAATTGCAACACGCAAGCAGCTCAAACATAGAAGGCCAATGAATCTAAGAATGAAAAGAAAGGAAAAGAAGGCTGGGATGGCAGGTAGAGGCAAGATCCAAAAAGAAAATGTAACCACGCTGCAAAAAGAAACCGCCCGCGATCCAGCCTAAAATATGCTGACAAATAACCCTTAGAGATTTTCACGCAGTTGTAGCTGTTGGCGAAACTTTATTAGACGGTGCAGACGCCGGTTCAGGAACCTTTTCATTGTCCACTTCCACAGAAGCAAGGCCCGCCGCGGTGGCCGAATCTGTGTTTGCTCCGCCCCCATCACCATTCACCACTCTCTCTTTCTCAGCAAGCGCTTCAACACCTGTAGCTCCAGCTCCAAAACCGTCATCACCCTGGCTATGTTCCTTCTTCGGAAGAGTGATAGCCCTCCTCCGATCTGCCCCATCCACACTCCCCATAATCTCCGCAGTTTCGTTATTCCACACGACAGGTCCCTTGACGAAATCCCTCCTTGTATCCCCGATGGCGGGCGTGGTGAGGTCTGTGGCGGAGACATCGTTTACACCCCGTTCTCCAACGCGTGTCAAGATGCCTGCAAGTTCTTTCGCCGGCTCATCGAGTGACGGCATGTCACCCCAATTCCAGTCCAGCTCGCCACCGAACTGCTTTGGGATGTTGCAGGGTTCCATGAAGGTGCTGAGGGTGGATTTCACTTCGGATGCGGACAGGATGAAGATCTTTGACGTTGTCACAGGGTCGAACCAGCGCTTGATCCAGCCCCAGACGGTGGGAAAGAAGACGGGGGCTCCGATTATCTGCGGTTTTGTTATGTTAGTTCGATTCTACGCTTTCAATTGTATCGCTGAAAATAACAATTCATTTTTTTTCATTTCCCCTTCCTTTCGGAGGAAAGTGCTTGCTGCTTTTGTATATCCGTATGTCCGTATGTCCGTTTTGAGATAGGCGAAACCGCCAACAAACAAGGCACGGAGTCAACGTTGAGCGGAACAGCATGTGACAAAAAAGAAAGAAAGACAAGGACAGGAAGAAAGGGATGAACGAAAGCAAAAGCTCCGATCGACAAAAAAACAAATCTCCACATACAAATATCCTATCCAAAGTCTCCGGATAATGCGCTGTCGCCAAGGCACTCGCATCCTGCATATGACCCTTCAAATTCCAAAACTGCTTCAGTCCCACCCCTGAAATGTCCACGATATTCGTCGTGTTCACAACTGGAGTCTCAGGGTGGGGACGCCCCAGATCACTGCACAACGGTAGCACAAACTGGGTCATGTTCTCGTACAGGGCAAAGAGACGGAGTAATCGTGGGAGTACTTTGGAGGAGGTGTGGGTTGCAGATGTCTTGCCCGCTGAGGCACTGGACGAGTAGGCTGCCATGTTCTTGCTGTTTAGGTCCTTTATCACGTAAACGTATATGGGGATCCCGCGACGATCTCGCCGGCCGGTCCATTGAGGATACTGGATAAAAAGACAAAGAAGGTAGACGTCAGTCACCCTGAAAGTCAGGGGAGTTCAATCAACAGGGCGACATTGAAGGGGAGATCGGAGTTTTAGGAAAACCCGATAAATGAAACAAATTTGCTGACCACTCTGCGAGCATCTTCATATGAATCAATATCGAAATTCCGGTACAACGCATCGATCTGGTTCGTCTTGCGCCATTCTTCTGTGTCCCGGAACTGATCTAGGGCACCCTGCACGTCGAATCTACGCGCGCGAAGAAATCGCCTATATTTGCAGACATGGCAAAAGCAAAAAAAGAGAAAAACGGTTAGATCGTAGACAGCCAATTGGATCTTTTGCGTCAGAACCCTCCCTTTCCCTCACTGCTCCTGGTAGGGGTTTCCAAGAGAAAACAACCCCGGATAATACAACAAAGATGCCCCATAACCACCTTCTCCCCTTGGCATACAGAAAGAACACCAACATTGTGGATAGATAATATTAGGTGGGCAGTGCGTACAGCAAAGTAGAATCATCATGGCTGGCACGAGCTCCACCATGCGCTTCGGTATATAGTTGTTCCTCCTTCAAGACCAATTTGAAGCTTGTCAGCGCTTCCGACTGCTGCGGTGATAGGTGGTTTAGGAAACCCAGCAGCGGATCTGGACCTTCACTGTCCTCTCCCTTGCTGGCCTTTGCAGCAGCCGCTTCGAACGACTCAGTCTTGGTGACTGGGGGAAGTTCCTGCGATTGTAACTGTGAGTGTGACTTGGGATGGGAATGAGAGCTTTTTATCGAGTGCCGGCTGTGGTTGGATCGGCTGGTGGCAGTTCGTGAGAGGGTCATGTTTATTTATTTTCGTCGTTGGGGTATTCTGGAGTTTCTATTATCTTTTTCTTTTCTTTTTATCTTCGTCCCCCGTTTCTGCCTCCTTGACTTTCTATGTTCTTGTGTATGATTCCTCTATTGGGGTATATCGCATGAAGGGTTTCTTGTATAAGGCAGCCGTTCTCCAGACAAGAGACACAGCAAACACGGCAGTTCTGTGCAAGGGTATCTGCGAAGAATCTATCTCGCCAGTCAGCGAAGGAAACAATAAGATGGGCAACGATACGGATGAGGGTGAGGATGCAAAGCACAAGCCCTGGTGGCCTTGTTGACGGGCTCCAGCGGGTCTCAGCCTCGAGATGTCCTCAGCTCGCTACTCGTTAGTGCGGAAGGATTGGTAATACCCAGCGGTTGTCACGGATATAACACGGCGGCGGCTCGCTCCGGGCGGCACATCCGAGCTCCGTGCCCGAGCATCGCCCGTGGCAAGCCCTACAAGCCCTACAAGCCTTACAAGCCTCACCTCACAGGCAAGAGATGGATAGCTGGATGAGTCAAGATGCCATAGTTATTTGCTTTTGGAAGGACTGTTGTTTCAAGCAAACTGACTTGGTGTCAAAATCTACATGCAACAGCGAAGCCAATACAAAATGTCTGGCCATTGAAAATTTATGACTGTATATTTTTATCCACCGAGTCATTTTCCAAGAGTTAAGAGTTTTTTTTCCTTTTTCTTTTCCTTGTTCTTTCTTTTCTTTTTTTCCTGCATGATGGAGCTCGGTGTCTAAATATGATTGGGCTTAAACGCCACACGGCATACCTCGGAGCATTTTTACTCTATTTTTAGTCCTCCGTCAGATCTCCATATTCCCACATGCCCTTGCGCCCCTCTTTTGCCTCGTTTTGCAGTTTCTCGAGATGCGCCAGCGTCTCTGTCGACGACCGTTCCCATTCCTTGAGCTTGCGCGGGACCATCGCGAGTCCCTCACTGATTACGTCGGCATTAATGCTGTGCTCCAGACTCTTAGATTCGGCCGGGTCCATCAGAGTAACATGCAATGTCCCATCGGGCGCCGTGTAGTCGACATTCGCAACTAATTGGCGATCCAATGTCCGTTCACCAAGGTATCCCACAGCATCACGGAGGTATTCGGGAGACGCGGGGAGTTGCAAGAAGGAGAGAACTGTATCGGTGGCTTGGGGTCGAATTTTCTGCACGGAAAACTGCGGCTGCGTGAGAGGCCGGAGGCGGGTCCACGGAACGGTTTCGGAGTTGCCGTAGTCGATGTAAACGACGTCGGCTTTTTTCGCTTCACGGTCGTTTCTCCGTATTTTTGCGCGGTACCACTCGTTGTCCTCCGTGAACCTGGCCGCGACTAGATCTCCGGCCTTGGGTGGGCCGCTCAGAGCAGTGTCGTTCGCCTTGTTGAGGTGGAAGGCTCGGAACGCGCTCATCATCTCGGTGAGGGCTGTTGTGCCGGCGCCGATTTGTTGGATTTTTAGCTTTCCATTTTCGTCTACATTCGTGACCATCACATCGCGGTAGTCCTTTTTGCGCTGCTGGGGAGCGTCTGCGCCGGCTTCTGCGCCATTCTTTCCGTTCGTGGCAACGGTCTCGCCCTCCTCAAGATCCTTGCTTGGATCCCAGTCATGCCACAAGCCTTTTCGGGCCTCTTTGGCTTTTTTCTCCGCTGCGAACAGCTCTGCAGCGTGACCTCCTTGCTCAGCAGAATAGGCATGGACAGTCGCAAGGCCTTCTTCAACAAGAATCTTGGAAAAGCTTTCTCTGTTGATATAGAGACTGCCGATGAATCCACCGACCTTGTCAATTGTCTCGACGTCTATTTCAACGTCGCGTTGCATACATCTTCGGTAGGCGAAGTCATGGGCTTCTTGCCCGAACGGCTCCCCAGTCTCTCCTGGGTTCCTCGCCGATCTGGGAGCCCGGATGCCGGAAAGGACCAGTGTGAGCTTAGCATTATCTTTAGGAAGTAGGATGGTGAAGCGAGAGCCGGATTTTACGAAATCAACAACACCAGGCACCTTCCTCTGCCGCTGGAGCACGGAGGCCTGAATCTTCGCCTTTTGCACATTCTCGGAGTAGTCCTGAGGCGCTCTAACGGTTGGGGGCTTAGAAGACCACATTCCTTTCCCCTCCTTCTGAGCTGCTTCTTCCGCACGGAGTAGATCATCGTATTCAGGAGACCGGTCGTCATCATCCCGGCGATGGCGGATGACGGATGCGTAACCAGCCTGCACGAGGGCCAATGCAATGTTTGTGTTTCCAGACATGACCGTACCAACCTCCCGTTCCTCGTAACCTTCCGATGCGGGTCTTTTTCCATCAATTTTTACTTTGACGTGTTTACCGATGAGCTTCTTGCGCATAAATTCCTTAGCCTCTAAGATGAAAGGTGCCTGCTTAGGGTCGGATGTTCTTGGATGTCTGACGCTGCTGAGGCTTATCCGCTTCTCATCCTTTCCTGTCTTCGTTCGAACAAAAATGGTGTCTGCACTAAACACTCGAGTCACAACATAATCCGCTTGCGCAGCGCCGGCGCCAACTTTGGGCGCGTTGTGGCTCATAAATAATCCTTTTCGCGCTTCTTTCGCGGCGTTCTCGGCCTGTCGTAGAGTAGTCATGTCCTTTCCGATCATAGTAGAATGGTGGTCGGCGCATCGGGCCAGGCCAGCTTCGAGAAGGAACTTAGCGATGTTGCCATTAGGATGGAGGACGCCGGCAACGAGTTGATTTTGCGGTGTCACACCAAGCAGCGAGATCTTAACTTTTCTCTGGAGTAGCCGGAGCTCCACAAACTGCTGAGCCTGTTCTCCAAGCGGTTCTCCCGGTTGTTCTGTGCCGTCTGGGTTCGTTCGTTTCGTTGCCGGAGCCCGGATACCAGCAACCACAACCAATGTTTGGATATGTTTATGCGGGGCAACAAGTAACCTGACGATCAGGCGGTCACCGCTAAGTACCCTTTCCACAACTGCAGCAATTTGGTTCCCCTTTTCGCTCTCAATCAGTGCCTTTAGATCTGGTACTTCATAAGCAGTCTCGAGTTCCCCGCCAGTCGACACCCACACGCCCTTTGATTCCGACCGCGCACGGTTTTCAAGTTCCCGCAGTTTGTCCACCGTCGCCACAATATCCTCGGACTCTTCCCGCTTGCCCGCATCCTCACGCACTTTGACCCATCCTTCCGCAACGCAGAGCTCTGGCAATTCCTGATTATTATGAAGTTTCACGATGCCGTATTCCCGTTTCGTGGTGGGGACGGTGTAGAGCACCTGGAACTTAACGACCTTGCCCACAAGCAATTCGCGTAGGAATTCTCTAGATTGGAAGGCAAATGGCTGTGCCGTGAGGGCAAAATAATATTACTCGTTAGTAGAGAACCATCAAACACCGCAGAGGGGCATGACGAGCAACTGAACAGGGACCCCATGCAAGGGGCAACCAGGGGAAATATCAAATTTTACCTCGTCACCCTCTCTTCGTAACCGCGGAGCGGACACATAGGCCAAGCTCAGCGTTCGTTCCTGGCTGCGGTTGATGACATGTGTCAAGATGAGGGTGTCACCAGACAGAACGGTCTTGACGCGGGCTTCCAGGAGAGACATGGTGAGGGCGAACGATGGAGATGCACTGAGCGGGTAGGTATACAGGAGTAAATGGTGTGGGAAGGGATTTGAACACACAGTGCGAAGATGGAGTTGTTGTCACTACATAGTATGTGGCCAGCTTGACATAGTTATTTGTGGGCCTTGCCCGAACTAGCAGTGCTGGCATGGTTCAGCCACAGCGTGCGATTCCAGGATTGAGCACCAGGGTTGAGCCACAGATTTACTTTCGCTTACTGACAGAATCAAAGCTCAAGCTAACTACTCTGTAGAGTCTCGTAGTTACTCCATAACTGGGACAAAATTCATTGCACACTGTGTCAATCGAAATCCCCATGCCAGGCCTCAAATGATTCCCACCATCGTGTCAGCAATGACGGGGGCTTGACAGCTAACTCGATAGCCAAACTTCACCGAATCAAACCCTGTCAACGAACTCTAAAGCTTTTCGAGGCTCTATCAACTTATACAACACGTTTGCTAAGCATGCAATTTTCTAATATGAGTTTCTTCTATGTGCAAAGGCTTTGCTGCACTGCTCCGTATATAGTTGTCGAACATCCCAATTTCCTCAGAACCAGAGCACACCAGTTGTTGTATACTAAGCTCCAGGTTTTGCGTCGAAGTCTCGTCATGGATGCTCCAGGGGCAACGTAGGGTTTGGCAGGTCACATGCTCCAACACTCCAGCTAATTGAAAGGTTACACGGGGGAGAGATGTGCCGTAGAGCTCTCTATCTACAAGAGGCTGAGGAACTTGAAAGGAAGCGAACGGCCCTATTTATTCGCCATTGAGCATTGAAAGTGGAAGACGCGACAAAAACATCAGTCTAGTTTGAACACCAAGCCGGTTTCCGGCCCAGGGCCTCCAGAACACAGGGCATCCCACCCTTCCGCCACAGCCCCCATTCCTTGCTGCATCTTCGTAGATAGTCCAGGAATCCCTCCGGCATCCAAAAATTCACCTTATATTGTTCGTTGTGAGAGAAAATATGTATGTTTTTACACGCACCGAAGATGGGGATAAAGGTGGTAGTGGCTCAGCATCGGGGAGAGAAACGATGTATTGGTCAGTGAAGTCCTGTTTGCAAAGGACTTGAATAGTTGGAGCAGATATCAGTACGAAAATACAGCTGGAGTCTGGATTTGCGTGCTGGAGAATGTATGATCGCGATGCTAACGTTCATTTACTCCATGTAGCATGTCTCTACCAGGAGCACTTATCTCCTTCAAAGGGTGCCTAGTGGCCCGCGGCCTGGCTTTTGTCCAACATGGCTTACTTTTTCAAAACTATTTAAAAAATGCGGCAAGGGCAAGGGGAAAGAGAGCTAAAATACGACATCTTCATTTTGTATGAAATCAGTCAGCGTCATAGCCTCGTTTGGAGTGACTTCGTCAGCATCGCTACAAGAGCCGGCCAGCTGTGTTTGTTTGAGCGCTTGACAGCAATGGCAAGATTCCATCATCGGTTACCGGTGGACGCTTTGAATTCATGGTTCACCTCCGAATTGCTGCCAACATCAGTGCCACCCTCTATTAAGAGCCATTACTCTACTCATAGTGATGCTCGTTCAACGATCAATCCTGACCATCACATCACTTATTACTATATGGCATGCTCTAGGTATATCGACACACCAAGGGCAGTTCTCACAATTCCAAAAACAACTTTCGGACTTTCGGATGATTCCTTTTTCACTGAAGTTTAGCGTCGCTGGCTTGTTAACCAATATATCCCAAAAATTAGGGTTCCAGTTATCCGAGCTGTAAAATTTCTGTTTGCGGGCCAAAGCACAAGGACTGCCCCACACAAATATGATGGATTGATATTGACGGGTTATGATAGTTTGTCCTACAGGGATTTGATTTATCCAGGTCTCCCACCTCCCCTCGAGGCTCCATGCAGAGCAACCTGCAACCCAACTCCCAAAACATTCCAATTCCAACCCTTCTCGTGCCTGTCCTTCAAACCATCCGTACTTATCAAGCCGTGGTTCTATCGTAGCAGTACCAATTTCGAGATGTCCGCTTTTGAAACCAGATGTTAGCCATTGTCATTCCTAGCATATAATACAATTCATTTTTGTACAAGATGCAAACAGCCACACTTACTGACACCAAGCAAATGTCTTTGGTTTTGTCACAACAATCCACCAACCTGCAGTCAGTCCCGCGGAGAGCACATTTTCTGTCGTCTAACTCTCGAGGGGCCGGTTGAGGGTATGCCATGACTGACGTCGTGGTGATGCCTGCAAAGATAACAAGACTAAGGAGGAGCTTCATTTTTTTTAATCTGGGATACGTAACTTAAAAACTATCCGTCAGTAAATTTTGCTGGTTGCTGGATCAAACATATGCGCTTACTTTCGTATGGTGTCAAGACTAAGGAGTTTCGGTCTCAATGCGGGTGAAAGATACCTTTACGAGATAAATATTGATTGCGGGCTCGTCATCTTTTTATCTTCAATTTATACTGTGCTTCCAAGAGTCCCTTGTCATTGAGCAATGCAGGTGTTAACACAAAAGTCAATCACATCTGCGCTGTGTACATTTCTCTTTGTCCAGGTTCACAAGCAATGCATTATAACAACATGGACATGTATGTAAAGTACTTGTACTGTCCAATACAATATGCAGGTTTTCAGCTCAAAGTTTTATCGGGACACCATAGCGAGGGATGACTTTTCTCTCGAGTCTTGGTTCTACACGATTAGGCACTTGAACAGGGTATTTTTCCTAGCGGGTTACTTCTCCGTTCTGCTCTGGCAATGACAAAACAGAATTATCATAGGTTCTAAACTCCTTCCTTTATATTTACGTCAGAAAATCGCGAATTAAATATATAGATATATAAGCCTCCTATTTTTTCAGACTCCCAAAGAAGTCCGAATAACAAAGAAGAGTCTGCGTAGCCACAATTTAGATAACACTTCTAGCTACTCGAGACACCTGATAGACGAGGAAACGAATACAATCTGTACATATTTATTGACTGGGAGGAAAGTCCTGCAACATGCTTGAGGGATAATCCCACCGTACACAAAGAAAAGGAAGTTGGAAGGTATTCATCGTCGAATGAAAGACTTGTATACGCCAACGTAGCAGCTGCCTGGGTCGCCCTTCCTTTCATTCCTCACTTTTGTCTTTTGCTAACCTAGCATGCTTGTAGCCCGGATGCTCGTCTATTCTTCCATTTGGTTCCTCGTGCTCCAAATTCCAAGCTTCGAGGTAGTAGTTCCTGTGGAGCTTCTGACAATGGATGAATCACTGCATGCAGGGAAAGTCGAGCTACGCCGTCATTGGCTGCATGCGTCCTGCAGGCTTCACCCAATACAGAGTGGGCTGGTTGATGGTTCCATTTTACCTGACCCATGATGATCTCGGCAGATCATATGTGTGTTGTGGCTGTCAGCCCAGGTCGACCTTCCGACAAGAAAAATGATGGAGCCTCAGGTGCGTGGATCAGGGAATTGCCTAGCAACTTTTAATAATAGCATTAAGATAAGTCATTTGGCCTGAGGATAGTTGTGCAATCCTAATTTTTTATGTAATTAGTTCCCCAGAATGGTAGGACAGTTCTGGCTTGTCTTCGAATCCACTCTTCAGATATGTTCTTTGCATTTTCAGCATAGGAGGCCTGGTTGGGAAGTGAGATGAAAAAGCTATTCTCATACGGATATAACGATAATATAAATTTGGACAGGAAGACAGAAATGTCATAACTTTCTGAACTTAGCGTGCAAACAAATTAGCATGCAACAGGGGCAATAAGTACGAGGATGAATAATGGTGTCCCCAACATTTTGGAAGAAAAAGGGGTCAGACCAGACACTACACTATCAGTCAAGGGGAAAACAGTCATTCAACCTATACGCCAGACTCCACCATGCAGGACACTGACTCATATGCACACCGCTCATATCTTCAATCAACATCGCCCCTAAGAGCCGTATATTTTTTTCAAAACGGTATTTACACCACAGCTGTGGTTTCTAACCCACGTAACCAAGAATGGAAATGACATGATTCCCATTTCCTGCAGGTCCCTTCTTAGCTCCTCCCACTTTGTGCGGGGCTTGGTTGGATACCCAACCTAGCTTCCAATTGATGAAATGAGTTGTCGATCGCCGGGAAAACAATCCCGAAACTCCCAGCTATGCAATGTCCGACTATATCCCGTAGCTCTCAGTGCTGTAGATACTGCGCCTATGTCAGGGGTGGGTGGTCATTGTTCGAAGTGACGAGTCTGGTCTAGAGGGAGCTCGTACGTATGGAAAATATCTTGCTCTGTAAACTCATGGTAGGGTGCATCGGGAACTGAAGAGCTTGGAACATGCAGGTTTTGAGGCGGCGGATCGTGAGGCTCTGTGGATAAATTTTGGTGTCCATGGAGCCTTGTATCAGTGCTGTCCCTGTAGTCCGGTCTAGCGAGGTTCGCAGACGATATTCGCGACGACGGGCCGACATTTGTCTCCGCAGAAAAACCAGGAGAAGTTTGATATCGAGCATCTAGATATGCCAACACCTGCTTAAGCCGGTTCAAGTCGAGGTTGCATATGTCGATGATTTTCTTGAGTATTTTGCGGACCTTTTGAGCGACCAGATATGTTTGTTCTAATTCCAGGAGTGTCTGCACGCAGATGGCTAAATAGGTGTACTCATTGGTTACGTCAGTGGTTTTGATCCTTTCTGCAATGTCCGATATGAGTACGGTGCAGGCCATCTCAATAATATGTAGCGCTATTCCACTTAGGGTGGTTGCATTGTTATGGAAACCCCGATAGTCCGCGAGGAAGTGCGCGATTTTGATGGCATGCAGTACACAGATATTTCGAAATTTGTCCGCAGTCTCTATCTTTCGCGTGTCAACCTTTCCAAAGCCAGCTAGTGGGCGATATAGGATAATGATCGCTGCACAATATTGCATACTGGGAATAAGGGAGAAAACATGTCAGTTCATTGTGTTGTTTCCAGTTTTGGTGACATCAGGGGAGGCATACTGCATGACTGCAACCGATGGAAGCCCGTCTTTTCTATAATATAGTTGAGGGTCCAAACGGCTGTACCAATGGTGGAGCTGGTCACCTAAAATGTTGATTTCCGCCATCGTACACTGATTTCGATTCCTGTAGTCAGACTAGTTAAAAGCTGTTTAGAATACTATTATATCTGAACCGACATACAAACTCTCACAGACGAGTCCCACCAACTCCAAAAGCGAGGCCCAGGAGCCGGCCAGTAGCGAGTGTAACGGTAAAGATGCATTTTCCTTAGACAGTCGAGGGACGGTTACGTTTTCATCGAGGGTCAAGAAAAAGGAGCGTCCAAGATACAAACCCCAAAGTCTACATATGCGATGTCAGGCATTGCTTGAGTATGTCCCGGAATATCGACATTGCGGGATTAGAGGCTTACCTATCGAAAACAAAACATCCCCAAAAAGTAATCTGGCGAGCTTCCATGTCAATTTGTGGAATACGCTCATTGGAACAGTCACGGTGGAGGCCCATCTCAATCGCAAGACGGCAAGCTGTGTTTGTAAGTGCCAAACCCGCCATATCATTAGAGAATGCACAATATATAACTGATAGTAATAGCAATGACTGTATAGTCGTTACCCCAGGATTTTCTCTCTCTTCTTCAAGTAATCTTGAAGCTTCAGCAAACAAGCACTGGTGATCACCTGGGTGCGATGGCTCCTTTCCTCTGTGGACTCTATCGGACGGCAGGACTAAAACACGTATTTCTGGCCGGGGTGAGATTCTTGCCGCGCATGCCATAATGCAATAGAGCAAAGTTTTACTGTAGAAGCCTGTTCTGCCTGCAGCCATATCGCGCATGAACGCTCCTTGGTGAAATACCTGTAGCTCTGTATGTTGGTACTTCCAGTATAGGTCGAGCAAATAGTTCTGAGTGTCCATGTCGACTTCAAGGCGGCAGCCAAAAGGTGGCCCTGTGGCCCTTGCTCCCCATGCACTAAGAGTCGACCAGGACTCGCCCTCCTCATGTTCTTTTACTGTTAGATGTAAGCTTGAGGTTGGGCCGCCATATTTTACTCTGCCATCTAGATGATATCTACCGTCACAGAGACAAGCAATGATATTCTCCGGGTACGTCCTAATGAGTGGCGATGGGAGATAACTAGGAAATTGGTTGAGCTCATATAGAGTCATGATCTCGCGTGCTTGTATGCTGCGATGGAATTCACTCTCGCGAAGAGCCTTCTCGAGGTCATCAATTCGATTGTGTAGTTCCCGGATATACCGCTTGGATGAGGGTCTATGAGTCAAATGTTAATCGTTTTTATCTAGAAGGCATGTGCTATCGTGTGAGCAAACCTTTTCCGTTCGTCAACCTCGGGCCCCGGGCATGGTATTCCCAGCTTTTTGCATTTCTTGCAACCGCCATCCTCTGGTTGGCACTACGTCGGAAAACGATGTTAGCAGCCCTTTTCACACATTTACCCCAATACAAAAATGCGAATGTATCCCAATATTTCAACATAAATCTTGCAGCAGACCTTAATCTTCTTTGCTCGGCAGTTTAAACAGGCCAGAGTGAGAACCGTACCGGGTTTCCCAACTGTCTGGATAGTTTCCGTTTCCGGGCTGCCTTGCAGGTGGAGGCGAGAACGGGGTTGAATTCCAGGCCAAGGTCTCTGTACAACATTGGGTTGAAAAGGTTGGGGTCCAAAAGGTGGCGATGATGCCGGTGGTGGTGTCGGCTGGACTTGCTGGACTGGCGGCTGCGGCCGAGTTGCTGCTCCGGCTTCACATTTAAGGTTCTCATCCCGTCCTTGCATCATGGCAGAGTCGACTCCTGACATCAACGGCGCGTACACGGGGAAGTACAAGTCGGAGGGCTCCATCTTGGTCGTTGAGACATGGTCCAGCAACCGTTCAAGGGCTGCTGGGTTTGATTGATTGGCGTCTGCTCAAAGATCAGGATAGCTGTTTATACGGGCTGGAAGATCAAGACGACCATCAGCTCCACCGTGTTCATTTCACTTCAGCGCTATTCAGCCATCGCCCAAGCAACTGAATCGATAATAAAAATAAAGAGAAATGACCGGGATTCAGCAGTCCACAAGTTATGTCTTCCAAAAGCAATGTGGAAACGATTATAAACCCTGGCCGGTGTGCTTAGGGCGCGAGCACCACCAGCCCTGCAAGGCCGTGGTGAATAATGCAGAAACTGATCTTCAAACCGCCAAAGCGGTAGTTCAGGTGTAGCTTATCTGGAAGTTCTTCCTAACTGAAGTTCTTTCGAGAGGGTTATAGGCTCCAGTCTCAGCAGACGTCGACAATGAACTTGCTGTCAGTAGAATGTATCTCACCTGCTATGATGAATGCGGCATAGTGCTGACTGAGGCTGTCCACTTTTATATGCAGCCAAGTGACTAACTGGTCTGCATGTTCAAGGCCATTCAGCCGCCTTATTCATGGGTCAACGAAGTTGGTTAACTACGCAGTAGGTAACTAGTTAATCGAACGAGTTTGTCATCGCTCTGCTTCTTCACACAGATGCTGTTCCGAAGGCCTGTTCAAAATGAAAAATCCTAGGGCGTGCGATTCAACATTTGCCAAGGTTTCCCAAACGGAATGAGCGCCATTGTTTTCCATCCATCTGTATTCAAGTCCAAGAGGTCTAGGGCGGGGGAATTCTCTCCAATGACAGGATTCTAACGGCGCCACCGGAATGAACAGGCCTCCAAGCTCGGCCAAGCACCCATGATATGATATTTTTTTCACTATTGAAGGTGTGCTCAATTGAAGGTTCCCTAACCGGGTGTCAGGATATCTTTTTGCGGGCGGTGTTACACTGGGAGTGTAAGTCAGTAAAATAACCCTCCTGAGCACTTCTTGTAGAACTCATAAAAAATGAATGAATGCTTAGAGATAGCGATTACACTCTATAGAAGATCATCAATAGATTGATATGCTCTGAAATATCTTTCTTTGAGCCTTTGGTTTATTCTCTTCTTTTCTGCTCTCAGCTACAGAACCTATGGACTTGCTGAAGCTTTTCCGTGTTCCCTATTTTACTAGTTTGATATAGTTACTGTAGTATCATCCAGTGTACAGTTATGTGCATATTCACATTATTTCTCGTATGGAAAATGAATAACGAAATGTAGGAAGTAATAATAAATGTTATAATTTGTCAATTGTTCCCATACCACTTCTTTTTCTGCCTTTTAATATAAGTTTGTTATTCAATTCAATAATTCGATATGCAACCTCTTATAGTTAGCCATATAGTTAAATATCAGTAATGATTTATTGCTCATAGATAAATATATTCCTTGTTGCATTCTGCACCTGAGACAAGGCCAACAGCTGGCCCCGTCCCCGGTGGCTTTCAAAAAAAAAAAAAAAAAAAAAAAAAGCGGGCCAGCCAGCGCCAGGGATTTCCCACGGAGCTTATCAGAATTTAACTTTTTTTAGCGGCCAAGCACCCTTCGTGGAATGGAATGTACGGAGCTCCCGAAGTTTTGTTGTTGCGGTATCTTGAAAAGCTCAAGCATAAACTCTGGCAAAGCCTCCAGAGCAACGACAATGCAATGATGGTTCTTGCGGGGTTTTTTTAAAACCTTTTAAATCGTTTTAACTCCTTTTTACAGCTATCCAACACTTTATCGCATGCCTTCGACCTCTGGGAGACAGTTTGCAAGGTCTCCCTTTAGCGGATAACCTGGAACCTTTGCTGGAATGCCAGGGGATATTTCGCGGGTGGGCCGCTTCCGCCCTGCGCGGTGGTAAATCTCATTAAGCTCGATTCGACTTCATCGATCATTTCCTTCATATAAACATTCAATTTAGTGGACACTGGTTGCGCAGAAAAGAGCTTGCCGGATACAACAAATACATGCATCCAATTTTCTTTCTATATAGGTTCCCTGGTTCCGTCTCTGTTCGTTATTAATTTTCTATCACTATCTACCCCTTTATTCTCCACCCTGATACATCGAAATGTTAAATACGTACTCTCCTAGATACCCCCTCCTTTTCATCCTGCCTGCTGTCTCCTTAAGGTGAAGAAATAACGCTTGATGAACTGCATATACGTCTGCACTCTGTATATGCACAGTACATGAACATGTACAGTACATGCGTTCATACGAAAATCCAGCCTGATTGAATTCAGGTTTTACGGACGATTTCTGAAAAGCCCCATTTGTGGCTAAAAGTGTACATGGAATATTTCATCATTCGGTAGGAAGGAGGTAAATTCATTCGAGACTCAGCGCTGAAAGCGTATTAGAGCTACACATGCAAGATTGCTGTTTTACCCATCCCCTCTTTTTTATATTATCAAATATATACATCAATTTCTTTCCACCTCTCCTTCACAACTAAAGCACAGGTGATGGTATAAGCTGTTTTACATCCCGGGAACCGAATCCCTGTTTCATCCGCAAATTAATTTTCGAATGCCATCGTTCGTTTTCGGGAAGGTAGCATCTTAAAGACTAATTTACGTGGTGATACCAATGACGCCTGTAGGTAAAGAGATTTAAATTAGCCCACGACCTCTTGCCACAAACAGCGAACTAGAGATATGAAAATACATACCACAAGCGGGGCGGGTACCCGCATTGCCGGTTTTCTTAGACTCTTCATTTCCGCCATTTCCAAGGTCATCGGTACCCGCATGGACAACAACGGTACGCTGATTCATTCAAACAAAGAGGTTTACTGGTTAGCAATCACCAAAACTGTAGGGAACAGGAAAGAAAGTGGGGGATAGATGAGGACTTACCCCAAGAATGCTATGCTCGCCAATGAGCTTAATCTGTGGATCCTCAATGGTACCAACGGCATTACCTTCTGCGTCAGTGGTGATGTTGCCTAAGTCTCCGACGTGGCGCTCAGCATCAGTGGGCGCGCCGTGGGCTTTGCTGAAGGGGTTGACTATTGTTAAGAGGCATGTTAGCTCTAGCCCTCTGAGAGTGGACCATGGAAATTGTCGGATGCAGATGTACTGATATGTAAAGAACATACAGTGAGGGCCAGCAGAGGTGCAGCCATTGGTATTGTCGCCAAACTGATGGATGTGGAATCCACGCAGGGCGTTTGGGTCATTGCCTGAAATATTATATGAAATGACGGTGTTGGAGGACTCAGAGGTCTGCTCGAAGGTTACGGTGCCTTTCACATTGGAGTCACCACGGAGGACAGCGACTACAGCAAGAGAACAGAGAGGGGAGATATTAGTTCAATTTGCTTCACGAACATTTCCGAAAAATTTTCAAAGGGTTGAGTGGATGGAAAATGATGGTTATGGCCTAGAGTTTGGAAATATGCTCACGGCCTCGGCAAGATCACTCCATGACCAATCTGCCAGGTACCCAGGAACCAAGGACCGTGGATGAAACTCCCAGGAGTTGCATGAAGAGGGACGGGAAGAATAGCCGGGGGAGGGGGAAAGTTTAAAGTAGAGGAAATCGAGGGACAAACTTACCAGCCTTGACCATTGTGACGGGACGTGAGCTAACTGGTTAAATGCGAAGACAGGAGGCGAGTTGTTGGATGAGGATGAATTGTGGGTGACGGATTCGTGCAGTCGAAGGTGATATAAATAGGATGGTGGAGAAGAAGCAAAAGAACCAGGACAACATCTTGTAAGCGGGTTTTTCCTCGTCGATGTCATTTCCTGCCTCAGGAGGGGCAGGCTGACTAACTGCCCCGCCATCGATCGGCCGAGGCTCAATGACGCTATATGTCACGTGATCATTAAGCTCCGACGTCCGAGCTTCCGGCCTTTCCTCTTCCGGGTATCAATAGAGGGCAAGGGCAACGACATCTCAACGAAGATGAACAACGAGATACCTGGGTAGATATATCATAAATACATCTTCTCTGACTTCATTTGCACTGCTGGCCCTATGTATCTGTCTATGCCTGGGCAATCAGTGCACCCGGTATCAATTCCTGCAACGCATGACCCACGGATACTTACTACCAAGCAGATATCTATATCTGTCTATCTTGGGTCAGAAGATGACTGGCTTTGATCCGCAAGTATCTGGAGGGGATCTGGAGGGGATCTCAATATATGCGAATCCACTCGCATCATGCTACCCACATTTGCTTCTGCGCGGAAGCTTAGGGCCATACTCAATGCTCCAGCTCCTCAAATGGTTGCTGTAGTCTTGATACCGCCTCATCTCCAGGCGACGGAAACTAAAACTTTCAGGGAAACCAATCCTCTTTGCCAACTGGAACTGAGATTTGCAGATATTCATGATATCGATTCACATGTAGTTGTGCTGCTGATCATGTCTCGCGTGTTCAGGTTGGCTTGAGTTTGTTGGACATCACGCAATCCACCAGATATGGGCTTTCAGTGCATCAAAGGAAACGTGCTGCCGCCGCCGGGCCACATATATTCCTATCTGACCTTGCCTACCAAACCCACTGTTTCCTCCGCCGTTCAATATACCTGGCTGGCGAGTCAAGATTTGCTCCTTCACTCCAGCTCTGCCGCCAGTATCCTTACTCTTTACTCGGACATTTTGAAGGACACACCAATGCAGCGCACCACATTAGGACGAATTTACCTATCAACGTATGGAAGGTTGGGGAAAAAAGTCCTTCTGGAGCTTTTGTCATCTGGACTACACTTTCACTCTTCTCCATGACTAATTGATGGTTGTATTTCCATGATGTCGACGGGCTCGAGCGCAGGACCAAGACACTTAGATTTTGAACATGACCTCGGCGCTTAACATGAACTCCAGTGGGCAGGGCTATCGTTGGACCGCTCCACGTTGTTGCCGCTAGCTGGGACAAGCCGTGTCAATCCTCTGCGTTACGTCGGTTTTTTTTTTTGTCCACAGCAACAAGCCAAGAACAGGAAAGACAGCCAAGTCCGATAAGACTAGCGCATTACTAGCCCCGCGAGCTTATCCTCGCATCTTTTTGAGGGTAATTCAAAAAACAATCATTACTGTTGTGTGCAAAGCCCTTTAGATGTTCTCAGCATATGTTTGGCGCCTGCACAGTTGAACCCTTTCAGGCCTGTTTCACTGGTGGTTTGTTGGTGGCCACATCTCGACATCCCTGTAGGAAAGAACAATAGGATTTTGCTTCCTATTGTTCTCAGCGGGGTTAGTGAGCTTCATGATTGGCTGACCCCCTTTCATGATCACCACATCGCGCCGGACCGGTGAATAAGACAACTGTTACGGCGATTGATGCCAGCCCAGCCGCCTATTGTCCTGGCATAAAACCCCGTTAGGATATTTCGCAGATACCCCTTATCTTGCCCAAATCTGCTAGTCACTTTGTTTTTACGCTTATCAAGGCTCGATCAGACTTCGTCTGGTTCCCCGCGGTCTCTACGATCTGTACCGAGCATTTTACTACTTTGTGAACGTTCTTTGTATCTTGCCTTCAAAATGAGCGATACAGAATCTTCTCAGCTTTCGGATTGGGAGGAAGATCTGCCAGATAATGTTAATTTTCGCCTTCCAGGCTTCACACTCCCGCTAAACTGGGAACCTACCCCGATGAACACCCCGCTCACGACCCCGCGTGCTAGCATGGACGGGCGAACTCCTAGACTCAATATCCTCCACATCCAGGGAATACAAAGGGGCCGTTTCCGAAACGCTCTGAACTATCAAGATGCTCTCGATGATAATTTGAGGTAAACCCGTGGTTCCAGGTTTGGGATACTAGGTATTGACTTGGCAGATACCCAGCCCTAACGACTCGGGAAAACATGATGGTCCAAATCATGAACGAAATCACGGATAAGCCTAACTGGAACGTGAAGGTTAGAACTTATATTACCCTTGGATTACTCAGTTGTAGCGCTACTTCCTATCTGGCTATTTCATCATTATATCACTCTCTCCTCCCTCTCTCCTCCCTCCGAACCTTACAAAAGAAGAGAGAAAAATTCAACAACCCCCTTTCTACAATATGTGCACATGAACAGTGGGATAAACTGTTGACTGACTTTGACAATAGGTCTCTGACGATGCCATCGTGGATAAGTGGCGGAAGGAAATGCTGACGGGAAACTACGGTTTTTCTGAAGCTATGACAAAGTGGGTTATGGATGAGCTTCGCTACAAAACGAGGATTTTTCACGAATACGGACTTGTGGACGTATTCAACGGTGGAGTGGTCAAATCAGACACAGCTTTGCCTGGATCAGTGAATCAGGAGTTGAAAGCAGGGGTTCAGAAACTGGAAGATGTTCCAGAAGATCTCAAGGATTACCACCCTTCCACGAACAAGCAAGTCCTGAATTTGGTGCACCCGTCTCTCTTCCCTCTTGTCTATGGCCGATCGCGTATCCTCAGCGAGAAGCTCTTAGGCCTGGATGACTGCATCCCCAGCTGTGGTTTGGGAGAAACACTTCCTGTTCCCCAAGACAAGTACACAGTGTTTGACGACAAGCTAGATAATCACTCTGGCTGGGCGGGCAATTTCTGGAAAGACAAGATATACAGCCAGAAATTCCAATGGCTACCTTGTAATGTGGAGTTTATTGACGAGCCGGGCTCGTACCTGCCTCTAGATCCAAAAGACCCTTCTAAAGTTGCAGCAGCATCCCTTGCGCCACCATGTCGGATAACAAGCTATATCAACAACCTTCACCCCCACAAACATCGAGAACTGTACAGAACCATCGAGAAGGTGATATCCTGCGCAATACCGTTGTGGAACAGAACCCTATCCTCTCTAAGTGCCGAATATACTCGACGGATTAACTACGACATATGCATTAGGGAAAGTTCACTTTCCCCGTCTCGGGAGGGTACAAATGGATCGAGAAAACCGAAACGTTCGATAACTAAGTCTGGATATGTACTACCAGAACCTAGAAAGTTCGAACCTACGATGACACCGTCACTGTCACCCGGATCCGTGGATTTGAAGAAACAATACCGCAAGACTGGTTTGCAAGTGATCGTGAAACTTGCAACCATCCATCTAACCCCCGAAAAACCCAAATATGATGGCGGCGCTTGGCATGTAGAAGGCCAACTTGTAAGTAGAGCGTACTATGCACCCACGTTATTCACACATATCTAACACGAACACCTCCTTTTTTGTTGGTAAACCGCAGAATGAGCACATCTGCGCAACCGCACTCTACTACTACGATAACCAAAACATCACCAATGGCCACGTAGCCTTCCGCCAGCAGTGTGCCACAAACCCAAAAATAAAAAATAGCCGTGGAGAAGACCCAGCATTCCTCCCCGAAATCTTTGGGAAGCACACTCTATCCTCCGCAACCCAAATTCCCGGCAGCGTTGAATGCTCTCAAGGCCGCCTCCTTACATTTCCTAACACCGTCCAACACCGTGTCGAACCCTTTGAGCTGGCCGATAAATCCAAGCCAGGTCACCGCAAAATCCTAACCCTGTTCCTAGTGGACCCGCACATCCGCATAATCTCCACGGCAAACGTACCACCGCAGCGCCGGGACTGGTGGATGGAGCATATCGAGTCAACGGGGGCGCTGAAGAAGCTGCCCAAGGAGTTGGTGGACATGATTTTGGGCAGTGGCAGTGAGGCGGATTTCCCGTTTAACATGGAGGAGGCGAAGCGGTTTCGGTTGGAGTTAATGGCGGAGAGGACGGCGAGGGTCACGGAGCAAGATAGACATTTTAGGCATAGGGTGTTTTCGCTCTGTGAGCATTAAACCCTGGTGACCCGTTAGGGCAGTCGTGTTTGTGCCATTTACCAGTGAGGTGTGATTTGCATTTCATCTTTAACATGAGATACGGTTTTGAGCGATTTTTAATGTGCTTCTTTTTTCGTCGTTTTTTAACGCCGCTTTTACATTTTGTCTTCGTGGAGCGATTTATGCCATATTCTGGTGATTCCTTATTGTGAACTTTCGGGTACATTGTTAAGAGGCTAGGTTGAAGGAGGGAACATGGATCAGAGGCCGAACAAGAATACAAAGGATTATGGGATAACTCGGAGTTAGGGATTATAAGGTATACTTGGATACTCAAGAACATTTTCAGTCAGCATTTTATGCCCAATCGGAATTGACTATATTGGAGTTTCTCTGAATCTTCCACAAATCCATTTTCCCACACCAACAATACAACTTACGAACGCTATGACAACGACGACGACGGCGACGACGACGGCGACGACGACGGCGACGATGACGCTGAAACACATACAATGAACCTCCACACCGTCTCCAGTATTTCCCATCCTTGCTCCGCTAGCACAGGGAAATATATACATAGGTGAACAAATATCCACTCCCACGCCAGCTCGGAAATGTGTTTGGAACTACTATGCACTGGATACGAAGATGGAGAGGCTGTTTTGCTGTTGATGTTTTATATCCCCTTTCCCTTTGGAATGGTGTTAGTTGGAGGAATGTTTGTTGTACTGTACTTTTCGATTAGTTGGATGGAAGTCGGTAGCTCTGACATTAGTATTTGATATTTCAAATATTGATTTTCTACAGGCGTGTGCTGAAAGGAGTTATGTTCTCAAAACGCACCACCCCTCTTCCTAATTTTCCTTCTAGTCAACCCTATTGACTTTTCCATGATATGTTTAATATGGGGAGTGTTCAGTCTTGTCGACCTCTTGCGGAATCCAAAGAAAACGGGAGTAAAGTATTCAATTGTTTGCGAGGAAGCTCCAATTTGATGTAATTTGATATATATGTACTTCCTTGGGAGTTCAATAACGAGCAAAATAGGGGACGAAAGAGGCGTATGAAAAAAAAAAAAGACCCTGCATGAACTTATGCCATTTTTGTAAAATTAAGAAAGAAGGAAAAAAGGGACAAGAAGATAAAAGGTTCATGCACGGAATACACGCGCACGCAGCAAGCGGTTTTTATTTCGTTTCCTTTCGCTTCCTTTGTACCTCCTGATACAAATTTGTATTCAATACATAAACAAAAGCAGAGCTCGGATCTACGAGCTGATCTTCTCTCTGAGAATGTTCTTGAGGGTAACTGCATCCGCAGCAAACTTGGATATACCCTCCCGCAGCTTCTCGACAGCCATTTGTTCCTCGTTGAACTCGAAGCGGAAGGTGGCTTCGTCGTGGAGGTACGTGCGCTTGGGGATGTCGAGGCTGGAAGCGCCCGCAGCGTCTAGCTTCTTGGGGACGGCTGCGGTAGAGTTGTAGAGTTCTTCGAGGAGGTTGGGCTGATTTGGGAAATACGCTAATTAGTTCCAGTTCTCTGGAAGGGGAACAGGAAGCAGGGAACAATGAAGTTATATAGTGTATAACGTACCGAGATGGTCAAATAGTCGCATCCAGCTAATTCGGTGATTTCCCCGGTATTCCGGAAGGAGGCACCCATGACTATGGTCTTGTAACCGTATTTCTTGTAGTAGTTGAAGATGTTCTGCACGCTCTTGACTCCAGGGTCTTCTTCAGGGCTGAAGTCTTTCTTCATGGCTGCTTTGTACCAGTCGAGGATTCGGCCGACGAACGGGGAGATGAGGTATGCGCCAGCTTCAGCAGCAGCAATGGCTTGGACTAGCGAGAACATCAATGTCAAGTTGCAGTTGACACCGTGCTGTGATTGGAGAATGTGGGCGGCTTGGATGCCTTCCCATGTAGATGCGACTTTGATCAAGACACGTTCTTTAGGGACTCCAACGGCCTTGTAGAGCTATTTTTTTTTTGGGCAAAAAAGCAAATTGAGTTAGTTTTACCGATCTAGGCTCCGTCTAATATAACAATGGATCGGCTTCGCTAAAATGACAAAAAACATACTTCAATGATGTGGAGAGCCTTATCAACGGAGGCTTTGGTATCGAAGGAGAAGCGGGCATCTACTTCAGTTGAGACTTTGCCGGGGATGATCTTCAAGATCTCTTTGCCAAACTCGACCAAAAGACGGTCGAGAGTGGCATCGACCTGTTCGTCGATAGTCTTGCCCTATCATTATTTGCCGCATAGGTCAGCTTTCAGCTCAGAATATAGGCAGAAACACCAAGAGGTAGATGTTTTCTACGTACTTGTTTCTTTCCGTATTCAACTGCTGTATCGATCAACTTGGCGTATTCTGGCTTCTTCGAAGCGGCGAGGATTAACGAAGGGTTGGTAGTGGCATCTTGAGGCTTATATTTGCCTATGGCTATTCGAATATGTCAGAGTAAAATCCCTAATGGGGTAGAGAGAGATATATAGTGAAGAAACGACGGGAGCAGCAGACTGATAAGACGTACTTGCAAAGTCGCCTAGATTTCGGAACCTTCTATGTTAGCAACAGATTCCATTGCGTTTGAAACCGGCACACAGGGGAAATTTATATTCGAGTGGCATGGCATACCAGAATCACAGACCACAACCTATACGGTAATGTATAGAGAACAGAGTCAGCCCCCAATTCTATCCCCGTATACATTGCTCTTATGTGAGATAGGCAGCGTGGCGCTGGGTAACTTACCGTGCCAGTGGCCTTTAATTGATGAAGGGAGGAAGACATGCCGGATTGCGGGGGTGTAATTCTGTGTAAAGAAGAGAGGCGTGTGGAGAGAATATTCAACTGAGGGAGTAGAAGTGCTTCCAGCACAGTTCAATGAATCAAGAGAAACGGGTGTGTGATGCAATGGTGAGTATATTGCCTGCTTTGGTTGGCTTTATACGGAGTTCAAAGAAGGACGAGAAGGTGAGCAGGTCATATATATGTCCCTCATGGATGATGGCGGGTGTTGGCTCCAGGTTTGTGGTGGGGCAAATAACGGAGATAAAGTTACCGGCGATGCGCCCGGTCACTGGGTTTCGGCTGCAAACCCGCTTGATACTGACTAATCTCTTAGCCGGCGTGGATGCTTTGTTGCTATGTCGTTTAACTACAAAAAGTAACTTGCTCCAGCACCGACTACAAGTTGCCATTGCTCACTGATGAACTGCGACGGTGGTGCAATCGATTTACCAACGCATGACTGCCAGGCCAATCTGCCATGTATGTCACTATGGTTTTCTGACCATCTGTCCGACACCGACTCTTTGGCGCAATCCCGGGGGACTGTGGTCCGACACGAAGCAGCAATATAGAAGCCCAAGTCTGCTTTTCACTTCCGAGTAACCTTGAACTGCACGATAATGACAAATCATGACAAGTACGGCAGCCCAAAAAGGCCCGGCTCTGGGCCACACCTGAAATGGCTGACCATCAATCCCCGTTAATAAGTGAGGCAAAAAAAGTGTATGCAGTGAACCTTTCGGCTTGCGGCGAATAGTTGTATTACTTGACAAAACGTTTCTGTAGGCAAATCTTGAAAGTGTTACATCATTGCACAGGAAAAATGGATCCTGTTCGCAACTCAGGTCCGGTAACGCAACCAGGAAGCTGGTTTCAAACGGTATTTATAATGCACTGCGCTGGCCATTTGAGAACTGCGGGATAAGGTGGAGATATATGGAAAAGAGACGGGGGAGATCTTAAATATAAAAAAATGAAAAATTGTAAAAACTCGCAGTGGATTGTACCAACGAAAATATCTAGTTATAAGCCGGTTTTTAGGTTCAAGAAATTCAACGTGACAAACTCGTTGAACCGGACAGCCGATATCCGGGCCAAGCACAGTACACCATATCCGTTGATTCGTAGCCTGCGAATGATGGTTCATTTATCTACAAATAATTTTGATCCCACAAGAGACGACTAACCCTGATAAAACAAACGTGTCGAGTAAGAGAGAGGATGAAGAACGCAAATAAAATTCAAGCATACATAAACTAACATAGCATAGCATAAAAGCATTATCTCTTGGCTAGTCGAAAAACGAAAGCCTAGTCCGTCATAAAATCATGATCATCCCAGATCGACATGTCAAGCATGTCCACCTGTCAAGCAGTAAATCGAGATATATATATGTATATTTTCGTCAACGGCGGGGGACACAATCCCATTCATACTATTTGAAGAGATTAAGAAAACGATAATTAGCTGGCCGCACTACGAGACAGTATTCAGGGGACAGCGGAATCAACCAAGCGGTGTGAAATGAGCGAGGAAAGAGGGCACTTACAACTTGCCCAACTTCATCACCGGTATAAACAGACTGCGCCAACGGCAGAATACAACTAATACCCGCAGTAACGTTGCTGGCCCCGTCCTCGCGGGTGTTGTCAACATGATGTAACTGGCGGATTAGATCGAGCTCGAATCGGCCGTTCCGTATCGTTTTACTCCATATCTAAACACTTGTTGTTAGCCTTGCGGATATCAAACAAAGATGGGGAAACTATGTGGGGAAATGTGTCTACGGCGCGGCAAAGCCCAATTGCAAAAGGGGACATCTCAGTGGGAGTGAGGGATGAAAATTAAAATGAAAGAAAGAGACATCACTCACATTGACCACTCGACGCTTATGACCTGTAAATAATAACTCCCGTTCTAGCCATTCGCTACTAACACCTTCGTAGAAAGCACAGGACAGGATACAATCATCAGCTTGCTCGCACACAGCTTGCTCAAGAAGCAAATCCCCATTTAGTGTATAGAGGCTTATACGATTTCCACGGCAGACAACTATATTCCCGGTAGCATCGTTGATGCGTGCGCACTATTCGGATGGATGATCAGGTTAGAACCCAAAAATGAAGAATGTGTAGATTTGGGCGAAACGCAAAACTTACATCGACAGGTCCCCCGTTCGGTAATGACCTCACAAATTCCAGACGATTTAGATCCCATAGCATTATCTTTCCATCCTTGGAAGCGGAGAGGATGGTACTAAAGGATCTTGAAACGGCAAGAGTGGTGACCAGCGAACGGTGTCCAAATAACGTAGCTTTCGGATGAAGATCTGCTGACTTGGACGTCGATGTGAATGACCATACCGAGACAGTACAATCCGTTCCAGAGGTGATCAGAGTCTGGGAATCTGCAAATAAGGCACCGGATAGCTGACCTATATGTAGGTGCTCGAAATGGCCGATCAACTTAAAAATATACAGTCAATTAGTCCTAGCAATTCGACAACGAACATGTATTCCCAAATACGTCTACGTACCTTCCTGGTATCAGCAGTATAGAACCTGACACTACCATCGGAGAAACCCCACTCAATGTACTTGTCATAGTTCGGTGGAATATTGAGTCTGAAGGCAGCAGAACAGAGTAGCCGATCTTGTTTGCATGAGAATAGCAACGATGATACTCGCTCTTGACTATCTGTAAAAAAACGTTTAGCCCGTTGAAATATCGTCTTAGACGCTGAACTCGCATACCAAGTAACGTGAAGGGCAAGCGAGTTAGTGACTCTGCCGCCGTATCCAACCGTTTCTGTTTGTGTGATATCTCCTCTCTCTGCGGGTGGGGCTTTTGGAATGCCTGATGGGGAGTCTGTCCAAAATTATGGATTATGCCTATCGTTGCCAAGCGCTCGACAGGGTCATCGATGGTGTCTAGGTCTTTAGCGCCCTGGTAAGATAGATGGTGAAATACATTCACTGCCTCCAAAGCAGCTTCGCCTTTCTGCTTATTGCCGAATACCAGATCAATCCATTTATGGAGATTTCTCGTCACATATGGGCTTTCGAGCGCTTCCCGATGCTTGGCAATAAATATTTTCGGGTCTTTATTAGCCCAAGGTGGTAATTCGACATTATCTATTGACTGAGACTTGCTTTGTCTCAGCCCAAAATCATATTTGTTTGAATTTACCAGAAATTCAGGCAGATAGAAAAACTCGGGGATCAATTCCCTCACGTCGGTCATGGCAGTTCTGGATGCTGATTCCCATGCCTTGGGGATCGAATAGAAAAGACGATCGGCATGGTCAAATGTTCCTCCTTGCAAGAGGAGGTACGATTTTACGAATGGCTGAAGGCGGATGAGGTACGAGGTGACAATCATCGCGGAAGAATAGTGCGTCCCATAATGGAACGGCAATGTATTATGGTCACCCATCTCGGCAAATGATTGGTATCGGCTCCGATATTCTGATTCCCGTTCTGGAGTTTGACATCCCATCGGTTTCGATAAATCGCGGAAGACTTTAGGGTTTGTCAGATCCAGCTCGTCACTCGTATAATCTGCAAGCACCCAGGGGAAAACAGGGTATTGCGTCAAGTCATTGAACGTTCGTCCGGCCATGGTATTGACAAACATCAAGTAATGAAAATTTGACATTTCTCCTTTGATCCATTTTCGAGTGGCTGGGTTAGTAGGGTTTTGGTTAAACACGTTAGCAATCTTCGCTCTGAAGAATTGAGTGTTGTCCTCTTGACTGCGCAAGGCTTCAAATCTCCACATTTCTTCGGTCTGCGTTGCGTTCCCGGATCCGTTTATTTGGGGGGCACGAAATGAGAGAAGCGAGAATAACTCATTCCGAAGTGTAGGAGACACCATTGTGAGCAAATAGCTTCGACCGTCCGCAAAGAATATTTCCAGTGCAACGTCGCGGAACAAAAATCGCCGCTTCGATACGCTGATCACCTCCGCCCATTTCCAACTTCTGGTTTCATGTTCTCCATTATTCACTCGTCGGTCATCTGATTGGCGGCCGGAAATCATGCGAACGTAAGGATCCCGCTCTTCAGAAGGCGCTTGCCTAACATTGACAACTTCACCATCAGCCCGTTGAAAAAAGTTATCCAGAATATAGACCGAATCTTTCCCGAGAATTAGGAGTCCTTCACACGCTTCAAGCCCCTCAATTCTAGAAATATTGCAAACATGCTGGACTTGGTCTCCCCGATGGAGACTTCTCATAACCTTCCTATTCTTGTCCTCATAATCACTTTGTCCATCCAACGGGTCCTCTATCATTTCATAACTACCCTCAAGGCCCGATCTGTCATCACGATCGCTGTTGGGCGCGTCCGTTGGACCTTCGACTTGAGATTCAGATTCAGTAGGTTCAGCAACGAAAGGAGTGGGTGTGATTCCAACCATGTCTTGTTCAACAGCACGGACTCGTGTGTCTAGTTTAATACTTGGATGCTCATGTAATGTTCTGCGCTTTGGTTGGTAATTTTGCCCTCCGGCCGTGTCATCTGGAGTTATTCGTAGTCTCATCCTATCCCTTCCTTCAGTCTGGTCAAGGCGCCATTTGGTCTCAGTGCTTCCAGCCAGGATCCCATTATCCCGCCTCAAATCACGGTACATTTTGGCAAAAGATGAAGATAAAAATGCTAGGTTGTCCTGTTGGTCTTGTAGGGATCGTTGATGCTTGAGATGTTCAGAGGTAGAAATGTTCGATGTCCAGTGCTCATAGGTGGTATCATGTTTGCGGATTATTTCGTCCTGGGCGATATCAAGTTGATTCCACAGTTTCAATTTATCCTTTCTCTTTGAAAGCCTTACCCGTGCACGTTCATCAGTTTTGTTGTTTTCATCACGAACAAAGGCTTCCCATTTTTTTGACAGAGCGCCGAAGAAAAACAAGTCAAGATCATCGCGTTGGTCATCAACCCAGCGCAGGAAACTATCGTCATCTAAACCAACCAGCTTTTGGAAACCGGAAAACAAGCGTTTTTGAAGGGAGGAACCGGCATAGTTCAGGAGCGCTGACATCTCTGATGGCTTCTGTACCAAATGCACCCGCCACAAGTTTGCAGAAGCCACTCGAACATCTTCATCGTCTGTAACTAATTTAGAATAGAGCAAATAGCATATCAAAGGTAAGTATTCTGCCTGGGGCTCTTCGGTAGACAGAATTACTGTTTGCCAGTAGGTTAGCTTCTTGAGAAAGTCGAGTGCGTCCGACGCCTCAGCCTCAGAGAGCCGAAGTAACACTGTGCGCGAGACCACTGATCGGATCGAAGAGATTGCCTGACTACATAGTCGAATGCTTTTTAGATTCGCAACGTCGGGCTGCTGCAAATATTCGAGGATTGGCCCTGAAAATTCTAAAATGGAAATCGCGCCGTCTATAAACCAACCCTCATAAAGAATTTCCACAAGGTGTGTTAAAAGCTTGGAGACGTTTGTTAAAACTCGAGGTTCCCAGAGAAGTTTCCGGTTTAATAAGATGGTATTTTTGAGTTGAGATAGTACATTCCGAAGGACCCAAGACTCAAAATATGTTTGGTGTTCAACGAACCCTGGAGGAGTTGCCAAGTGGAGCGCCAATTCGAAGTCCTTTCTTGTGAGCACTTGGTCAATGATAACCGCCGCAACCACTTCCAAGACCCCTTGCACAATTGAATGGGCGGGAGGAGTATTCACCCTCTCGGATTTCAGGGCAACAGCCTGGTGAAGTCGAGCCAACGACGGAGCGAGCTGAGATTTATCGGATGACACGAGAACGAAGGAAGAGCGCCGTATAAGGCCATTGTCACCGTCGGGAGGCTCAGAATTCTCTACCGTTGTGGTGCGTAGAACCGGACGAGCATTTGAAAGCGGGCGGATAACCACATCGCGCGTTCCAAATGTCAGTCCGGAAGACTGAGAATGCAGCTCTACATCGGCGCTAACTGCATCTGAGCCAACGACGACTGGAAACAGGAGGAAAAGAAGCTCTTGCACATAAGAAGACGTAATAGTAAAGTCACGAAAATGCTGAGACTTGACATGAATATCGGCAAGAAAGCCAACGACTGTGTTTAACAGCTCAATATTTGACCCAGAAGATGTGTTGAGGGTACCAAAATCTAAAACAAAAGGCCAGTTAGATTGTGTGACATACGAGAAATGGGATAAGAGAAACAAGCAATAAGGTTTTAAGAACCAACCTGGAGGTGTTGTGCTTGACATGGAACGTCGATTTTCTCGATTTCTACTAAGCTCATTTGTGCCTTCGACAACAGATGTTTCGCTGCTTTTCAGGACTGTCGCTTTGATGCCGGCTTTAAGCATTCCTGTAATGACAGGAAGAATCTCAGGGCAGAGGACTTTCAGGTCCCCACCGGAGTTAAATAGATCTAAAAATCCGAAGTGGTCAAAAGGTCGGTCAAGGTCTAATTGACCAACATCTTTTCCGAACAGGATCGCAAAGCAAATCGGCCAAAGAACAGGAATATGCCACCAACGTCTCAGGCAACGTTGCATGATGACGAATCCACCTGATTTGTCTGCAAACTTCCTCGTATAACTGCTGCCATGTGTGACTAGTAATCTCGCAAGAATGGTGGTTGCCAGCACCACCACTTCGGGATTGTTTTCTAAGATTAAGTATAACAACCACTACACAATAAAGATAGCTGTTAGTAAGGAACAAAAGAATAACAGCTTGCGCATGAACTCAGTCAACGAAGGCCTAACCTTATTGGTCACGGTTCTCGCAAATTTGACAATATTCGTCGTGCCATTCTCTTTACAAACGATGTTTGTATATGCTTTCAAGACTTCGATTCCTACTTGAGTTTTGGAGAGGTAGGGTCTATCCAGATTCAAGAAATGGGCAAACCTCGGTTGTTTAGCCCGAGCATCGAAGCGAGCGCCTTTGTGCTTCTGCGAGACACCGTGAATGGAGTAGGTGATAAATAGAGCAAGCGACCGAAAAATTTCCGCCGACATACATGACGTTACGAGGGAACTAAGTGAAGGAATAAAAAGTTTGATAGATTCTGCAGTAAAGTTCTCCCCTTTTATTCCATCCAGGAGTTTCTTGACAACACCTAGAAAAGTTAATGTCAGCGTCATAGATAGGGAAATGCACAGGAATGCGATAGTGCTTCTTACGCATTCGAGAAAGACGCTTGGTATTGAATTGATGATTATTGGACTCGGAGCAGAACGTGACAAATTGAGAATAATATATCTCAAGCAAAGGCAGATCTGCTAGCCTCCAGATGTCCAAATCAACGAGAAGGACCCGATAAGCTAGTGGGTTAGTAATTATAGACTTCTTCGGGTCCTGGAAGTCATAGCCAACAAATTTTAGTATAAGGAGGAGAATCTCCATAGCTAACCCATTGTGGTGCTCAGGGGTTGAAAATAGAGCGGTAGGCTTCGAAATGGCATTCTGAATGTGAGATGATAGACCAAGTTTCTCGCGAAGAAGAACAGCAAGTATGCTGTAAGCATTCTCCCGCTCCATCGCCTCACTATTTCTCCAGTTATCTTGGACGGCTTCGAACAGAGATTCGACAGCTATACAAATACTATCGGACGTGGATGCTGCTTCGATCAAACTGAGATGTGGCGCAGCACATCCACCAATCCGCCAGCTAGCATCATCCAGTGACTGTGGTACGATCACAACAGGGTCTCCAGTCAAAGTTGCAACACCATGTGCTTGGGTTAACGCATCATTTATTGCAGGAACGGAACCGTTGATAGCAACAGCGTTTCCACCAGCCTTAGTGAGACGATTCAAATTTCTGGCAGCCTGTTTTGACAGTGACTTAACGAGCTGTGATTCATCAACATTATTGCTATCATCATCATCGAGGATTGTCATTGGGGATATATTCAGCAGGACAGAATTTTCTGGAATCAGGCTACTGGCTTTCTGACGAATAACGGCGACGATATCCGACTGCTCTTCCTTACCAGGATGGAAACTCTCATTGCGCAAATTCAACTGAGCGGATGCTTTGTAAGTCTGAAATGACCCTAAACAATCCTGGAAATTGCCATGATATCGAGGGCCCAAATGGTAGAAAACCGCTATAATATCATCCGTAAATGCCTCATCGAATAAGATAGCAGAAGCCAAGGACCATCGGGACGTTGACACCCCTTTTCCAAGCCGAGTTGCCAACTCCTCCGGAGTCCCTAAGAAGGCTTGGACGCGAGGCACGCGGTGAGGGGCAGTAGTAGCTGGAATAGATGGGTACTCGGGTTTTAACTGCTCTACGAACTCCCCGTTGACAAATAATGTTGCCCGTGACGATGATATGGGTCGAGGTCTTTTATGGACAATGCATATATGGTACCATTTACCAAGCTCAAATACCGTTGATTTGAAACGAACACTCGGGCGAGCACCCTTCATTGACGTCTGGAGGATAAAATTATGAGTATCCTTTTCAATATACGCTAGTACAAAACAAGCCTGGCTAGGATCAAAAGCTCCAAATATGGTGGTGTGAGCAGCCGGGTCAAAGTTATCGAAGCGCACCCACACGGCAAGAGTATACCCAGCAGAGTGGCTGGGTGGAAATGGTTTGCCCAACGCCGGTAGCTCAAGGGAAGAATATCCATGCCTGGAGAGGTCAAAATGAATACATGCTGGATTCTTCGACGACTTAATTGCGTCCAGTAGGAATCTCGAAACGTTGGGGGTGTCATGAGCCGCTCGGTAAAGCTGCGCAGCATCTTCCAAGTTATTTATGCCCTCGGAGCATAATATACTCGCTAGTTGGCGATACAGGTCCCGCTCTTGTCCGAGCGCTTTTGAATCTATAACGATTGGCAGAAGGCTGCTGAGCATTGCCGTTGAATGGAGTGCTAATAAATTGCGCTGTGACTGCTTTGCTAGGTGAATCAAGCACGCCGGAATAGCTAAATGCAGGATAGAGCCCGGAAATTTTGATGACTGTGCGAGCCATAGTCTCAAAAGAGGACCCACGAACTCGCCATTTTCGATTGTTTCTGATTGGCCTAGAGTTTCACTGGTGACTTCTTGCACTATTGCTGAGGAGTTTGGATAATCATTTTTTAGATCAACATTTCTCCCTATCACTGCGAAAAAGTCAGAGAACATCTCTTGCGTCAAAGCCGCAGCAAGGAGTCCGCCATAAAACTGCTCAATGTCAGCAGTATCAGGGGAACTGGTTCCTTCCGCATGCTGGCCCAACTTGTTACACAATGGCGACAGGCTACTTTCCAGAAGCGCAACACCACCCGAATCCAGCTGTTTGGAGAAATATCTCTTGTTGCCAGGGTGGTCTTTCAGGCTTTCGGCAAGAACACCATGGATATCTTTAGTTAAGACTAAAAGGCTCTTCCTATCTTCCTTCGATAATGTAGAGGGGTCATAAATGTCTCCTATTAACCGTAGCAGCCGGAGTAGAGTTTGGAAGCCAAGCAGTTGGCGGAAAATGTCTTTTGCGCCTCTGGCGTTATCATCGTCGATAAAAGTGTGGCGCAACCGGAGGAGATTCTCAGTTGCGCTAAGGATATTTTGGACTAAGTCAGTCTTCTGATTGCAAACATCAGTCAACGACGCAATAACAGGACGCAATTCAGCAACCAGGCGCTCCGAGGCTAACAAAGGCGGAGACGATGGGCGCTGAGGGCGGGAGGAAGAGCTATTCATGGTTCCTTCGAGGGACCTATGTCTTCTATTGTAAATTACCAATGATTAGGGCCAGAAAGATTTTAATCCGGTCATTGGGAACATGCCACAGGATTTAACTACCGGAGTATAGCGTTCAGTGTTCAGGTCATGTATTCGTCATCTATGATGGTCAAAACGAGCCCTCTCCACTGTGAGATGACCCGATGCCAACGTGTTTCAAACATTAGATGTTGAATTCAACAGGTTAAATAACGAAGAGTATGGCGAGACGAGAAGGCGCACTCATGAGAAACAGAAAGCTGTCGTCTTACTGCGCCGGGGAAAGTCAAGGGTTATGTTTATCAGCTCTGTCTGATATTGCCTTCATGATGTTCGGAACGGAACATCGTTTGTGACGCTGTTGATTATATAATCAGGCATCCAGAAAGCAATCCCATCTTGACCAGCAGCTAATCTAGATAATTCCACACAAATCTTTGGACAGTCCCGCGAAAAGTTATCCTCCAGCCCCAGGAATCCACAAGGGAAATGATTGACAAAGGGGCGATTGCTACAGTGCCGTTACCTGTAACCAATCGTTACCCCAAGTATAGTAGATTAGGGGTGATCGATCTCGAACTGATATGTCCATTGCTTCGCAGCTAACCCTTCATATGCTCTTAACATCATCTATCAAATCTTTGAGGAGAGTGACAATCTTGCGACCTGTAAGAATGGCGTCGCAGAGTGGAACATCAACCTTTACTTCGAATCTATAAAAGTTCTCGTTTACTAGTTCCCTAATCATCGGAATCATTCATTCATCCTTGTTTGCTTGCTTGCCATTGCAGGCAACTAACCTTTTCAGCATGATATAGGCACACTCCTATCAGCGAGTCATTTGTAACCATTTGGGCAGTGCGATTCTAGTGTCAGGGCCTCCTTGACTGGATGCAAGCTTAGTTGCTCGGGAGTAGGTGCTGTTCATCGTTGAATAGGCCTTGCCTACGATTCGTAGACTGCTGTGCTCTTGCCGGACTGCCAATACTATTATCAATCAATGTGCAAGACTGCTTTGTCACTAGGGGTGAAAAAAGACTACTTGGTGAACTAGGTCTTTGGTATGCACTTGAAATACGGATATCATAGGGTATCTTGGGATGGGCCTTGACCTTGCTGAGGAGTCAAATGTTCGCCCGTATGTATGCGTCCTTGCATTTGGTAAGGCTCCCATTGGAATTTTACATTTGTAGAGACACCAACTTTGATAAAGAAACTCCTGCCACACAAAATCGGGTGTAGGGCAGTAACTGAACTCATCAATCGATACTGCGTACACCTTATGCCAAGTAGTAGTTGTTGACTCACACCGCCTGACAGGTAGGTGTATGCTGTGGTGTTCATGAGACGGCCCGGTCCACGATCGATTCATATTCTCACAAACCCGTATTTGTTGCTGACTACCGCTAGAGTCGTACATGAAGCTGATTGATTAATTCAAAAACTTGACGCCGGCATATAATCGCCAGCGAGCCAACCCGTAGTCCTCTCACTGCATATTTCCTACTGGTCGTCATGCCAGCTAATAGCCAAAATGATGGAGTAGAGGAAAAAGTAGTCGATCGCGCTCAGGCAAATGACTCTACTGGGAGCTTTATGGAACAGACAGCGTTTGCAAAATATGTCGGGAAGGGAGAATTGAGATCTGTAAACAGAGGATGATAGATATAGCATTTCCCAGCTTTCCATGTATTTATCAAGCTACTCCTTATATGTATTGGATATGGTGCTTATATCAAAAGAACTCTCTCATCCAAGTCATTTGAAATACACATCTATTGATCTCCGCGAAGTTGACTCCAAAGGTGGCAGCTAGATGCAATGAGTTTCATCAAATAATCAGATGCTTATTTTTCTTTCTCCCTCTTGCACAAAATTTTCTAGTTGACAGTGAAGCTCTTTACTTTGACTTGATCACTGAGCCGTAGAAGAACACTGGTAGCCATCCATCTGATGATTTGAACTCGTGTCAGACAACCGGCTTTTAAGGATACAACAGACGAACCACACCATTGTTGCTGCAGTGCTGGAGCTATGGTTCGACCCTCTACCGCGGATGTTCTGCACGTTCAGCTTCCAACTTTCCAAGGCTCCGGGTAACCCAGCCCATGTGACCCCCCGTTGGCCAGGCCACCGCCAACCCTGGGCCCTGGGTCAGGCGGTACCAGCCACATTGTTGTGACCATACCGATACCAGACTAACCCAGCGCTTGCATCATTCCCCGTCCTCCCCCGAAACTTCAACTCTCTTGCTCTCCCCAACTTCCTCGTGAACCTAGCCATCTCCAACCTCCCTTCAACCCAGCTCTCTCTCCTCATCTTCCATCCATTGTATCCTTTTCCTTTGGCTTCAAATATCCTGTCTTCTGTTTCACTCCTTTCCTGCGCCCTTCATCACCATGAAAGGCCTTCTCGCCTTATCGATCGTCCCGTTACTGGCGGCTGCGTCACCAGTTGTGATTGATTCCATCCACAAAGATGCCGCCCCCATCCTTTCGTCGGTGGATGCAAAAGTGATTGAAGACTCATACATTGTTGTCTTCAAAAAACATGTCACCAGCGCTTCAGCGGTTGCCCATCAGAACTGGGTGCAAAACCTCCATACTACAGCCATGGCCAAGAGATCAAAGCTTGACAAACGTAACCAGTTTCCGTTCAAGAACGACGTGTTCTCTGGCCTGAAACATACCTTCGATATTGCCGGCTCGCTTTTGGGATACTCGGGCTCATTTGATGAGGAGGTTATTGACCAGGTCCGCATGCATCCAGATGTAAGTTGACTCCCAAATGTTTTGCTCTTTTTCTTGATGGAGCTCGTCACTCTAACCCATTGCCTAGGTCGATTTTATCGAGAAAGACTCCGAGGTCCATACCACGGCCCTCGAAACCCAAAATAATTCTCCATGGGGCCTCGCCAGGATCTGTCATCGAGATACCCTGGACTTTTCCACCTTCAACACATACCTCTACTCGGACCTGGCAGGTGAAGGCGTCGACATTTACATCATCGATACTGGCATCAACACTGAGCATGTTGATTTCCAAGGACGTGCATTCTGGGGAGCCACTATCCCAGTAGGTGAAGAAAATGTTGACGGAAATGGCCACGGAACCCACTGCGCTGGGACTTCCGCAGCCGCAACATTTGGCGTTGCCAAAAAGGCTAACGTCTACGCTGTCAAAGTCCTGAGGTCCAACGGCTCGGGAACAATGTCCGACGTCGTTAAGGGCGTTGAATATGCCGCTCAAAGCCATCAGAAACAAATGAAAGCTGCTAAGGAAGGTACCGGCCGGAAAGGCTTCAAGGGTAGTGTTGCCAACATGAGTTTGGGCGGCGGACCTTCGCGTGTCTTGGATCTCGCTGTCAATGCCGCTGTTGACACCGGTATGCACTTCGCTGTGGCCGCTGGCAATGATAACGCCGACGCCTGCAATTACTCACCTGCTGCTGCTGAGTCTGCCATCACAGTCGGAGCCTCCACTCTGTCCGACGAACGTGCTTTCTTCTCTAACTATGGCCCATGCGTTGACATCTTTGCCCCCGGCCTTAACATCCTCTCTACCTGGACTGGCAGCAAGTACGCTGTCAACACTATCTCTGGCACTTCCATGGCATCTCCTCACATAGCTGGCCTCGCGGCCTACTTCGTCTCTCTCTACCCGTCGACACAGTCCGCCTTCGCTGTCGCGCCTCTTTCCCCCGAGGACCTTAAGACTGCCCTCGCCCAGATCTCCACCAAGGATATGCTGACTCAGATGCCTGAGGATACCAAAAACGTAAGTTATATCCGGAAGTGTATTATTGTAATACAACTATCATTCTTTCTAATACTTTTTGATAGTTACTTGCCTGGAACGGAGGTGGTTCTTCCAACTACTCAGAAATTGTGGGAAAGGGTGGATACAACGCTGGCTCGTTGAAAGATCAGACGAAGGATGCCCTCGACAGGCTCGAAAAGCTCGCTACTGACGAGCTCCACGCCATCTATAGCGAGATCAAGAACGCGTTCATTCTATAGAAACCTAAACCATAACTTTTGACATGCACCGATGATTCCATGTCTGCGTAACGTGGCCGGTACTAGATTGGGTGCTGTGGTTGATGTGATGTCCTAATCGACAGGCGTAGATTTTCCTAATAATTTGATTTTCCATCCGCCCCTTACCTCTCATTGCTTATGTGCAGTTATCTTCATGCGTTGCCTCGTTTCTCTCACCAAATCTCCTATGAAGCATGGGTCGTCACAAGCTAGTACGTGGTTACATGTGCGGCTTGAGTTGTTTTTTCTTGTTCAGGTCATTGTTATCATTATACATACTGGGGCCTTATTAAGTAGTATATCTGTGCGATGAAATGGCGACAACAGTTTTTTAAGCCACCGATTTACACCTTTTCTGCCACCTGTAACACCTAGGTGCGAGGATTTTTAAGATATGAAAAGGATTTATTGGTAACTACTCATTTCAAATTTTCAATTCTCACAGAGTCTCTGTTTTAATTTTTTTCGTTGCCTCCTCCGGGTTGAGTTCGCGAAAATGTAAAGAAATCTGGAGGAAAACATCTGGATGCGTCCTCTCGCCTCAAACCGTTCTCCATTTTGGCGCCGGAGAGGAGAGGAGAGTCATGGCGTTTGATATTGGGAAAATAGGAAGCGTATGTGAGGTACGTACCCCGTACCATTTATTTATTATTTCTCGGCAGGCGCCGGTCGGTTCATTGTTGTGTTTTGGCCCTTTTTTTTGAAGCTTTTTTTTCCTTGCTTTGGTCAAAAGTGAGGCAGCAGCAACAGCTCTCCCCACGAGCTTGTTTGATCCCGGGCTGCTTGCTGTTCACGGCACCGGTTCCGATTGGATTAGTTTGCAGAATAGCTTTTTGCTTTTCTTTTCTTCGTTGGAGCTATGTATGCTTCCCGACTTTTCGCAGCTGGACCAACAAATACCGTTACTTTTGCTTTTTGCCGCAATATGCAGACGACGGCCATAGCTACTGTTTGTTATTGGTTGTTATTGGCCATGTCCCGAAGCACGTCTTCTTGCAGCTGCGGAATCAGTGCTGTTTTGGACTCTGATGTACCGTACATACCAGCATGTAGCTATATTCGGATGAGCTGTATATTCCCTGCGCCTGCTGGAATCACCCCACATTTCGCCTAGCTTTGATAGTACAGTACATGTAACTTCGTGGAATTGCCGATTTTCAACCTACTTGATTTGCCGCCATAGCGCAGCTCTGCCTACAAGAAATGAAATCGAAACGGGGGTTGACGGACGTTCTCTCATTGAGTTTCTCGCGCTAAGTGGTAAGGGTTAGGGAGGATCTAAACGGGAAGTTTTCACGAAAATGGGGACCTGGCATGCTGAAGATTGGCTTCCAAAAAGGATAAAAATTTAAAAATTTAAAAATTCAAAATTCAAAAATAGAAATAAGCTGGCGGCTGCCGGCTAAGCCTCGGGGATTTGAGGTCGATAAAACAATAAAAGAGAAAATTTGTCGTGGTTGATGTTTGTGTTCAGAAACCGAATCCGTTTTGAATAACAATATCCACTGCCCGAAGGTGATAACGGTTTTACGGGTGTGGGTGTCTTCTCTTGAGTTGATCACACTGTTGTCAACATGCACTGCATTGATATATCGCCATACAGCCGTGCTGCCGTGCCGCGGTCTTCAATCTAGAACCCAGCTCCGGGCCTTTTGAATGGAATTCCCAGCTGGAACAACTCTGCTGGTTCTGATATCAGATGCTAGATATCTAGTTTGCTAACCGTACCCGCCAATAGGCGAATGGCTAAGTCTTCCCTTGATCACACCATTTCTTCTACATAGCAGCTAATTCCAGTACTACATGCCACACAACTGGGTTGGGCAAATTCACCTAACTCCCCGCAATCACCAAGGGCCAATGCGAACATTTCCTGCTTCATGCTTAAAACTTACCGAAAGGACCCTTCGTCATTTAAACCTTATTTCCCCTCGGTCTGCTTTGGTCGGTTCCACTAAGCAACAACCATCCGCTGGAATCCACACCGCTGTCGGGTTCTCCGAGCATTTGCCCTGCGAATCAAGGCACTTATTCCCGGTATTATTTTGCCATCAGGAAATCGGAATGGCAACAACGATGCTGTTGATGGGCAATGAGAAGAACCTGGAGGGCCTCAGGCGTATCAGGATGGGCCCGCTTAAGTTTGGCGGCAAGTTTTATCTTTACGGGTCCAATCAAGCTGAACGCAGTTCATATTTTCGGCCGGAAAACTGAGCCCTGCCATGGTCCAAAAAGTTACGCGAGTTTAAAAATATGATGTACTGTGCATGGACACAAACTCCAGTGGACATTACGATATCTGAACCCTTGCTCCTTCAAAAAAAAAATTATGAGGTACAAAAATAGTAACGAGTATGTTTTTAGTTTTATTTACTATTGTGTCTTATTTTACGCGGGATATTCGCCTGCTGTTCACTATAGGTTTTGATAAGCGTGTTCTTGCTCGCGCTGAGCAAACCAAATCCTTGAACGCCTTCTTTTTATATCCAATTGAAGCTCTATAAAAATAGATCAATGACAACCGCGGTAAACGCCAGCCCGGCGATTTCGAATTATTTTCCGCCATAACCTTAATAGGAACGCTTTTGGGAAGATCATCCGGGAGCTAATTTTGCCCAGTGCTGGTGCAGAAGCTCGGGTATTGGGGGCAGGAGAGTAGGAATGGGAAATGCGGGACACCTGTGCAGTTGGTTGAGGGTCTGCCATAGCGAACTGCGGTTACGGATGCTGGGATAGGTAGGACGAAGGGGGATTTTTGAAAATGTGGAGGTGGTAAGGTGGGAGGGGAGGAATGGGGACGAGATGCCGAATAACCGCGAGGAAATTTTTCATTACCATGCAGTGGCTAGCGAGCAGGTTGAGGAGTACCGAGTGCTGTGCCAGAAGGGAGCGTGGAAATTAGCTGAGCTGTTGCTAGTATCCCTTGGTTTGCTTTTGGAATATTGAAATATGGTGGTCTATAAATCGTTTTTACTTCTCGCTTCTTGTAGGAGGAACAACTACAATGGGTCACAAAAGGAAATTATTATTTTACATATGAGAGAGCTTGACGGGCTTTGCTGACTTGTTGCCTGGCTTCGGTTTCAGGAGCTGCTTCGGGAACCCGTCCGCCCTCGTGAATGACGGTACGCAATCCCTCTTCAGTGTCCTTCAATGCGCGGCGGCCTTCCTCGCGGACCTCGCATTCCCACAGGCTGCGTGCAGCATCCCATCCCTTCTGTTGCCGGCGTAGCGAAATGAAGAGGCCAATTGTTGCGATTGTGCCGGCTTCGTATACAGATGCACTGGATGTGGAAATGTATACCAAAGCAGAAAGTGCGGCACTGAGTGATGTTGTTGACAAGCTGAAGAAGACAAGATTTTGTGCGACGGCATGTAAGGAGGGTACGCTGGAGGTTGTAAGACGGCCCCGAATGTCTGCGATTTGGGATGGCCAAGGCTTCTCAGGGGACACCGAAGACGAATCCTCAGTATGGGGTACCCTGATATCCGGGGACTCTTGAATTTTGGCTGTAGTATATGTATTGTTGTTCAATAGCCCTGCCTGATGAATTTTCCCACCAATCCAGATCACCTCTTTCTCCGCCTCGGGAAGCCATTTCGTCCTTAATATCCGGGAGGTGACCATTCCCACGTCGTCCACATGCCAAAACAGCTTCCACCAAGCTAGATCTCGCCACGGTTTGCTTGCAAATCCGTCGTTGAGCGAGTCGCGAAGTTCTGTGTGCGCACGTTCAGCCCACGTTGTGACTGTCCTGTCCAAATCCAGTCGTACTTCTTCTGGAACGTTCCTGGCTTGCTGCACCAGTATCTTTTTGTTTTCTTCAGCACTAATGCTTTCTTCAACCCCATCCAGCAATGACCCAACAAGTTTCTTAATTGACGGATCTAGAGCGGCATCATCCGGAGGAGCAGACACCCAATCTATCAGCGGCTGCACCCCACTTCCCGACCACCCTCTCTCGTATTCTGTAGCGTTTTGGGCGGATTCGCGAAACATATTCAATGCCGCCTCTGCACGATTGGGATCAACACAAGAGACACCATTTCTCCTCTGGGCCGAACCCTGGCCTAGTAATTCGAAGTCAAATGTTGCACATATTGAATCCGTGTCTGTAATGTTCGCACGTTCCGCTAGTTTTGTATATGCTAGCAGCCCATCAATGCCCGTTCCATAAACAATGCTCTTATGAACAGGGTATCTGACGAAAGTATGGGTTCCGGTACTAGTCGATTGGATGGCAATTGTTGGAACAAGGAATGTGTTACTAGTGATTTGGGCATCCGAACCCGCGTTCGTACTGAGGTGTGAAAGAAGAATCTCCAAGTTGGCCGCTTTCAGCACTCTCGAGGGGATCGATATGGTTGGCACGAGGCTGTTCTCCACTGCGAGATCTGTTTGTTCTCCATACCTACAAACCGGGGGTTGTTAGTAAGCCTACTCTTTGTTAAAGAATAGCATTCAACGATGTCGTACTTTATCAATAAGCTGCCGGATCTATCCACCCGATGTGCTTCCAAATAATCCTCCCATTGTTGTTTTGGACTCAGGGGATCTGCCAGCAGTAGTCGGACAAGCCTGGGTGCCGTAGCTGTATTACCTAAAGCAAGGACTGTAATAATCAGTTGCTCCGGTCAGCCTTGAGTTGAGCTTCAAAAGCGAAAACGCGGTCAACATCCTTCCGAAGCAGTCTAGAAGAGTTCGCGAAAACATACCAGCAACCCGGATCACAGGCCTCGTTGTCTCCAAGCCCCTCAGCGCCAATTGCAGCCTGCTCGAATTGACATGGTTGGAAGCGGTATCATGGACACTGTTTAACGCGGAGTATAGTTCTTGGAACCGCTCTGGTATATTTCTCGTGATATTTACTGCGTGTGCAGCTGCAGATTGGTGCACGAAAGTCGATGCGGAACGGGCTCGGCGAAGGTTAAAATTCCGGTAGCGTGAGTGGGCGGTCCGCAAGGGGGTTGAGCAACGCCATATTGAGCATGACGGACAGAAAAAGACAGCTTCTGTGAAAGGGCCGACCTGTTTTGAGAGGGGAGAACGGAGTTTTGGTGGCATTGAGAGCGAGCGTCGAAGGCGGGTTGTTTGCTGTGGGATGATGATGAGAGGAATTGATCTTCGAAAAAGTAGCATTTTAGCTTGTCTGGGGCTCCATAAACAACCAGACCACAAATATTCCCTCCCATAGGTACTGAATGGGAATCGGAACCTTGACTCTGTTTATCATTCTCCCTTTTGAATTTCTTTTCCGGTGGGATCACTTGCTCAATTTATAGAGCTGGATATTTCCAATCACATTACGGAGGCGTAAAAGTCCTTGCATTATACTGGTTACATTACGCGCTCAATGGGCCACTTTATCAACTTGAAGTGCGAATCATTTGTCAAAATCCCCTGATAGCGGTCGCAGGAAGGAAGATTGAATAACTACCTGACAAGTGCTGATTCAGCGACCGGATAGATTGAATAATTTATCAGCTACAGTTTATGTGTCTATCGCAGGCTCAATTCTCCGTATCAGGCTTGAATACATCCTCCATATTTTATGATATAACGAAAAGGTTTGCCCCCTAAGCAATCCCGAGAAGACAACAATATTCAGAGCAAGGATTTTGTTGTCGTGGCACCAGCTTTGGGGATATCATTCACATATATCGCTTGTACCATTCACGAGAATACTGCAAGGCGGGACAAAGGACCAGGAACGAGAGAACAACGGCAGAAACGGAAGAAATAATAACACTTTGCATCCAAGGTGAGAGTCAATATTATTACTACGCTCCGCCCCATATTTTCAAAAAATCCTTCAAAATTTAGGTCATTACTTTGGCGTCAAAAAGGGGGGGAAATTAAAGCAAAAATGAAAAGAAACAATCGCACATCCACATATGCTGACCCCTTCTTGCTGTCTCTTCAACTAGTATTCGTACGATGCCTAAGTTCAAGTAAAGGACTATCTCTTCGTATGGCAAGTTGTGGGACATATGTCGTTTTAACATGCAATTATATCGTGAGACAATAGCCTACTAGCTAAGGGATTTTCTAAGTAGAATCGGATGACAAATTTGCTTTAAAACAATTTTCCTTCCCTTTTATTATCACTTTATATGATTTTCCTTCTTTGGCCATTTACTCAGGCCGGGTGCGACGGCCTCTACCGGTGCCAGACGACCTGTATTGTTGTTTTCTGTTAGCCTGCTTGTCGCTGGCACGGAAAATATGGACTCAAAGATAAATCGTGATAAACTTACATGCTGATCCTTCTAGCAATATTAGTCAGACCAGTATCATTCTCTGCCTCCTGGGCAGCACGTTCCAAGGCTTGTTTCCGCTCCTCTTCATTCCTCCTAATCACTTCCTCGTGGGTTGGTGGAAGCCGCTCGTTCTGCAAATCAACCTTGCGTGCATCTTCGAAGTTATGAATTGCTTGCTTGATACCCTCTGCTCCAAGCATGAGGGTGCCTGCAGGAAGGCGGCCACCTGAGGCAGTTTTGAGTTCTGTGACTCGCTCTGCTTCCTCGCGTAGCACTTGGAAGACCCGTGAGAGACGACCAATAGCTAAGATCTTGTTCTTGATCGCTCGTCTCTTAAATTCGGTGCTCTCGGGATCCATTGGAAGGGGAGGCGATGCGCGGTCGGAAGATACAGACGAAGAGGGTTCTTCCTCCAGCTCTTCTTTGGAGCAAGTATTCAAAATGGCGATAAGCATGTCGGTAATCTTCTCACCGACAAAGGGGAGAGACCAGGTAAAAACGTCCATGAAATTAGGTAACCAGTAAGGATGGGGAGTGCAATTGAACTGTCTAATGTTCATTACGTTGTTCTCGTATTTCAAAACGGCGGCTTTGTTGTTGTAGACGTCGAGATAGTTTGGCGCACTGAATATCGTCATTACGCTGGGGAACCCGGTCGTTCTGGTCTTCCTATACATTCTGTACCCTGCATCCTGTGCTTCATGGGCTCGAATTATGGAAAGTAAATTGTTTTTTTCCAGGAATGCGCAAGCGGCGGGGTAAGAGAAAAAGTATGAACATCCTCGAACGTTATTGTGCACAAAATATTCACCTGTTTTCTCCTGACCAAATTCCTCCAATGGGTCAGCCCAAAGGATATCGCACATAAGCCCGTGAGTCGGGGGCTCTCTAAAACGGTCGATCTATGCATGGAATTAGTAATAATGTAACTATACAATTTGCTGGACCTGTCCCAAAACGTACCGATTTCAGGTCCTCTAATGTATGCAGTTCGGGGCTAAGGCCACCATGAATGCAAAGGAACTGTTTGTTCATAATGGCCGCGAGTGGTAACGAACAGAATGATTCCGTGCACGCATCGTAGACTCTCTCCGAGTACTTGTGCTTACATTCTAGTTTGAAAGTGAAATAGTCTGTAAGATGACGACACTCGTGATTGCCGCGTAACAACCATAAACTATTTGGATACCATATTTTCAAGGCCCAGAGGTATAAAACACACTGAGTGAAGATTTAGCAACGTCTTTTTACGTCGACAGGTATGTGGATAGGAGGGGTACGTACCTCGATGCTGAAGTAACCTCTATCAACATAATCACCAAGGAACAGGTATCTCGTCTCCGCAGGATCGCCGCCAACTTCGAACAGCTTCATTAGGTCGTAGTACTGGCCGTGGACATCGCCACAAACAGTAATTGGCGCATCCATCTCCAAAAGATTAGGTTCCGCGCGCAATAATTGGGTTCCTGTCTGTATAATCCATAACGCCTGCTCTTCAGTGAGGCGACCTTCGCGATAGAAATGTTGCTTAAGAAACCGCAGGTTGGGTTTCGATGGGTCTTCTGGCGACCAGAAATGCTCGTTGGTTGGAAGTTGGAAAGCGGGCGCTTGCACATCTATCAAAATAATTAATTGTCGTGTTAAAATTTAAAACCCGAAAAACAAATCACCTTTACAAACTCTCTCATGTGTGGAAACTTGAGTTCCGTCTTCCATTGTATGCAGGGTGAAGTCGATTTCGGGGACGGGCCTTTTCTCTGTTACCGCTCGCTCTATTTGGGCCTCCATGTTTGTTCGCTTCGCTCCTCAATGGAAAACGGTTGGATACGATGGTATTTGATAACGGTGACGAGGCGGCTTCAAGGCAATGCAGGTGAAGGGACGGCAACCCACGCACCCGAACTGGAGTATATCAGTAATCGATTGCTATTCAAGGGGCAACGACGGAAGAGGTTTAATCGCGGCAAAGAAAACAGGCGTGGGATGCAAAGAGTGAGTCCAGCCGCCGGGTATCATAAGTCGGAGTATTCAATTAAAATATAGAATTTAGAATGCACAGCGTGGGAGTGAATTTCTCCACAACAGAGTGGGCGATGGGGATTCCTAAGGGCTCTTTGGAATCGATGGTTAGGATAAGTAACTGGATTGGGCAACTCGGATGAGAATGATGAGTGTGAACAGCAACAGGTTTTCGTAGACGGTCGTCTTGACTGGGAGAGGAAAACCTGGCCGTCGCAAATCGCAAACGTATTACTGAGATCGCAATATTGAGGGGAACTGGGAAGGTTGGTTGCAAGGTCCGGTCATGTTGGCGATATTGTGTGGGGGAAGATGAAATGTCAGCAAACCCCTCGATTGAGCCGCTGGTAAATTTCAGCCTCAACCCCAGCTTCAACATCCAACATCCATCCAACGCCACCTGTCTAACATCCACTGCAACAAAGCTACATAAACTGCACGAAAGTCCATCAGGCATATAACCCTCACCTTATATTCCTTACTTTGTCAACGCGTGACTGTAGACCACTTCTCTGTATGGTTCCCGGGGTTTTGGACACCTTAAATCGACATTCTTATCGGTGATACCTCCCCGAATTTTATGTTTATTTTTCTTTCAATATCCAGAATCATTTTCATTCATCCAAATTCATGTACGAATCATATAGTCAGTATTTACTCTGGTGCCCAGCTCGTCCAGTTCCAAAAGCTCAGGATTAACAAACACTTCAGAACCCCACCCACTCCTAGCTCAGATACCCTTGACTGTGTCTCCCTTTATATCCTTACCTACAGCAACGACGCTTCCGTATACATATAAATCTGTGCCGTCCACACTTCCACCCTCAGTCGCACTCGGCCCTAACAGCTCGGAGAAGGCCCGCTATGTCATTTCCTCTGGGCGAGGCCATGTTGTTCACCCTGGTAATGTCCTAGCATCATGCGAGGCGCTAGAGAAAGACATGAATAAGATCAGAGAAGGTAGCCTGGCTACAATCAAAGACTGGGAGGAGTCGATAAAACAACGCGATTTGGCAGAAAAACGAAGAATTGCTCCCGGATGGCTGGACCGTGAGGAAAAGCTGCTGCAGCCAGTGAAAATATCCCGACCCGCGTCTGAAGCCCATACATCTCCCCAATTGAGTCAGCAATTGTCTCCGGGAGAAAATGAGGAAACTAATCCAGATACGGTTTCAACAAGTGAAGGCGAAGCGCTGGTTCGTGCCTTTGGCAATCTCGAGTGATTGAATGAGCTGAAAATGGGACTCCTCCCAGGTTGAAATATTGAATTGAAGCGATAGACAAAAAATATAGCTTTCCAAAAGCTAATTACCCACAAAACACGGAGTAGCCTAAAGCACAGATGGTGAACGTTTGGCAAAGCGTCACCTGGATATAGAGGAAATTTCCACCACGCAATACCCCGAACCCGCAGATACTCTACGAAATTATGGCGGAAAGAGGACGTTAGCAGACAGTGCCTCGTGGGCAAATGCTATCATAACTCTAGAATGAAAATTGTTACTTTCTGCATGCTCGGCCATACTGCCCCTCCTGCGCTGTGGACAGACTTGTATGGCTAGATTATTCAGCGCCCGAACAACTATATTAATGGGAAATGAGGAAATGAGAAATGTGAATTAACAGCATCGGGACATGCCCTTACACCACCCTTGTACCATGTTCTCGTTTCACACAACGTAATGCGCTTCAACTCCATATCTCGTTCCTTACCCTCAAAATCTCAGGATACCACAGAGTCAGGATCGTCAAATTGAAGTTGCCACGCTAAAAACAAGCCAAATCAGTTACTGCCAACCAAGTAACGCTACAAATTATAACTATGGGTTATTTAGCTGCGAAATTGGACATGCTTACTGGATGCATAACCGGTAAAAGTCGACCAATCCTCTGAAAGGTAATAGGGGATACCATTCCGCTTTATCCTCTTCAAGACGCCCATTCCACCCAAGGCTGGACGAATGTTCTTGAGCGAAGTCACCTGCTTTAGGACTCCAACCAGATATGCCAAGGCCAATTCTCGGCCAAAGCATTGGTGGGGACCGTCGCCGAAAGCTATATATTTTTCGAGTGGACGATCAAGTTTTATTTTCTCTGGTTCAGGATACGCCTCTGGATCTCGACATGCTGCTGCCTATTTTAACGTATTAGTTCACAACCCTCCGAACAATGGGATGCTCTGCATTGGTGAACTAACAAAATATGCAATAATTTGCTCTCCCGGCTGGAAGCTTTGATTGCCGAATTTTCCAGGCTGGGTCGCAACACGCATCGTAACGTGGCCTGCGGTCAGGCGCTGCATTTCGAGAACGTATCGCCGAAGATCATTGTCTGCCCTTTCGGAATTTTCAAGAGTAAGGTGTCTAAATGCTTCGAGGTGTTCTACGTTTTCGGGAACTGCAATCATAAACTCCAAGATTTCCGCAAGCTAGATATATGTACGGTTACATGTTGTCAGTCATTGTCCGCCCACCAAAAATTAGATATTTCGCTCGCAACATACCGTGCTAATAGCCGCACCAATACCACCGAGTGCCGTAAATATCATAATATCAGCTATTTCCTGCACCGACTTTCCATTGGCGAGAAGCTCCATGATGCAATCACGTCCAAAGGAGCGTAACGAAGTGTTGATGCCATTGGAACTGAGACCATTTGTCACGGCTCCTACGAGATTACGGATTCTGATTGGACTCGTCACCTTTTTAATGTATGCTTCTGTGGAAGCGAGTAGTCTCCTAGTTGACACTTGCGCGTCGCGACGGCGGTTCCACGACTGAGCGGGATCATCATTACCGAATCCCCAGATTCGGATATTCAGGAGATCGCCGTACAGGCCGTCAATGTCATATGTTCCCGAAGTGTTCTCCTCTGTTTTCAGGTCGAATTGGAAGAGGTCGCCCATAAATCTTGTCATGACAGGAATTGCCACGCTTTATTTTGACATCAAGATGGATTAGCTGGCTTTGAAATATGGATCTAGAAATGGGGCTGAAGGTCTGTGGGTTATTGCAAGGGATATTGTTGAAAACAACTCACTCCTTCAGGATATCAACGTGATACGTGCCTCTCCCAATCTGGAACATACTGCTGGTTAAAAATATGTCAGTCTGGTCTGTGATGAACTTCGAGAGTAGTTCCTTTAGTTCGCCACTTCCGTAAAGCGCGGCACCGTATAAGTTTCGCTGCTCCCTGTTCCGTGGCATATCCCCGGCAAGCATGAAATGGCCAAAATCGCGACCCTCGATGAAATTTTCATAAGGCTTTCCAAAAGGAATCGGGAACCCCTTGGGGTCAGTCAGCATTTGACTGATTTCTGAGTGTTTCGTTAATATGAGACGACGTGGAGGTGGCTTTGGATCGGTCTCGGTATATTGAAACATCGTCCCGATCTCCATTGCGATTTCCCGGTTCATATCTGGCGTGTACATTGGCTGCATTACTGAGAGTGAGTTATACGGGAACCACCCTGGCAGCCCACGTTGGATGAGTTTATAGAACATAGATCCTCCGAGACTTGATTTTGTCAGCGCCATATATGTGCAAGGTTCCCCATCTGCAAGGGTATCTTACGTATCATAATCCTGTTGGACTTCTGCCATACCCCAATTTGTCAATGTGGCGACATTGTAGTCCTGCGGAATGTGTTAGTGATGGCGAAGCATGTAGGATATTCTGAAGCTAATTCTCACTGTGGTGTTGAATCTATCTGAACGAACAAGGGTAATTGCGTCAGAAAGAACGGCTCTACCGATGGTGTAGGGCGTGCAGACGCCTGAGCCTGGGTCCATTCTTGGCTTCGCGTCCTCAACATATAAGCCTGGGTACGCTTCAACCATGTCGGGATGCCCATAGAGGTTTCGGAGATGGTCAGCGATTTCCGGGTCAGGGTTGATGTCTTCGAACGTTTCGTGAGGTTTAAGCTTGAAGAATTTGCGGAACTCATTAAGCGATGCCGTCCTCCTACAGAATACCGAGTATTAGCAAGAACGGGGCGAGAAGAAGAGTAGGACAATAATATAACTGCTGGGCTCCCGACCATTGACGAGCTTGTTGAATCCCTAGGATCTCTACAACTCGCAAAGCTTTTGGTGTGTTTTTGGGGCCAAATGCGCCTAAACGTAGCTCGTTAGCAATAGCGACTGCGCATAATATTGCGAGGACTACATACCAGCCGGGTCTTCAATACTTGCTTTCAATATTCTAACCAGATCCTCATCCCGGAATCTACCATCCTCACCTCTTTTGATGCCGCCAAAATTCCTCTGGCTAGGGTCTTTGGGAATTAGGGTTTCAAATCGTGCGATAGCCTGCATACCATCTTTTAAGGTCAATTCCTCCAAAGACTTTCCGGTACTTTTGAATATTCCCGCGAAGTAGTCGTTTAACCACTTCTCATCTCCTAACGATGTACAAGAGTGGAAACGGTACAAAAGGTTGAATTCGCTCGTGACCTGGTTCCCAATGCCTCTTTCAGGGCCGGATTTTACTAGCGAATCCGGTATGTCGACACGTGGGTCCAAAGTCCACGAGCTGGCCGAATGGTGTGTGTTCGTAATCGCGCGGAGATAGTCGTGAAGACTGATATTAATATACAGTCCCCCGACAATCCTAAAACTTGGTTAGCATATATCTTCGACTTCACGTGGTGGGATGCAACTACAATCTGGCAGTCTGGAATAAGTCCTCGTCCAACTTGGCAAGCGAAGCTTCATCATCTCCCTTGGGGGTGAAACGTCCGCCCTCGTTGATTTGAAGCAGGGTCTGAGCTACATAATTGTGAAACCGGCTATAAAGTACTAGAAGGACGTTGGCACCGGGGGCTTGCCCAATTAATCTCTCGTCGTGGAAAGTGTCAGGTTTGAGGAATCCATTTTTCATAGTTCTGATCTTTAGTTGATCTTCGAGGCTAGAGCCATACAGCGGCGAGAGGTCGAGGTAGGAAGAATTGTTGTTGATATTCATGTCTCGTCGATCGGTGCGGAATATATCTAAAAACAGTGAGCAACTATTCATGCATGGGACAGTGTTTTTTTTTTCACCCCCAATGGTGGTCTTGTCCTGTACCATGGATAATAAGTGCTGCATGATGGAACAGCAGCGATGAGATTCCCCCTTCGTTCTTTTTGAATTTACCATCTTCCCGTTTCATGAGAACTGTTCCTCAAATGTCAGACGCAGCTTTCAGGTGGAGATCATCACCTTTCAACTTACGGTCAAAAAGCAATCCTGGGTCCGGTCGAACACCCGGCAGCCTAGTGTCACTTCGAATCGATCTTGCATACGGCATCCCAGCCTTTCCTAGGTTTGGAAAATGTACATTCTGACGATGATGTTAGTTGTCTTTACCCCTGTGTGGGCCTTGACGCAACCTGGACTCACATTATAGCTCCCATCTGGAGTGCGGTAGTAGAACTGTGGTCCTTGGAAGTTTATTGGAGGATGTTCGAGACTATCCCACAATTTCGTGATAAGTATATTTGTCAATTTAATCCGATGTTTGTTGTTCGGCGGCAATGCGCCGACCATAGCAATGATGTTTTCCATCTATTTATATATCACCAAGCTTAGCCCATGAACACGGAAGGATTTCACCGGAACGTCACCTACTGCAAGCAACCTATCATTCATTGGTTTCCCCTTGATGGTGTCCTTTACAAACTTCACCACATCGCCAACTCTTCTCAGATCCATATTCTTCGGGTGGTGTTTCATGATGGCTAGGACGAGGGAGCCACTGTCAATACCCGTTCCATCATCATCCTTCTTTTTAACATCTGGACTCGTAGATTTCGGAGCGACAATCTGACGGATATCATGACCATATCGGTATACAGCGAAGCTCACAGCAGCTACCACAGCCGTGACTGTCCAATAGAATCCCGCCATTATTCTCTTCGGGGTCAGAAAAAATAGCAAAAAAAATTGACGTTTCACTTGCAAATCCTTAAACCAGAACCAGTGGGGAGTGCGCTCAGTCTAATAGATCTCGAGGAGATAGTAATATATGCCGAAATCTCTCAAGCCTTCAGCTGTCGCCGGCTTTGGTCCTCAAATCATGTAGCAAAGCGGGAAACAGATTCTTCACACCACCGGAGAGAAAGTGGGTGAACGAGTTGTCTTGGGAAGCTCATTATTGACGAAAATCATCCTGCGCAAATCCGTCAAGGTGCATGCAGGTTGACAAGTTATTCAGTCCGCCACATTCATATCAGCGTTGTCCTGTTAGCGCATTTTGGGTCTGGAAGTTTAGTCTGCGTGCACCGGCAGCGGGATGGCAATCACGGATCTAGTAGATGGAATCATGCAGGCGGTTTCGGGACTATCAAGTTATCCCTTTCAAGATTCGGAGCCGAGGGCGATGCCATTGCGATACATTGCCCATTGGCTTCACAATTTCGAGGGTGTTGATCTCCGGACTTGAACATGCATACACTTTACTCTTCGTCACCCCGCACACAGCTTGCCATACTCATTATTGGGGCTTTAACCTTTCAATGGAAAGAGATATCCATTCGCCAACCGACTTTTAATACATACTAGAGCCCTGCAAAGCTGATCGAAGCCTAAGCTATCGCAGCTCTCAACTGTGGTGTCCAACTGCGATTGGAACATTCAGTTGACCGATATTTGGTTCGGATGGAGATTGCTGCCCGATAACTCATTTTAGGATACTTATCGTGCAGAATGATGTGGTTGGATATGTATGTACTCCGTAGTGCGGGTACGTTTGTGGGATTATTTGAACTTCTTATTTTACAAGCCAGCGTGATAATGAGAGAGCATAAGTGGATATTTTATTGTCGTCATCACAACATGGGCGACTCGTGCATTTTGTATAAACATTATTACTCTTGCCGATCGAAGAGTTCGTGATATTCGCCACCCGAAGTCGAGGAATATCTCCCGTTTCACCTGCTCAAATTTCCATTCATCATTTTTGTTTCATTCACTGTTAGTCGAGTTTCCCTTGTCGTTTCCCCTCATAACCAATTTCAATTATGATTCCGTTTAGCACAAATCGTGAGAATCGAAGTGATGTACCTCGCCGGCTTGTCCTTTGCTTCGACGGCACTGGGAACAGCTTTCAAGCGAACGAGTCAGATACAAATGTCGTCAAAATATATGATATGTTGAATCGTTTTGACAAGAACCAATTCCATTACTATCAGCGTTAGTATATCAATCAATACGCTTCAACTCACAATACGTACATTTCCTTCGTTTGGTCACCAAGAATAACTAGGAGCTGATGTACATTCTGTTTTATTAGCCGGGATTGGGACATTTGATGCTGGCACAAGTAACTCTGGCATATCGTTCATAGGACGATTAAGAGCCAGTATCGGATCTATGATGGACCAAGCGATCGGCACCACTTTCGAGTACCATGTTTCCGCTGGATACAAATTCCTGATGAGGTTTTACTCGCCAGGCGATGCGATATACATCTTCGGATTTTCTCGTGGGGCATATACTGCACGGTTCCTAGCTGAGATGATCAACGTCATAGGCCTCCTGTCCCAGGGAAACGAAGATATGATCCGTTTTGCCTTCCAATCCTTCAGCGAAGTTCAACGTAATCGGGGCAAGATTAACAAGAGCACGAAAGAGCGCGACCAAGAACGATACTTAGAGCATTTCAAGCGGACCTTTTGTCGTCGCGATGTTAAGGTATATTTCCTGGGGCTTTTTGACTGCGTGAACAGTGTCGGCCAATTTGACGTTCCTTTCCGACGACAATCCTATCGTTACATTGCCACGGTAAAAACAATTGCTTCCCTGAATTGAATACATATATTTTTTTGTGTCTGTTGTTTTAACATGAAATCAAGCCCCCGGCAGTCCATATCCGCCACGCAGTTTCCATCCACGAACGCCGGCTGAAGTTCAAACCAGCTCTCTTCCTATTCGAAAAGGATCATCAAGATTCTGACATCCACGAAGTATGGTTTGCGGGAAATCACTGCGATGTTGGCGGAGGGTTTCACTATGAAGGCCCCGGAAAGCATCTTCTGTCCGATATTCCCTTGGCATGGATGATCGACCAAGTGAACGCCCTGGGGGACCAGCCAGCTGGCAAGCTAGCATTTGACCAGGAGACGATTAACCAAAGAGGCCATATGAAAGCGGGACGTGCACCAGTGTTGCTGCCAACCCATGGCCTGTCCTCACACACTCCACGTGAATCTGCTCTAAAAGAACGGAGACCACACGACTTCCTCGCTTTCGACCGTGGCGTAACGCGCTTCGCAACGTTAATGTGGTGGATTCTAGGTATGTTCAGACCGTTAATAGATTTACAATCTATACTGTCTCCGATTATCTAGGCTTATCTGAGCGCTAACCGGAATCTCATACTACCTACACAGAAATCCTCCCTCTATTCACCCGCCTGGAACTTGAATACGGAGAATGGATCCCACGTTACTGGCCCCCAAACCTCGGTGCGACCCGTGATATACCCCGAGATGCGAAAATCCACTGCTCTGTAGTTCAGCTGTATAAGGCTGGCGTGCTTAGCGAGATGCCCCGGCTCGGAGGCGACCTACCTCCATTTTTGGAGGATCCCATACTTCTCATCAAATCATTGCCTTTCATGCTCTTGCGGATCCTGATGCCGTGGTACTGGGCTAGCCGTTGGGGAAAGCAAAAGAAGATTCCACCAAAAACGCAAGAGGCCATAAAAAAGAAGATCACCAAGGTAGTAGAATCACATGGAGCTCGGTCATGGAGCTGGACATATTGACGCTTGGTGTTCTCCTCCTGCATGTGTGTTTTGATACGTGAAAACTTTATCATGTAATGGAATTATTTTCTTTCTTACTATCTTTCCGTGGTTAGAATTGCAATGCGGATATGTTTTTCACCAAAAACAACTGGCTCAAAAATGGGGTTGATATTAGGTCCCCCGACCGAACCTCAAACAGCTTAGCATTTCATCTAACAGAGTTAATTTGCGCCACATAGGCTAGGCGGAACACCAATGTCGATCATCAATGTGTCATTACGATCCCTGTGTGCGATCCTGAGCATTGGTATCGTAATACCCCCCAGGGCATTGGTTGAAACATTCTGGCTGCGATTTAATTGCTACCTTGCAGATATTTTAGAGCATCATTTGTAGATCACTAGTTTACTTTACAATATTTTTCTCTAACGCTCATAGGACAACGAGAAAGGATCCAATATGATTTTAGTGTTCTTGGGATTGACTACGGGCGGTGTAATCGTTGAAAAGGTAACTAAGCTGCGAAGACGTGATATAAGCTCAGATTGTTGCATACGCGGCTGGGTGTTGACTTCGACCTGGGCTTTTTCTGACGAAAAATTCAGGAAATTAACTTTGTCGTCGTGCATTATGGAAAATATGTCACTTGAGGTGTGGATGTGTGAGAAAGCTATGAGCTTAGTCGATAGAAACGCTCTTCTGAAGTTTTGAACAGTTTGTATGGATGGATGGATTTGTCTAGGAGCTCGGTTGCATTCTAAATTTCTTTCCAGTTTACTTTCTCTAGATCTTCAATCACATTGCGGAATGCAATCTATGCTGCACTATCAGGTAGTTCAAGTGACGGCTCGGGGTCTGTTTCCACCACAAGCACTTACTTTTATGTGATAAACGTATATCAGGTTGATAACTCCTGCTGTAGCGTTGTATTATTTGACTCCAAGCATTCCCTCACATGTACCCGATATTCAAATCAGTGAGCAAAAATAAGCATTCCGATCCTTTATTTAGTATCATTGGCAATTCAACCTCATATCCATGGCTTCCCAGAGAATATGCCATATGTTTTTAGGCTGAAGGAGCCCATCACTATTCAAACCATCCCTAATTATGCGAGTGGCGCTCTAAACGCTGAGATGATCTGATCGACAGTGGGTCGATTATCAACCCGCTTGTTGAAGTGAGTCCATCTGATGCGCTCGAAGGTTAGAGGACATGCGCTACCACGTAGTTGGCGAGGAATTGGCAGAATGGCTTCCCGTGGGTCATTCACATCCGATACCTATGATATGATACCTACCTCGAGCCAAGCAAATAACCAGTGCTGGGAATTGTGCTGAGGATCTCCACCAATATCTCAATTCCCTTTCAGGGAGATTACGGAAGGCTTTAGTTTGTAGATCCTGTTCAATTTCCGGGTGAAATGGATACTTGACTCTGATACGGATGAGGATCTGAACAGATCATGAGCTTGCTGTGACCGTGCGCAGATGTCCTTTTTGCAATTGCTACTCACAGTTAATCGCTCGCCTTGCTTCCAGACTCTTACCTCACCGGTGTCACCATCTTCGCTTCTTTATGAAGAATATCGCACATATATCATTGACAGCAAGTGAAATCGCATGGGATTGATTCTTTCGTGCAGTTTTCTTTCCGTTCCAAGCTCAAAAGACGGAGATCCACACATCGCAAATGGGGTTATCGCAAGTCATGTTGACCACCGTGATTGTGATGGTTTTTGTGAGCTTTCGTCTGGTGTCTGCAGCAGTGGATTACACGCGATGGCATCCACCAGGACCAGATGACGGTAAGCTATTAGACCAAAAAGTCTTTTGCAAGAAAATTCTGTAATTCTGACAACGTTGACAGTCCGTGGACCATGCCCTGCATTAAACAGTCTCGCAAATCATGGCATACTTCCTCGCAACGGAAAGCGAATGACTTATCCGACCTTGCTTAAAGGCATATTGGAGGGGTTGAATGTTGGATTTGATCTCACACTTGTTGCTGGCACCGGGGGGATGATAGGGGCGAAAAATCCACTTCAGCTCTACTTCAACCTAGATGATCTCGCTAATCACGATTTGTTTGCCGAACACGACGCAAGTTTATCACGAGGCGACATTTACTTTGGTGACAATATCAGCTTCAACGCGACGATTTGGCAGAGCGTCCTCGACTACTTCATCGACGACCGCACTGTAAGCTTGGGAGCAGCTGCTCACGCACGGTTAAATCGAATCAAAACGGAAAGAGCACGAAATCCTGATTTCACATTTAATGCGAAGGACGATATAATTAGCTATACTGAAACGGCGCAGTATTTAAGTGTTTTTGGGAACCCTGATACAGGAAACCCTCGAGTTGATTGGATCAGGATTTTCTTCGGTAAGGAAATTTAGGAGCCTAAGTTCATGCATCAGTAACCTTTCTAATCGATAAAATAGAGCAAGAACGGTTGCCATATCTTGAGGGATGGCAGCGACCATCGAAACAAACGAATGCGCTAACCCTGGCGCCTTTAATCGCAAAGCTCATGATTGCTGGCGGAGAAGTTCTTCCCGAGACATTAATGATGGTAGAAAACACTTTGGGAAAGATACTGACTGGCAAACCCATAGAAGGTTTGATTGGAAGGCTCCCGTTCATAAATAAGACATAATAGCGAAAATGGTTCTGGGTGTATTGTATGGCTATATCTTCATGTTCCCACTGTTGTTTCCCTTTTCCCTCGGCATTGAAGCGCGTTGTTCTTGGGTAGAGTTATATGAACATTTATGACTACAAACGCCCCGGTAGGCTTTAGGACATCAAATGGCAATAATAGTTGGAAGTGGTCGCGCTTCTCATCCTTCTTGCCTTTGTGCGTTGCAGTATCCGTGATGTAGTCAAGTGCTGTGTCGTTGACCAAGCATCAGATCTTGCTTAGTCACCAACTAAAGTGACCTCACTAGCAAACCAGCAATTCTGATATGGGATCGCATGCGCCAGAAACCCAGGTTTATCAATTTGGGCTGGAATCGACTCATATTCGCAATGGAAGTCTTTCGCAACCCCCCCGAACCTTCTTCATTCATTCCGCTTGCCGAGCACCAATCGCATACTCCGGCATCGTTCTATTCAGGACCCCCCATCCTGCACCATCTGAGCGAACGTTGTAAAATAGTGATTTTGGAAGAAGAATTAAACAAATCCACTGCATTAAATGGGTTGCGACCGAATGCCTCCGTAGCTGAAGCTGTGAATGGCACCTCAGCTAGCGAAGCTTCAACCTCCGCTACCGCTACATCTACCGACGGTGCGGATGGGAACAAAGAGATTGTGATAGATGGGGTCGATGTTTGGGTAACATCTGAGTATGGATTCAAATTCTATTTTCAGGAGAATATGCGCATCTCTAACAGTGAAATAGACGTCTCCTTCTCTACTCCCAGCGTGCGAAAACCGGTGTCGCAATCCCGTACCCATCAATCTCCCTGCATGCGATTCAACGCCTCCAAATCCCTAACTCCACTTCACCCGCAACTTCCTCCGTTGCAGATGAAAATACAGTGCAGGGTTTATATATGCAACTTTCAGCCGACAGCCAGGACAGCCAGGAGGACGAGGATATGGAAGAAGATAGCACGTGTCTAACAATAGTGCCTCCGCCTCCCCAACTCCAACCCCCACCACAACCGCAACAACAAGACGAACTCCTCACTACGGAAGAAGAAGAAAATAAACACAGCCAAACGCCTGCGCAAGATCTGTTTGCCGCCGTCTCAGCATGTTCGAACCTGCATCCTGATCCAGCATCGCAACATGGAAGCGACGAAGAAGGCGACGCGGATATGCAGAATCACCCCACCGAACAGCTGGATGGTAGTATCTTGTATCAGAGAGGGCTGATCACCCCTGGCAATAGCACAGGCGGCTTACCGCCTGCGATGCCGGGGAGTGGAGGTTGGATTACGGCAGAAAATATGCATGAGTACTTTGATGAGGAGGGGAATTGGAAAGGTGGTGAGGATATTGGGGATGGGAGCGAAGGGCCGGGTGGGGTTTCTTTGGGGCCTGGGGCTGGGATGGTTAGACCTCGTGAGGAAGGTGGTGAGGGAAATGGGCAAGATGCTGTTGATGTGAATACCGATGAGGGTGGGGAGGAGACGAAGTGGAGGAGGACGGGCTGAGTGCCTGGGTTTGTATGGAAAACAAAAGAAATCAGTAAAAAAAGAATTTTCTATGAATATTTTGGAGGCTTTTGCGTTATCTTTTGGGCCGATGATAGCTTCTGACTCTGTATTAGATACCCTTGGTAAGTGGCTAAGTGTAATTGTGAAATAAAAAGTTGATTAAAATGAAATCAGTTGGGGAAATTATGAGAATTGTATTGTTTCCATGCAGGTTTGGGGGGGTGTTCATCGACAGAGCTGAAGCTACCTTGGGTGCAATTAAACATTAAAATACAAAAGTAACTAGTAGAAACCAGACAGCGACTTGGTGATTCGAGTGATAAACGGACAACGTGAAATAAACAATAATTTCATGTAGTCATTCAAAAAAGCACTGAAGAAGCGATATCATCACCAGAAAAAGGAACTTGGAGCCATGAATCGGCTCAAGGTTGTATTCACATACATCTTCCAGTTCGCCCAAAACAAAATCAAATTCCAATCGATAAATACAATAAGACACCAACAAAACATCCAGGTCAGATAATGTGAAGTCAGCTAAAAATTAACCCACTCCTATGCCACGCAAGGGACGAACGCAAGGGGAAAGTCCGAAGGACGCCATTAAATATGGATAACAAGCTTCCAGCAACTCCAAACGAAAGATATAACCCACGTTCAACCTAAAATGGGAACATCATCAATGATAAACTCATTCTTGCCATGCACGCCATGTTCCAATTATCCTTTCTTTCCATTAGGGCTGCCATATTCCTCATCGTTACTCCTTCAAGAATCCAAATTGATCATACATGCTGCCAGGTGTTCTCACAATCGATGAGGTCAGCTTCTCTGTCCCGACTGCCGCTCCCGCTTTCAAAGGCGTTGAAGCCACCGGCCCTCCAGGTCTCTCTTGTTTCTCAGAAGGCGACTCAGTTCCCTCATGTTGAATGGAGCTCTCCGTTCCTTCCCCCTTCTCTAACTGGCGAAGTTGCGATGGACTGGATGTTGAAGTGGGAGATCGGCTACCATCGTCACCATCGTCACTTTTACTGCCAGCGTTACCGCCATTCTCCTTATCACTATCGTGGCAACTAACTCCATCAGCACCATCAGGCATAGCGATATTAGACGCTGATTGTATGGTTGTGAGTGCTGCTCGGAATTTCTGAGGGCGTGAGCGGGAAAGCGGTTGGGACAATTTGGGTATAGGAAGGATAGGTAGGGGCCTTGGCTTTTTCTCGCCTGACATTCCTGTTTCTTGTTCCATCAGCGCGGAGTTTTCGGGGAGAGCAAAGGCATTTCTTGTGGGGCGATCGCCGTTATTGAGGTTCATCGCCTCGTTATCCATTTTCGCGATGATGTTGCCGTAACTTTCTAAACTGGGGAAGCCAGAAACAGTATTTGTCGGCGTTGTTATTGATGGAGTCGATGCGTAGGGTTCACTTGCAAGAATGGTAGTAGTCGAGGCTATTGATGTGGAGCGCTGGGGTTGGTACTGAGCTTCATGTTGGGATCGTAGGACAGTCGATGAGTTTCGGCGCAGCGATGAACGACGGGGAATGTTTGGTCTTTCATGGACGGGAGTTGGAGAGAATTTTGGTACGCTGGAGGGACAAGTTACCGATAGACTTGTTGTTGAGCCTCGTTCGATAGGAGTGGGTGTTGGTTCCCCGCCATCGTCAGAAATGTCATCTTCGTCATTATCAAAAGGGTTGTGCGAATTTTCACTGGTTGATGGGAGTTCAGAAGACTTCTTATCTTGGCGGACTGGATTAATGGTTTTCGCTCGAGGCGTAGATTTACAAGAATTGTCTTCTGGCTCTTCAATAGTTGGCGACAATGAAGTTAGAATAGAGTTTCGTTGACAAATAGATGTCCTGGCGCTCTTTCGACGTTGATGTCCCTTCCTTGCTTCGTCGAGAGATGCTTCCCCAAGTGTTGATAGGCGTGATGCACGGACGCAATGAGTTCGATTGGAAGGACATCCATTGGCGTTTGCCAGTGTTCGGGTTCCGCAATTCTTCCCGCTCTCCGTGATCGGCTTCAATATAGCTGAGTGAGAACGCACTTCATCCGACCTACGGTCACTTTCAAGGCTGGAAGATGTGTTTAGCTCATGTGCAACAGGCAGCTGACTTTTTTGATAGCGGATATTACTTGGAATCCATGGCCCACTCGTCAGAGAACCTGATTCTCCGAGAGGAGGGACGTATAGTTGGCAGGTTTTAGTTGGTGTCTGGACACCCAAAATACAAGATGATCTCTCCTCTGGGTAATGCATGGATGCGCTTCGCCTGGGAGAGCCGCGGTCTTCAATTTGCTTGTATGAACCAGACGTAGAGTTGTAACGACGGGGTGACGATGCTTGCCAGATACGCGATACCGATCCGCTTCTTGTGGACGCTGGCACCCACCACCCATCAGTCGATATATACCGTTCATGAATCGTAGGAGGGGGTTTGCTGGGCGTCTCTAAGTCAATCGAATCAGTTAAGTTCTCCCCAGCTGGGTAATCAAGTATTGAGCTCCCTGCAGTATCCAAACTCTTGTTTGAAAGGAGCATCGAATCGTGCCTAGTCAAGTGAGGTATTCCAGGTGGGCGGGAAAACGGCAATGGAGGAACTTCCTGTTTTGGAGGAGAGCCTGGGGCCTGATGCAGAATCCCTTCAGACCGTCTTTTGGCTAATTCGGGATTAATAATGAATGGGCCTCCTCGCATTGTTGCAGTTATGTCATAGTATGACCCTTTCCTTGTAGTCAGTGGCCATGAAGTGATACGACCACCCTCATCCTTATCAATTGTAGTGTTGCCATCTTGTAGAGGTATTTTCCGCTTTGGAGTGCAGTCAGCTTGAAGCTCTGCGATTGCGAGAGGAGAGAAACCCATGTTTTCAACATCTGAGGGCGCTGAATGCGAACGCGGAGATGCCACAGACTCGAGAGGTATGTCCCTACTTGATTTCTTCTGGAGGCGACGCGTATTACGCATCGATAGCGTCGACATACGAGCATCTCGTCTCTCAGAAGTATGGCAGGGAGCCGGCTCCAGAATCCCCGGGGACAATTGCCCACGGAGATCTTCTGTGGAACCAATGGCAGACCATTGTCTCGCACCCGCGTACGGGAAAGGAAATGTCGTGTGGAATATTCCACGCGACTGGGGGTATAGATTGGAACTGGTCTCATTGGAATGGAGGATATTCTTCCGCCGATAGCGCAGGCATAGGACCGTCACCAGCAACACACACAAGAAAACAGTAACAGCACAAACAACGGCGATCAAAACAAGGTCACTCAGAGGAGCCATTGAATTCACGCGTCAAAGGGGTGGCTAGCAATGAGTACAAGGTTTCTCGAGAGCACGGATACTAACAAAGGACGATGATTGAAGGATCGAAGTAGGAAGCTGAGCCACATACTGCGAGAGAAGAAGGGCGCTAAACCGTGTGCAAGAAGCAAAAAATGGACCATTGAAGTAAAAGAGCTACTGTCCTCATGTTGTTTTCCTCTGGCGCGGTGACAGGTTGTCATAGCACCCAGAGTGTCAGACGCGGTTCTCATCATAAAGCAGCGTTTAACTGAACCCTCCTCTTTTGAGATGACACTCTGCAGCTTCATACTGTGTGGCGGCATGTCCAGTGGCATTCCGTGAAATGATACACGAACAAAAAAGCTTGCGATATCAGAGTATTTCTAATACATGTTAATTATTGCTTGAGCAATGATGACTTTTCAAGCATGGCCACTGAGCAAACAGTTGAGGACAGGGGGGAATTGCAGCATTGCGTATGGAGTTAATATGCTATCAAAGACCATATTAGACCAGTACCAACCCAGAGACACATAGCTTGCTTTTGTATCCAGAAGTCAATGGAGGGGATATCTCCAGCATTGGGCAAGGAGTGATGTCAGTATCACAGAGATTGCAACAATCAGAAAGCGATGAACTCAACCAAATTTCTCTGGCCATTGGAAAGGAAAATGCTAACAAAAATGCATCAATCAAAGCACCCTAGCCCTTGAATCTGCCTGAAGCTCTGGTCAAGACCATCATAATGTATGTCGTTGACGTTGAAATCAGGATCCACAATGGTCCAATTATATTATTAGTAAGCAAACCTGGCTGAACTAGTTAGTAACTATCAAGCTCCTCTCTGTTTCTGAACTGCTATCATTAATTGGTAACGACCACCAAATTACCCTGACCTGGAAGAAATACGTGGTATAAATGCAGCAGAACAGTAGCGGATGAGCAGCCAGCGGCCAGCGACCATAGACTGATTTCTCACCGGTCATCCCCGCTAGGTCATTCTAACTAGGCAGATCAATGTAACCACTCTCCATAAAAGCACATTCAACTCCTCGTTTTCTCCCTTGTGCTTGCCGAGAAGGCGTGGGAATCAAATCGCGGTAATATATTCTTGCTCCACTGTGAACAATTTGAAGCGGGTTTGCAACCCCTTACTGAACTCGCTGTTTTCCGAATCTTTCCTGAAGGCACCATTTCTATTATCAATAATTACCCTTTTCCTTTTCGGCCATTTATGCTGTGCAATTTTCTTTAAATGTGGATGATGTTGAGCAAGCATTTTACCTACTAGAACCGAATTGATAACATATTTGCCCGCTGGAGAAACTCCGATACCAAGACAAAGACACTCTCCCACCATAGCCGTGAAAATTTCAAGGACCCCGCCACAGTTCCTGACAATCACCAGCCACTGACGTCATGGCGAAGTCCTCATTTTTCCCTGCCTCCGCACCACATACAAGCGGATCCATTTTTTCGTGATGATACATGAAATTCGGGCCGGAGACGGACAAGCAATTCCTAGAGATAATTCCATTGATTGATCGGTTGGGCATAGTTTCGCGCTGCCGCAATATGTCCCTGTTGACATATTCGATGAACCAATCATTTTGTGATCCACTCTAGATTTGCTGCTCTTACTCACCATATCTCTATTTATTCGTATTTACTAGCATCCATTTAAACCAAGCGCCCCATAAATATCTCTTACGATCTGTTAATAATAAGCGTTTTATCCTTACATCGCTGCTCCACCCTCACACGTCAAAAGGTTGTGCCGCTGACTGTTGCTCTTTGTGCTACGGCGGCGTTACTCCCCATTCACCCCCACACCACCACCTCCATTATCTTCTTGCATAGCTGCCAAAACATATATCTAGGAAGCCAGAAGCACACTGCTTTGGTCTTCAGATCCTAACACTTAATATATAACCAGATTCCACCTCGACTGATATTCATTATGGACTCCCCAATTGTCGACGGCAAGTTCCGGACAGATAACACAAAGGCCCCACCCTCCACTGGGAGTGTTCTGGACCTCTTCTCACTCAAGGGAAAAACCGCTATCGTCGCTGGTGCTGGTGCAGGAATTGGCCTGGCCGTTTCCCATGCGTTGGCCGAAGCTGGAGCGAATATCGCCATCTGGTACAATAGCAACAAAGCCACCATTGAACGGGCCGCGGAGATTGAGAAGAAGTATGGAGTTCAATGTAAGTTTTAGATTTTTATGTACGGCCAAACAATGAATTGTTTCCTTTGTTTTTGTTAAACGGAGCCTATTAAAAAAAAGGAAAGAAAATAAATACCAAAATGATGTTTCTGACCACCAAATTCTAACAATTCCGTTCAGGTAGAGCATACCAAGTCAACGTCACGGACCCAGAGAAAGTCTCTGACGCCATAAACACCATCGTCCAGGAATTCAATGGACGCCTCGATATCTTCATTGCCAACTCCGGTGTTCCCTGGACCAAGGGGGCCATGATAGATGCCGACCTGGACCATTACCGCAAAGTCATAAGGACAGATGTCGACGGCGTTTACTACTGTGCCCGCGCAGCCGCCGCCCATTGGAGACGCCAGAAAGAAGAGGGCACCGATATCAACGGCAAGAAGCTGGAGAATTTCACCTATGGAAGTTTCATCGCCACGGCGTCAATGAGTGCGCACATTGTCAATTACCCGCAGCTACAGACGGCATATAATGCGGCGAAAGCGGCCGTGATTCAAATGTGTAAGTGCCTTTCTTCCTACCTATATACCAGCAGATGTGCTATTAAAAGAAAAAGGTTGGAGGAAGGAAAATACAAAGGTTTCTATCTAGTTAACGACCTACTTACAGGCAAATCTCTCGCCGTTGAATGGGTGCGTTTCGCCCGTGCCAACTCTGTTTCTCCCGGCTATATCGCCACTGAGCTCTCCAACTTCATCCCTGCTGCCACCAAGGCCATGTGGCACGAGAAGATCCCCATGGGCCGCGAGGGAGAAACCCACGAACTTGTTGGTGCATACCTGTACCTTGCCTCGAACGCTTCTAGTTACACAACCGGAACCGATATTATTGTGGATGGAGGATATGTCTTGCCATGATCAATTCTGGGAGGGCTTTTTTTTTGTTCCCTTTCACGCTTGGGTTTATGCCAGTGTGCGATCTGCATTTGTTACATATTTCGTTTCCCCACCAAATTCACAATTATTCGTTGGTAACGGAAATTGAATAAATTAGTTATTCATTTTTTATTGTTGCCTTGGAGCATCAGGTAACATGGTGAGGAACAAAAGTCCTTTACATGTTTCTTTCCTTTCTTTTTAATGGATTAAAATATATTGTGTTACCTCCCTATTTTCCCATAGTTTCGGGAGAAAAATAAATGAGAGAGACTGAGAAAAATTACAACGGTGGTGAGTGCCTCACTTCTTTCTTCTCCTCCATTATGCACAATCATTCAGCCACCTCCCCATATCAGTACATGCCTACATCTGTACTGCATGCAACATACGCCGTTCCAAGCACACGCCTTCATGACTCAGCGCACCACTTAAAAGGGGTTCATTCCACAGTCAATCATCCAACCAATTGAGAAGCTTTGTAACCACATAGTCAACAATCCTATGAACCCATGCGGCCATATCTCCTATTTCTCCCTCGTCGTCCCTACCCTCTCCGTTACTCCCAATCTTCATCTTGGGAGCCAAGAGGACATTGTCTCGCAGTCTTGACGTCGTGGGATCAAAATATTTGGACATGTCGAGTTCTACAAGCTGTTCCTGCTTGGATGCGGCATTTCGAGGATATCCACATACCTTGTGACTATTATGGGTATGAATGCAACTGTATCCGTCATCTCCGTCATTCGAGGGGGTGTCCAGTAATACTGCATCAGAGGCTGAGATTGAGGGGAAGTCTGAGTCTGAGTCTGAGTCTGGGCTTGGGAAATCGATAAGCTGATATCCTTGTTTTTGATTCTCATGCTGGGGTCGTCGTTTCGATTTTCCTCTCATGCGCTGCATTTGGCCCTCTAGTTCAATCTCTTCAATCTCTTGATAGTCATCATCCTCGCCATCACCATGATCATCGTCACCACGGCCAACATTCAAATTGGCATTGACGGGGCCATAACTCTTCCCCCTTCGTGTTCGCCTCCAAGCTCTGCGCCTACCCTGTGGGAAGGTGATCAAGTTGCGGAAAAACTTGTTGATTCTTTTATATTTCCTGATGCGATAGATGATATAAAAAGCGTATATGAGGAGGACAACTGTCGGGATCAGGTTTGAAAGAATGATGGATGATGGGACTGGTGTTTGAGATACTGCAGTTGGAGCATCTGTGCTTGATGTCAACTGAGTATCCGATGGGAGAAATATGGGTTCTTCTGGCTGGACGGGAGGAGAAGTAGTGACTGAAGATGATATAGGGGTGTGAAAAGAAAGGAAGGAGGGCTGCGGTAGTGTCAGCATCATCGCTGTTATTGCGTTTCCCTTCTAGGTCGAGGGCTGTATGTAGAATTACTTTGGGGTATTGATTTCTGGTGGCTAAGAATGCATGATAATATGTAATGAGATGGATGGGAGAGTCGAACAGAGACTCAAATAACACATCGGGGCTGCATGTTATGAAACGATAGAATGATGAGAGTTAATCCTTTTCATTGTTACGTCTCGGAGAATAAAAGGGTTACTATTGTATTCAATTCGGTTGTCTACTAGTAGTAGAGCGTCTGTGCTGCAGAAATTAAGATGAGAGTGAATACCCATGGTTACTGAGATCCTCCAGATATACAGGATAGTCAAGAGTAGAACACACTGCATTTTCTTTGTGGCAGCAACTTCCATGGTAGCTAAGCTTAACTATAACTAATAGATTAAACCCCTTTGTCAGCCACAATAGGGCTGGCCCACGTACCCCGTATATAGTTAACCCCCGGGAATTCTAGGCCTGCCAAACCCTGACTGGGCAAAGAAGTGGCTTCACTTCCTGTTGACCCTTATAAATTATTCATGTATTTCATAATCTCATATATGCTTGACAATAAATTTGTTTCTTCTCAGATTCTTCATAAGATACTAGTAGTTATATGTGAGACTTCTGATTGATTCAGAAGTTAGCAGGACTTGATAGAAGTCGATAAAATGACTTCGTGACTTGAACTCATTTGAAAATATCAAGAAAAGAGGCTGAGCTTCCTGCAATGGATCCGCAATAGTTGCACGTGTTTGGCAGGCCCTTCGCCGACCAGACCTGGATATTCAATGGACAATCCTCCGTCCCATTGGGATTCTGTGCACTCAAGTCTATCGCGAGCGAAAGGAGAATGATACAATGGCTTCAGATCGTCTCCTGGCTCAGAAAAGGCCTTCTATTTATCTGTTAGAATGCAACGAGGCATTTGAGTCACGATTTTTTGGGGGAAAAGCTCTATGCGTACTATATGGGCCGGGAAGTAGTATCAGTCCTTTGTGTCCTGTTTGAAGAAATGCTGAATCTTACCAGCGTTTCAAATTGCGGTGCAAGGATATTGCTTCGTCAAATCTCTTCCCCCCCCGAGTCCGAGGGCATATTCGATCTGATTATCAAGCTCTCGAAAGTTTGTAATGGGGATTGGAAATTGCTCTTGGAATAGTCCAATGCTGGACCCCAAGATCTCGAGTGCTTTTTAGACTACGCTGCAGTCTTCATGGATAGCCTTGGAAATTATCGTGTACGCCGCACACCCAAGGGTAGGAGATCTGGTATCATTGTTCTAAATTTGGTTTAGGGGTGCGGTGACACAAAGATCCTTGAAAGAAACACAACAACTTTATACATTCATTGAAGACCCGAATATACTTAGAGAAACCTAAGATTCCGGGCCTACCAGGGAGCCATGGCCAGAGCGAGTACTATCCGCAATCCCCTTCGATTTCGAAGACAGAGATTCAACTTGTTCAGGATGCCCTCTCAGCCCGTGAGCTTTTTTGTTTTTTTTTTTTTGCAAAACACCAGATTGAAGAAAAACTCAAGAAGAAAATAGCGAGGTCAACTATGAACTGCTGTTAGCTTCGGTGGATTGTGGGGATCTAGGTTCTCCAGAACAAAATGTGCATCTGAATGACGGTTCTGCGAAAATCCAGTACACATATGGAGACCATCCTACCCACCTGGAGAAAGTTGTGTAAAACGTTGCGGAGGCCACGAAATACGCCCGGAGCGGTATGCCAACAACTCTAGGTCAACGTAAACAGAGTAATTAATTCAATATAGATGTGACTCCCATCGCCTCAAGAACTCGAGCTATTCAGAAATTCCCGGAGAGTGGTGCTAAGCTGCTGGATGGTCGAGTGCGACTATTAAGGTGAGATAGGAATAAGTAAACTTAATCTGACTTACTCCGTAGTGTCTGGCTGTTGATGTCTATCTTGGTTGGGTCCTGGATACTGGAATCCAGGGGATGGTGCTGGAGACGGTGCGGGGAGATGGTGCGGGGAGATGGTGCGGACAACTGTTCACCAGCCCTGGGTTGGTTCTTTGGATCCCCTAAGGTATCTGCCATAATGTGTGAAGGTGTGGGGAATGGCAGATTAGATATCATAACATTTTGGTGATATTTTTGTCGAGGTCAAACAGTGGTGGGAGTTGCCAATTAGTATGCGGGAGCACTTGTTTCGGTTAGGTTCAAAGAAATAAGCAAACAACAAAAGAAACGTGCGAATGAACGGCTCGTAGGAGAAATCCAGAAAGGGATACAAGGGAATTTAGAACAACATAATCATAGAAGCTCTCATCGAGACAGGCACTATGGCGTGCCGAGATGTGGGCTTCTACTCCATGTTAAAATCCTATGGATCCAAAGAGATCAAACTATGACGCAAATGAGCCTTAACAATTTCTTCTCCTCTCTCATTTACTGAAAAAACATTACTTGTAAGCCACAGAGATAGATACCTATGTACACATATATAGACATACTTTTCAAGCCTTGGAAGCCTGATTTTATCTCTTCATTTTGGTGTTTGGGAGAATAATAAAAGAGAAAATCATTTCAGTCCGAAAAGGAAAGAATTTTTACAAAGGCCCACGTGGAAACGAAAGGACTGGGGGCGATTTGGGACCACGAGAGTGACACGCTGAGACGAAATAGTCGGAAGATATTTCACGCAGCCGAGATTAGTTGAATTGTTCCTTCTTTCTTTCCTTTTGATACATATAAATATGTAAATATATATATATATATATCATATTATCAGGAAATCAGAAGGAGTAGGTCGGGTTGACCGATAAGCAATAGCAAGATGCGTACGTCACTGAAGGGGCGAAAGAATGTATCAAATTCCAAATTTAGGGTTTTTGGATAGAAGCGCAAAATGAAAGGGAAGAGCGCCACAATACCGAAAAGCATTGACGAGCTGAATTAATAAAGAAAAGGAAAAAGAAAAGCAGAGAACCCCAATTAGTTCACGGTATTCAATACAGTAAGATGAAGTAAAAGGAGGCGCAAATTTGAAAAAAAATAAATAAAAAATAAAAAGATTTTTGCCAGCATATCTCAGAGTGGGGCGAGCGCATAGAATTGAATAATTGAATGTGGAATGAAAGGTGATATTCGCGGCGGTGGGCGGGCTAACTCCAATTAGATAAGAAATTTCAAGAGGGCAATGTAGTGGTGGGCAGCGGGCGTGCCCGGCGGAAATTGGTAGAGATGGTGGGATGGAAAATATCGCCGTGCTGAAATGGGTCTAGCATTGTACGGAGGCTTTTCTTACGTTGGAAGGCCGGGGGGGGGGGGGGGGGGGGGGTTGTGTCATTATATGTTGAACGATGAATATGAGATAGCGGGGGAACCCGCAGAGTGTATCGGTACCGCTGGTCTTAACGTATGAGGATGTTGGATGTTGTTTGTTGTTTGTTGACAAGGATGTGGGCCTAGCAGCGGTGGTAGGAGGTATTTTCGTCTATGCCAACAAAAGCTAAGCCGAGCGGTTTATAACTTCTCCGTCATCCCAGTCATTTCAATGTCCTTCGGTATTGCAGGCACAGGAACGGGTGGTTTGCTGTCAAACACCATTGGTTCTTGATCTGATGCAGATGCCGGTTCATTTCGTGGGGGCTTGGGTCGGCGTAGCTTTTCGCACCAGCTTTCCGCGCTGACGAGGGTATCATTGACCACACCACTAACCTGGGCCATCATGTCCAATCCTTCCTCTGCAAGAACTAGAACCCGTTGTGCGCTAGTTTTCATATCGGCTTCCGTGCCAGAACTACCTCCGGATGTAGTGATGGTAGATGCAAGCCGAAAGCGTTGAGGGAGGGAAGTGAGATGTCTGCGGACAAGAAGTCGTGCATTTTCCGGAAGTGCGCCGCCCGCATATTTAGAGACCACGTCTACGACTTGCCTAAGCGTACGCAATATATCTCCTTTAACCTGTTGAATCTGCTCGAAAACGCGAGTGGAATTGCGTGATGTTGCCTCGGAAATCGCTGGGTCATCTGATGGCTGAGCTCTCTTGGAAGCATCAGACTCTTCCAGAACCTTTTTCAAGGATACAATCGAGTTCCCCAGCCGACCGTTCGCCCATCGAAGCCAGCTTAGACAATAAGCCAGGCTGCGGAGGGACTCCTCGCTCATAGCAACGCCAAGACCGGAGGTAGAGATCATAAGCCGACTCTGCCAGGTAGATTGGTTGTTGTTTTGTAAAGTTTTCTTATCCAACTCCGCCAGCTCTTCATACTTAGGAGACGAAAGATTGTCATATGGTGGGAGCGACTCTGCAGTGGACGATCTCCTCGTGTGGGATGGTGTAAGTTCAGCCATTGCCCGCTCAACATCCAGCATGTCTGTGTTGGTATTTCTAATCTTCCGCCGTTTGTCAGGAGTCTCTGAATCGACGGCTGTGTCATCGCCAGCCCGCCGTCTTTGAAGTGCCCAACGGATACCCTCCTCGACACCGGTCTTCTTGCCGACGGAGCCAACTTTCTTCACCACAGGAGAACCGATGTTCCGTTCCAAAAATTCGGCTCCATACTTGAACCTTGGTGAGTAAGACTTGGAGGATGTATAGACAGAAACGGAGCTGTTTATGGCAGAAGAAAGAAGAGGATGAGATGAGGTGAGGAGAGAGAGTAATGGCTCTGGCGCTTGCGGTTGCGGTTTCGGTTGCTGTCCAGGTGAGGACGTTGTTGGCGGGGATGACGGGTCAACGCTGCGAGACGATGCGGGGGAATGAACAAAATCTATGTAAAACCAACAGATATGGTTAGAATTATACCATTGTAGTTCGTTTGATGATATTCAAACCCATAAGCTGACCTGTTCGAAGGCCTTCCAACGCCTGGGCCGCCTCGATATCGTCCATCGACAGTACACTTGTAGCCCTGCGACTGCGCCCCTCCTTATCCATGTCCAGCTGAGTAGGGCCACTTGAGACTGCCATTCTGGCAGTAGTCGAGAGAGTGGTATTTAGCAATCCGGAAGAGGCAGTGGTAGCAGCATTTGTCTGCTTAGACTGAGCGATGCTGTCAGGATACGGAGGAAGTGCAGGATGAGGCGAATCCTGGATTTGCGATGTCATGTTCGACTGACAAATCGTGGCGTGGCGTGGTTGATAGGTAGGTCTCTGTGATACCCAATTCGAGCGACTTGAATGCGACAGTTGCTTGGAATGTGACGGGGTCAGTTACCAATTAGGTTATAGGAACGGCGATGGCTTGACACCGAGCCCCGTTGGACTCTATCGAATTGTCAACGGAATCGAGCCTTTGGTCCTTCGTAGAAGGGATGAATCAACTCCAGGAACACTGTTGCAACGGCCACTAACACACACACACACACACACACACACAAAAGCTGCTAGTTCGGATCTCAGTAGAGGGAGAACATTCCAGTTGATTCTGTTGAGGAGATGGTGCAAGGAGAAACAATACTAGGTAGGAATCGATGTTGAGGATTCCCCCCACACCCAAATCGGTTTGACGGCGCCTGACATGTGACTGCTGCGGCTGCGAATCAGCATCAGACGCATTCCAAGGATTAGCATGTGAAAGGCCAAAGATGGCCAATCAGCGTTGGGAAGTCTCAGGCTAGCAAACTCTGCAAACACGTGCTCCCAGCTGATTACTCGCCTTCCTGTCTAGGAATAGCGTGGCACCAAGCCTCTTGATGCCATTCTGATGATGGGTTACTAGTACAAGGAGGAGTGCTCCTGCTGCGTGGTGTCTGGGAAGCTCAGGCGGGACTACCACGAAACTACTGCAATGACGGGACATCGTGAGCAGTTACAATATCATGAATGTGCAGGATGGAAGGGATGGGAACTGAGAGGTTTGTCCCACACAGTGTAACTATTGTTAGTGCTGACATGTTTTCTCGGTTTATTAGTAGCTATTATTTGTGAGTATCCCCCGCCGTGAGTTATTCCACAGAAAATAGGACTGCTCGTGAGCGTTTTCCCGATCGTCTTGCTGGGCTTCAGCGATTCTTGTCTTTGCCTTGCCAGGTCCCTTTCTCACAACCCGGCAAGGTGTGGCCCCATTCATCATCAATCCGAGGGTCACCATCTACCATGCATTGGAGCCCACCCCATGCGGAATTGTTGCATTCGATCTCGATTTATTTGGAGACCAGCATTCAGGGCCAGGTAGTCAGTTCTCATGCCTAGTAAAGTCTTTGGTTACTCGCCCTCTAAAGGGTCAGGCCCTGGTTTCAGGTGATGATAACAGTCGCTTGAATTGATTAAGGTGGCCGCGAAAGTCTTGACGGAATCTGTAGGCCCATTTTGTGCTCGCACCTTAAATCGTACAATAAAGCTATAAGTACTTGCACATAACGGAATGACGCATAGTGGATGGTGGATATTTTCATGCTGTTAATAGTAGTGAAAAGCAGGAAGTAGCTTTCAACTCTGGACCATGAACCACGTACATCCCAAAAATGCTAGGCTAGATACAACCAAATAGCCAATCAATCAAGTTCCATGGAAATGATTCAACAAATGCGGTTCCCAAATGGTTCCCAAAAGATTTATCGCTGAGTATTCATATATATCTAATGTGGGATGAAAATGGATCCAGCAGATTAACTTCTATTCACAGCCTCCGCAAAAGCGCTGCCCTGCCATGGACCAGAGTCAATTCAAGCGGATAGTTTTTGCTCGCGCTCCATCAGCATCGTACGTAACCATGACGGTGCTATCTTCAAATTGCAATGCACCAGGCCAAAAAGCATCTGCCTCCTTAACAACTTGGGGAGGACTCCAGCACATCTTCCCATCCTTCGGCGGGCCTGAAAACGTCGCTTTAATGTTTGCCTTATGCGGCCAGTTGCCCTCGATGTCTTCATCTGCCATATACACAACTATCAAGGATCCATCGGCAAAGGAGGCTATTTGTGGTGCTCCGGCATTTTTCCCTCTTGGAGCCACCTGCACGTCCTGCCGATGGCACCAGCTGGCTCCATCATCATAAGATATTGCGGCTTTGACATTGAAGAATGGCATGTTATCCGTTGTTTCAAAGACCATGACAAGGGCGTCCCGGTTGCCGTCTTTCGTTTTCGCGATCCCTGTCATTCCGTCTCGTTGTTTTGGCTTCCACGAGACGGCTTTCGGAGTTGACCAGGTATCGCCCCGGTCGGTTGACGTGACGAGCATCGTCCGTTGTTCATTCGCCGCAAACTCTTGCGAGTACGTCAATTGGATTTCATTCGGGTTGCTCTCAGCAAGTCTCATGAATGGCTCCCAGGCGCCCAAGTTCCCGTCCATCTCAAATGCTTGGGACGCAAATTTCCAGTCTTTCCCGCCATTAGTTGACTTGCAGACGGTGATGCGTGAGTGTATCAGGTTGGGACCGACACTGGTATGGTTTCGGAATGCGCCGAGGACGACAGAAGGTGCCACCTCAAGCAGGTATATGTTGCCGATGTCCCAGTCACCTCGAGTTATTTCTCCGAAGGGAGAAAACCGTTGATCACCATTTGTGCGCTTGGATGTTTTTATCACTTTGACCCCTCCCTCATTAATTGTAAATCCGGCTAGAACAGAGCCATTGGAAAGTTTGGCCAGGCGCACGTAGCTCGCAGGGAGGTTAGATATATTTATCTCATCCCCAATAACGAGCTCGCCCCGGATGTTATCGAAGGGTGATGGTGTGGCTAAACCAAAAATTTGCATAAATTTCGATGCTAGTTTCATCATAAATCAGAATAAATAATCAGAAATATGCTTTACCGTTTGCCTTTGGTGTCATGTTGTGCGGCGTTGATACCCTGTCGCTCACAGGATCCAAATCTCTCCGGCAGATCTCTTGTCCGGCGCAAAAGTTTAAGTCTAGCATAAATCGATTTAGAATAAAAATACAATATTACTGACAATGAGCCCCCATCTCTGCAATATACGTATCTTATCAGCTGGCGAAAATCAGTTTACGCATTAGAACTCATCATGGAATGGTGGTTCACTGGATGACGTCATCAGTTACCGCATAGTTGACTAACTATTGGAAGTTGTGCGTCCAACAGTTGAATATGTTGGTTTGCACCATATTCGGCATATGGAAGCCAACGGTCACCAGTCCTTAGAATAATGTCGCCGGGAGTCGACCCCACGAACACTGGATAAATCATGGAGTATCATACAGAATTAACCGTGCCAAGCACACCCACAATCTCACCGTTACAGCGTCGTGAGTGTGCCGCACCGTAACGGAGTTCACACTGTACCGGACTTTGTATCTTTTGTATGGTGACACAAAGTCCGTTACAGTGTGGCACACTCACTACTACGCTATAATGGTGAGATTGTGAGTGTGCTTGAATCGGTTATATGATAGTGTGATAAGATAGCACTGTGACAACTAGGTTATCCATAGCAAAAAGTCAACGTAACCATTTGCGGGCATGGCCACACAACCCACCACCTATACACTGTGACCTCCAGCCGCAGCATAGTGCGGAACCACAATGGTATCAGTTAATGATTGCTAACAATAACCGTCAGGGAAGGATCCAAATAGTGCTGATGTGACTAGTGAAGCTGGTAGATATGTACCTTCCAGGGTAAGTACTAATCAATTATCTATATAAGGGAGGGTGATGGCAGTCGGCAGCTGAGTCAGAAGCGTAACACTGAGATGTATTCGATCCTAGTACTTCTAGTACCCAATTCATACACATTCCACTCCATTGAATAATGGCAAAACCTACAGTTGTTTTCGTTCCTGGCGGGTTTCATACGCCAGCCATTTTTGATCCCGTACTTCCATTCCTCCACGCAGCTGGTTATCCAACCGCTTCAGTTTACTTACCTAGTGTGGGTGTTTCCCCTGGAATTCCGGACCTCTCACCAGACGTTGAAGCAGTTAATCTTGTTGTCGGTGGACTTGTAGAGTTGGGACGTGAGGTTTTGCTTGTTGCACACTCTTATGGTGGCGTGCCCTCATCGCAAGGACTTCAAGGTCTCAGCAAGCAGGAGAGACAGGCCCAAGGGCTGGCCGGGGGTGTCGTCAGCATGTTATTCGTGTCGGCGCATCTGCCCCAAAAGGGGAAATCAGCCATAGAAAGTATGAATGATTGCAGTCCGGAGGAAAAGGAGAGCCCATCCATAATAAAGACAGCCCCGAGTGAGGTAAGGCGCTTGTGTTTCGTGCCTTTTCGGAAACCCGAACAAGAAATCAATCGCTGACCATCCTCATATCTTAGGACCCGACGGCATTGCTTCCCGAAAACCCAATTGAGGCCTTCTACCATGATCTCGACCCGGCGGTAGCTAAATATTATGCGAGCTTATTAAGACGTCAATCTGTGGGGTATGCCAAATATATTCATCCTGTCTCCAAACCTCCTCCCTTTTGGTCACCTTTCTAACGCGATTTTCAAGTCCATTCCTCTCGCAAATCACACACGAATCCTATCGTCAAATCCCTACATCATGCTTGCTGCTTTCGAACGACAGAGCCGTCTCCTTGGCGAGACAAAAGCGTGTGGCAAAAAATGCTGGCATCCAACAGCTGCTTGGGCCTATAAATTGCGGTCATTCTCCATTCCTATCGCATCCAGAAGAAGTCTCAAAATTCATTCGGCAGGTTGCTGGAGAAACTTAATCCTGGCCTTTCAGGGTCAGCCACCGTATCAGTGAGGCAATTCACAGGAAACTTTGTCTCCATCAGCTCGTTTAAATATATCCAGATATAATTTGTTTTTTCTATTGTCGATGTTTCCGAGAGATGTGACTGCTTGGAACACAGCCATGTAGTTGATAAAATTTAACAAAATGGAGACAAATCAAATATTCGCAACTCTCGACTTTTCCACTTAACCGCAATTCTGCCTGGCCAATGAGCCTTGATATCATGTGTATATGTGTATCCTACCTTGTAATTTCTGTGTCAAGGTTATCCCTTCGAAGAGTTCACATATATCTAAGCCTTCTTAACCCAGATCCTCTACTGTGTATACGTGTCATAATGGCACGGCATTTGATAGCGCAGCTACTCAATCAAAAGCATAAGCGTTCGGTTTCAACTTTTCGCGGCCTCCATGGGATCAGACCCGGAGCCAACGGATAAACTCAAAGTCCATTCGCTTGAAGAACTGCCTAGGTGTGAAGGAGAAAATATGCGGTGGACGTTGCAGAAGCATGAAAGGTGAAAAGAGCACCCCTAACGGGCGGATTGGTCGTCAAGTTCTGATTTTGTCAGCAGCAAAAGGTTTTATCCAGCATCTTGACCCTAACAGCAGACTGAATCCTGTATCCTCTATCCAAAAAAATCACGTGGTACGCTAGGGCCACTGGAAAACCAAAAAAATATCATACGGAGACTCCATGCTATAAATCCGATGGGCTCCTTGATTTCTTATTTATTGTCAATAACAAGAGCTCTTTAAAAACCAATCCAATAAATAAATTTGTGCATGTGGGCGCAAAAATAGACTATCCTCAAAAGAAAATATGAAATAGAAAAATGTGTGCATATGGGAAATACGCTTGACAAACAGAAGTCAAAAATAGATCAATGCTCCATCCAAAATGGTACCATGTGGTGAACCTCGAACACCAGAAACCAAAAGCATGGTAAAATAGATAAAAAGAAAGAAAAAGAAAAGAAAAAGAGGGAGGAAAGGGGGGGCGAGAAGGTGTGAGAAATGTAATTAAACAAATAGGACATTCGACTTCGATCTAGAAGACCAGGCAAAAGTATCGTTTCCAGCACCTACCTTGGTCTCTTCATGGGAAGCTATTGTGAGATGTTGTGTCGTCGATATCCCTCTCCAAGTCTTCTGGGAAAGAAAAGGGATCGATATCGAAAAATTCATCATCATCATCATCATAATCGTCCTCGCCCCCGCCCTCATCACCACTCAATTCACCTGCATTCCGCCTCATAACATCCTCTGCCACCCTCTTGGCCACATTGCGGTTCACATGTAAGACTTTATGGATATTCGGCAAAACGATTCGACACTGCCCCATGGCCTTTGCTTTAATTTCGCAAAGGACTGGGCCAACTGCATACCACACGAAATCCGATCTGCAGTCCTTGTACGCACATAACGCACGTAGCCGTTCCCATTCGTAGGTACTATTCGCCCATGTGTGGCTTAGAGGGTGGTCAAAATTGGGAGGAGTAAGCTCCTGTAGGCTTTGAGCCGCCTCAAGGATCTTCCTGGAGTATGGTGTTTCGCTATTCAGGCCGTGCTGCCTCTCCCAGTTGATTTTCTTGTCTCTGAATCTCTTTTTAATATCGTTCAGAGCATTGTATAGAACTGGGTTCATTTCATCCTTTTCCTTAATTCCCCGTTTTTCCACCTTACCCCATTCGGATAGTAAGTCGTGATCCAAAGGGAGTTCACAATGCTCGCTGCAGAATTTGTCGAACCGGACTAGCATTTGATCACTTTCGGCCACAATAACATCGAAAAGTAGATAATCGATGATATTGCAGCTGTTCCACACCAGGGGTTTGAAGCCTCTGGAAAGAGACTTGTAAGCAGGAACTAGCGGTTGCTTCTCAGTAATTACCTTTGAGTATTTTGGTTTTAAATACTCCCAAGCATCATCGGTCAGTTCCAGCCCGGCCTTCTTGCTATCTACTAGATAACTAAGCAGCCAGGCCAACTTAACCGCCATAGGAGAGGCAATGTTATTTTCGTGGTAACAATATGTTTCACGCTCGATGGTGCATTGTCCTAGTTTCGACGGTTTTACATTGAACCGAAAAGCATTGGTTAGGAACTCTTCCGTAGACCCTATTTCACTCATCAGGGTTGAGCAGGAACGGAGTCCAAGACTTTCTGCTGATGGCACCGTTCCTGGATCGAACTCAGTGCTCTTGAACTCGCGCACAATAATTGGATCCCAGCAGACCCAACACTGGTCTCCGTCATAATCGCCCCCAGAGAGCAGTGAAGCAAGTGGTGTATCTCCAGTAGTCGGGAAAACTATGACATCCTTCATATGTCGTAGCTCATTTTTGTAAACCGACCTTCGTTTTTGGATATCGGTTGCAAGATGAGCAGGCAAACGAGCGAGAAGGACATCAATGTCGTGGAGTTCCGTACCGGCAGATCCATGTTCCCATTCACGAGAAAACCCAAGATGAACTTCATCTGGTCTCAATACTCCGAAGGGATCCGCAACGCAATATGCGAACGTTGATTGAGAGACTGTGATCTTTAGTTTTTTAAGGTTATCTAGATAATCTTGAAGCAGTCGCCTAAATATCTTAGTTAGATACGGAAGTTTTAATGGTAAGAAGCCAGCATCCAAAAGCATGATTGCCTGTTCCGCATATTGGGATGGGAAAAAGTTGTCGGTACGCTTGGGCTGCCGTTTGGAACTCCCATTGGTGATCCATTTCATTTTCTGCAACCAGCTGCGACACTCAACACCACTGGAACACAAAAGGGTTCGCAAAAATTCATCATAAAATGAAGACATTTCTTGTTTAATCAGGTTTCTGATATGGTCATTGCGGATTCCACCATGTTGAAGAATATTGAGGAGCTGCATATTCAGCGAAGCAGGACTGAGCGGCCGCGACCATTGAACGACTTCAAACGTCAGCTGCGTATCATCCATGGGCTTTGTATCATGCGGAGGGGCGGGATGTATTTTGAGCTGTGACTGGGTAATTTGAAGCCAAAACCCTCGGTCACCAGTTTTAAATCTTGAATCGTCAAGATCCACCATCCATACCCCTTTTGCGCCGGAAATTCTTGCTTGGAAAATAGCCGGGTGGCCATCCAGGCCCAAAGCGGAGGCAACTGCCATTCCCAGCGACTTAGACATCAACGCGCAGCCATCATTCATTACCGTTCCCGGAGGATTCTTGACATAAATGATTTCCTCCCGTCGTAGGATTACCGTGGCCAATGTACGGGATAATCCAAGGTGGAGCCTCTGGAAGAGTTTCATATCAGATTGATGACCGTTTTTGGCTCTAGGCATGTGCCAATCAATCAATGCGTCGATACTCATACTAGTGCGTTGCCCAGACGTTTCGCCCTGCGGAGGAATCTCCAGAGGGTCTCTGGCTTTACGAAAATCGATCCCATCAGTGGCAAAGAAATACGCCTTTTGCTTGTGAGGAGTTTCTATTGCGCTCCCTCCAGCTCTTATTTCTCCACTATCATATTTTTTCGCCTTTTTCTGTTTATTTTGAATGTCTTCAAGATACAATACCTTCCAAACTCTCCCCACTAGATGGTGTTCACTAGTCGCCATCCAACGCGAAATCGCGTCGATCAAAATCTCCTTTTCCACCGCATTTCCTTTTCGAACAAGATGTGCTGGTGGCTCTGTCAAGATGGGGTACGTCAGTTCAAGAAATCGATCCGAGCCAAACCGTCGGCAAAATCGGTAACCCCTCAAAAGTTTCAAAGGCTTCAAAGTAAGTTTAAAGTAGCCTGGTTCTTTTTGCGAGCACCACGTCAGTTCGCAGCTCAAGGTCATCACATCTCCAGTCAATTTCCTGTCCTTATATTGGTCAACTGCCATATCCCATGGCTCTGGAGCTGTTTTCTCCAACCTCTCCTGCTCGCCATCATGAAGAGACTTCCAGAAATCTTCATACTCAGGTAACTTCCGCCTATCTAATTTCTGAAGAATATTCTCAGCGGGGACTTTAAAAAAATTGGCTGCTCTTTGCGCTTCATATCGGTACCGTAGGGGGACAGTGGTTTTAACCACGTTTTGGCTAGAAAATGGGCCGTTCTCCTCCAAATCCTGGATAATATTGCGAATCTTTTGTTCTCGCCATTCAAGATCTGCTTCCGGTTGCATTTTTGTATTTTTGGACGGACTTGTTGTGTTTGCATTGCTCCATAAACCCGAGAATTTGGCATCTGGTGGTGGCCTGGCGGTGGAAGAGTATGTGGATGCCTCATTCAAATCAAACTGGCCCGTCTCGAAGCTCCGAGAAAAGGAGGTAGCAGGAGTACTGGCCCCGAAACTAGCTCCAAATGAGTTCGATTGTTCTGTAGTGACTGTTTGAAAGCTCGTATTTTCATTATTTAGAGGCTTCCCAGAAGGTGAAGAGACAGATTTCCGGACATTTTTGGAAGTCGTCATGTATTCATCAATCCTCCGTTGTTTTGGAGCCTTTGGTCCCTGGTTATTGTCGGAAGAATCAGCCAAGCCCAATGAAGAAATATCAAGATTGATATCAAGGTTATCCAGATCGGAATTCTCAAATTCATCGTCAGACGACGACGATGACATCATGTGCAACGGATTGGAAGGAGTACTGGGAGCAGTCGAAAATACCTCTGAATGATCAACAACTTCCTTTCTTTTAGTTGGGGAAGGTGGCATCTTGGCAGGTGCTGTTGGCGGAACTTTGGGGGCGCCGTTTGATTTCGTTCCGGATCCTGCCATTGGATCCCCCGTAGTAGTAGCTGCGACCCCTGAGTCGCATCCCGGCCCCGATCTGGCACCTGCAGGGGAGGAGACACTCGCACCTCGTGGTATCCTAGAGGCTCCTCTGGTCACAATATATTCCTCATCGCTAAGGACTTTCCACAATTCGTCAAGAACTCTTGCGCGCTGTTCCGGGGTGATGTTCCTCGCCATAGAAATCGTGTTGCTACGAATGAATGAACGCGAAGACGGCAGGACCTCCGGTTCTTGCTTTGGTTTCTGAACCCACCCGGAGAAAAAAGCCATCGCCCACTCGGAAAAAGAATCTATCACCCGTTGAAAATTGACAGGGTCATCGTAGTATAGGAATTTTGCAAGGCCAACACATCTTTCTGGCAAGGATCGCCCCTCTATAGGACGCTGTCTTGGAGTTGAAACTGGTGGGTTCGGAAGGTCTAAATTATAGGTCGCATTGAGGTTGTATATGAGCAAGTTGAAGTCAACCCCACTCCTTGGGGTCCGTGGAGTAGCCATCTGGAAGCTTGGATATAGCTCAAGTGAGTGAATGGCAATTGGACAAAATGCAGTGATATTGCAGCGCTTGCAACAGCTCAATGGTGAGGGGTCTGTACCACATATATCAAGGTGAGTTGACGATTCTAGTTGCACACGACATTCCAAAGAAACAAACGAGCGTCGTTGAAGGAATTGACTTTTGCAACTGTTGCAACAAGGTTCCCCCAAATATTCTTTGATGGGGGTATTTAATTAATCATAATGGAAATCGTCAATGGCAACGGATGAGACTGCCTTTAAACGGGCGAAACAGGGCGGGCCTCAAAAAGCAAATATGTTTTTTCATAATTTGTCCACTCGCATCACGCCCGTTAGCGCTCGCCGCCTGTAGGCCCAGCCTCCCGTTTTCCCGTTTCCTTTTTCCAAGCCTGTTGGAGCTAGCGGAGGCCCACAGTCCTGTGTGATCAGTGCAGCATGAACTAAAAAAAGAAACGAGACGTCTCCCAAAGGAACATGACAGCCCGCCAGTCTTCCTCAACATCCACTCATAATATTGGCCAAAATATGACAGGTCAATATGAGGGGGGCCGATGATTATGTAATCGTCAAGGCTGAACAGGATGAGGGTCCCAAATAAAAAAGAAAAGAAAAAAAAAACAAAATGCACTCAACATGTAAACAAAGTCTTTTACTTGGCAGTTCTGTTCCTGACTCTGGCGTGGGGGGTAGGGGGCCTCAATGAAACTAAATCCTACGCCTAATCGAGTAAGCTGCATTTCGTATCCGATTATATAGTTTCTTGGAATAACAACATGTGTCGAAAACTGGCGAGAGAAACTCGTATTAGTTACTTAATGTAAGTTCGCATACTATTACACTTTTGCCTCCAAGTAATTCGAGAAAGGGAAAAATAAATATACGCAATCAGGTCAAAGTTAAGTTGGCCACTGATTGAGATATTAAAATAACACGAATTATGCGTTTGCATGCAGAGACCCTCATATCCTGACACCGAGGTAGCTATATTAATAGCCATTTAAAGAAATTATTGGTGGAAGAATAGTGAAAACATTGGTGATATGAAAATAATAGTATATAGAGAATATAAAGAGCAGAGAAACAAGAAATCATGACGGTGCGTTCATCGATCGAATCGGGGGTTGGAAGTTAGTGATAAAGAAGTTGCATATGCTGTAAGACGACAAAACATTCACCAATCTCCGGTCGAAGCCTGCATTGCTCCATTTCCCGGGTGTTGATATACAGCCTCAAATAAGGGAGAAAGATAGCAACGAAAGTACCCTTTGGCGCCACTCCTCTTAGAACAACCACGAAACGAAAGTCCGATAGAAAAACCCAGCCTTCTCATGATTTTTGGTCTGCGCTGCTTTCCTTGCCAAAAATTCAGCCTCCTCGCGATCGATTTTGTCCTTGCCCGTCCACAAATCAGCCTCGTGGGGCTTCACGCGTTGGCATTTGGTGAAATATTTGTACCCAAAGATGAGAGAGAGGTATAATGGGATACCAATATAGGCCGTGATAAAGCTCTTGTAATCGAACTTTCCGTATTTGGCCTCGTTATGAACAAACACCTCGAAGCTCTTCGTAAGGGAGATGAGAATGCAGAATGCAAGAGCACCATATGAGCCGTAGGAGCCAAAGGGTGCTTTATAAGCAAGAGAGCTCTCGGGGACATTTTGTGCTTTGCGTGCGCGAATGAAATATATGTGCGTAACAAGGATGGAGATCCAGGTTAGCAACCCGAAGATGGTGACTAGGTTCACAAAATAACCGAAAACAACCTTCGTGTCGTTCGAAACGTTCATGAATGCGATCAGAGCGAATAACGAAGACAGGCCGAGCGCATAGATGGGAACACCCCTCCGGTCTGTCCTTGCAAGAATCCTTGGCGCTTTCCCCTCCCGAGCAAGGCCGTATATGGTTCTTGTGGCGATGTACAAGTCAGAGTTGCTGGCGGAAAATACAAAAATTAAAATGCAACCATTGAGGATTCCTGGTAGCACCTTGATACCGGCAAGGTGGATGGCCACAACGTACGGGGAGGCGGCAGCAGAGTTAGATGCTTTGGTTGCGAATGCAAGTTCTCTCGAGTTATATGGAACCAACATCCCCAGCAAGAAGACGCTGAGTATATAGAAGATGAGGATTCGGAAGAAGGTCAGCTTGATAGCGCGAGGGATAGTCTTTCGAGGGTTCTGAGCCTCCCCCACAGTAACTCCAACGAGCTCAGTGCCTAAGAAAGCAAAAGTTGCCGTGACCATTGTGGACCAGAATGCGAGGAAACGGCCTGCGGAACCTTCCCTAATATACGTGTTGAAAGCTCCCGGATCCTTCCAGTAGCGGAATCCCTTTCTGTCATGATCTGGACCCCCGCCTAGAGCAAGGACCAAGGACAGCAGAATCAAGGATATGATGACGATGACCTTGAAAGACGAGAGCCAAAATTCAAATTCCCCGAAAAATCGAATACCGAAGTAGTTGATACACACTATGGTTACTAGGAATACCGCAATCCAAACTCCTGGATTCACCCTGTCCCTATCAACCCAATATGAAAGCACCAATGCGGCTGCTGTCAATTGGTTCGGGGTAACAACCACGTATTTACAGTAATACCTATCGCAAGTCAGTTAGATAATCAAACAAACGATCCCCGGGACAATCCAGAGTGAGGCCAGAAATATAGGAAAACCCACGAGTAGCCCAGCGCAAAGCCCAATGCAGGATCGCAAAATCGAACCGCATAACCAGTAAAGCTAGAAGGTATGGGAAGCCATGCTGCCATTTCGCCGAGCGCACACATAACAATGTACACGATAAAACCGACAATCGAATAACTGATCAAAACAGACGCAGGCTGCAAAGGTTAGGTTCCACGGCTTCAGCACTTCAACAGGTGCCGATTTTCTGGTCCAGAATCACTTACACCAGCCCTGCATATCAAAATTAATAAATGAAGAAGAGGAAAAGAAAGTAAAGAATTCAAAAGCTGCATGCAAGGGCCATCATAAAAAAAGACAGAATTTACTTACTTTGCAAGAGCAGAACCTGTACCAATTATAAGACCCGTCCCAATGGCACCGCCAATTGCTATAGGAGGATTAGTATGCTGCGCAAAAGGTTTTTAAGTCGTTGCAAGCATTACGAAATGAAAATCCGTACCAATCATAGTAATATGGCGAGCCTTCAGGCCGCGATGGAGGGCAATTCCTTTCTCATCCTCATCAACCACACCGTCAGGCTCGGCCGAAAAATTTTGCTCGATATACTCCTCATTTTTCACTTGGCTTTCGGCGAACGCAGCATCTGCTTTCCGATTCCAGATAGCCATGCCACGCACGGTAAATCGTATATAAAGACACACCGGGCGTTTATTTGTGCTTTGCAATGGCTTCGGGAAATGGGAAAAGTTGCGCTTTGTTAATCATAGGACACATTACGGCGATGGAGAATCGGGGTGGTAAATATATCTTTGAGTTACCACGGTTCAAGCCTTCTATGGAAATGTGGGGGTGCAACGAAGATTTGAAGTTAAAATCCCAGATGGATGCTCGTGTGACCCAATCCGGGTTTGAGTTCAACTCATGTACGAGTTAATTCGATAGGTGGTCATGAACCGTGAAGTTAAATAAATGTGCCATCATTTTGTGAAACGCCTCCCTCTGGATCAAACTCACATAGATTTTTTACCTTATTCACGTGGTTTCCTACAAGTGACACTTTCGGATAATATGAGCTCGGGATAAAATGTTGTCAAGCAAGCAGTTGCAAGCATGCGAAATTTTTGACTTTCCGAACAATAATGGGGCAAATTGCCAGTGATAGGCTGCGTGGAGGATGTTTGAAACCCCTTTGGATGATTCTTCAATGGTTTTTAAAGCGTTTGTTAGCCTGATAATGCAAGCTGCTTGCTGATTTTCTCCTTGTTAAGCTCAGGAACCATACCATTCTGTGGAACCGATCTTCCTTCCGCTTTGGATCTAGGGAGAGATAAGGGAGAGATAAGAAACCGTATTTGAACGGCAAGCGGGCATATAGAGTAATATATCCAGATCCGTTAGATAACGAAACCAAGTAAGATCTCCCGTCCAACGCCAGGATTGGTTTTGCCTGCCTTCCGAGAGCGTCTAGGAGGTTTGGAAAGTCCTCGGTCTAAAAGAGCTTCGAGAACGTTCTTGTTGCCGCGAAAGGTGAAAATTCTATCAAAGAAAGCCATTCGATAATAAGTTGCGCCAGCGACTCAAAATGAATATGGTCAGTTTGATCTCTGGGAGGTCTTTTATCTCTTCCCCCTATCTTTGATTCTTGTGCCCCTTTCATCGTCAGTGTGCATCAAAGTCCCCCAAAATTGCCACTCTGTGCGGGATTATATGCATCCTAGTAAAGAATGTGAAGAATTTTTAAACGGTAGAGGATTCCAGATTTGTATGCGGGATTATCAAATGGACGCCTTATCATTCCATCCCTTTTGGGTTATTCGCCGGGTTCGATCGTTATCGGGCTGAAAATTTTGTTTATTGGCGAAAAACTGTCATCCCTGAAGTGTGTCCGTCGAGTTATGATAATATGCGATATTCATCAGGAAACTAAACGTGTGGGCTAGGAAATATCGGGTAGTGAGGCAAAAGTTGACAATCAGTGCACGGCACGGGGTGCTGGCTTTCACTATTGGGTGATTCGTACCCTCTATACCACCATGGCGCTGGTGGTGGGTGATTGAGCTCTTTTGCCCTAGTGGCCTAATAATCAGAAGGCGGTTGAAGTAAGCTTAAGAACAAGCTTAACTAACTTGACATCACGCTACACGTTGCTCAGGTCCAAATACCCCACCAAAGACGCTACCAACACACCAAAGCGGCTGCCAAGCCTCTACGGCTGATCAGCCATGTCCTGAGTCCTTGTAAATATCAATTCGTACCTTGACCATAAATGTCTGTTACATACTGTTTTTCGAGGGTTGTTTGTGGGGTATAAATTTATGTGAGAGCTGTGCCATTCGGTCAGAAGTTTAGGGAGTTATCAAAAGAACGATTAACCAGTCGTCAAAAACAATGTTTTTGCCGATCCGTGGTAGGGAAAATCCCAGTAATTTTAATACGACAACTTTATCAGGAACGTCAGGAAAGTCAGATTACAATTCAAAACTATGTCAATCCGAATGTAGCCGAAAACGGTTTTGAAGATATGTAATATCCGCATTTCGGCTGTTGTTTCAATTCCAAAAAGCTCCCAGTTCGTTAGTAAAGAAAGGATAGGGACTGAATCGATGAGGACAGCGCGCATTTTCAGTCAACATTAGGTATGAATCTTATACTTCTCCATTATTTTGCCTCATTTTGAATCCTTCGTTTCGGTTCGGTAAAGAGATGTCTAATTCTCTTCCCGCCTTGGTATAATTAGTATGGGTAAAATTGGAGAGAAAATTAAACAAGTTTTCTTGCACCAATGTGATGATGGATTTTCCATGTGAAGATTGCTAATCTAATTCGTCCCCAAATTTCTTTAACCATTGCTTTTGTGGGCTTGGATAGGAAGGCTAAACCAAATAGTAAGCAAGCAATGGATACGTACGGCGCTTAGCTTTGTTCCATGCATGAGCCGCTGCCATTTTAGTATGTAGTAATACTAGATTATCCGACCGTCGCATCACCGAGGAGGGAACCGGACGGACATAGATAGATAGGCAAGCAAAAATGACTGACATGCCTATCTATATATATGTAATATCGAGAGAGAAATAGAGAGGGGGGGGGGGGGATGTGACCGAAAGAAGAAGAAAAAAAAGAGAGACCAATGTGGTTATTTTCAACTAGACCAAGTGGGATTCGAACCCACGACCCCCGCATCACTGAGGAATAAGTCATATGAGTTCAGGCCACACCAAAACAAATGTTCTGGGCGCTACTGAGAATCATATAAGAACGGAACGCTAACCACTGCGTCACTGGTCTAATATTATGGCCCACGGTGCGGCAATATCCTTTTATGCTAGACTTGTGATGACGATGCTGGGGGTACATCGATCGATCGCCCACCTTGACCCATAAAATTATTTCAGGTGCTAAGGGGGAAACAAATAATAATGATACTAAAATAAATAAAAATAAATAGAAAGAAAGAAAAAGAAAGAAAGAAACGCTCTGCGATCGTCCGGCCCGCAGTGCGACCGAGTCATTTAGGGAAATTTGGTCAATGCTTCTCTTCTATCAGTCGATTTTAATCCCCTGTAACCCTGAACAGTCCTGCATCCGACCGCTGATAGCAAACCACGAACCAGTGGCGCTGCTGCCCATCGATGGAAATGTCGCCGGTTTCCTCTGGGGTGAGAGCATGGAAATGATTGGCTTTGTCAAGGACAATCTCAAACTCCTCGCCTCGCCTCCTCTCGGCCCTCTCTCTCGCGTCTGCACAGAGTTATCAATTCTTCTTACCAACGACTAGAGACCAACAGTTCACGCTAACACCCTACCTAGAGTTCGCCAGCCTTCTTTGCAAGCCTACTGTGGGTACAGTATTAGGCGATCTCGTTTGTTCACTTCGGTTAATCAGCCTCACTGCGGATGACGAGGGTATCTCGATCCTGGCATAGTTTCTTTATTTTGTAAATTAGTCATCGTTGCGTTATTTATCTGGTTGCTATCAAAAATTTCGCCTATGATTCGTGGCTACTCCAGCCTCTGTCACGAACATTCAGTCCAGGAACATGAACTTTGGCCAGCATTCGCTTCCGTTTACCAGGATTAGCGGAGATTTCCCCTGCCGGAACCAATTTGGGACTCAGCTCTTCCTGCGGCAAATCCTCAGCCTCATACTTGCTCTTCGGCAATAAATTATTTCCAGGCCACTCGTATGCTGGTCTTTTTTCGCTTTATTTCAGAGAGACAATAGGAGTATGTTTTCCGATTCTCGGGGATCAAATGGTTGAGACCTTTATATCCTTTCTGCAAAGTTCCTCGGATATTGAGGTTTCTACATCTGGGAGACGATGCCTGTCATATGCAACAGCCCCTATTCTCTACATGCCACGATATCTCTCTGCACCATGTATTGCGTATATACCCACAAACAAGGGGCTAATTGACTTCACAAACCAAGCGCACCTGGAGGTTTGTTTTGTTCAAGGGTTTTGAGATCCCAGTATTTAGCGGGAATTGCTCATTCATCTGAATCCCCTGGAATGCACATTGCCACCTCAGTTTGTACCGTTGAAACAAATACTACAGAGCTAAACCACAGTGCCTAGGATCCTGCAGCTCTGTCAGAGGTAGAGGCTCCGACCGCCTACAAATCCCGGAAATGGTACAGATATTCCCGATCAATGGTTACCAATCCTCATAGATGTAGAACTACATCTGCAGAGCGGTGTATACAAGGCTAATCACATAACATGAGTGGAAAATCATAAACTTTCCAGTTAAAAGTGGCTACTAAACGCGTACCAATCGGATCTTTTTAAAGCCGTTTCCTAAGTCTCTCAACCGAGCAAGGGGCATCGATACATGGCTCACAGTTCTTCCCGAGGTAGTATAAGATCCCTGTTGCATTTGCTGATCTCCCAGGAACATATATATCCGCTGGTCACTTACTAGGTAGGAAGTCCTTCTACCAGACTAGGTTCTAGAAGCATAGTCATAATGTTATCGATGCTGGTATCTCCTTGAATTGTGCAGCACATCACACGTACCGAATTGCCTCCTCTACTTCGAAGTTTCTGGACTATCCAAATGGGCTTCACAGGTATCACCCAGAAAGCTAGAAATTTGGACCAGAAAAGCCATCCTCGTTACAGATTCTGGGATGCCTGCTTCAAAACGTCTGTCCAGATCTGCTCACTTTCGAAAGAGCCAAATAAATCCGACATCCCGTTGGAATAGAGGCTATATTCCTCATGATGTGTTGGTGCGCTGCGCAGACAAGCACCGTTCTAGCATGATGCGCAAATTGTCTAGAAAATCTACCTCATAGCAAACCTGTCATTGATTCCCACGTACATCCATCCGTACATAAATTTCAGAGTCCACTGGTAGCTGTCGTAGAACGTGGAAAAGCGGGTTTGAAGCATAAATAACTGAACTTTGGGTTTAGGAGGTATCGTCCCTCGAGAAGCATAGCAATTACCTTGCATCCGGCTCCCGCTGCCTGTCGCAGGTTGTATATCCATGTATGTGGAAGGACGGCCGGTCACCGTTTGATGTCTGGAATGGATGGGAAAGCATGCGTGAGTAGGCTGTTTGGTGCGGCCTGAGAAAAATCTTCGATTGTAGAGTGCGGAATCTTAGGTCTTGAATTGTATACAAGAAAAAAAAAAAAAAACAGGAGCGAGTTGGTTCCGAAGGCAAAAGGGAGCTTTTACATTATGGTGCATGTCCTGGCTTGAGTCCATGATTCTGGCTTAGAAAGCACAGAGCAAGGACGAAGATTCCGCTCCCATGAAAGAACTAAGAATGAAGGATGCTGCCTATTCCGAATATGTGACAGGGGATAATGTAAGAGGACGCGAAGCAAAAGCTTTGGTATTTAAAAGTGTCACACCTACCACCGAACCCGTCTATATTCCAAATAATACTTTCCCCGTTCAGGAAATAAACATACAGTAATCCAGAGAGAAAACATTGAGGGGTAACTTAACACATGATCATCTTCTAATCTGGCCTGACGCCAACACTATTACGCCAGTCTCAAAAATAAATGTTTGGGTTATCGGCCCTCTGGCGCCTCTGATGGCCCAGCAATATAACCATTAGTAACACTGCCACGGGGAGGAGGGTCAGCATATGATAAGGGAAACCCATCGCCACCACCTGGCGTTGACGATTTGCGAAATCCTTCACGAGCGAGCATGGTATTAAGAACAGCACAGTTATAAGCGGCTTCGCCCGGTGGGACAACGACGAATATATATGTATTATCGGTGAACCGGCCCAGGAACACATTAAACTGAGGAGTTTTAGTGTGCATAACCAAAAAGCTCGCTGAGGCCGGTGTAGTATGTGTATTCCTCGCAGCGCAATGCTTGAAAGCCTTCATGATATTCGAGAGGCGCTCGTGGCGGTCAAATATAGGGTTCAAACGGCCGACTTCCGACGCGACGGATGTGACGGTGAGGAATGTCGAGCGCTCAAATAAAATGACCTCTTCCGCCTCAATCTTCTCCGCGAAAGCTTGCAGGAATCGCTCGATGACGGAGAGGTTCGGGATAAGTTTGTGGACGATTCCCGCCCATGCCTTGTACAAGGATTGGTCCCATATACTGCTGCCAAATGTATCTATTGTAAAAGGCCCAGATCTTGCACGGATGAGCGAGGAACGTTCCTCATATATTCGCTGCCGATGCTCCGTCTGGATTAAATCAAGTTTGTGAATGAGGCAGAAGACGAAAGCATTTGGGCTGAATTCTTGAAGAGCGGTTATGATGGAAAAGTAGGTGTCGAGGTCACGTTCGACTTCACGCGATTCGATGTCAAAGACGTAAATGAGCACAGCGACGTCGGAAAATATGTTCTCCCGTTGCGACGCGAGGTAAGTTTCCATGAATGCATCTTGGCTGAAAAAAAATCGTATGTGCCAGTTAGTTACCAGCAACAAAAAAACCCATCAATCAAATATTCCTAGAAGCAGGGAAAGAGTATCCTATTAATCGCAAAGACTCACCCTCCACAATCCCAGAGATTCAAGGTCAGGCTTCCCATGAACTTGACATGGCTGTGCTCCACATCGATCGTAGCTCCTAAGCGGCGGACATCCTTGGCTACGTAGTTGCTGAATATGATGGAGCGCATAGATGACTTTCCAGACCCACTCTTGCCCATAAGTAGGACCTTGCGTTTCTTCTTTCGTATATCCATTGTTGCCGTGCCGTTGTTTCTTTCGCGAATAAGCTGGGGGCACCCCAGTTATTAATGACCGTAGAGCCAGATGCGCATACCATCTCAGTCGCGAGGGCGGAGGAGAAAATCTAGGCAGAAGTTTGGGGTTTGTGCTCAATTGGTCCTGGCCTCACACTTGAACAAGGGCCAAAATCATGGCGAAGGCGGAGAACTGCACGTTCGGTTGTTTATGCGTAGTTCGGCAGTCAGACGATGTTGACATTGGTTGAAAATCTTGAGGTTGGGCAACTTGGGAAGAAGGCTCCAAAGCCGAACGGCGTAATCACGTGATATAGAATTTATCAGAGGTTTGGCAATATTTATATCCGCTTTTATTCAAGAAACGATATATCTGCTGGATCTGTATAGTCATGGGAGCATTTCCTTACAAATAGCGAACCACTTAATGGGTATCCCATAGATATGGGGCTCGTTTCGCTTCAAACTTCTAGCGTTGAATTATGGACCAACATCCCCTGCCTCCCGCCATAATTAAGCAATGACAATGACCTCCAAAACAGGGAAATGTGGACAGTCGCGGACCTATATGGCTTTTAAATTTGAAAGAGATAACGAATAGGAATTACCAATCCAACCTTTGGCAAGTAAGTTCTCGCCAAGCATTTCTCGGCAACTCTCGATGCGCATATCAAAAGGGTGGGAATTAAGAAAGTTGAGCAGAACATAAGAGAATATCCGAAGGATACAGGTTTGAAATAGTATAAAGAAGGTCACAATATAACGGATGACGAAGGAGAAGGTATCATTATCATTAGTAAGGCCCAATATCACACCATGAAACATGAATGGAATAAGACGCGAATAGGACATTGTAACGAATTTACAGTTAAAAGACAGTCCCATCGGAAAGAATCATAATGGGGGCTTCTTTCGTGTTTGGCCGAGAAACCTCCGCAATTTCACGCCCTCCCTAAACGACAAATTAGCTATGCATTGTGGGATTCTAGATAATCATTACTGACCTTCCAAGTTCCAGCTTCGAGCATCTGTGCAAGGGTTAGACGCTCCGCAGAAGGTAGACCTAGTAGATTGTTCACTTCCTCAAGCAATTCGTCCAGGAACCCGACTGTGAGAGCTCTCCACTCCACAATCACATCATCGTCCACCGTAAAAAGTGGAACTACCTCTACATTTGGCTGGCCTTTGATCATTGAGTTGGATTTATACGCCTGGATGCCCCGCTCAGCATCTTCGCGTTTCAGGTTCAAGAGGCCCATATCGATGAGAAGTCCTCCGTTCCGATATTCGGGTAGCCCCGTCAAAAGTCCGGTCCCGGAAAACTGAATCTTCATCACTTTTGTCATCGGTGCCATGAGTGAGTAGCAGAGCCATTGTGTCAACTTGTGGAACGGAACAATACTCTCCCAAGATTTCGATGCCGGCGGCGATGCTATGACAGAACAATGCCAGGCATCTCCGATAGACACGCCGTCAACCTGAGTTCGAGACGGGGGCCAAATCGATGACAGCCCGTCCATAAGCACGGACCACAGCGTCGGAATAGAAATGATGGGAACGGAGGATGCGAGAGTGGTGTGGTGGGAAAGAAGGTAATCTACAATTGATAGTTAGCATAGTGAAACGAACAATTAATTACGCACAAAGCATAGGTTAAAATTGCATACCAAGCATGTTTCCTGGTCTCGCATCAACCCCGAAAAATTCTTGGTTGTTCAGCGCTTCTGACAACCTGATCAGCAAGCCAGCCCGTCCTTCCAGCCCGGGCAATGGATTATTTTCGGAATGCTGCATCCCCTTCGCAAGCTGCCCTACAGTGACCTTTTTCAAGCCTGCGCCATCCACTTGGCACGGCTCAGTGGGATCACTACTGAATAAGCCGGTCTTAAACATCTCCAGGCTGGCGACCGCTAGACCTTCACTTCTTCTATAGATTCTTCCCGATTCCTTAGATTTATACGACCACTTACTCCCGGACCCAGCGTCCAACAAGACCGATATAAGAAAGAGGTCAATCAGTCGCCTAGTCCGTTCAAACGTGTCAATGGTACTAGGCCATGATTGTAGGAGTTGGTTGATCCGAGGTCTCCCGCCAACGTCAAAATGATGCCAACGACTATGGGCGGGTATGGCATGATAATCGGGGGCGTAATCCCGCTATAGATTTTAGACCATAAAATATTAGAACGGTGCTTTAACGGAGAGAGAGAGGTTGGAGAGAGTGTGTGTAAACACCCGCATACCTTGATAATGGACGCAACGTATTGAGCTGTGTCCGCAAACTTGCTAAAATCAATATCGAAGTGATTCAGTTGATTTCTCTTCGCTTTTTTCATAACGGCTCTTGATCGTTGGCGAACAGAATGAATGCTTCGTAGATAAGCTGCTGGGTCCAGGTTTGGGTCTGGTGGAGGCGCGACTGGGACCTCCGGGATTGTAACAGATCCGCCATTTACAGTCTTAATTGTCATGGGAACCTTCATTGATGCATTTGAAGTTCTTGTACTGCTGGTTGACACAAAGGACTCGCGGTCGTCCTTCTCGTCGTTGGTCGACAGTTTTGAGTCTTTCCGTCTAAACATGATAACCATGGCCGATCGACCGCGGGAATGCGCCACAGATGCTGCGAGCTGCAAAGAGAGTTAGAGTTCCAGGATCGCAAGCTTAGGAAGTGCAGACATAGCAGGGCTAAAGAATTATGTCGAGAGCGAGTGGTAAAGGAGAAGTGAGGGGAGGAAACGGGAGGTGGAGGAGAGAGGAAGGGATGGGGATGGAGGCGCGGTTGGTGCGGAGGTTGATCCGAAGGGGCACATGAGGAGGAAGGGGCCAAGTTCTCTCACATCGACACTCCGGATATCTTCTCCTGCTGAGCCAGTAGGGTTACAAGCTCTCGAAACCCTGGTTGAACGACTAGGGGAGGTCAAATTTCATGGAACCCGGTCAGCCCCAAGAGAAATTCGTAACAGGGCAGGACTACTATTAAACCTTCATTGCAACTTGGGAGGTATGGTAGGTGATATTTGGGATCTGGCTGAGTCTTCAGTGCACAGGCGTACATGACGATGAACTTTACAACATAGTGCGCACGCTACATGCTGCTGCTCGTTGGAGCATCCAAGCCGTCAAAAAACTTGGGTGGCGGGGGTTGTTGGATTTTGAACTACAGAGTCGGGGAAGCCCCTCAACGAATGGCCCGCTCGTCCCCGGGTGGTGTTCTCACATCGCAGCGTTTGGCTAAATGGTTCCTAGCGGCCAGACAGGAAAAACTCTAAGATGAGCCGTCGTTCTGCAGATGAAGCCACGCTCGAGATGATCGAGGATAGGCTCCACCCAAGAATGACTGAGGAAACATGGGAAGATCTGGGCCCAGAGAACCCATCCTTCCAGGCATTGACCACTGCATGGCTGCCAGCCTGGTGGAGCTTTCTTGAGTTTCGGCTCCAATAGTGAAGCGCCCTTGAAGAGAATTAAGTTGCAGCAGCCGAGTCATTGGCGCGAATGAGGGTGATCCAGCCCCAAGTCCCAAATGGTTGAAGCAACGAAATCTTGGACAACCTGCCTCTGAGCGAAGGGCACCCAGAAGGACATAGGAAAAACACATGGTGGACATGGTGGAGTTGTTCGGGGTTGTTCAGCAAATCTTCGAATCGCAATCTGCGTATCCTATATACCGGAATTGGCAGTTGGCCAGGGGATACCACCCCAGATGGGTTTGCTGGCAAGGGATGGGTCCCACCAGGTCGATGCACCGAGGACAGCGGAAGAAATACCCATGAAATCTCCTCTGTTAAATGTGCCAGATACCAGGAGTGCCCTTGCTGGGATATGTCATAATGGCCACTAAAACTTCTCTTAGAATATTCTCTTGCATAATTTTGGTGCTTGGTTTTCCTTAGGCACATTTTGTGTTGAGGCTGGCAGCGGTTCGTTCGTGTGCCCTTCGAGCCTCACCGCAACGATGCAAAATCTACTACAAGTTGCTGATCCCATAACCTTGAAACTGGCGATCGTTGGCACATGCCGCTCCATCCATGCATTCTGGAAAGGTGTTATTGGTTGCTTCAAGGGGTTTCTGTACCCAGTGAGCCTTACTATGGTGCACCCAGTATTGAAATTCGGCGTTCAACTACACGTTGGTTAGGTTGGACAACTTTCGAAGGTATTTTTTACGTTTCAAAGACACAAAACCAGCTGGTGAGAAGATTCCAGACATTTTCGGCGGTTTGTCCAGGCTAACGATGTTGAGCCTGCTGTTGTGTCCCGAGTTGGACATGCATTTTGAGCGTTTGATTTTCCGCCTGGCAGTTACGGTGAGTTACCTACATATTTTTCTAGCGCTGACTGTGACGTTGCATATCGAAATTGGGAAGAAAGATGCAGAGGCCAATCTGCGCTCATTTTGGTTTCAAAGACTTGCCAATCAGTCTATTTTGCATCTTCCCACCTTGATTGAGTTCAATGTCTTTTTCACTGTCAACAAGACGTAAACATCTCACGTAGCTTCGTCATTTCACCCACTCGCCCACACGGGGAAAGACGGCCACCAAAAAATTTTCCATCAAAATGAAAACCAGGAGCAAAAGCCGGGTTGCTTTGTCTCTGTCAATCCGTGACTCCGCGCCAATTGGAGTGCTTTCTCTCGCTAACTGCGCCCAAATTGCCTCTAGCTGTAATTGCTAACCTGTCTAGCGGGGTTGACAGCAGCTTTTCCGTAGCGCGGCGGGAGATGCCTACCACTCATGTCCTTCCCCACCGCCGTGGAGCTGGGGCCACTAGGCGGGTGCCCTGTTTTGCTCCACTGACACGGTAGCGTCGAGGTTCCAAGGTCGACATGGGGCTGGCCTGTTGGGACGCTGAATCGTCTCGGCAGGATACATCCTCACTGCGCTCTTGATGTTGGGTGAGTCAGCTTGGTCCTAATTGATATACGCCATGTTCTGCCCAGCATCCTGCTCTCATGATGGTGCGCCTACGTCGAAAACAGCCACAGATTATCAAGAATATTCCTATTTCACCTACAGCAGGACTTCTTACTTGCACGTCTATCATTCACTTGCTGCGGATTATCTTCGCCATCTACCTTCAAATCGGCCACTGCAGATTATGGGCGATAACGAGGAAGGGTGGTAGTAGGGCTGACTTTCCCACACTCAAGGCCCTGGAAGGTACAAGCTGCCGCCGTGATATCTGTGCTCATCCAGGTAAAATATGGGCACACCGCGGCACTCGCGCCCGCACCCCATCAATGGCTTCGAAATGAAAACCCCAACCGTATTGTGGGGTTGAATGAAGAGACGGATACACAACAGACTTCAGCCAGACAAATGGTTGAATGGGAGCGAAAGATACTACTTATCATCAAAAAGCAATGAAATGTTCATTTTAACTCGCGCTAAATCTCTCGTCGATACACTTCATAACCAGACTCGGAGCAACCACGAAGATCCGAACGGTTTACGGGATTCCTGATGAGCCAGGGACCAGAAGTTCAGAGGGATCGGATGCAAACGTGTAGAGTGATCTCGGAGAAATGGTGTCTCGAATAAAAGGGAGATACCTATAATACGTCCTCTATTGAACACCCCAACGAGGAAAACAAAAATTGACGCACAACTACGGAAAATCCAGTAAGGCAGGCTATGCACCAAATGGAAAACGATACTCATTGAAATTCAACGTTATGACTGGCAGCATCGTCATCAAATGCGATCACTAAGAGAAAATATGAAAAAGGGGGAGAAGGCGAGAAAAACAAACCATATTAGTCCTCGTTAGGTGAAGGACAGTGAAACTTCCCTGCGAAAATATCCCCCTATTTACTGGAATTTTTCCCTCGTTCGGGCATATTTGACAGTTCACTCATTCAACCCATCGTGCTCCTGAGCCAGGCCCGAGTCTGGCACACAATTCCAGTTCACAGTCAATGCTGATTAGACATGGCCGAAGCTCAGTTCTCCATCCTTTGCCGCTGTCGTGCAAGCGGCAGGTATGGCATTCTTGATCCGAGAAAATCGGTCCGAGAACCTTGTTTGAAGATATCCGTCATTCCTTGGAAATCTAGGGCTAGGCCGTGGCGTTTTCAATTCCTGAGGGATATAGGTTTTATCCCCTATTTCTTTTTATCCATCACATATGTATCGCTTCCAACCGTCTTTGGAATCTAAGCTGCGAATGGGACTTGCAGGAAGTTGGTTTCGGAAAGGCCGGTGGTATGGTGAAGGTAGCTCGGGGGAAATCTAACCAAATTTTTATGAAACCTGATTTGGTTTTCTAGTGATGATCTCACGTTTCTACAATTTCAAGCAATTCAACTGCTCAACTATTCTACCACAAACTTTACTACTCGTACTGTTTCAAATCTTTCAACAATCAGCCAAATCCCATACTTTGTTTTTGGCAGAATTGTTTAATGAACAGAAGTCACCTAGTATCGTGAGTATAAGGATTCACAAATTGCTCACATTCCACTCTCGCCTGCCCCCTCGCGTGCTGTGTCAGTTATTGCAGGAAACATAATCGGACGAACTAAATTCCGTGTCAGAGAGGTATGATCTATCTAATAATATATGTTGGACGTCTCAGTGGTTGTATTGGGCGTATATATGTGCGGTACGCTAGTCCGTAATAGGTAGCTTAGGACCAACATGTGGGACCTCCAACAAATATACATATCACATGACTTAGTGCTGCACGATCCCTTTTATTCCATCATTACAAGTTTACCACAGGGTTCTATAGATAGTCGTTCATTTTCTCTTACTCGAGGCATGTGATGAATAAGGTTAGTTCAGCGATTGTGGAGATTGAGTGTATGAGTTTCATATCTTATGTGGCGCATCAGTTAACTTGAACAATCCAAATAGTGACCTAAATGAGCACCTGGAGAAGGAAATGACCTCAGCTACATATCAAGCTTCTTCTCCGCCTCAATAACGGCGAACAACTCCGAGGGTCAAAATCAACTCCAACCAAAACCACATGGATGACCTATCGGGGCTCAACTGGACACCCTCCTCAGGGTCTGAAGCGAGAAGATCATCCCCGGTTGGATCCGCGCCTCCATCAAGGTTCTCTGAGTTAAGGCCTACACCTCCTATGTCAGGACGATCTACTCCGTTAACTTTTGGTCCTTCGGTGCGTTCGAAGCCACCTTCAAAAGCAACTACTCCGGCCAATGACAGTTTTGCGAATCTAGTCTCATTTAACTCTGCCAACTCTGGAAAAACGCTTTCATTGCTCGAACAACAGAAGCAGTTGGCAGAACAGAGAGCACGGAAGGAAGAAGTGAAAAGGGCGAACTTAGAGACCCAATATGGGGGAAGCAATACACAATTCTGGGACAATTTCGAAAAGCCGCGGACTTCAGCATCCCCCGCAGGCGCGCATACGTTCTTGGGACAACGTCGCCCTTCTGGTGATGAAGATGATCTGTTGGCTGCCTTCAATGCATCTGCACCAGTTGACGCCTCCACAAACTTCCCTATACCCGTTCACAGTGGATCCTCTAGTAATAATACGTCAAGTTTACAACTCGGATCGAATGATGTGCAGGCTACACATCAAAGCTTGAAGATTCCTGATGATGATGACCCATTCGGTTTGCGGGACCTCAAACTCAAGGCTACATCACAAAATCTCACGCCCCAGACCGTCGACGATGACATTCTAGGTTCACTTGGGAAACCGGTGTCCGAGTTTACACAGAAACAAAAAGTTGAAGTATTATCACCGAAAGAGGCTCCCGAAAAGCCTTCTCCACCCGTTTCCACTGAAGATAAGTACATTGCTGAATTAGTAGACATGGGATTTCCTGCGGACAAGGCTCAAGAGGCCCTTGCTGCGACAGAGTCTGGAATTGATGTCCAGGCTGCCGTTGGCTGGCTCCTAAACCAAGCTCACGAGGAGGCAAAACAAAAGGCGAAAAATCGGGGACTGAGCAAAGATCAGCATCAAAATAGAAGCCGTGAACGGAGTTCTGGTGGCAGATCTCCTGAGCGGCGAGACAACAGTGTACCCGCATGGATGCAGAACGAAAGCTCTCGCTCCTCAAGCAATCATGCACATAGCCCAAGTCCTTCCAGACTGGACAAGGACCCGGCAGCGTTGGCAGCAGAATTACGTAATACCCTCTTCAAATCAGCCAATTCCCTTTGGAAGAGCGGAACGAAAAAGATGCAACAAGCTGTCCAGGAGTTTAATGGCCCGTCTGATTCAAATCAACCTCGCTGGATGCGAGAATCCTCATCAACTGCCTCGGAAACAACGCGTTCAGGAGCGCGAGGCAATGGCCCTCCACACCAGGGCAACTTCACAGATGAAGCGTTGCTGCTTGAATCTGGTGCAAGGCCTACCAAGTCACCCAGGCGGAGGGAAGAGTCTTATCCCATTTCCAACCCAGATCTTCTCCGAAGCCGTTCACCACGCGCTCCGGTGCAAAGGGATACTCAACCGCAAATTAGGGAAGGCCCTCGAACTCGGCTCACTCGTGTGAACGCTGAAGAGCAAGCCGCCCAAGCATACGTTAGCCCAGCAAGGAGACGGAAAGCAGCTCCAACACCGACAGCTTCGGAATCTCAGCCTAACTTGTTCGATACACCTAACACAGTGAACCAACCTGCACGACCTGCAACGACATCGCCTCATCCCCAAACACGTCAAGTCCAGACTTCCAAGCCACTGCCAGTGCGTCCTAGAGCACCTCCACGTGAAATTCCTCAGATTTCTTCTTCTGCGCTTGCGTCCTCCCATAGCTCACGTCAGAAAGGTTCCGAAGCCTTTAAACGTGGCGACTATGCTTCTGCGCATACGGCATATTCCACTGCCCTTTCTCACCTACCGGAAAAGCACCCCCTCACGGCAGTCATTCTATGTAACCGTGCGCTCACCGGGCTTAAAATTGGCGAACCCAAATCGGCGATCGCCGACGCAGATACTGCCATGGCAATCATTGGCCCTTCCAGAGGAGAGTCGGAAAAGATCGACTTAGCGAAGGGGGAGCCTAGCAAAGACATGAAAGAGGTTTTTGGTAAAGCATTGATGAGGAAAGCCGAAGCGCTAGAGCAACTTGAACGGTGGTCTGACGCCGCTAAGATCTGGCGAGATGCGGTTGAATCAGGCCACGGAGGCAGCACTAGCATCCAGGGACGAAATAGGTGTGAGAAGGCGGCTGGTATGAACCAGCCAACTCCCCATACATCAACGCCGGTGACGTCCACGGGTCCCGTAAAACCCAGAAAACCAGTTACTCCAGCGGCTAGGCCGATTGGACAGCAGTCCAAGCCAGCAGAAGCGGTTTCTCGTCTCCGCGCAGCAAATGAGGCGGCAGATCGAGCTGATAACGAAAAATTCGCCCTGTCTGATTCTGTGGAGGCTCGTATAACCGCATGGAAGTCGGGGAAGCAGGATAATCTGCGAGCGCTTTTGGCAAGTTTGGACACTGTTTTGTGGCCAGAAGCTGCGTGGAAGACGATTAGTATGGCTGAGTTGATTCTACCCAACAAGGTTAAAATCCACTATATGAAGGGGATTGCCAAGGTGCACCCGGATAAGGTTTGTCTCCCCTTCCCTTCCTCCCTTCCCTCCTACTTTCGTTTTCCTTTTTACGAAGTCTGCAGTTCGTGGATATCTAGAATATAGGTTTTACTAACTATCCCTTTTGTATGTGCCCCTACAGATCCCGGTTAACGCAACCACGGAGCAGAAAATGATTGCTGGTGCTGTATTCAGTGCATTAAATGAAGCGTGGGACAAATTCAAGAATGAAAATGGACTGTAGCAACAGATCTTAACACCTGCACGGACAATGTTATTCACCTTCCGACAGATTCCGTGTAAACTCTCCACACCCCGGGCGAACTTCTTTTCTCGGAACCCATCACCGCCAGATCATTGTTCAGCGCTACCCCACGTTTATCGATCGTTTATCCCAGACCTGCTTTTGCCTTTCTTATACCATGAACAACTTAAGAATTTTTGGCTTCTAAGCGTGCTTGTAGATAGATCTTTGAACGTTTGATGTTTATGCCATGAGAATAATGACAGATATTAAATGCTTCTAGTATGTTTTTGGTTTATGATTCCTTGATTATGTTCATTGAAAGATGATTAGGACTGTTCCGTTTTGTCCACAGGACATGTATTCAATGCACATAAGCTCTCCGTCTCGTATTACATGCATATTCAAGCAAACTGTCGCACAGAGAGCAAGCTGTGCCGAGAGTGTCGATTAAGATATTCGATGTAAGATACCGTGCCCATTCCTACATCCTCATTCAGGGGTGAGGCACCTTGAGCGTCTTCAACCCCTTGATTTGAGCAATATACAATCGTCCCTAATTGGCAATGTCAAGCCATCAAGGGATCATGGGTGGCAATATAGAAAAAATCCTAAAGAGGCTGGAGACTCCATGAAAACTGGGATATAATTTGTACAATTCATTCACCGGGAACATTACAATTATTCCTCCTCCGCTTTCTTAGCCGTCTTCCTCTCAGCTTTCTCTTCCCGTTTCATCTGCTTCTTGCTCTTCGGATACACTGATGCCCCATCTACAGCGCGCGACTTCGTAACGCTTGGCCACTTATCTCGACACCGTTGTTCTTCCTCTTCAGACCATGTAACGGGCAAAATGGCAAAGACAAGATAGGACGTGTGAGTCTTGAGATCGGGCTCGCTGCGATGTATGAGATTGCCTTGCTTGTACACTGGCACCAATGGCTGTACTGAAGTGGTTGGTTGTTTTAATTTTAATACGCCTGATATTACTGAAGACGATGGATCATTCTTGTCGCTACCCTCTGGGTCGACTATTTCTGTACCTTCTTTGCTGCTCTCACGGTTACCGTCACCATCACCGCCCTTGCAGTTGTCATTTTCTGTTTCGTTGTTTGAAGCGGTAGCTTGAGCGCTTTCCACCTCACTTTGTGCCTGGCTAGCATGGAAAGCTTTTCCACGTTCCCCAATATCTCGAAGCCTAGTTACTGATTCTTCCACATTTCGGGGACCGGGGATCGTGCCTCGACCCCCACCACCTTCAATTCCGTAACGTTCTCTCCGCACCTCAATTTGGCGATGATTTACTTCAACCATCGATATAGATACCCAGTCGTGTTGACGCAGCGCGCTGATGGTCCGCTGGACTTGTTCCAGGCAAGGTGAGAATGTGCAGATATGTACTGGCAACGATGGGTCGAGGGGAGATGGAGATCCGTCAGTGGGTTCTCGAACGAGGTGTTTCAGCGCGAGCCATGGCGCGGGGAGGTCCAGGAATATGGCATTGGCTCTAGGGGATTCGTCTTTGAGAGGCTCGCCTACCAAAAATCCCTCGTTGTAGACGTCCCGGTAGCTCACGTCGACGATACCATCTAGCCCGTGATCGCGAATCTCTTCGCGAATCTTCGACGCCCGCTGCGCATGGAACTCGAAGCTGTAGACTTTCCCGAGATGTTTGTTGCTTGGGGGTTCTGCAGGTGACGGGTACCCATTAAACACCGCCCGCGCGGCCGCATGTGTGAATGATCCACTGCCTGCGCCTGCCTCTATAAGTCTACATCCAGGTCTAGCACGTATGCGGTGTAATATGTAGCTGTAATCGGGGGTATATACGACCTGCGTTCGGTGGGGGAGGGAAGCTGTCCAAGACTCGGGTGTGGGAGGGAGAAGGTGAATGAAACCGCTGGATGCAGCCACAGCAGTTCTCGGTGCTGTAGGTATCGAATCATCATCATTGGCCTCAGATGTGTCCATTTCATCTGCTTTTCGCTTCAATGAGGGCGGCTGCTTCTGGGATAGTTTGCGTCCCCGCGAGCCAGTGTCGACCTTGGATGCAACAATCTGCGAGCCCCAAGGCTGCCCAATCAATGTACTGTGTGGAAACGAGCCGAAGCGGGTGTTGGTTACTTTCCCTTCATCATAGCCAAGATTTTCGTCATCGTGAGTCTTGAGGACCGTGGGGATCAAAAGGTTTCGCCGCAGATGCAGCACCGCCAGAGAATCCGCCTTCGCCGTGGGACCAGGCGTAAGGAACGGGGACGGCATGCTGGTGGAATCCAATGGGATTGAAGAGATGCCAAAATATCTGTTTCTCAAGTGAAAATGGAAAATATAGTTCAAATTAGCATCTTTGTCTTGCATACCCCGTACAATGTCCGCCAAACAGGGAATGTTGAAAAAAGAAAAAACTACAGCATCTGGCCAAATAGGGTTTAGGGCAGGATTGCTGCTTCGGGCTCCCCGCATCACCAAATGCAATGCAGACACACGCATGGATTTGACTGATTGACCCACGCCTCCGCCCCTCGTCTGCCCCTCGTCTCACTCCTTTATTCCCTTCCTCTTCTCTCCTTCTTATTCTCCCGATCGCTACTCTTATGCGCATCTCCCATTTATGAGGCTCTTTATTCGCACAGGTTGCTTGTCCAGCTTCTTTGACCCAGCCAAAGCACGCCCTACCCTATTCTGTTTGACCAGCAGCCCAATTCGAATCACAACGATGTCAACCGCTCGCCAGCAACCGCCATGGAACCAGCCCCAGCTGCACCCTGAATCCGCTTCGCGTCTACCTCCCTTGAAGATTTACAACTCTCTTACCCGATCGAAAGTCCCATTCGTTCCTCTTGATCCCATTGGCCGAAAAGTTACTTGGTATGCCTGTGGGCCGACAGTCTACGATGATGCGCATCTAGGCCATGCCAGAAACTATGTCACCAACGATATTCTACGGCGAATAATGCGCGATTATTTTAAATTCGATGTTGAGTTTATTATGAATATCACAGATGTGGATGATAAGGTGTGTGTCTGTCTGTGTGTCTGTCTGTGTGGGGAAATCACCTTCTCTGATCAACCCCAGGACTAATACAAGCGCCAGATTATTACCAGAGGCCGACAACATCACTTTTTTACCGAATTTGTAAATTCACATCCCATAATTGATGATGAAGTTACTAAGATAGTTCGCTCGGCATTCGCCGCTTTCCTAGAACGGAACCTTCCACTCCTTGAGGCTAGACTAGCCCCCGAGCGCTATGGGGAGGAGGCAGAAAAGGTGTACGCTGCCATCCTGAATGGCGCAGCTCTTGATGGAAGCGAAAAGCCTGGGGATGAAGAAGCGAAGTTGAAAATGAAAATAAAAACCGCGTCATCTGCAGCGAATGCACTCACAAAAGTATCGTCTACGAAGGAAAGCATCCTAAGCGAAACATTCTATAATGATGTCCAGGATGTACTCCTAGAATACCTTGATTCAATTCATGGATCGTCCATACGTGGAGAAGACCGTTCAATCTTCACCAAATTAACGAAGAAGTACGAGGATCGCTTTATGCAGGATGTTCGGGATCTAAACGTCTTAGACCCAGACACTGTCACCCGAGTAACAGAATACATGCCAGAGATTGTAAGCTTCGTTGAAAGAATTGTCAAGCATAAATTCGGCTATGTTACTTCTGATGGATCTGTTTATTTTGATATTACCGCCTTCGAGGCTGCGGGGAATAGTTATGCCAGATTGGAGCCCTGGAATCGGCATGATACGAAACTTCATGCGGAGGGAGAAGGAGCTCTAACAAAAAAGACAATGGAAAAGCGTTCTGCTGCAGACTTCGCTCTTTGGAAAGCGTCAAAAGCTGGCGAGCCTAGCTGGCCAAGCCCCTGGGGTGATGGCCGCCCTGGTTGGCATATCGAATGCTCAGCGATGGCATCTGCCAAGCTTGGGAAGCAGATGGATATCCATTCCGGTGGAATAGATCTGGCATTTCCACATCATGACAACGAGCTGGCTCAAAGTGAAGCTTACTGGCATGAAACCTGCGCTCACGGCCATTGGGTTAATTACTTCCTACATATGGGACATCTTTCTATTCAGGGCTCGAAGATGTCGAAATCGCTCAAAAACTTCACTACAATCCGGGAGGCTCTGGATAAAGGGGACTGGACACCTAGAAGCCTTCGAATAGTGTTCCTATTAAGTGCATGGAAGGATGGAATTGAAATCACCGAGGACCTCATCAATGCTGGGAATGCCTGGGAAGAAAAAGTGAACAACTTTTTCATCAAATCCAGAGACGTAGTGGGACAGCCAGACGTTGCTCCGGGTTCAGCAGATAACACTTTAGCCGTCGCCCTTGAATCCGCACAGGATGCTGTTCATCAAAGCTTGTGTGATTCGTTTAACACTGCTGGTGCGATGTATGCAATATCCGAGCTTATATCCAAATATAACATCGCTGATAAATCCACGATACCAACCAAGCACATCCAGGAGGCTGCCATGTGGGTTACTTCAATGGTCAACGTATTCGGTCTTAATGGTAGCGCTCCGCCAACCCCAACTGAAATTGGCTGGTCAGGCATTGATATCCCAGATGCTGCAAAACCTTATCTCTATCCTTTGTCTACAATGCGGGATTCTCTTCGGGAAGCCGCCAGAGCGAAGGACGGAATATCAGAGGATACCTTAAAGTCCATTGTTGAAATAGGGACCGCAGCAATTCAGCGAAACTCAGGGGTGGCCGAAGCGGAGGCGGGAATTTACAAGAATGTCCTATTGGATTTTTCCACGAAGATATCCTCCCTGGAGAAAACTAACTCTATTTCAAAGGAAATCCTTACTCTCTGCGACCGCGTTCGTGACGTAGACCTATTTGACCTTGGAATCTACCTTGAGGACCGTGATAACCAACCCGCCCTCGTTCGTCCAATCAGCAGAGAACTAATCCAGACACGTGAGGAGAAGGCGGCTCGGGCTCTCCAAAAGCAAATAGAAAAAGAAAACAAAGAGAAGGAGGCACTAAAGAAAGCTGAGAAGGGCAGAATCAGCCACTTCGATCTATTCCGGAACAGTGAGTACAGTGCTTGGGACGAGGATGGGCTGCCGACCAGAGACGCAGCTGGAGAAGAGATTACAAAGAGCAGAAGCAAGAAACTGAGGAAAGATTGGGAAAGACAGAAAAAGGCGCATGAGGCATGGCTAATGAGCAATAAAGGAAATATTTCATAGATAGAGAAAAAAATTCGTAGGTCACCGTTTTATAATACTACATTTTGATAATTTCGGGGATTTTAAGGTCCTGTTTTATGTACCGACGTCGTCCAAACCGTGACAATCCCTCCAAGACAAACTGCAATTGAGCGATACATCGTATCTTTGTGATGTGGGTTCTTTTTTACTATGGCGGGCATAAACCGTGTCGAGAGGTCTTTCGGTCGAAATTGCTTGCTTCCAAAGCATCAGCCTCGAAGGGAAGTGAGTTTGATTCCTTAAACAGAATCCTTCCTTCCTTGCTGGTCCTTCAGTTTACCCTCATTACTTCCTCCCTTTTGTGAACTTGTTTGTTTTTATTTCTTTAAAAGGGAGATTCCTTTGTTTTCTTTTGTTTTTACACTGAGGATAATCAATCAATCAAGGAATTAAAATAATATAACTAATTCTTCAATTCTTGTTTCTGATCCTTGCTGATGGAGCTTTAGGCTTATGTACAGTACATACATAAGAACCCTTCTAATTGTTTGGGGGTTTGGATTGGTTCGTCGCTGGTGTGAGAGAGCGCTTTTGCCCCAGTGGCCTAACACTAACTGCCTTAAAGCTTGTTTCTAAGTCATCGAAACATCATCGAATCCGCATCTCAGATTCATTATTTGAAGTGTTCATCACCATGCGACATGACTGAAATGCGAATCAAGAAACTGCCAAATCACGCTTGAGCTAAACCAACCTTTAGCGGTTAACCTAAGTCACTTGAGGTCTCAAGAATAGATCTCTACGTCCAATATGGCAAACACGCATACCGAGCACACGTCATTCGCTTTCCGTGATCAAGACTTTATCCTCGAAGACTACAGTGATTACCCTCATGACTTTTGCAGTCTTGAAATTGAAAATCTATTCCCACGAGCTATATTTCCAATTCTCCTCAAAAAAACTCGTGTCGCTGATACCGCTTACACACTAATCGAACCAGCCCTCCTCCTCGCCTCGCGAATTATAATCCAACGTTGGGAGTCATTCCGAATATTTGTCCGGCGTCAGCACCGTAACCCAACAGAAGGGTGGCTTGATTCAGATGGAGAACTTGAGCTATCAAAGGATGAAGTTATCAGTCGGGTCAAAAGCTTGATGCCTGACATTGACTTCGATCCCGAGATGAAACTGAACTTCCGCTCTTTCGCGGAAACATCTCTACGCCCCAACGCTGCATCAGATTTGATCGTCTTAGACTACAATCTCATTCGCCTTCTCAGGGATCCGGGGTGCCGAGACAGTCAAAAACTCGCCGGTCTCTTCTTCCTAGCAGTATTGCTATGCCATGAATTAGCCCATATACTGGAATTCCGATGTATTCATGGAGGCAAACTACGTCCTGACGGTGAGCCGTTCGACACTCCTCCTGGAATCACATGTCGTGAAGCTGGTACTGGTTGGGAAACGCGTGCATTCGGAGGTCGAATCCATCCGATCTGCACAGCAGAAAATCATTTACTTCAAATTCGCGGGATCTGCATCCACAGCAGTGCTTGGAACTTTGAAATGATGAAGGTGAACGAGAGCTGGATCCGTCGACTGTTTTCCGAAGAGCACTGGATCGTGGATACACACCCTTTACGGCCGCCCATTGATGTATACGTGCGCCATGCATTCCTTGAAGATGAGCTGATCGATAAGCACTTGGAGTCTCCCTTGAAAAGAAAGACGCGTGGAAGTGATGTGCGTGTGGAAATGCAAAGTCCGAGGAAGAAGCGTAGGCCTATTGAGATGATGAAAATTTGCGGGGGGAAAAAGGTGAAGAAAGGCCTTTCTTGATTTTTAATGTATTCCGCCATACTTAGTTGTAAGTTCCATTTTTTTACGAAGTGGCATAATGTGACGATGAAGAGAAAGCATGCATGTCCAAGAGAAAAAGAGAGAAAAAGAGAGAAAGGTCCGAAAAAAGCTAGCTCTTACACTAGCGAGCTAGGAAAAGAAAATCAGGCAACAGTGTCAACAGTTTTACAGATGAAGCAAGAGTCATAATTTTGCACTCAATACTCATCTTTGATCTCATATTAATATCACAGCAAATGATATTCTCCTAAATTTTTCTCAACTTTTTCAATTCAGTGTATAGAGAATATTCAACATCTCTCTTCAAATCAAAACACCTTGAATAAATGGCATCAAAGTAAGTATTAACTATTCTGTGAAGCATCAGTCTAAACACACAGATAGATGGAAAAAAAAAAAAAAAGGGAGACAATATTTTGTGAACCGTAGAGGTGCAAGACCTGCTGTTCATATACACTAAAATTTTTCAGCACAAATTACACGGAAGTCCACGACCTGGCTATTGTACGAGGAACGGTTGACGATGGTCCAGCGGTCCTTCATCTTCTCGACATGGCAGTGAAATGGCTGGAATCGCAAGGCAGAACTGGGCAATGGGGGACAGCATTGTTTTCCGAGAATTTGCAACGAGTTGAGCAATTCAGAGAACTCGCAACAACAGGGCAAGGTCTTTGGCTCGCGGTCAAGGATGCTGGTGACACTCCCATACCGGGCCAAGATCGACACTTCAATATCAACTCTCCAACCGAGAACGGCGGAGCTCCGAGGGTCATTGTAGGAGCGCTTGCTCTCGGGGAGAAAATGTCTTATGTGGCCCCTGTCTCTGAGCCTGAGCTTTACGTACGATTGCTAGTCACGGATCGACGATACGCCGGCAGCAAGATAGGCACTCGCCTTTTAGAACACGCCCGTGATGTTGCCAACAAAGCTGGAGCCTTACTGTTACGGGTGGATTGCTATGCAGGCGGCGATGGCAAATTGGTTCAATACTACGAGTCTCAGGGGTTTAAGCGATTTGAAAGTTTTAAGGTGAAAGGCGAATGGCCCTGCCAAGTGCTTGCTCAACGGTTAGATGAGGGGAGAGAAGCAGAGAGTGGTTAAATCTCTGTTTCCCACGGCATACGTTGTGACCAGAGATTAGTCAATATCAATATAGCTCTTTTATATAACTAAACAAGCATGCTTCGCGCTTGCTACAACCAGTTACATATGCATATACTAAGATGTGACATTGGAGAACAACATGAATAAAGCAGATATTGCTAGATAGCGATATCAGCAATAGTATATATTGCTAGGTATTGATATTAGTGTTAGTACTGGAGCTTCATATCATTGCTGGATAATTATATCTCAATAGATATCCATGCCATCGATAGACATCAAATAGTTAATATTAGGCCACTAGGGCAAAAGAGCTCGATCACCACCAGCGCCGTGGTGGTATGATAAGAGGGTACGAATCACCCAACCCAATTCCCTCAATAGTTAACTATTCGAGATAACTCTGCTTAGTCATTGTGTTCCAGCCCTATAAGGCTACGTCAGCCTCGGCTCGGTGCCAAGGAACGAGATATACTTCGAAACAATGAATGAAATATTCGAAGAAAGCCGATAATTAAAATGTGTGGCAGGTCGCCTTAGCTATCTACTTAGTGATGCAATAAGATTTTCTGCCGTCTGGCAAGTATTATTACCAGGGTATTCTCAGGATGTTTGACAGTCATAGCTTAGAAAACGCAGGCGCTGCACTGCAAACTCCCTTTACTACTAGTTTTTATTATGGGGCGCTTGGTGGGCAATCATGCGGCTCACCACACTGTATGGTAATCAGTTTCCTATAAAGATATAAAAAGACAATAATATGCCAAATATCCTATTGAGAAGCAAAAACTAATTGAAAGAGCTAAAAAGTGGCTTCTTTTTCTAGACACTCTCTGTGGAGATGTAAAGACTTGTGATATAAAATAGCCCGTGGCGGTGCATTTCCATGAGAGAGTCACACGAAAGCTACCCGCATTTCAAAGGTCGTTGCTTTTGCTGTAGTGAATGGTGAAATGGGATGCATCGACCAAGTGGCGAGGGCAGCGAAGAACACGATAGAGGATGAACAAAAAACGTTAGTTGTTTTGAAATTGAGTCAGTTCCTTGATAGAGATCGCTATTTCCAGCGTTAGAATCATACAATCAAAAGATAAGGCAAAGTGAAAAGGAACAGGGAAACTACTGCCCGTGGATCGTGAGCTAACAACTGAAATCGCATTCGTCGTTAAAATTATTTCAACTTCGCTGTGTAGCTATCTCTTCAGCCTCAAGGGTATCTTTCTGACCAGCTTGAACCCAAAGCCGATCCCTCTCCTCCCGTAAAGCTCCCCTCTCTCCCTAGTTCATATCCCTCGCAGCTATAGTGTCGGTTGAATCCAAGCTAGAAAACAGCTCCTTTGAAGGCCAAGACAAAAAAAGGCGGAAGAATTGATCACCCAACCAACCATTCCATTCATTCAATTCAATCATCAGAGGGCGGCTTAACCTCCACCTTGCCTTTCCTCACCTCACTCCAATTCGTACTAAGCGCCGTCCCCTCGCTCTCATAGTAGCTCTTCACCATAGCCCGGCGCGTGTCAGGGTCCGCCTTGGCGTACAACTTCTTGAAAAAAGCATCAACCGGATCTCCGGTTCCGTACTCTGAAGTATCGGATTCGACACCTTCATCTTCATCGTCCACCTCTTCCTTGGCATCCTTGTCGGCGCTAGTGGACGATTCTTCTTTCTCTTTGCCCTTGGATTCCTTCTTCTTGCTTTTCTTCGTCAAGGAGGAGGCCACTTTATCCCAATCCTTTGGGCCATTGCGGGATGAGGTAGGGTACGAGGGGGTATGGTCTGTAGATGGTGTTGTGGTGCTCGGTTGTGGTGATACCTTTGTGGCCGGTGGTATAGTAGGGCTGCTATTTCCTTTACTGCTGGTTGTTGCTGGCTGGGATGTAGATGTAGCTTCTAGGGCGCCCCATTTTTGACCTGGCTGTTTCTTGCGAAGAATTATTTCTATTTTTGTAGACATCACAGTTGCTTTGGAGGCGGTTGAATCGACGAGTGAAAATAGGGGCTCAAGATTGAAAGAGAAGTCTGATCCAGAGGCCATAGGGAATGCTACAGAGACCTTCGAATTGTTAGCAGATTAGATTCGATATCTGTGGTGAAGATGTAGCCACGCGTTGTACATGTACATACGGAGTCTTCCTGGATATCAATATCAGCCTTTTCTTTTGGGACGCCCTTCGCGTACAAGGTTACGACTACGGTGTCGTGCGTCTGATACCACTCATGCCGAACGCTGGTCACAACGGGAGCTTGTGGATTCGCTCCAGGCGGTGCTGTCGACGTCCGCTGTGACCCTTCTCGTGCCGTATTTCCCAACGCAGACACATTCTTCCCGTTGTTTACAGATTCTTCTTCTGCGCCCGTATTCCCCACAGCCATCCCGACATTCTCCTCCAGCTGCTTGCGGAAAATTTCCTTCAACTTCGCTTCCTCCGGCACCCTGATATCGGGGAATTCCTGAACAGTCACGCGCAACCGTTCATCATCTTTCTCCAACTTTCTCATCCAATTCCCTACCTTGAGTTCCCAAATATCCAGTTCTTTACTAGTTGCAGTCGCAGAAGTAGCGCTGCCACTATTCGCCACCATCGCCGACTCCATGGTATTTACGGCGCTCGGCCCAACTTTACCCCTGACGACTTTAAACACAAAATCCGCATCTCCATATCTTCCAAGCTGGAAAAGCGCAATGGCTCGGCGCATTTGGCCCGCCAGTATCTGTTCCCGTCTCGCACGCTGCAGACCCAGTGCCACGGCCATCTCGGCATCGCGGAGAGCTTCCTGGCCGTTGGAGCCCCCGTCCTCCGAGCGGAGGCGCGAGTATGCCGTCGAGCGTTTGATGTAGTAGTCTGCGGCGTGTGGGTTGACGATCAGGGCGCGCGTATAGTGCTCGATTGCCGCTGGGAAATTTGAGGCTGCAAGAGCCTTGGCACCTCGTTGGGCCTCATCCATTTTGAGTTGGCAACCCTTATGATGGAGTTTGGGGTTAGGTGTAGTGGGGGGAAGAGTTTGGAGTGGGAGAGTTGCTGGTGCGTTGGTGCAAGGTTACACAGGCTAAGTGGTTATTTCCGCCCGCTTTTGTACTCTTAAAAAATTGCTCTTGAGGAAATAAATGGCGAGTACATCAGAAGTGCGTTAGGGTGAGCGACTTAAAATTTGACATTGGCTGACTTCATTCAATTGATGGTTTGAGATCGGAATCAGCTCCAGATGTTAGATACAGTTAAAAACACGTGACAGCTTCCGGGTCTAAAGCATTCATTCTTCATCATCCATAGAACCGAAAGGAAAAGAATTAATATTATTATTATTAGTTTGAAGAGGAAACAATCGCCGGTCCTACTAAATAAAACCCGTGTCGCCCTATGTTTGACTATATCCGGTTAAGCTAAAGGATTTCTTCGTTGCCGAATTTCCTTGCGTATAGGCCTAATGCCCGTACTGTCCAGTAAAGTTTGTAATTAGGATAGGATATCATGCTAGACAACCGTTAGCATTATTCATCGCCCCTCTTTTCTTTTTGAAAATAACACAACATACCATGACTGATTGAACACACCCTCGATTCCATTTTGCGACCACTCCCCATTTGCTTCTTGTTTTGTCATAATCAGCTTCATTGCCCTTTTGAGAACATCCTTGTTCGGATAATCTGCTTCCATCAGCGCAAGACATGCCCAAGAAGTCTGGACAACTTGTGATGTTTCGTAGTGCGTGTAGACTTTTTTCTCAGAACTGAGATACGACTCTCCCCAGCCACCGTCGTCCATTTGTCTGTCCACTAGAAATTTGCAGCCGCGGCGAACCCGCTCGCTAGTTTCGTATGTTTCGCCAACATGTGCAAGACTCTCCAGAGCAAACATAGCTGCATATGTGAAACAGACACCCCAGCTACCATACCAGCTCCCGTCAGAGCGCTGTGACCGGCGAATGTAGCCCACTGCTTTGGATTTTACTCTCTTGATATCGTCGGCGCGGTAATCTGGGAAAAATTTGCTGAAAAACGACAGAGCGGTAAGGACAGCGGTCGTGCATTCGGGATAATCGTATCCTATCATGATGCCACCGAATACTTCTGCGGCATTGAGCCACTCAAGGTACTGGGATCCTCGAGTTGTCTCATATTCTGTGAAACCCCCGGTCTTGTTCTGCATGGAAATGAGGGTATCCACGGCATCCTTCAGTCTCGCATCGGAAATCAACGGGGGGAAACCATGGACTTTCTGCAGCTGAAGTGCAGCACGAAGGCCTTCTGCAGTACAGTCGCTTACAGTATATCCCTGTGTTTTGTTACTGAAGGGCCACGCACCCTTAGTCCGATGGCGGTAGCAGCGGTCTTGTTGAGCAACATTTTCTGTCATTTGATGATCCTCCAAAAATTCCAATGCTTTGAGGAGCATGGGACGCCATTCTGGAGCATCCGCAAAGCCCGCGACATCGATCGCCTGGACGATGAATGCTGTATCCCAGACTTGCACTCCATTCGTACCGTTCATGAGCATACCTTCATTTTTCATCCACATGTAGTCGTGCAACCGGTCAAGATGTCGACGGAAGGTATAACTCCCGGGTCCGTCATGTATATAACAACAAAGGGTGTTCATTGGTGCGTTCACGGGTCCTAGGCCGGCATAATCCGTGTTTCGATCTTCCATTGTAATCAACTCCCACACCCAGTCCTCTGCGCGCTTGACCAAGGAGGGCCATCGGATTACACTCCAGACATTTGCTAGCACCCAGAAAAGCACGTTTAGGAGCCAGTGCTTTGGGTAATAGTTATCGGCATCAGCTATAGCACCACGATAAGAATGAAAATTAATGGATGCATATGGTTGAGTGTAAATTTCCTCTCTCAGCTGTCGAGTGAAATCGTCCACTGGGTGGCTGAATTTCTTTGAATATACATAGGTCATGGGAAGGAATACTTGACGCATATGGATCCACCATCTCCATGGCGCGAATGGAACCCAGTCCGGAAGCAACCTGGCATGGGAGAAATTAGAGTTCAAGCGAATCAGCAGTTGGGGGCTTAATGGCACACAAACCAGAGTTCAGGTGGAACGGGATTAACAGCCTCCCATTCCATGACTCCCAAGACACTAAGCCAAAATTTTGCCCAATGAGGAGCGTACAAGGCACCACCTAGCTTATGCAGCATGCCACGGGCCTTAATCATCCTAGGGTCTTCCGGGCTAGCACCCAGGATTCGAAGTGCTGTGTAGTTCATACAGGTGCCAAATACCGAGCTGTGAGCCTCGATATGTAGACCCCAACCACCATCTTCCGGGTGTTGCCGTGCGAATAAGTATCGCTTGATTTCGACTGCGTACTCAGGAAGAATCGGAGTGTTCGTAACGTACCAGGTGACGATCAGGCCTGGCAGAAGAAACATGGGCCCTCCGTACTCGCAACCCCAATTTCCAGGCTCGAGTTGAAGTTTTGAAAGGAAAGAAAGGCCATTGGACGCAGCGTCCAGCGGCCTTTTCGCGGGAGGTAGGTCAGGAAGGCCCTATGATATTTAAAATCTATCAATACATGATGATGGACGGGGAGGGGAATGAAATTTTTGACGAACGGTGGGAAGCCCAAGAAAGTACTTGTCCGCAACAGTCTGCGGCCACGCCTTCAATTCCTCGTCAGTCTTCAAGTAATGCCACGTTTGTCGACCACGGTCATCGCGCAGTCTCCATCTTGAATAGTCGGTTTTTTCATCAGTGTCGAGGGTGCGGTTGTTACCATTCATGGCAGGCCTGGTCCTGGACATCTTTGCCGCAGCATCGGGCGGCGATAATATTCAAGTTCCCTCCGAACAAGCAACTCACTAGCTGAAGCACTCAGAATCAGTGTTATGATATGAGAGACAAGAAGACCTCCAAGCCAACACCTGAATGCATTGAGTTGCCTGAATTTTGTTCCAAGCCCAACGTTTTCTTGGCGGAGTGTCGTTCGGAAATCACATGTCTTCAAGCCAATCCCTGAAAGCCATTTTCCCTGGGTGTTCGGAGAGTTCAAGAACTAAGATATAGTGACGCTTTGAAATCTCCACGGCCCCGGCCACTATTCCTATATAGTGGGTGGACAGCGGGTGCCTGGCAGACCGGGAACTTAAGTCCTTTAGTTTGTTTCCTCCAGCGTTCACATGTGAAGAAGATTGTGAATGACGATGACATAACCAGACAACCCCTGTTTGCAATCAGTCTATCACAGCAACCTCATCTCGAAATCTTCACTCAGATCACCACGTTTCTTAAGAGGCCATACTCTCTTTTACCTTGAGGGTCCTACTATGATTGGCCAATTTGCTATACCTGTATATTGAATTGTTAGGAGATATGTCCATTTACTCCCCTCCAGGAGGTGCCATTCCTAATGCTTTAGTCTGTTAGCAATACCCTGACTGTCCATCTTCTACGACTCTGAGCAAATCATCTAAACATCTTCTATTTTGAAGTCAAGTGATATCTCCCGATTCCACGAACATATCTAAATATATATCGTTTTATCCAAGTGATGTCGGAGGCACCAACCTTGAGCACGCCCCCCAACATCCCTTGCCAAAGCACTAACACGAGCCCTGGTAATGAAAATGGAATCCCAGAGGACAAAGTTCGCAATTTTGTTTCACAGCTCCTGGATTCGCTCATCGATGAGCTAATGGGAGTTGACGGATGCCCATCAATCACTCTAAAACGACGCTCGAATCATTCCCACTTCTCGCTGAATCCGGAAACAGGAGCTTTGCAACGTGACACTACCGAACCTTCATGCACTTATTCATGGCCAGGTAAAACTGCACAGGAGGCCTGGCGCTTTGGTGCGTTTCTCCCGACCCGATGCTGTGCTCTGTTCACATATTTTCACGAGTTTAATATTTCATTCCTTTCGTATCACCCAGCGGTTCTCTTGCGGATCCTTGGCCATATATCAGAGGCCATCCGAGGCGACTTCATTAGCTCGAAGCGGGATATCTATTATCTTGACCCGGTATGCTTTGGGTCCCAGAGTGTGGTGGATCGATGCATCGACGACATTGCTTGTACGATTGGTGTCGACAGGACAGCATTACACGTGGTACTGTGAACTGGGATATCTCATTATCTCGCAAGACGCCAAGGTATTCTTTCTAACTTGTTGTAAAAAGGCAGCAGCAGCAAAAGGGGTTGTGGTTGGAACCTTCAATGTCACACTAAATGACGATTCCATGATCGATTTGGCCGTTCATGCTGAGGTTGCTTTGCTACTCCTGCCGGACTCTTTCCTATTTGTTATTGACATGTATACAGGGTATGCTCGTTCCCCGGGTCGAAACGGTTAAGAAAATCGATACCTCAACTATTAGATGGATCCTGGTGATTGAAAAAGAGGTAAACTACAGTTTGAAATCCGTTATGCAGCTCAGGCCACAAGCTTCCAAGCGAGTTCTGCTACTAACAAATGGCACATGGAAGGCCACATTCCACCGTTTGGCCGCTGTTAACTACCATACAACATCTGCTGCAGGATCAGGAATTCTTATCACGGTAGGATATAATCCCCTAGAATTCCATATTTTTCTCCTCAATCAACCGTGGGTAATCTGATATCGAAACGATGTCCAGGGGAAGGGGTATCCAGACATCAGCACCCGTGCGTTTCTCCATTTATTATCCCGAGTCCCACCATCAGCATCAGGAGCACTGCCATTCCGTCAACCTCCTATATTCATGCTTGTGGATGGTGACCCAGACGGCATGGCTATCATGTCAACCTATAAATACGGCTCAAGAGCGCAAGCACATGATAACACCAATCTTGCAGTCCATAATGTGCAGTGGCTCGGTCTGCAGGCGTCAGAACTAGTTCCTTCAAGCCTTGAAATACAGGGCGATGATGCTCTAATACCGCTGACCTCGAGGGATAGGAAGAAGGCCCAGGACATGTTAGGGCGGAGCCCGGTTTTCGCAGAGGATGGGCCGGAACCGACCTGGAGGCGGGAGCTGCAGCATATGCTTATGACCAATGTGAAGGCGGAGATTGAGATGTTGTACGAACGGGAAGGGGGCATTGAGACATGGCTAGACCATAAGCTGCAGACATTGATCTGAATGCATCTCAAACGGTCTCTAGAGATGGAGTTGCTTCTGCCGTTGTTCATGAGCTGGTCTAAGCGCACTACCATGAATTTCATGAGAGAAGTAGGGGAAAAACGAAACGGTTGCTATAGACATGAGTTTACCATAACGCTTCATAAGAACAAATCCAATCCCTAAAATGAACGCCCGATGAAACAAACCCCTATAAAAAAAAATTAAAAACAAAAAAAAAAAAAAAAACAAAAAAAAAAACAAATCATATCAAAAAAAACCAATATCACCAACCATCCAGCGCTCCCCTCAGAAGAAAAAGACAAAAGAGCCAAAATTACTTATACTATATAAAACCACCCCATCCAGTCCTTGATCCTTCAGCGCATTCCCAGCCGCGTGCCCCTATTAAAACTCAAAGCCCTAAACTCCTTCTAACCTCACTACGAACCCTCTTCTCATACTCGTCCCTCTTATCCCGCCACATCTTCGCTGCCTCCACATTCGCCGGACTCTCATCGTTCGGCTCCGCAAGCATACTCATGACCGAAATAAGAATCTTCTCGACGGATTGGATGGGGCTCCAGCGCTCTGAGGCGTGCTCGTAGTGGTTCGGGTCGTCTCCTGGGGGATGTAGGATGGAGATGCATACAGCGCCGTTGGGATACACTGCAAATAAGCCAGGGAGGAAAAGAGAACATAGTCAGTCATTTTGTACAGTACAATAAAGTCCATTGTAACATCTTATCCGGTGCTCGCCACACCGCATCATTATACAAGCAGGGAAACTGATAGACCACCGTCTACTATCACCCTTGTTTGTTATTATTGGCTATTACATACCATTCGGATGCCACACCCCGCCGCCCAGAAATTTCATCGTGGGCGGACTGAGCGGATAATCCTTGGGGAACTTGAGCTCAGCAGCAAACACGCCGCCTTCAAAAGGTGTGCCCTCAGGGCCCTGGATCAGCGCCTCCCAGTGGAACATGTCATCTTCATTGACGGGGCCGGCGGTTATGCCGTCTGGTGGATTTGTGGAGAGGAGCTTGTATTCGTGGAAAAGTCGCTTTTGGGCGACAGAGGTCGCCATTATCGTATACTTTCGTGATACGCCTCTTAGGCCTTTTGAGTAGGTGTGCGGGCTGCGAGGGAAAGAGTTCGATTTGGTATGTGGTGTTCGTGGTGGGTGGCGGTTGGCTGTTGGCGTTTTGAGGTGAGCGGGGGTTCTTCGAGAGGTGCCGGAAAGATTGCCTTGGGACAAGACGTTATATTGGGTATTTCGGGGGTATCCAGAAAGAGAAAACGAGAGTATACGAGGGCCAGTATATGTTGTACAAGTTCTAGTCAATAGAGCTGAGATGTGGCTATTTGCTGCCAGGTTGGAAGTATTTACTCGTCCGGGGAATTTCTGGGCGGACAACAAACAAGAGCCAGACACCTAGGGCAATAATGACCAACGAAAAAATATACATACTAGGATATATCAACGTGAATAATTAATTCGTATTAAGCTAGCATTGCACCAAGAAACACTATATAACAGTAAATCTGATGACAAAAGATATGGAGAGAAATATCGGTATATACTTGTTACATACATCCATAGTCTGGTCTTTGGATTCAGTTTCCACCCGCACCAGTGCGCCGCTCTAAAAAGATGATATTTAAAGGGGATATATAAAAAAACAAACATTATATACAAAATCCGTCGGGTGCAGCATAATAGATTCAGAAGAAATCATCCCATTCATCGCCATCGCCATCACCACCACCTCCGCCTTCCTGGTCCCACCCTCCGTTTCCTCTATTGGCACCAGACGAGCCTTCACCATCTCTATTCCACCAATCCTGTCCATTCTCTCCCCATACCTCTTCATCTTGGTAGTCCCCTTGCTGTGGTGGGGGGTATTCTTCCGATTGCTGTTCTTCATGTGGCTGCTGCTGATTATTATCAGCAGATGCACGCCTTTGCATAGCTTCGTATCCAGCAATTGTTCCGGCCCCAGCGACACCTCTCCCGATAGCGCCTGCAGCACCTTCCGCAGCAGCACCTTCAACAGCACCTCCAGCTGCACCTCCTTCAACTGATGCCCCACTCGAGCCGAAAAATGGAACGGGCCAAAACCCACCAGAAGAGCTATGGCGGCTGAAATAATCGAAGTCAATTGTAACGGCAGTGGCAAGCATGACGGCACGTTGATCCAGGGTCATCCCGCTTCTGTCACTGCCATCATACAAGGGGTGTGAATCTTTATGCGTCTGGGAGATGACGTGTCCCTTTTCTCGCTCTTCCGCTAGAGCCGCAGCGTCCATCCGCAGCGCATACATACCAGTATCCGTAAATAATTCCCGAGCGAAACCGACGAAGTTGCGGTTGACGGATCCTATCAGCCGTGAATCTGCGGATCGGAGAGAGAAATCCCATGACAGGAAAGGTTCGTCGACGTAGGCAAATTGGCCGAACTCGCCGGCTGTTCCGGGTTCATAGGTGCTGGCAACTTGTAATTGTTGAGATTTGGAAAGATGTGCTTGAGATAAAGGAACGCGTTTTGTGAGGAGATTGGTTTCCGGAGTTGGATTTGGATGTAAGAGGAAGAGATTGTATTTCCGTCGCAGGAGAGCCCACTGGGAATGTGTTTCGCCAATCACGCGCATATCTGCGAGGTCGAGGGAGGATATTCTTGTGGAATCGCCTTCGAAAGGTTTAATCAGGGGCCACGAACCGTTAGTTTGCACAGCTGCTGAAGATGAATGTGACGAAGAGGCTAGGTTTAGCGGGTCGTAGACTCGGATTCGGCTGTTGACCCAGACAAATGGCCGGTGGAACTGGTGATAATAGTTAGAAAAATCAATATACGCAACCATTCTCAAAGGCAATCCACATACACGTAGGACTTCATTTTGATGTTTATCGAAGACATGAGTGACAAACGAGCGATGTGTTCGAAGCCACTGACGAGCGAGCATACTGCCCATTCCATTGTCCTGCTCAGCTATGTAACCAACATGGTTCCCTTGCGCATCCAGTATGGTATACCGATTCGCTTGTTCGAAACCACTGTATCACATCAGCAAAGCGTCGCCCCTAGTAGAGAAGGTATCAGTGAAAGTTAAAATGCTGACGTACAGAAGCACATTCATCATCTCTAACTGCCTCTGAACAACCAAGCCGGAGTTTGCCAGGAGCCCCGCGGCCGGGTGATTTTCCTTGAGAACTGCATTTGGGTCTTCTGGAATGTGAACGGGTGCGAGAAGTGTATTATCTTCCGGGTTGGTATTCCGCAGAGTCGCGGAAACCGATTCTTGTGCTGGCGCGGCGCTGGCATTTTCAGGTCCAGATTGCGAATTTTTCGTCAAGTCTCCATGGGATGGAGGAGGGGGTGGATTTCGTCGACCAGGGACGTTCAGCGCCTTCCGGCGGAGAGGAGTGATTCGTGAGTTCAAGTTCTTCCTTGTCCAAGGGTGTGATCTTAACGATGCCGCCCTAGTACTTAACATGGGGCGTGGGGCGGGTAGCTTTGATCGCCAGCAAAACATGGTAGCAAAGCGAGCAGCATAGTAATAGGGATGAATATCGAAGAGATATCGTGTTGAATGTTTTAGGTTCTACCAGTAGTTTAAGAACGGAGATAACGAGAACAAGTTGCTGAAGATGCTGTGTCTTGGCACTGCCAGCAGCGGATAAATGTCAATACTACGTCTAGGGTTCAAAAGTCTGTTTACACTTTTAAAATCACCAAAATCCACCCTTACAAATAATTGAACATCTCAACAATTATTAGACGGAGCGAAGCGAAGTCTCTAAGAATCATACAAAGCTCTGAGGTGAAACAAAAGTTGCTTCATTTTGTGGCTGAAATGATTGGATATCAATGTGTGCAAAAATATAGCTGAATCTGAATGATTTTAGAGGAGATTTTTGCATCTATATAATCTCCCGCTGCGAAATACCCCCTATTCTTACCCCTGAATTATCTGCCTACCTGCATACCTACCTGCTCGATATCCGATCGATTGCTAATAGAATAGGAAATGCTAGCTAGATAGCTAGCTAGCTATCTGCCTCCCTCCCTACCAACCAACCTGCCTGCTCAATATCCAACCAATCTCTATGAGAATCTACATCATCATCTAGCTACCCACCTACCTATCAATGCCAACTTACTAGCCCACTACCTGCCTATATATCTACTGACCGGCTTGAATGAATGATATTCACCGATGATATCTATTGATAACATCTAGCGATGATATATACCAATGATATCTGCGATGATATTGTTGAATAGCAACATAATGAATGACTTCGCACTTTCACTCCGTCCTGCTCCAGCTGCATGTTTCATGAAGCTCCTGCGATAGAGTGTTGTGCCTGAGCTTTCCAACCCGTTGAAGAAATTAAAGATGCCTTCATCTCTGGGAATTAGAGGTTCATTTGCCCACCACCAAAAGGGAGGTGATTGGGGCAGTATGTCCCACGTATGAGAGGCAGGGATAGCTGGAAAGAATCCGCAAGGAGCGGGATTTCTTACAAGCTTGTTATATTAAATAAAAAATGTATCTTTGCTTACGAAAATCAAGTTTTCAAGAACAATCACTTCAGAGACAAGAGTTGAAGATCTTGATAGATTGTACACAATTGATTGTATTGTAGACAGTTTGATATATGACATTATAAAGAGTGATAATTTTGACTGGCTTTTCTCTTTGTTTATAGACCGAACAAAATGAACACATAAGAATTCTGATAATTCTTAATTTGATCTTCAATTTTCGGTAGTTTCAATGCCAAATAGACACATTGAAGGAATTAGATAGAGGTGGAAAAAGTGGCAGATTTCTTTTATGGGGAACCAAAAGTGTAAACAAGCTTTTGGAACCCTATGTAATTACATAGAAGCGCATAGCACTTCAGAGAAAGCAAATGGGCAAATCTAATTCTGCTAATTCATAATCAATGGAAATAACTCCTAATTGCCATTGCACACATTGCCGTTTGTTTCAGTTATTTCCCCGGCCAGATATTCTGCAATAAAAGAAACTTGCCGCTGTGAGCGCGGGATATGCAAATATAATAACTGCAAAATATCGTCGACCAACATGCAAAATCCTCGTCACGCTCTATGCAGTCGTAATTGAACATATGTAGCGCCAAAGATGAAGAGCGAAATGCGTAGCAAATCGCATGAACAGGGTATATAATCGCATCGCGTTCGAGTTACCGAATATTGAATTCACAGTAATCCTTTTCTGGCCAGCTCGACCTTCCTAGCCGCTTCGCCAAACTTGAATCCGCCCTTCGACACACATATTGCGCTTCCGTCACCTAGTTCAAACTTATCTTCGACGGCTGGGTGTTGGCAGGGACAATGGTGTGGAACAGCGACGCAAGCCAGAGTCCCGGGACAGAGATAGTTCGAACATCGTGCTGAGCAGACGTCGCGGTTAGCATTCTGATCTAGAAAATAAAATAAAATAAATTCATATGTATATACTAAATGCGATATACCATTGTCATAAGTTCGTTGGTACCAGTCGCTGTCGCTTGGGACGTTTTGTTCTCTGGAATCGTGCTGTTGTTGTTGTTGTCCGCCACCAAACATTTGTTCGAAGAATTGAAATTGGGCTCGAGTGCCCGTCGCAAGCAACAGCAAACCCAAAAGAATACTTGTGAATATGTGGACCATTTTGCAGCTGCTATTTTGTGGTTTGTATAGACTGAAAGCTGTCCTCAAACTCCTCTGCATTCCACTATGATTTAACTAGATCATTAGGTTGGTCAACCCAAAGTCACGTGCGAATTAACCCAACTCCGAAAAAGTTGAGGCTTTCCATACATTAAACATAATATACCAGCAGTGCCAACTGCAACACCCGCGCCGCCTCGAGATCGGGACTGCGGGGAAAGATACACATGGTTCTATCTGATCTCGATCCTGTTTTATAATATCATGATCCAACCTCGATTCAATGCCCCATTGCGGGTTCTCGACTTCCTCTTCACCCCATCCACATCGTTCCTCTCCACTCAACAAACAACGCGATCACTATCACATCTCTCATGGAAGACGGCTAGCAACGCCAGTAGTTCGAACCTCTTTTGCCCTTCCATATCCGGTTCCTCCGTCCTCCAACAACGACGACATCCCCAGCCCCAATCCCGCCCGACCATCCTCCGATCCCAGCTTCAAGTGCGTTATGCCTCCCATGCTAGCCAAGGCCGCGCAAACAACGGCCCAAAAAACGGTCCAGGCAAGCGTCTCGGTGCAAAAAAATCGGGCGATCAATTCGTGATCCCCGGAAATATCATCTTCCGCCAACGTGGCTCCAAATGGTTTCCCGGAGAAAACTGTGGAATGGGTCGTGATCACACCATCTACTCGCTCGCCACGGGCTATGTCAAATACTACACGGATCCCGAGCGCCATCCTAACCGCAAATATATCGGGGTTGCCTTTGACAAATCCGACAAGTTTCCCTTACCCCGGAACGCCATTACCAAGAGACGGCTTGGTATGGTGGCTGTCCCAAGGGATATCGAACAGGAGAAGGCTAATAAGGCGCTTAAGGAGGCGGAAATTGCACCTACGCTTAGACCTGGATACATGTACCGTGTAGCCAATTGGCAGATTGGGCGCGTGGCGGAGCGTGCGGGGGTGCGAGTGCCTGAATGGAATAAGAAGGATCGCTTTGCGGCATGGAGAAGGAGGATGGAGAGGCGAAAGATTGCGGCACAGTTGAAAGATGCTAAATCAAGGAGGAAGGGGAAGAAGAATAAGGCATAAGAGTAAGGGATTTATGTTTTAATGGGAACATAGATTCAAGGTTGTTATCGTTATTTTGGTAGACGAACTTGCAGTGTGTTTCTCACATCCTTACATTTCTTTTGATTGTATACTAGAACAAGAAGACTTTGACTAGAATATTTTCCTTTACTTTCCTAATACCTATTTTGGTGTACTTTTCCATGGGCCTTCGTAGCTATCAAATCATCGACATATGGCAATATGCTCTCCAGACATTAAAGTGCATTTCTTCTTAGTTTTCTAGCTGAGAAAATGGTATTGCAGTCCACAGATGTATGCAGTGTCACTAGTTATTCAGGAGAAGAAAATCAAGAAGAAAAACCAATATGTGCAGTGAATATTGCCTTGGGGGAAAGAAGCTGACACCGGGGGTATGGTTCTAGTGTTCAGAGGCTAAACTGCATGATACTGAGGGTTAAAGTGTAGTTTGGGGGTGGGTAGAAATGAAGATTGTAGACTATTAACACAAGAGTTGGACGTCAAATTAATTTGCTGAACAGGGTATTGTGATCTCTCCATCTGCGACATTCTTCCCAGAAGGTGGAGGAGAACAAATAGAAAATGAAGGTACGAACAAATGCAACAAATCCTAGAAATGAAACGATCAACCATAGAAAAACACAGGCGGAAGAATGGGGGATAAAAAGAGAACAAAATGTGAAATAACCAGCAAGGTATATATAGCTGTAAATGTACTATACATAGGTACCTCTTTTCGACGGGCCAGAAGTGGGTGCACAGTACAGAGGACTGAGTCTCATGAGTTGCTATCTGAATTCTGCTCTTCTCGTGTACAGAGATTTCCTCAGCGTAGCACGTTTCCATATCCTTCAGGAGGCTTCGGAGACGCAGGCGCTGCCTGGGCGAAACCCCCCCCCCCCCCCTTTTCCCCCCCGGGACACTAAACATACATTCCTCTTTTCAGCCCGCTGTGATTGGTTGCATATTCGTTCTTTTTGATAGTCTCGTTATGGCATGGTCACGGCTCAAACAACTTCCCCAAAATAAGACTCTGGCAAATAAATTCATTATCCAAAATTCTCACTGCCTTTCCATTAACAGTCACATCGCTACCTCCAATCATACCGAGACCGCCATAAGTCAGACCAGCAGAAATAGCAGCAGCTCGTGCCGCCCCTTCCGTCGGTCGACTACGACTTTTGGCTTTCTTAGGCGGCCGGCCCCGCGAGCGGCTCCTGGATGTCTGCTTTACTGCCACGGATTGCGCCGCCTTGATAAGTTGTGCACGAGCAGCCGCACCCGCCTTCTCATCACCGACATAAATCCAATCCCAGCTGACATCTGAATGAGCGCTTGATGCCGGCGATTCCCGTCCAGGTGGCGCCAATAACTTAATTGCGGCATTCATGTCTGGTACAAAAGCGATTCTGCTGGGACCAAGGGCACAAGCAAGAAAACTGTAAGGTTTGCGCTGTTCAGCAATTTTGCCGCGATCCATGACGAGGAGCACGGATTGGCCAGCCAGTAATTTGGGCCGGGCAGCGATAGTGTCTTGTAGGCGTGCTGTTAGAGCTGGGTTTGGGGAGATGGCTCGCGATCGGATTGCGCCATTAAGGAAAGCAGATTCGCCCGCAGGCAGGAGGTAAGGTTCCCAGTCCACGATTTGGTCTTTGGCGACGCAATCATGGACCCAGCGTCCTGATAGACAGGGAATGTTGAGGGCAAGGGCTTGCATATATTTCACGCGACGGGTATGTTCGTTTGTTAGGAGGCAAACGAAACCGGTATTCTCGGCTGTAGGATGCAAAGATAGTAATTCGTTGCTATGATCTGTTGAAATTGTGACAACAGAGTTATTTTCGAACGACGTAGAAGGAGATTTGGATGGTTGGTTAAATAACTCAGTGAAACCATCCTTCAGGATCCTTCCGCCGTTTTGAGTAATGAGTTCTTCAATGCGCAGCCTTCTCTCTTCGTCATCATTGTATGACGCAGCGAAAGCCATTCCGGAAAATAAGCCAGAAACCGATGGGAGGAGATTGTCAGTCCGTGAAGCAGAATGAACAGAACTGGGGCGCGGGTTCAACGCTGTTCGTAGTTCCGATGAAGAGGTGCTGACAAGTTGCGGTGAGTGCGAATATTGCCGGTTTTCCAATCTAGTCCACAGAATCCTGTCAAGGTAAACGTTAGAGATCGGAACAGTGATATCAAGCCCATGGCGGAAAGAGCCATCCGAGCTCTTGGGCCTAAGGACGACGAAGTGGTGCCCATGAACATCAGTCATGGTCGAACTGAGGGTCACCTCGCTATCATGGAAGGAAGTGACCTCATTCAGCTTTCGGAAGCCCACAACTATATGCGGAATCTTTGGGACCTGAGGTAAGTCCACCTTGACTATATCGTTTATTCTCAACTCCAACCTCTTAACTGCGTCCGCATTCACCTCGTCAGGTTTGATTGAGTCTTCGAATCTTACAAGGTATCGAGTACCGCCAACAGGGTGTGAGATTCCAACACAGGTTGCTGGGAAATACCCCTGTGGTCGGCCATTGAAAAAGGCAAATACTTTATTTTCCAATCCAGGATTATTCAACGATGGTGAAGCGCATCCTTGTTTCGAGTGTATATGAGTCTTCTCACCCTGAATTGGGTCAGGGCTATCCGCTCTGTCAATCAGCTCCGTTGATGTTGGCGACAGGCTTGTTGACTTGCATGCCTCAATTGGCCCAGCAATACTATTTCTAAGCTGCCGAGAAGTTCGCGTTTTAGAAACGGCACGCTCTAACGGTTGGCTGAGACGGGGTTGGCGTGCCCTTCTAGCCTGCTCCACTAGTTGAACGGGAGAGCATTCCACCTCCCAGAGACCTGCAGTTCCCCTGACATGCGCCCGCGGGTTTTGCCGGATAACGACAGCGTCCATATGCATAGGAGGTACTGGTACTGGGATAGCAGGCTCCGAAACCTTATTCGCGGGCTCGCTCTTCTCTACTGCAGGCTGCGGAACGACGCGTGGCTCACCAGGGATAAACCTTTGGTTCCGATCAAACAGATTCGACGAGCCGGTGATTCTTCCATCATTTCCTCTCCTCCTTTTTTGAGCAGGAAGTTCTGTTTCTCGAATTATAGATGCGAATTCTCTGTCCTCCGCAGTAATAAGTCCAAAGTCTGGCAAAAAATCAGGCAGTGAGCGGCAGGGCGACTGTTCCGCAGCAATTTCAGTCATGCTACGACGCTGGCGGCCACTAGGGCTAGAAAGTACAGCCGAGACGGTGCGGTGTGGGCCATCCCTAGTGTGCAACCCAGGAACTCCAAGGCGTCCAATTTGAGGGCGGGAAAACTTGGGGAGAACAGGAAGCTGATCATCATCATGAGTGGGAGATCTTGAAGAGTTATTGTTAAATGTTGGGACGGATTTTGAGAAGTGACTAGGTGGAGATGTTTCCGGTATAATCTGACGATATGTTTTTGACGGTTGCTTATCCTGGGTCGGTGTTTCTAAAACACGAGAAGGTATGGAAGAGGCTTTCGCCGCGCCTATTTCTTCAGATGAAGGATTCGGATCTGATATTTTAACTTCAGTCTCCATATATGTCTTCTGATAATTTGGTGACTCCACATTCGGAGCATGGTCGTCATGCCGACCATATTGATGGGGCATTTTGTGAGACGTTTCCATAAATTTTGCGTCTCCAAGGTCATGTTGGGTTCCAGAAACCGATTTCGACGAACGATGTCCCTCGCGAGACGGTTGTTGTTCAACAAGGCTGCTCTGTTCTTGCAGGGCAATTACTGGTGACGAATGCACATTTTCTTCTTCCGGGGATTGATCCAAGTGCGTTTCTACCCTCCTATATCGAGATCTGCTTCCAGGCCTCTTTGAACCACGGCTGAGAGCATGTGGATTAGGGTAGTTAAGTAGACCGGAAACAGGTGATGATAGTATACATTCCTCGGTAGGAGATTGTGCCAAACGCGGAGTTACCTTCCTGGGTCTGCCTTTGCGTCTCTTTTGACTAGGATTACTGAAAGGTTGAGAATTGGCGATATTAACGATTTGAGAGCCAGTAGGTGTGTTGTCTTCGCTTTTGTTCTGAGTGCTTTGAGGTCGATTCGCTGGTTCCTGACTGCCGTCGATATGTCCTGAAACTTCGCTAATTAAGTTTCGATGGCCTGAATGCTCTAATTCAAGGGCCTGAGAGAGAGCGTCATGAGCATAGGTAGTAGTGTCAGGAACACGAACGGCCCCAATGTCAACATTTTCCTTATCATCTTCTCCTGAAATTCGGGAGTGCTGAATCCGTCGGCTCTGCGAGGCCTCAACTTCATCCTCCTGCTCGGTTTCTTCTTCACTGCTTCCAGCATTGTTTCTTTCATTTCTTTCAATAGCCCCAATCTCCGTCACTTTTAAAGTAACAGTACCGGGAGGACAGCCGTTTCGAGATTCTGCTTGGATCGGGGAGGATTGATCTATTGCAGTCCTTTTTCCACGACCTTTTGAGCCGCACCTAGCGGGGGCGGTCACACTGGCAAAGTGCTTTCTCACTTCCTCTTCCGTGTATTTTTCCCTTACATGTCTCTGGACGTAGCGATCGTCCCCCCCAAAATCGTCATCGCTAGAACGATTTTCATCCGAGTGCAAACGTGCCAGCATATCCCGCACAGCCTGCGACTCCTTCATCGAAACGTAGTTTGCTTGAGGTTCTAAATGTTTCGGCCGAGCAACTGAGGATGGAAGGGGGGGTGAGAACACTGTGGTCGTGCCAGTCAGTCGGGTCTCAATAGGGATATTTGGTGATGGCATATCCGACGAAAGTGGAGGTCCATTAGTATAGGGCGACGAGGGATTTTGGGTTGCATTGAACACTTGGGATAATGCCATTACAGTGCTACCGTTGTGACATTCGCTGCTGAAGGCATAACGTGGAAGTATTGGTGTAGCTGAGACCTCGGGCTGTGAGTGTTCACGATTTGGTGTCGCAGGGGTCATGCTAATGAAGCGTTGGGATTCGGGGAAAAGCTGGTACTGGGTTGGAGATGAGGCTCCACCAACCATGTCAAGGTCCTCTAGCTGTCCATCCTCGTCGGCGAACTCACGATTTGCAACAGGAGTTTCGCCAAAAGCAGCTAGTAAATCTAGATGGCCTGTATCCCCCTCATGTAGAGTCGCATCCTTTGCCATTACATTACCGTCTTCGTTACCCTCCTGGTCTTTCGGACGTCCTTGGTTTGCTCTCGCCTTGCTCATGAAACTCTCAAAGACTGATTGAGAGATTGGCTGCGTATCGCCCGGTAAACTACCTGTTGCAGCCGCCATTTTGGGAAAGGGTGACTCTGGAACTGAGCTATGCCCAGCGTCAGGCTGCAATGGCAGCTTCGTAGTGGTATTCAAAGACGCAATGGCATGGGCTTGAGTCCCGAGAAAACGACCAATATCTGTGTAGTTGAGGTGTATTAGAATGGATATTTTTGACTCCTGCAGTCCCCAGAGTGATGAAATTCCAGTGATGCAAGACTCCCACCACTCCGCAATCGTTTCCAAGTTAATCTCACCTCGTAATTGTAAGTTTCGAGACACGTCCTGCTTTGGCCGCTCCTATCAAACAATTAGAGTCAGTTAGCGCGATTTTAACGCCTGGACAAGGCATTCGTCACGCCACGAAAGGGAAAAAAGAAGCATTGATAAAATACAGATACGAACGTCAATCAAGTCGAAGGCTGCTTGCTTCAGATAATCCAGATCAAGGCTATCATCTTGAGTGTCCATGGTTGGGGCATATAAACGGCCCGGAAGAGAGTCCGTCGCCCAGCGCTGTTATTACTGATTCCAGGTTACCCGAAACGGTAATAAGTGCGCGACATCCAACGCGACTGTCGAATGCACGCGGTCACGTGTGTATAATTCAATCATGCCTGATTGGGCTAATGCGCCTTACCTGGTCAAGTTGAAAAGTTACCTCCTGAGGGCCGATTTGAATTACGTCGTAGAAATACAAGCATTGCTCAATTCTGTGTATGTTGGTTTCCGTCGATGATATCATTTGTATATGGCGATTAAGGAAGGGCATCTTAAAACAATTTAACCTTGGAAATTGCGGAATAAACTCATATAGCTACCAATATACACACGAGAAAGGTACTATCATACAAAGCTTTTAAGTAGCAGGCCAATATTGGGGCAAAGATGCAAAACACCCGGATCACAATCAAGTCACCGAGTCCTCCCCAAAATATGGGTAGAAAAGGATAAACAAGAAAGGAGAAAGCAGTCCTCAATCCCGACTTCGATTCGGCACCCATCGTTTAATTGTCATTTCACGGACCTTGTACGTTTTCAGCAGAGCACCAATATCCAATTCATCATTTTCCCCATTGGCACCGGTAGGTTGTGGCTTGGGAGGGGGAGGCGGGATTTCTACATAACATAGTACCAAACTCTTCTTGACCTGGGCTTGGACTCTGTTCACACAGTGAAGCCACCACCAGGTTCGGCCCTCTTTCTTCGCAGTCTTCTGTCTCTTTTCTGCAGTTGCTGTCCAGTAAGGATCGGAGTAAGCAGGAAGCAGACAAACTGCAAACTCGGCATGTGAGAATACCGGCCCGCGGTTGTAGAGAAGGTAATCAACGCCGAATTTTACACCGGAGCGGATTACCCACCCAAGCGAACGAAAATGATGGTATACGACATAAGATAGCAGAAACGGATCATCTGGTTTTTCGGGAACAGATGGCTCTCGTGGGGGAAAATAGGAATGTCGGCGGAAGAGAGATAAGAGTGAGGTTGCGGGAAGGATCGATGTGCGGTCATTGTCATACACTTGTAGTACACCTAGACAGAAGACGAGGAAGAAGGCTTCTTCGTTCGACAGTTGGAGATGCTCTTGATTGAGTATTTGGGTGGGCTCTTGTTTGTTTGTATGAGGGATTGGATGCTCAGGTAGTTGTGGTAACGTAGGTTGTGCATTATCATATTTCATTTGGTCGACTACTGGCGAGAAATGTACGGTCTTGCCAGTATTTGAACGTTCATTCCCAGAATTTCCATTGGCCATATATTGCCTGGGGATGGATGAGTTTGTTGCTCGAACTATAGACTCTTGGTCTCGATTCTCCTGAGGCTGTTCACTCGGGTGAGCAACAGCAGCATCATTGACGGGGCTTTCTAAGGTGGACAAAGCTTTATCAAATTCAATAGGTCGAACATCACCACGATAATTCCGTAATTGCGCTTCTGCTTTCAGCTGCTCTGCAATAGCCTCTTTTTCCTTTCTAGCTCTCTCAAGTTTTCGTTCCCGCCGCTCTACTCTTCTTTTCCCTGTCACCTCCTCACTTGTCGCATCACCCGTCAATCCCCTTCTATTTTTCTCTCGATCTAACCAACTTGGCTCACTCCTACTCAAGCTGCCTTTCCCAAAGAAGCCCATCTCCCACAATGCACGTATCGCTTTCGCGTCAGTGACATGGACTGAAGACGTTGTCGAGTCAAAGTACGCGCAATAGATGTGCTGGTGAGGAGGAGAAATAAAGTATGTGAGATACGATAGGGCTATGCTAATTAGAGAGAGGGGATTGTGGGGAATTAGTGGAGGTAAGGGGTGGACGTGGAGGGGAAGAGGAAAACGGTGGAGATGTTTATAATTGGGCCGCCGGGGCCGTGGAGGAAGGTGGTTAGCTGCATCTTTTAAAGACTTCCAATTGCTATTATTGTTAGAGTCTGTAGGTCCATTTGAGACGGTTGGAATGACAAAGGAGGTAGATGAGGCCATCTTGAATGGAGTATTACTCGCAGATGGGGCAACTAGACAAATTGAGTCAGAATCAAATGAAGTCTCCCAAACACACCGAATAGAAAAAGTAGTAAATATGTGCAAATATATGCAGGCTTCTCAGATACCGTTGTAGTCATATAAGAGCCAACATTGACAGCAGCGAAAAATCAGTACTGCTACCTAGGCTACTATGGGTGTCATCACCGGAAACAGAGGGGGAAATACATGCTACTTTAAACACAAAACCCCGTTCAAGTTCAATTAAACCGGGAAAAGGAAATGATATCACCTACCAAATATTCTATTAACTGTTAACGCCCATGCAGGAGTGCTCAGTCATTGTGCCACTAAGGCAACCCTTTTTCATAAACAAATTGTCTTCTATTCCTTCATAACTTTTTCGGTGTTAGTAGCTATGGTATGAGTGATTAATATGTCAATTACCAAGTATATAGAGAGGAAAGAACAAGCAAAACATGCAGGATATTGAGAGGATAGTTTTTGAATATTGGATTGTTGATCTTCAAGTGGTTTTGAAATTTTCATGTTCGAAATTGAATGAGCTGTGGTGAGTTAGCGCGGGTCGGCAAAACCTACCATTCCGAACCACTGTGCCAAATAATAATTTGATCAAAAATTAAATCATCGTCATTCCTCACCAGCTACGTTCACAGACAAGATCTCTAAGAACTCACTCACTGTTCTTAAGAGTCGGCTTAAACCTCTTAGCAAAGTAAGATACCCAATTACTGCCGCACTATTCGGATTAACTATTAACCACTCCCTACAGAATGCATCTCATGTATACCCTCGACAGTGAAGGCAAGCGCATCTACACATTGAAAAAGGTGCTGGATGGCCAGGTCACAAAATCTGCCCATCCCGCCAGATTCTCGCCAGATGACAAATACTCCAGGTCAGTTTCCAGACAAAGGTATGCCTGCGATGGGCAAAACAAAACTAATTTCTTCAAGACAGCGAGTTACATTGAAGAAACGATATGGACTGCTCTTGACGCAGCAGCCTGGTACGTGGACTGACAGCACAAGCTACTCACTTATTGCCTCTTCGGCTGGTAGGGTAAGAGCTAATATATTCTACCTTGCGACTTAGAACCCAAAATGTGACCGCTCTCTGGCAATAATTGATATCCGGGCGAATGGCGTTATTCTTTTGTGGCGAGGAAAGGGCGGTTTTTAAAAATGAGGCATATATAATCCTAAACTAGTCTCATCTATTGTTACCTATCTAAGGCTCCACGGTTTCCTTTTGGTATGGCTCTGTACAAATTCTATGGTGGCGAAGTACTAGCAGAAATCAAGGTGCTGCGGACATAATTCGAGTTCAGATGCCATACGACTCACTCTATATGTGACATTCTACTCTACGTTGCACATCCAAGCGATCTCCCATGCCTGAAGTATTGAAATGGGGTTTTATATTTGCGATCCTTTATCTATCTTTGATTCCCTACTAGTATGAAATGCTTAAAGAAAAATCATCAGTGAAAATAAGGATTATATAACATAATCGTGCACTCTCTCCCATTTTTTTTTTTCAAAACCTGTAAATGCAATCATGTAAAATTCCCTTCTTCTCGCGAATATATCTTACCTCCTCTTCCTTGAGTTAACTGCTCTACCCGCTCCCACCTGCACCCTCCCACCGCCCTTCATCCTCTCCCCAGTCACAATTCCGGGAAGAAAATCGTCATCCATAAGATTCCTCTCCTTTCTCATTCTCCTCCCCTCCTCAGCTACTGCCCTCACATACTCCTTCTGATCCTCCGCCAGTATCAGACCAGTCCCCCAGCCCCCCTGTCCGCCACCTCCTTTCCACTTTCCATTCGACGTCCCCGCCGTCGGTTTCGGAATACTATATTTATCCCCCCTCGTATTCCATTGCTTATTCTTCTTGAGATGGAGCTTGAACGTGCCGCCCGCAGACGTGGAACAGGAGACGCGGGTTAGTGTTGGCTTGCCACAGCGCGGGCAGAATTGCTTGTTCATTTCCTTCGTTGTGGCGAAGCAACCGTGGCAACGGAGGATATAGGAGTTTAGCCGGTGGATGCGCTGCATGTTGTTGGGCGAGAGGAGGTTGAGGTTCATACGCAGCAGGACGTTTTGCATAGCGAAGTCGCCGGTTATAGTTGCGACTTGCATTGTTTTTGTTTCAACGGATGCCGCGGGAGCTGCGGCATTTTTTGCCTGGTGCTTTCTGATGTTGGAAGGGGTTATCCAGCCTTCGTCGTCCTCGTCGTCATCCGTCTCGTCATCCTCGTCGCATTCGTCTGTTTGTATCCGTGTTGAGTATTCTTCCAATTGTGTTTCCTCAACGCCGTTCGTAGCTCGTGCCGAATTCCCTTGTGCCTCTTCTCCCTTGTTATCTAGAGTAGCCTGTGCCAAGCCGTTCACCACATCTTCGATGGGGTCTTCAACTTTATGATGTTGTTCCGCAGGAGGCTCATCGCCATTTGCCCCGCCTTCCCTCTTCTGTTCCTCGTCAGCCTTCGTGGGTGGCATTCCATTAATCCGTTTCTGTCCGGGCTCCTTTCTTAACCTCCAGTCACCTCCATTCCTCTCACATTCAACTTCATATGCCAGTGCCAAAATCTCCAAATCTTGTCTACTCAGCACTGGCCTATCGCCAGTCTTCCGTGCAAATTCTCCGACGAACCTTACGGACTCCGGTTTGGGAGTACGTTGTATGAGGAATGGGAGGTATAACGTCTCAAGTCTAGAGCGCGCAGCAGGGTCTCGAATTTCGGAGATGACAGCAGGAGTGGTGATGAGGGCGTGAGACTGCGCAAGCAGCGTCGAGATCGGGGGTACATTGCGGATGAGGGGCGCAGCGTCGAGGATTATTGTGTGGACTGGTTTGGAAGGGCTAGGTTCCGCCATGCTTATAGATATTGAAGTTCCTGCACACTTCCCAAATTCCATGCGGAGTTATATGGCATCAGTAAAGTATATGTGACAAGAATATTGTGCACGCCTGCTGTTGTGCATTTCAGCGTTGATACTGGGGATAAATTTTTGTGCCGTGTTGGCAATTGGTGGAGGTTTTAAGGTTATTTAAATCTTATCTTAGCGCCATATTGCCAAGGATTCTCTTTGTTCTGTGGCCGAAGAAACTACAGCAGATAATATTGGATTGGGTAAAGTAAATATCATTTACAAGTATCTTCTGGCTAGGAAACCACATCCTTTCACCAAAGGATTTAGCTCTTCTATAGTTCAACATGAAATTATGTTAATTCTATTGACGTCTTTTCTACCTCCAAACAATAATTCTAGCCCCAGGCATTATGACTTCCTCCAACGAAAAAAAAAAACCCCGAAGTATCAATGTAATAATGAATATCCAACAAACTCAATCGCAATGTCTCCATCCAAATACGAAAAAAGAAAAAAATTAAATTAAATCAAATCAAAATAAAATAAGAGATATAAACCATAACGACCAACATCATCTAGAAATCACGGAATTCTCGATCCACCTCCTCAAAATAATCAAAGAATCCCTTAAACAACCGGACACCAAGTCCAGGATCCATGTTCCCCGTCGTTGCACGGATGCTATGCATACTCAGTTGAGGAATACCAGCATCGATCGCCCTTATTCCAATCCGAGCGCTCGTCATAGGTCCAATCGTTCCTCCGCTGCGGCTGTCATTGCGAATCTGGAACACTTGCAAAGTAGAGCCACACTTATCCGCAATGCGTTTTAGAAGCGCTGTGCCGACGCTATCAGTGGTCATGTGTCCGTTGGGATCAGCAGATATGGCGACCCCAACGTTCAATCTTGGAGCGTGGTGATGCAAATAAACGTTTTCGAAGTTGGGATTCACCGCGTGGATAACGTCAGAGGAAAGAAGAAAACTGTTTGCAACTGTCTGCGAAAGCACATTGGGACCGTATGAAGGTGCAAAAGCCTCTACGATGCGCTCCATGACACTACTCAAATAGTTTGAGCGGGCACCCTGGCGTAATAGACTACCGATCTCCTCTGCGTCAAACATTCCCACCATCTTGATGATTCCAGAGGATGCAGTATCCTCGGACGCTAGAAGTGCTTCCTGGGCACTATAGCAACAGAGTTTGTCATCAATACGACCAGCGAAGATGAACTCTTTATTCAGCCCGCCAACCTGCGCAGGCTGTGTATCAAATAGCTCAAGTTCCCAGTTGACAATAGTGCTTAAATCAGAAATACCTAATTTCTTAGCAATAACTTTCATCAGTTTAGACGGCTGGGACGCCGCAAACGTGTTCGGCTTGATACCATCATCTTCTTGAGCATTGCCCTGTTCATTCCCAAGGATATCAGAATTATCCAACCCAATTATCGGCACCGCCTGCGTCTCTTTATTAAATGGGCCTTGAGATGCAGCCCCAAAGTGCACGGCAAGGGTTGGAATTCTCGCAATGGGCCAATCTAGCTTCACCAGCTTAGACTCAATCGCACCCGTCTCTTGATTGCGAACAAGCACACGCCCGCCAATCCCCAAGTCGCGGTCCCACCATGTCGAGCCCATTGAGCCCGCGTATGGTGCAACGCCCAACTGCATAAACCCCGCCTTGTTACTCATTTTGGAAACGGGCTTCAGTTTCGCGCAGACTGCGTCAACGTGTCCAGCAACAATTCCAAATCCATTGCCGCTCTTATATTCGGAACCAATGGAGAACGCTATCAGGGAGCTGTCATTACGAGAGCAGTAGTATTTCCCGCCAGCTTTGAGGACGGAGGACCACAAGTCACGCTCTGACAGGCGGGTGAAGCCGTGCTGCTGGAGCTGGGCGCAGAAGCTGGCAACGGCGTGGAAGCTAGTCGGGTTGTTTGTCATGAAATCGCAAAAGGGCTGGGCGTAGGACTCCGGTGAGGCAAGCGAAGGCTTTGGGCCACCATTTGTATCCGCCTGTTCTTGGGTTTGAGGATGGGGTTTGGGTTCGGTGGCCCAGGAAGAAGGGTTGGAGGTCGAGGCAACAAGGCCGGATCTGAACTGGCGGGTCATGCTGGGCGTTAAACAACAATGAAAGCTGTATCAGACTATTGTTGTAGGGGCAGTACAGATATTCACTGTCCTCACAGTACAATTATCCAAGTGAAAGAGAATGAAGATGTTGTCTTCTCAAAGCAGCAGTGGTGGTTATAAGCTCGTTTCACACGCTAGTCGAAAACGGGAAACATGTTTTGTTTCCAAGGTTCAAGCCTCCACAGCCCGCCGTCCACCAAATTTAGGCTTGAGCCAAGTCGGCCATAGCGCTGGTTCTTTGGAAGTCTTGGTCTGCCAGGTTGCCTGTTATTGGATGTCGAAAAATTGAGCCCACCCAAAACACCACTATTTCCTGCATTCTAAGATCAATTTTCATGTCTTGAAGTCGATCAAATCATCATCGAAACATTTTTCTGCAAAGAGCAAGCTCTGTGAAAAGGCTCCTGCCTCTTGATGGTAGGTATAGAAATGGGGAGGATGAGTGAGAGAGGGGAAAGCATGGAAGCGCAATTTTCTATATTTATCATCTTGTACAGTTGGCGGAGGAAGACCGAGACAGCCATTATTCGTTCCTAGGAGGGTGTGATACATTGAAATGAAATGCAAACGACCCACGCTATTCCGTCGCAGTTTCCAATAAGCACCTAGTTTTGGACTTGGAGACCATCAACACACGTCGATCCAATAGCTTCATCGTTCAGCGTCAGCAGGTCCCAGCTCAATTCCAAGGAGCAGAAAACTGACAAGAAAAAGAAGAAAAAGAGAAGAGAAAAGGATCTTGACACGCAGCTGACGCTATCTGTTGTGATATCTGCCTGGTTGACAGTGTAACGAGCAAATAGTATAGTTGAAAATAAATGATTAATAATTATATACAATAAATAACAATTGATGTACAGAGTACTCCGTAGAGGTAATAACAATTGATTGTGAAGAATGAAAAAGCAGTAAAAGAAGCGGCAGAGATAAAAATGGATAGATAGCAAGAATTGAGCACTAGGATATAATAGCCGGTATGACATCACACATCTAATTTGAAGTTTATTCAGCACTACAAACTTCTTAGAACTTCTTTCTGAGGGACTCAGAACTACTCTTCAGAAGCAATAAAACTACTAGTAAGCATTTCAATATGTCATGTTTGATCTAAGCTTTAGTTAGTTCTTTCAAAGCCATGACAATAGAGCAGAACATCTAGAATATACATGTAAACAACAACAGAGATATAAATAACTGCAGTACAACACTTAACTCTTAACTTCACTTCATAAAAGTAAACTGAACTTCTAACTGGACATCAATCTTGGAAAAAGAAGCCTAATAACTGGGGATATCAAGGACCAAGCTGCACATCTCACATAACCATTTACTCAAATTACTGAGTATCACACCCACAGCAACTGAAATTAAGCTGTGTTGTATATTGGAACTTTATACAAATTAAACCGGAAGTTCAATCAAGGGCTAGGACAGCGCTCATGGACTTGCAGCTCCAACTGGGGTGTTTGGACGCGAATTAGAGACCTGAAACACAAACGACATTAGCCACGGAGAGCCAGAAATTTTGATGTGTGGACTGACCTTCTCGGAAAAGACACTTTTCTTCATTAGTTTTTCGTTCTTCTTTTGAAGCCCGTTGACGACAGCTGCCCGGGGATCATTCGTGGAAGGGAAGGTGTTTGTTTGCGCGACTGTACTCCAATCTCTCTACATCGAATGAGCGATGTACCCCAACGCGAAGGAGATCCAATGAATTGCCTCTGCGGCAGACTTGAGAGCCGTGGGCGACGGAATTCAATCGTGCCACATGCACTCGCAATATTCTGGAAATTCCAGGACAAATAACGTGATTCGCATAGACCAAGCAGGATGCTTTACTTCATTGTCGGCTCGTCGATTTTGGCGAAGAGCGGGGCCCATGTTTTCGCCGTCACGGCAGTAACACCTTTCTTCCAAACCTCAATCTCTCCCATGTTGAGTAGGGCCCACACATTATATTTGCGATCAGCCGGTGTATTTACCGCCACTGGTTTGTCATAGTAAATGATCCCTTTTGTAAGGCTCTTACGCGGGCTGGCTGTGAAGCTGTATTGTAAATAAGAGACGTGGGTTTGGGTCGAACAACCGGAAGTGAGCAGAATATATAAACAGAATCAAAGTATTATCATTCTCATCAGTTTTCTTATCTTAGACTTCTCAAAAATGCAATACTTACTAGTACCGCAGAATAGTTGGCATTGTTTTAAAGAAAGAGAAGATGATGAATATCTTTATTCATTGATCAAATATATTTTGACCAGTGCAGATGTTCTTAGTTTTCTTGAGATGTTGGACCTTTTGAGAAGGTGACAGCGCTTAAAAATGTAACGATCGGCACTTCGATCTCCATTTTAATCGGATGATATCCCGGCCCGGCGGCTCTGCCATCCCCTTTTTCTTGGCGTTTTTAGTCGAAGCGTCCACCCTCCTCCCGTTTCCTTGAGCACTCCAAGGTCTGATCAACGCGCAAGCATGTCAACTACTGAACTGAGCAGCTCAAGCCTCAAGAAACTCGAAGAAGAAGCGAGACGCGCACAGTTAGCGAGGTTCGAAAAGGACAAGGCATTAAAGGAGAAATATAAAAAACATCCGCCCTGGTCGGCGGAGGACTGGCAAAGAGCTAAGGCAGCACCGCCACGACCGCCGGTTCGGTACCCCGTCATCATATCGAGTTCGGGAACTTTCCCCACCGCTGAGAAAGTGAAAGAAGTTGCCAATCTCCCGAGCGTGCCGGAGGTACTATGGACGACCATGACGACGATGTTCGACAGCGAGCCAGAGCCGGAAGAACCGGAAAAGGTGCAATACTGCGTCCTTGACTTCGATGCTTTGCAGTTGATTGAGAACTACGCAAAGGGTGAAGATGTGGCGATTTGGTTTGAGGGCAAGAAGCGAACGGCTTGGTTGTCACCCCGTAGACCTCGTCAAAAGAGACAGCCTCCACCAGGTGAACCACCAGGGGTTTTTGCCCCTGCCTTCGATGATGATTCCTCTACCGAGGGTTAATGAATTGCACTTGAAACGTCTAAAAGAGGCTCATTTAGCTTCTGGAGAACTTGAACACAAACAAGAAAGCTTGCCCCATACCAGATATTTCAAAAAAAACATGGAAACTTCATTTTACCCATTCGAGTTTTTTTTTTTTTTTGTGGTGGACAGTTGAATCCCTCCAGAGAAGTTCAACACTTCATCATGTTAGTAATGATTTGCCCTTCACGAAATCTCAGCCGGGTTGATTTCTTACGCGTCTTTATCCACTGCGATTACTTCTGGAATTTTAATCTACGAATTAGGGCTGCTAAATGTAATCGACAATTTATATCAAGATACAAACAGTGAACAAGTGGAGGGAGCTTCATGGCTTCAACATTAATATTAAACTCTCAGTTGCTGTGTACACCTAATGAGCAAGCGTCTAATGAGCAAGCGCCTGGGCGATGTATGTAAAACTGGCGAAGCGTCAAAAACGCACCCTCCCCTCAGCAAAAAGAGAGCCACGAAGTGCACAGACTCCAAAAATCCTGGCAGTGAGGGAAGGGTTGATTCACAGGATAATCGACGTTGGGTGGTTAGCGGGTGTCGAAAACTGGCAACATGGAACGCCAGTTTCTGCCACCAGCTAACCGTCATATCATTATATGGGGTGTAGATTAAAGCTAAGTACGAATAAATAAGAATACGATAGCCATATATTCATTCCTGTTTCCTTGTTAAAAGCTTCATTATTTCCTTTTTGAGTGGTTTATTCAGTGAGGATATATGTCAATCAAGGTTTCGGAGATAATTAAACTCCACCCCATCTACCACTGGATTAAGAGATATCAACACAATAGATATTAGATAGTTGCGAATATGTGGGTATAAAATACTCATTAAATCCATCTAGTCATAGAGGAAGAGCAGAGCTTTAGATAGCAACAATCTAATAGAAGTTAATCTTCTATTGCGAATGCTAAAGTATCATACATTTTGATACAAAGTCATACAGGAAGATACTTCGCCCCACTTCTAATAGTGCCAGACATGGAGACGTCCGGCAGCATCAGCCTCGTTCGAAATTCACTTTTTTTTGAAAGCCAAAATTGCCAGTAACACGAATTCTCAGACCACACCCCGTATTCAACCGCACCTCAGCATGGATGGTAATAGCTCTGCTTTTTCTGTTGCTGAGCAGTGAGTGGCCCAACTCCTGTGGAACCATTCAGCTAGTTGAATGTATGCACAGAAAACTATCCCTCTGAAGATTTAACATCCATGAAGCATCGTCATCGTGACCTGGTGTGGAGTTTCCGAATTTCTTGGAATATATACTTTGTACGAGCGGAAGATATAAAAATTCCTGTTATCACATAATGCAGTCGCGTCAAAGACTGTTTGATCAACCCGGAATGGGCTGTGCTAACGGTATCGCGTTGGCTGAGCAAGCCAGCATTGTGCACGTTAGAGCCTTGAGGTGATCAAGCCGTGAAGACCCCAGATATTGTCAAATATCCCTGCTGTTCACCCCCGACCAGGGCAGCAAGCTTAATTTGTTCAGAGAACCTCGTACATTTTCTTGGGAAAGGTCGTATAGTTGCTAAATTTAGTGACCCAACTCTGCAGGCTGCCTGCCTCTTTATAAAGATTAGCATCAAGAGATAGCATGAGAGGAGGCAGTACTTCGTTTCAGGAATGCGTTTGTGGTCCTGCGCTTTCAGGATGGGGAGGTGAGCGAACAATGAAGTATAAAGGCGGACACAGGACATTTTTCCCATCTCATAAATCTGGAAGTCAAAAATCATTGTTGCTCTTCCTTATAGAGTTCAACAATACAAATCAAAAGCCGACTTGTCTGTCCACTCAGAAAATGAAGTCACCCTTTTCCCAGGTCCTGTCGCTTGCGGCTCTCGCATTGACATGGAGCCCTACCCAAGCAGCCCAACTCGCAAGACGCGATATCACCATGTTCGAAGAGCGTTTTCTTAACTCTCTCGAATATCAGCTCCCCAACAATACAATCAAGCTGATCGGATTCAAAAAGGTCAAGGTTCCGGAGCACGAGCTCGGCGACCTGAACCAGCACTACATGAGCAACCCTAAGGAATGGGGAAAGCTGAATAATTATTTCTACGACCCGCCCAGCGGTACATTCAGAATATATTTCCCTGTGGAGGGAGCATTAGTGTCCCACGACGGGGAACAACACGAGGCAAACCACCTGGGAGAGCTCAACCTGCAGAAAATCCACGGCGATTGCTCAGTGCTGGGGAGAAAACAGACGTCCCACGTCACCGGGGTCGAAGGCAATATAATTAAAAACGGTATAATTTATCTGGAGAACCCACCCAGGCCGCACGCTCAGTATGGGAACGCCTACGTTTACGACTTTGGGGTCAAGGTTGTACTTGATCACGACCATAGCGGGCGCCTCCAGAAGCGAAGCGGGAAGAAATCCTGCATGAACAATCACGGTGGCCCCAATTGCAGCAATAAATACAACATCCACGGCAAATGCAAGAGACGCAGTGATGTATGCATGGACTACAACGGATGGTTTTCCAATTGCAAAAAGAACGGTCCCACCTGGAGAAATTTCCCCGGAAGCGACTGCGACAAGGCCCTTGGCCGCGGCCATTGTTGGAATGAAGTTATGTAGGCCGATGACGAAGAGGTTAATGTCGTAACGGGTTGAACGCTTTTCAAGTACAATTTTTGTAGTATTTGATTCTCACTGTCGACAATTTTTCTCTCTCTTTACGTTTTGCTGGGTGTCTGTTAAATCGGGCATTATTATTAATTTTTGGGTACATTCTTTGTTGATTTTATTGCTCTCCCTGTTAATCAGTTGTTTTGGAGATTGAATTTGGCAAATCTACAAACTTTTTGCTTCACACACTGGTGACCAGCTTTTTGCATAGGCAAATGGCCTTCCACGCAGCATGCAGCTTCATTTGTTATTTTCCAACACATTTCATCGATTCCCCTCAGGATTGGGTTAGGTCCTCGAACAAAATAGAACCATACGTAATCGATATGGAAAACTCATCGATTGGCCTTTCCCATAGAACAGAGGTTAGGCAATTTGTAAAGGTAGCTGACCGGAAAGTTCAAGAGCTGGAGTATAAGGAGACTCTTTCAATGTGCGGTAGAGAGAGCACGTTGCATGGGATGGCAAAATTCGAGTAATAGGATGCTAGAACAAATTCTTATATAGTATTATATGCCCTGCATGATACGAGGAATAACGGCTGATATCCGTGTGCAGCAGAAAATGAGTTGGCGTGAGTCGAGAGGAAATGAACGGTCCGAGCTTCAACTGTTGCTTTCTTTTCCTTTACCGACTGCACAACGCACAACGTCAACCCTAAGGCGTTTGTCCCGTAACCCAACTCAACCTCGTAACGAGATATTCTTGATAAATGCGGGTTTCATTCATCTTGTCCGGTTATTTGTCTGACATCTGTCTCGATTGACTTGTCTAGCTCGCAAAGAGCGGACGGTTGCATTTGCAACCTGCTGAACCACTGCTAACCTTCGGGCAGTTTTGCATCACGCTTTACAAATGGCATATAATCTGCCGAAGAAACTCCTCCCAGCCTCGAGGGGTTTATTCTTAGGTGACAAAAGCAACGATGTGCTCAATAGCCAAACGCTTGAGAATATAGCATTGGCAGGTCGACCACGGGTAGAAGGCTCCAACCGCCAATGGGGCTCTCATATCATATTTTTGAAAATGACCTATATGGGACGCCTTTGTCCGTACTTCTTCCCTGGTTAATTTCACCTCCATTGGCGCGGGGAAATTCCAGGTGATGTTATGCATATATCCCGAAGGAGTCTTAATAATAGCATGTCCTCCCAAATCCAAGTGGACAGACGCGGGACAACGTGGTAGTGCAGGCAAACGCAATAGGAACTACGATGCTGCCACGACCAACCTGTCCACGGACAAGCCCACCTGTAAATTACATTAATTTTGTCTCCAATTGCTCCGGCTTGCATTTGCTATTGCTTCTCGATCACGTCTGGACCATCCATCGGGACTTGAAATCCGTGGGTTGTCCAATGCAGTTGAACAAATGAGTGCCTAACCCAGAGGAATCGCTTTCGCTCCTCAAAAAAAGACCCTCCGTTCCAATCGGCACAGGGGATGGTATCAGGAGATATGGCAGGGCAACTGGAAGGCAACAAGCTAAGAGAAGCAAGGGAGGTACCTCTGCCGTTACAAGGCCAACTGCATTTCCCACCACGTTTATATATCAAACATGGATTTCCTCCATATCCTCTATTTTGTTTTATTCTTTTTTCTTGTTCTCTTCACTCCACTTTTTGGTTTTTTGTTCCTTGTTCAGGCTCATGGTCGGAATTTGTTGGTTTTCGATCTTCATGAAATAGCACTGCAAGCCGCAGTATTACTACATCTGGCTTTCGAGTGCGCGCAGGCTCCCCTAGCGTTTATTCCCGTCACATACTGGAGTTTACCATAATTTCATAGGCTATTGGCCAGCAGGTCGCCGTTGCCCGGCAATCACCGGCGCTTTCCAGGGGAAGCACCTATCATCGGAGGTCGATTGAGTACCCTCAGCCAGCTGGCAGGCGGAAAGTTTCCCCATCGAATATGCCATAAACCCTCCAATTATTTCTCCCACATTTCCGAGAACGTTATTCCTTAGTTTAGATGATACAAAGTCTTTTGTTTGTTGGCAGAGTTCTGGTCCTCTCGCGACTGCGGAATTGTCGGATTCCACACAGCATCATACCTGTGATCCCGCAACTCTTGTCGTGTTAGCAGTCAAACTCAACTGACGAGTTTACTCGGCAGCTTTCTGGCCACCCATCCGCCTCATATACAATTTTGGCCTTTGGTTGACCTGACCTAATAGTGTTGTCTTAACATGGATTTCACAATACCGACCATTCAAACGTTCCCTCGGTTCCCAAGCATAATTTGGGAACCACAGAACTTTCGCTGTCCTTGTGATCTCGATTTAGCCCTGACAATCATGCTTCTCGTCGGGTATCCACGCATTCTTTTTTAAATACTGTGCGAAACGCTGCTAGGTAAAAAGGGGCTAAATGGATGACCAGCAAAGTGATAGGTGCGACAGATCTCTAAAAGTGCTTACGGGCTCTGTTGGGCCTTGATCTATCTTCCCCTTTCAAGTTGAACATATAAGGGCAGAGCTTTCTGCTTGACACATGAAAATTATGGAAACGGGACCCCTTGCCTCCAGCCTCATGTATGATCAAACCATGTGGAAAATCTGCTATTCTCTATAGCTTCACATCACGGGTGTGTTTATGCGGTGAGTTTATTTGAGAATTCCAGTTTCCATTTCATCGCCATAACTTATGTTTACCACTCCAGGTCATTTCTCGTTTGACGACCCTCTCGAACTCAAACATTTCTATGAGAATATCTCCGACGTGGCTTTGTACTAGAAGCATCTATCATGTCTGCCAACTTGTTGAGATTTTATTTCAATATCGACTTCGTACAACCAAACTACGAAGTCCAACGTGAAATTCGTGACGCTCAGCAGAACTGGTATCCACCGACGGAACCAGACGCCGTTTCTCTTGTGGCAACAACTGGTTGGCGAAAATGGGAACTCGGTTCAATCACCCAGGCACAAGTTTCTGGGGGTAACAATTTCCGAGAGTGTTCTCTTTTTTATGATTCCGAAAGGGATCATTTCCTCGGAGTGCCGTTGAACTGCAAGAAAAGGAGTGTGGGACAAGAAATCAAAACTAGGGATGCGCGGTATGGCTGGAGAAGACTTACCTTCAAACATCCAGAGCCCATAAACAATGGAAATCATATATCAGTTCTTGACTTCGATGCTCCGTATAATGTCCTCGCTGCTCCAGGGTCTCCAAGATGGATGCCAGAGCTTATGCCACAGACTTATGACTACAATGATCTGGATGAAAATGTATTTGGAAACACAGCTCTTGCCGGAAACTTAGCGCTCTTAATTGGGCTCGCAGCTTTTAGTGGACCTTTTCCTGAACACGGTCCTGATGTTGAGCTGACGGTGGAAGCGATCCGAGCATTCAGGCCTCCCAATTGGGTTCCTCACGGAATGAGAAGTAGAAGTGAGTACAGCCAAACTTTTAACGAAGAAGTGATCTAACGTTCTTCAGGGGTTCATAGCCGGGGAGTCATAGTCTCGATCAAGAGTATTGGTAGCAACGACGCATCGCTGGACAAGTGGTCACAGGGGCATTTTGGTGCTTTAATAAATCCGTGATCATGTAGCTCGGTATGCACTTTCGCGGATATTAGAATAGAAGCGTTATCGACCTCCCAACATTCGAGTGTTTTGCCGTGCGTTTCGAAAACCGAGTCCGCAGTCGAGGGGAACGGTATATTTGCGGAACCAATTCATCTAAACAACCCTAACCATCGTTATGTCGAGTTAAAATCTTACATTTTTATTTCTCTCACCTGCTGTCATGATTGTCCATTTTTCATTGATGTCACTTGCAATTCCGTTCGCTGCCTCTCACACATTAGAATATGACCCATTTTGTTATCCATTTTTCTAGAGGATTTCAAGAAGAGATGATGAATGATCCCTTCTTACAAGACATTGATTCCCCTTCGTTTTGATCATAAGCAACCACATATCCATCAAAAATAATCAACCAGGAGTAGATTCAGTCTACGCGCATACTGTTCATTGGCTATTGCATTTTTGTCTTCCATGTTTCTCCCCCTCTCTCCCCTACTTCCTAGCCCACCCTTCCCATCCAACCACCAGAAATACTCGCCATGAGGACTTTCCAATTCACAACTTTTACTCCATTTGCACATGGTTAACACAAAGGCGTAGTTTGCCAAGGAGGAAAAAGAAAAAAAATCTATCGTCATCTCATATATTTAATCTGCCACGGCAGCGCGAGGTAAAGGACTAACCCAACCCACGTAACTACATAGTCGTCGACATAGGTGAAAAATCACGGCCCCTCTCGTCCTTGCGAGTAAAAGTAAAGGGTGAAGCACCAAGTAAAACTGTATGGAAGCCTTGAACTAGTACCCCTTCCCTCCTGCGGGCCGATGTAAAGTAGGTTAAAACATAATTCCATCCTGTAACGCGTTTCGCACATTTTATGCGGGTCTAGGTGGGGTCCGTGTTTTCGGTCATGTTGCGTCCATTGTAGCGTTGGATTGCTTCGTCATTGCACGTCTGGTAGACGAACTGCAATATCGCCTGACTGGGTTATATAACGGACCCATGGAAGCGATGGGTATTGCAGCTATATGAGAGCACGAGGTATTGGTTAGATATTGCATTTGTGTAAGATGGAAAAATGAGCATATCAAGGGTGGGAAGGGTGATGGTGGACGAGGAGCAGGGTGTGGTAGGTAAAAGATAGTATGGTTGCGTGAAGTGCCTTAGATGTCGGCTTTCAACCAGGAACAGCCAGAGAGCTGACGTGGGGGGTCTCTTGTGGACAGTTATGGAGGTGGATGTTGCTGTATGCTGACAAAGTGCAGGGAGTGCAGCGTGTAGGGGGTTTAAACTGGGAGCTTGGCATGAAGACATTGGTGCTTCAATGTATCCAGTCATAGAATCGCAAAAAAGATCTTGGGATGCAGGTGGCCGAATTTGGAGCATTGAGATTTTGGGCCTGCCGATGAAGGTGGGGAGGCTGGGGAAAAAGCAAAAAAGGAAAAGATATTCACCTTCGGTTCAATGATCTTAAGATATCGTACTTGGATACCACTGGTGGTGAAATACGGGATCTCAAATTTGACGTTGATTGGGCGTTTGCCTTTTCCAGTTTGTCCAGCACCTCCCATGCTACCACCAAAGCCACCAGTCATACCGCCTCCATGCTCATCATCCCCTTTCACTGACGGTAACCCTAATTCAGCACGCATGAGGAACTCTTTCCCTCCACCGAACTGTTTTATCTTCCATATTATCGCAGATTTCTCTGGTGCATAGTGGACAGAACCTATGTTAGTGCGGAATCGTGGAGAATCTGCGTCTTCCGGGACTGGAACCAAAATTTCCACATTATTCGCAGTGCTCCGGCGTTTGAATTGAGCTTTTGCCTATATGACGGTCAGATAAAAAATAAGCGGGATCACAACTTCCTTGGCTCAGTTTACCTTAAGCATATATTCAATGCGCGAACCTGAATGAGACTCCACCAGACATTCTACCCATATTAGGGGCTTCACTTGAGTGTTTAAGCGATAACTCATAAGTTCAAATTCCCCGTCTGGAGGAATGAAACTTATTGTTCTGTCGTTCTCAAAGCGCGATAGCCGAACACATTGGTGGAACTTTACATCCTCCATCTCGACGGCTTTTCCTCTTGTTGCTCTGCCTGTTGTTTCGAACATCGCTTTATCGTTCAAACCCAGCCTCAGTTCTGGCATACCACTTAGATAACATTTCATTTTGATTGCCCCTAATATTTCTGATCGAAGAACGTTGCCATTGGCAGATACTAGGAGATTCAAGGATTCAACCACGTCGAGGAAGACCTCATTCTTGCGGTATCGAATTCCTTCACTTCTCCAAGACACAGCATTCGTAACAGCGATAGGCGGTCGAGCCTGTATCTCAAGTTTGTGTGATTCTTGGGTAATGTACCTGGAGCCAACATTAGAAGAGGAGCTAGCGAGTAATGCGGGGTCCACCAAGTTGTTCGAAAACGCGGGGCACCAGAAAATAGCAATTAACATACTCCTGCAATATCTTGGACTCCGTTGTCTGCGGATATCCGAAATCCATCATCTCGTCAAGCAATTCATAAATGATAACGAAGTTATCTCTAATACTCTCTTCCTCCAACTCCTTAAAGTATTCGGTGAAAACCTCGACAATCTTGTGGAGGAATAACAGTATCTCCGCAGCATTTGTGTTCCGTTTCGTTAATGCTAGGAGATAAAGGTTGCTATGGCGGATGTAAAGATACTAACGGAGTCATCATATAGTAAATATAAAATGGTCTCCAGCAAGCTAAACGGGATGGGTCTCCAGAATCGCAACATGGTATGGCAGAGAATATAGAAGAAACGCACATTTATGCCTTCATCAGAAAAGCACGGCGGTACAGCAGAGCTCTCTTCTTCTGCTTCGCTGAGGAGGATAGGGAACTTTTCGACTGCGGACATAGGAATATCTCCTCTGTAGTTGCGGGCTAGGAGGGTCTGTATCGAAGCCCAGTGTAAGCTTAGGCTATCCCACAACAGCAAATATACCGAATTCGCTTAATGAAGGATATCCGCATGCTTGTATGCTCGAAATTTCTTAGAATCGATCATACCTTGCCCTTCAGATCCAGAAAGAATATAGCGGAGGCCATGATGCGGTGTTGGGTATCAAAGGGCTTGCGTTCAACGTCGGAGAGTCAGGAGGGGATATTCTGGTGTGCGGGCTTATTTAGCCATCGCAGGCGACATGAAAATTAGGAAATCAGGATACGGTGCCCAAGAGGGCATTTGTTAACGCTCAGTAGTTCAAAATATCCATTTGTTTTCCATGTCTTTCCCGCGTCAGTAGCAGGCGGCGTCGTTTGCCCAAGTAGCACTACTGCCGAATCAGGTCTAGTGCCATCCACCAGCCATATAAAATTCTTCCATGAACTTTTATTTTCTTTCAATCACGCACCCAACAGACAGTGCAAGTCAACACAAAAAATTATCATGATTTTTCCTGTAAATTGGCCTCTGGCTTCCTGTCAGGGTTCAACTCCCGGGTTACACCATTGATGATCTTGCGATACGGTGGTGCGAAGACTAAACAACGGAGACTCCATAAGAACTGGCCGTGTATTTTTCTTGGTTACGCGGGCGGTGTCAGAGGAATCAAACATACTGTAATTGGATAGGAATACAAATTGACTGTCTTTAGTTTATATACTCTAGAATAATGTATAATTGAAGAAGAAGAAGGGTATACTCCGTAAAATTAAAACCCTGATAATACATTAATATCTGGCATCGCGAAAATTCTAATAGAAATACATACAAACCATACAAACGCCGTCCAAAATGCGGTGCCCTTAAAACATCGGAAACAAATCCTATAGAGTCTCTCGTGGCATGCCGACGTCAAACCCCAGCGGCTTCAGTATAGAATCCCTAGCTACCTGGTTCGCAACCGCACCCCCTTTCTCCAGCGCAACGGCGCCAACCACCGCGTAAATCGCCTGGGTCAAAACGACTTCTAATCCGGATGCCGCAAGATCATTGCGCTGTAGGACAGTTAGCATGCAGGGAACGATAAAATTTTTATTCCTGGAAGGACTGCTCGTACATATCTCGGTACCCATCTCAGGACTTCCTGTAGCTTATATTGCTGGGCGAGCTCTGCCAGTTTCGTTCGGTTTACCCTCATATTCTTGTTGTCTTCGGTGAGAATGTCCAACCCTTGCAAAGACGGATGTTCGAACGCCGTCCGACCATATGGATCTTCCAACTTTTCCGGGGAAGCATTGGACGAGCTTTCCAACAGGGAGAGTGAAGCCTGGAGCTGTACAATTTGCTTGCCTATAGAAAGAATATTGCAGATAAGCACTCAAAATCCTATGTCAAAGAAAAGAATTACAGATCATTCAACATACCCAGGTAAGACAATCTCTCGTTGAAACCTCTTCGTCCTTGATCAAAGCTTTTGTGCGTAACGGTTTGCCATTTGACCTCCTCCGTGAGCATCTTGTCACCGCCGGGCCCTAGCATTCGAAGGTAGAACTGATCAAGAATGTTCGGGTCTGAATTGACGGGAAACTCCGGTACATCCGGACTCCCACGCAACCGTACCGGCGCCTTCATTGCCGGCGGGGTCACTTTCCATCGGGCTATTGTAGGTGTTTCTGAACCCTCTGGGCCAGCAGCAGAGGAGAGAGCATGTCTTCGAATATAAGAGGGAGTGGATCGTGAGGAAATTGACAGAACAGCGGATGAAGCACGCCACCGCCCTGGCCGCGAGATTGCAGTGAAAGCTTGGCCCGGTATTTTTGATGCCATCGGTGGCAGGGAAAATCGCATCCACGAAAAGGGTTTATGGGGATTGCGGTGTTGGGTCGCGACTGGAGATTCTCGACCTGAGGCCGGAGCTTGGAAGATTTTCCGCAATTATAGGCTAACCTTAATAGGGAAATCCACCCTGCCCATGATCCGTATACAATGTCAACAGCGATAGCTTCAAGTTTCTTTTGATATTTCCCGTTGCTGTGAAATTGGATCGACGGACGGACTGTTAAACAAAGATTGCAGACAAACTGAGCCTCGGTATACCATTGGATGCCCTCCGAGCAATTGCAGCCCAGTGGTGATTGGGTTGAACAACCATCGCGCCTCTCCCGTCCAGCGCCCCGTCAGGTCAATCGTACAGATTATCTTTGTGTGGAATGAATACTAGTATCAAGGAGAAATTGCTTTGTGAAATTTATCGGCGTCTACTAAGGCCGATAAAAAATCAAATCCAGGCTCACTGATCGGACGATGGTGATGGTGATGGATTCAAACCTGGACAGCGCCCAATTTGCATTTCTAGTCAAGATTTGGTTTTGAACTCCATTAAAGAGACTTGGAGAATAATCGTTGCAACACGTGTCAAATGGGATCTCCCATTCGAACAGTGCTCCTCTTGTTTTGTTGTGTTTTTGTTTTCCTCCTATGTTTCTTCAGACCTCCCTCTGAAATGGATTTGAAGGCTGGCTACTTTGAGTCAATCATCAACACCTCCGGTGCAACTCAGTTATCGCAACTCAGGCAAAGAGGCCCAAGACAGGGCGAGAATGTAGAGCATATTGATACCCATTTTATATAGAACTCTTTACACTACCTCTCCCTCCTTGTTTCTTTATTGCATTATTGCTTCGGCTCGGTTCCCCGCCTCAGCCGATTTTCGGATACAATGTCGCTGGCCCATTTCTCCCTTGTTTGTTGTCACACTGGGGGCTCGGCCCATAGCTTATACTGGCTCAACTTTTCTGAATACTGCGGATGATATACTCTGCCATCGTATATCAGTTCCTGTCAACTTGGTCAAATAACTTCACCCTTCGAAGTCCAAACATAACCAGGTACAAGTGAATTGTCATGATGATAATCATGGCTCCAGCACACTCGTCGTACTTGCATAGAAAGTACCTCGATGATTTGGCTTCAGGACGTTGGCATTTCTGCATTTCGCCAACGGATTGTGCGTCGCGCGGCTAGTCGACCAGGCCCTCCAGTAGCACACGGGAGCCACCTATGCCTTGACGGGCCCCTGCATGTTTTCTAGGATCCTCTTTCACCTCTCCTTTGTTGTAGCATTCTAAATTCGCATCAAGCACTGTATTCATGGAGTTCAGCTTCCGAATACAATGATCTGGTGGATTCTAGCGCAGGCGCCTAGTGTATCGACATGCAATTTCCTTGCTACAAGTACTTAATTGGTATAAAAGCGGGTGGAATCCGCATCCGAGGACTCCTGCCATTACCGCCTTTCTGCCAAATAACAAAAATATTGTCTGTCACTCGTTTTTTTTCTCTCACTGGTTTTTTTGAATGACAACCGCACATCTTGTCCGCCATATCAAATATTTTGACTCACTACTTCCTCTCCGGTTGGTCTCCATTGCACAGCTTACAGCCTTCGATCTCCGCACAAATGACTTCTCAACGGCGTGGACTCTCCTCCCATCCGCGCGCTGACACTTCACTCCATCCGCAATCGAGCGCTCAGTATCTACATGCATCCTGTTCGATTGGGAGATGTCCCTTGAGCGCGGCTCTGGCTGAAATTTCCTTCCACTCCGTATACTCCGTCCAAGACCCTCCCTCACCCCTCCCATATCCTCCGAACCCTCCTCCAAGTCCAGTCTGATGCCTGGGTGCTCAAGTCTCATTAAATACATATGTCAGTTCCCCAATTTTGCCCCTTATCGAACAGATGGCCATATAATGGCGCCATTTACCCCGTTCCTACATATCTAGTGACATTAGTCCAGTCCCTACCAACCTTATTGTTCCTGCTTTATTTCTTCTACCTAGTCGATCTTCCATATCCTTACTCGCTCGTGAAGATCTGGTTTGATTTTCTACATGTACCTCACACCCCACTAAACCAGAAATATCCAACCTCGTACGAGTTAGCCAGCGTTGAGAAAAGGAGCTAACCATATGCCATTGCTTTTTGCAGTTCGAATGGGCCTGGCCAACTCTGCCGAAACTGGCGAACAGTGTTACAACGATACATCTACAGCATACAACGGAGACACCCTCGAACATACAAAAAGTGAACTCAAATCTCTTTGTTGGAGGGTTTTCCATTTCCTCTATTTGTGCCATGAAACCGATTCTGAGAGGGGCTCTGCCTTTATTTATTTATTTATTTTTTCTATTTGAAAAATAATACGCGTTTTGCCCTTAATGTTACCCCCGCGCCCTCCCTCTATATGTGAGTGTTTTGTCAAGATCGCGTTCAACTCTTCTGACGAATTTTCTATTTTCGTTTGATCCAAGTCCATCGAGCAGGCGGGTTAATTATTGTAACGATAAAGGCGGTACCCTGGGACGCTTTAGTTTCGTTTTGTCTGAAGATCATATATTCCTATCAGGTCTTGTCTAATCCGCCCAATTGCTGCTCTGCTGCATGGCATTATCCCAGATAATACAAGCTTTGGAAGGGGAACATTGTTTTTTTAGAATAATTATAATGCTTCATGGAAATAATCGCTGGGGTCCTACATTCAACCTATTTATCTACTGTGCCGAATGCAGTTACAACAGTTACTATAACCACCCAGTAATGCACATAGGCCCACCCGGTGAATATCAAACAACGTTACTGACTTGCAAACCCAAAACACTATACAATTTTTTCAATATCCGAAATGGCATAGAAGATAAGCATGGACACATAAAGTGAATATCTTCAGACTTCAGCTCCACGTGAAACAACAAGGAGAAGAAGCAAGGACGAAATGAGAAATGAGAAACTAATGGGAGACAAGAAAGGTAAAAGCCACCATTGCATAATATCAACCTATCCTATATACCCATATAACTACATCACGCCATGTTACAGAAAAGCCAACGCAAGCGCACTGCTCACAGTCAACCCAACAACCGTCCACCCGGTAACAATAACTTGCTTATTAGTGAACTGTTTCCCCATATCCCAAACAAGATGTCTGCACCCATTGAATGAGTGGAACGTGAACGGTAACGCAGCGGCGAACTTGAGGCAAAATTTAGCAGCCAGCGGCAAGCCGGCAAATGCCGCTGCTATCGATGCGGATTCTAGATGCCACCCCAGCAGTGGGGCGACGAGATATGCGGAGGCGAAGATGTACAGGCCGCCGGACAAAGCGACACCTGTGATGCGGTTCGTGGAGGAGAGGATCCAGGTTATCTGGGGTTGGTAAATGCTGAGATGCGGGGAGACAGGGCGGTTGAGACGCTGCTGGGGGAGGAGTGAGGTTGGGTCTTGGTTTGCAGCCGAGGCGGTGTATCTATGAGGGAGCAAGTTGTGTTAATTGTTAGTTAATTTGTTGTTTCCCTTTTCCTATTCTCAGGGACCGTGGTTGTGTCCGTTTGGCAGCTATCATAAACACCGATTCCATTCCCCGCTCAAATGATAGCCTACTTCTAGGGCCAAACTGACCTGGTCTGGATATGGTTGCCAGTCGCAATGGCCACGGGACGAGCCATCTTCGAAACTGCGGTTCTTAATTGCGAAGGGTTGTGTGCAACAACTATTTGGAGATGTTAGCTGATATCATCTTGTTTTCTTCCCATCGTCATTCATCTCTCAATCATCGAATGTGCAGTTTCGCAAGCAAGGGTTAGTTAGCAGGTAACTTACGCCGTCGCACCGACTGCTGGGCAACCCTCTGGGGTAGCATGGTTGTTAAGGAGTTCAATGTCTGGCAATCAATACCAACGAACCATCAATGATCAATATCAATTGTTGGAACTGACAAGGGAATCGTCAGTGGAAGTTGGAGATTCAGATTCCATTTTCGGGATAGTTCCGGGGAAAACCTCGGCTTCTGTAGCCCAGCAAATCACAGCCTGCCGATTACCATTCGGAACAATGATTGTCCGCTCACTGCCCTTAAAAGGTAATTCCAACCTCAGGCTTCTTCTTCACCTTCCTTTTGCTTCTCTTCTTCCTCAAGGACCTCAGCTTACATTGTTTACCCATCATTACCACACTCAGTGTAGGTGGTGGAACGGCATGACACAGATGTTCCAAGGCGAACCATCCCATTTATAGTTGCGACTTTCTGTCGTTGACTGCTGGATGGAGAAACGGGCTCCCTCAGAAGAAGAGATTTTTTTTTTGGAATCTTTGACCCGTCGTTAATCGCCCATTTCTTTCTGTCAATGAGAGAAGAGGGTTTCATATCAGGGTTACATGATGAGCTATAAGACGGCATGAATCAAAACTGAAATGTTGGCAAGTAGATGACGGATAGGATTTCACATCTTGCCATCGTGAAATGGTTTCATGGGTGCTGGTTGTGGTTGTGTGTCTTTTCCTCTTGTGCATGTATGATGGAATGGGGTTTCTACGAATCTCCTCTTGCCCAAGCCCGATCTCTCGGAAGGCACTGGTATCAAACGTCTGGAGCACTGTGATATTGTAACTTCGAAGAAAGTGTGGGGGAATCCAGTGCATAGGCCTGCTCTCAAACCTAGCTCTCTCGAACCAGCTCCCTGCAGCCTCGGCAGGGAATCCAACTCTGATATACAAACTGTAAAATCTTCTTTCCATTATGACAAATTAATCTACTTGGAAATCACCCATACTCTGTAGCGTCCATCCAAGATTCCATGAAAATGCAGCACGTGAGTGTCACCCGACAAGTTTAACTTTCAGAGCCTGGACCTCGGCTCTCGGTTCCTGGAGTTGCTCAGGTGCGCATTTTCAAACCATCCAAGGAATTTGCAGAAAGGGTGTGGAGCGGCCGATGTCTTTATATCTTCTTGTCGTGCGTCCCTGTTTGTGATTTCTAGATCGCCTTCCTCTGGTTTCTACCCTGATAGAGTAGACGTGTACAGGGGATCCTTGTTTCGGCACTTTCACACCCCGCGCTGTTCCAAAATGCCATTCAACACCGCACTTACCCGCAAGTTGGGCATCACGGGTAGGTCCATCTTTTCGTTGCGTCCCATGATTGCGGTTTAGCAGCGGATTCAAGCTTACCATGTCCTACAAGTCCCCGTCGTCCAGGGTGGCATGCAATGGGTTGGATACGCTGAGCTTGCCGCGGCGGTCAGCAACGCTGGCGGTCTGGGAATCGTACGTGCATTCCCCGTTCGAAAATGTCAGAGGCAAAACAAATGAGAGCCATCTCTATTTGTTTTATCTCAGGAAGCAAAAGTTATAGAAAATCCCCCGCAGCTGCCACTAACATGTTCACCCCAACAGCTCACTGCGCTCACGCAACCAACTCCTGAGGACCTCCGCAAGGAAATCCGCAGATGCCGCACAATGACCAACAGACCCTTCGCCGTAAATATCACTCTTCTCCCAGCCCTCGTTCCACCCGACTATAGCGCCTACGCCCAGGTGGTCATCGATGAGGGAGTGTGCATCGTCGAGACCGCAGGCAACAGTCCGGGCCCAATCATTGCCCAGCTAAAGAAAGCCGGTATCATCATCCTGCACAAATGCACCACGATCAGGCATGCCAAATCCGCCGTGAAACTGGGTATTGATTTCCTCTCCATCGACGGCTTTGAGTGTGCGGGCCACGTTGGTGAAACGGACATCACAAACTTCATCCTCCTTAGCCGGGCGCGCCAGACTCTCAAAACTCCTTTCATTGCCTCAGGAGGATTCGCGGATGGACATGGCCTTGCTGCTGCCCTAGCATTGGGTGCGGAAGGTATCAACATGGGCACACGGTTCATGGCAACTATCGAGGCGCCTATTCACATGAAGGTAAAGCAGGCTATTGTGGATGCCAGCGAGGAAGATACCCAACTTGTCTTGCGGAAGTGGAGAAACACCACCCGACTTTTCAAGAATCGCGTTGCCGTAGATGCATATAATATTGAGAAGAAGGCCGTATCGGATGACTTCTCACAGATCGGACCATATGTCAGTGGCAAGCGTGGACGGGAAGTATTCATCAATGGGGATATTCATTTCGGCGTATGTACTTTCCCATGTCTTCTTGTTTCCGCCAACATGAGGAGCAGGATCCAGAGTTTTCGAAACTTACCCCTCTCACTGTCACTTTATACTGAATGCGCTAACCCATGTTTTTCATTTTTAATATAGGTTTGGACTGCTGGTCAAGTTATGGGCTTGATCCACGATATCCCATCCTGCAAGGAGCTGATCACCCGCATCGAAAAGGAAGCCGTTGAAACAATGTCGAAAACCAGCAGCCTCTATACGCCAACGGCTAAGCTGTGATTTCACAGTCATAGTTGCCTTTTCAACTTTTCATTCAACTCTAGTTTTGGTTATGGGCGGGTTTGTCGACTTTGATTTTGTTAATGCATCAGTGCTGAATTTATTTTGGGCACATAGAGCAGCGGATGGAATAAGATATTCTATCATCGGGTCTTTATTATGGGTTTGTAGAACACTTTTTTAGGAATACACATATTTATCCTTGATTTACTCAACCATCTCTTTGCTTGACAAGGTTGCGCCGCAGGTTTTTTATTTTGTTTTAAAAGGAAAGACAATATCAACTCATTCATTCTATCAAATGGGAGTGGCGTCTTGGCTCGAGGGGGGAAAAAAATTCCAGGGCGCCGCAGAGCGAGACAACTCGCGGCTTCATCATCGCTTGGGATATTGCATCATTCGTTTTGGAATTGCACTAACTCACTACCCCTTTTCCCACGCAATATATGTACGCGACGAGCGCCATCAGAAATCGACCACTTCCAACTCCACCAAGCATTTCAACTACCTTTGTTCTAGCCAATGCAGCTGGCTGTTCAGATTCCTGAAATCGAAATATGCCACGTACAATCTCTCTTTGCCTCCCCCCTCCCTCCAAGCATGTGTATCATATTCGTTCCATCAAACTGTTCTATGGCCTAGAACGCCTCCCCACACCCTCACCCCATCCCACTCAATCACGTCCAGTGTTCTCGCACTGTTATCAAACCCACATATTGCTAATCTATTCAGCAGCCAACCAATCCCCGGCAACGGCATGATATTGAAGTATAGCCGTTACCCATCGTCCTGGGGCAGGGGAGATATACCCTTCCGAGGTATGTATTCTCGTTATATCCGTTAATAAGTGGCCACAGTGAAACATTCTGACACTTTTATCGTTCGCTGCAAGTTACAGTTGTTTCATTGCCGCTTAGATAATTATAGGTTCCTCGTCAAGGAAATCTCATGAATTCTTCGTAGTGCCGATTTTGAACCCTGTTACAAATCCACCAGGCGACCGACATCTAACTGATCCGAATGATAGTCGATAACTATGGATTGCTCACCGTAACAACAAACACAAAATTTCCCGTCATGTACCTGGGCTAACTACCCCACAATTCGCGGGAAGAACAGCGAGGATGGTTGGAAGACACCCGTAGATGTAATGCTCGTGTAACATACGGGTGGTGTACATGTCATACTGTGAGCATTTGTGCCTAATTTGCGCATCTGTACACTTGTGACATACCGCTGACAGTCCACGACATTAGCCCTTCAGCTATACATCAGGCTTGTCGGGCTTTATGGTATACCCTTGTTCAGCAGTCAGGGTTGATACGAGGTATCCACGTTTGGCGCATTGTGGTATTGGCGATAGGTGCGGACTTACTGCTGGGACAAAACCGCGCTGAAAACGGGATTAGTTGTGGTTTCGAAGTTTCAAACTTTTTCAATGTACTACTCTGAACAAAGGGCTATCGAACCAAGGTTAACACAAATGATGTTACGGACAGGTAGTTATGGCCACGTGGAAAGCGAGCGGTATTCACGAAGGAATAATAGAACAATTTAAATCAGCAAACTTCGAAACTCCATTAAGTATCCAAGTCTACCTTGTAAATACAAGGGCCAAAAATATCTATCCCCATACTTGTAGTAACATCACAATTGACACATCAAATACAGGTCTTATTACCATGCACTCCAAACCAACCTCATATACAAGAGACAGAGACAAGAAGAGAAAGCCTTTTTGAACAAATATTGTACATGCTATGGAATATATATTTGTTCGAAAATATTGGAATTGTCTCGTGATTTCAGTTTCAAATCGCCATACAGAAGCCTTTTTCCCAGCGATCAAGAGACATCGCCTTAGAAAACAACCAGAGTCGAGGGTCAAATAGCTAAATTAGACGACGGGAGGTGAAACCGCTTAGAAGCCGGAAATGGGAATGCAAGGAAGGTTAAGAGCAATGAAGCCCTCCTGTCAATGTGCGTTAGAACTTGTTGACAAGTCTGCCACGTTAAGATGACACTTACAGCGTGTTGGGAGTTGCCTTGGCAGCAGGCGACGTTCTGCTTGCATTGGTTGCCGCTGAGGATGTCGGTGACACCGATGAGAGCTATATCAAAAATTAGCTAAATTCGCTTCCGGATGGCAGACACGTGCAAAACTTACCGCTGGCGCTGAGCTTGGAGCATTGGTCGAAAATGCCAATATCACTGCCCTTGCCAACGACAGTGCCCAAAACGCCGGCCAGAAGGCCAGTGTTCTTGTCACCACCGTTGACAGTGGTGATTTTCTTGTTGCAGCAAGAGATCTGAGCCTTTCCGCACTGGTTGGTGACCTGGTTGACCTCAACGTCACCATCACCCTTGGGGGATCTGTATTCACCACCGGGGGCGGCAACGGCAACGGCGGCAAGAGCCAGGACAACAGCGGAGATGGAGAACTTCATTTTGATGGTGGGTCGGAAGGATTAAAACCGATATTAAGAATTATATATAAGAGTTGAAAAGAGTGTGGTAGTTTTGGATATACTCGAAGCGAAGGATGAAGATTGATGCTGATGATGGGAGAAAGAAAAAGGGTCTGATACCGTGGAGGAGGGCCCTTTTATAGATTCCACGGGGCCCCTTTTCCCGCAGGCATAAACAGGATCGAAACTTCCCCCCTGGCTGCTCTTCCCTGGTCCTGTGGGAATCCGAACTGGAAGTCTGATACGGAGGAGATTTCCAAGTAATTTTCTTGGCCAGCCGCTCCCCAAACCCGTTTTGTTCAACGACGTTTGTCCCAGCAGACGGTACGAAGTCGAGAGCCTGCGTGCGCCACAACCCAATTACCCGAAATTTTTCCAAATGCCCAAAAAGGAAATGCTGGACATGCAACACGCAGGATATCATGCAAGAGAACCCACAACGACAAGTCAATAAAAAATACAAGTTGTCACACAGCTGTAAATTCGCGGTACAGTTCTTTTGTTTTGTTTTTCCTGATACCCAGCAATGGGATCAAAAATGATGGACGTTCACAAGCAGTTGGGGCTGAACTTCCCGTGCTCTGACTGGGCTCCTGGGACCCATCGGATCTGAGAAGCAACAGAAAAAGAAAAGCAACATACACGGTTTCTGAACAAGAAACTATTGAAAATAACACTTGCTCGAGCAGAGAATATCCTGACATGCTGTCTGATCCCATGGTTCATGTTCCTCACGCGTACGCCACTGTATGCACTGAGGAATGAGACATTATCATTGAGCTTCGAGCTCTCGAACACAAGTCAAGCAATTCCAAACATGGCTGTCCACGTCGCAGGATGTGTAAATGCTGATAGACCAGGAAAACTACTGCGTTGGGTAGTGAGATATTCGAGTCATCAGCAAGTCGGACTTGGCAGAGCTTGATGGGACCCTGACCTCTCTCTGGACCAAAAGTAGTGTTAGCATGGGAAGTGCTGGGCATGTGTGTCGTGGATTTATCCCTGGTTGCGGCTTTCGGTGCCGCGCCGAGCAATCGCACTGGCGTAAATGCCCCTGACTATCTTTTCGTTCATTAGTAATTCTGAGCTCAGTTACGAAAAATACGGCTGTTTTGTTCTGTCTTCTCCCGTTGAACTCAGCAGGCTCAAATTGCTTTGCAACCACAAATGCCGCCCGCTAAAGTGTAATGGCGTGGTCAATTGGGAAGCAAAATCTGCCACTACCCCACTGAAAGATGCAACAAAAAAACGGTGAGCGTACTGCGAACATCTTTTCTCGACTGCCTCGAATCGATTGAAACATTACAGATCTTTTACTTACATTACCCCATGGCGTTGAATGCCGTTGAGTTTTGTGTTTCTCAGGGATAGTAAGACGATCGACACCACTAAGAACGCCCCCAAACCACTAAAAACGCCCCCTAAGGCTATGAAAATGTGATAGCTCCTTGCAATGTGCTTTGACCAACCGTGCTTCTTTCGTGAGCCTCAAAACTCTTCCGGAGCTATATCCTACCTCCTAGTCCCAGCTCGTCCCTTTTCATTTCCGTATTCTGGGGAGGCAGGGCCAGCGCGGAGCTAGGGACTTAAAGTGACAAGTGAAAAATTCTCCCCAGACTCAGGCTTCGTACTAGTTTTTACAGCCCTGTGGCCCTATTTTGTGGTGACGAATTGTCAATGCTCCGGACTCCCGAAATCTTTCCGCATATTATTACGATCTGCTCTCTTCAGTTTGTCAAAGCTTCCAAAAATACATTCAGGATGTGCTGGCTCCCGCTGTGCCTGATATTATCCTTGGAGTTCAACTGGGTGTCGAGAAGGGTGTCGAGAAGGATCCTTTCTGGTTGTTTGAGATGTATTAATTTCCATCAAGGAGCAAAGAAGTCGACGCAAATTGAGCACATCCACCTCCGGAGGACTGCTCCATCCGTTGTTGCCCCTAAAATGAGAGGAGGAAAAGAGACTAACTCCATCAGAACATTTAGCCTTCATTACTGAGTTTGTTCTGACAGATACGATGTGAGATCTCTCTTTTCTGCACCTCACGCATGACAGACACTTCACATTTGCTGCAATCTTCTAGCCTCGTTGTAAATTAGCTCTCGTTTGCTGCAACGTGTACAACCTATCAGATAAATGACATCCATAGACGATATGGGGAGTACACTGCGTATTTCTGGCAAATTCTTCTGGTGGCTTGCCAAAGGAAAGCTCGGAAAATACTGGCCTCTACAGATTAGAATTTTTCATGATGATACTCAGGCACGAAGCGAAAGGGTACATGCACCCAATAGATGACCCGTCGATATTCAAGCTCCTCGTCTCAGCCAAGAGAAAGGGGAGCTTGCTCCAAATAAGAATCCTGGCGACGCCACAAAACCCGCTTTGTCAGATCTTCTCCAGGATTTAGATAACGTTTGGCATTAGGATAAGATCTGCACTGCACCATGCAGTAGTGCCTGGAAACAAGGATGGGAGCATGGGAGCGTGGCTGCTGGTGGCCGAATAGTTTGGTCGGGTAAACATGAGCTGGTTCCATGTACGAAGATGATACGGGCCATACGAGAAGTTTTTCTTTACAAGCCTCTCTAAATCAAATATTGCTTTATTTTTCAGCTCCGTCTGCCATTCTTGGTCTTTTCGCATCGTCACTTAGCAAAATTTTTAGGAAAACATGATTGGATTACTCCAAGTCCACTTGGTGAGAACTTGGTAGGCTGTTCTCAGTTCTCCACGCCGAACAGTTTCAAAAACCAAGCTCCAGGCAGCGTGCTGACCTCATTGATCGACATCATGTCGTGGTCAGAATCGGCAAAGCTCTCACTGGAACCTGGACAAAAAGCGTTCGCAACCCACCAATAGGCGGCTCAAACGAGCAAGATTCCTCCGACGAGTGACAACAGGATCGGGGACTGAGGAACAACTCATTGTTTTGCAAAAATTCATACAAAACTTGGCAGCGAGTTCCCATTTCTCAATTCTGATGTTTTCCTGTGACGTGTGATATCCTTCTTCTGACTCTGGTGCGTGGTTTATTTCTAAGAAAACTCCCTGCATGTTTTCGATAGACACATTGTGCTGGTTGCAGAATTGTTATTGAGCCTTCGGAGCCTAACTAAATGTGGGCCCTTGTCAATTGGTTCCTTTCCCCATTTTGGACCCTCGTCCGAGGAAATTCGCAGCGGCACGGTGCAGGGCTGGCATGAAGGTATTGCTTATGGAGCACAGTCTGTATGCTTCCTGGAAATCAGACAATGGATAATAATTGAGGCGGATGGGCTCTCGATTCACCGCAAAAATATTAGTAAACAACTGATGATCCATGTCTCACTCTGGCGGTCGGATGAAGTAAAGGCACCATAATTCCACTAGCCGATGATAAATCGGAATCAGAAACTTAAGCCTGCGCAACACCACAAGGTACTTGGTTCATGGTCGCCTGAACTCTGGATGCAGGAGGGCCGCCCAAACGCTTCGTCTTCGGGATTGAAAGGGTGACAAAACCAAATTAACATAGCTGCCAGTCAGACGCTGTTTCTACCCTTTTTTGTTGCATGAGAAGGATATGTGCAGGTGTCTGTTCGCCAGACAGCTACATCCTCCTGTGAGACCAGGAGCGAAACGAACAAACGCACATCATGATCATCGCTGTCTTCAAGAATCTGCAGTGCTTCAGGAAAATGAGCAGGTTCAAGGGCTGGAACAGGACATATCTTAAATGCAAGCGATTTTCGCTTTTCGCACGTCGTTTCCTCTCAACTTGTCTTATCCCTGCTTTTTTTCATGCTTGTATTTCCCACTTTCACGTTAATGAAGCTCAATGGACAAGTCTGATTAGTAGGGATGGGCCAAAAGTTTTTCTGTGGGTGGTGACTTGGCGGTGCAATAGTAGGAAACTGAAGTACACTCCAAGACCGCATGCACAAAGAAAAGAACCAGAATGGGAAAGATATTTAATTTCCAATCATCCCCTGCTCCCTGATTCCCCAGTGATTCTTGTTCTTCAAGTCTCAAGGTTGTCATGAAACAGCCGGCTACTTCCGGCAACGGTTCGGCAAGCATCTTTGCAGAATAGCCGCGGGTTCGGCCTGATCCTTACAACCACCGACTCAAAGGCTGACCACCAAAGTTCAAAGTAGAGTGTTTCTGGGCCCATACGGAACCAAGAAGCAATCCAGCAGTTGACGAGGATCACACAAGAAACCCGATAGGGAATAATCTAATGTGCCGAAATCGCCGACCCCATGAAGAAACGGTTTTGGGCTTGGTCTACGCCCGCGGCAAACCAACCCTTGATTGGAGATGCAACGCTTCTTCATGCTCTTGCTGAAAGAGGCGACCGTTGGCTTTTAATTTTCAACTGTCGCACAGTAGATCATTTCATTCGCTTTATATCTCTCTCCTTTGCCTTTCCGGGTTTCTTTCCATCGAGATTTCGAGCAGCATTATGCGGTGAACATTTCATGTGCAGATTTCGAAACCAACCTTGGAAGTGAAGGCGGAGGCTTGTTCGTTGCCACATAGCTCCCTGTGGGTTATTTATCCCAAACCGAAAGGCTGGTGCAAGCTACCTGTTAATTTAACGTCGGATCAAGACATAGCTTTCTGGGTTTAGAGAGGTAGACCGACGATTGCCCGACGTGGAATAGACAGCCTTGAAAAGCAAACAAACTGTTGCGTTGGAATCCAATTGAAACTAGAGACCCGTTAACATGGTGAGGACTAGCGTTTTACACAGATATATAAGCCTTTTAGTTGGTGGAACGAACGGTAACAATGCTTTCGCGACCCTCTGCATCGTTGAGGAAAATATTTATCCCACCCTGGTCCCTCCTTCAATCGTGCCAAACAGAATCGCATATATTCTCTCCGCATGTTAGAAAAGGAAACGGCTGCACACGGAAGCCTATCGCAGGTCTGGCTACACTGTGGTCGGGCAAGAGACACTTCTGTTCAACCCCGAGGGTATCAGCTGTGGAAACCATTTCGCAAGCCAAGGGTTCTGGTCTGGTTGATATCAAGCTTATCGATCATCGATATGAGTATGAACTTCTCGCTGGCTTCTGGACAAGTACTCAGGCTGCGATATCTATATTAATCAATGTTCCTAGTGCCCTTGTTGTTGGTGCAGGCGGAGCAGGTCTCATGGCCGCCGTCGGCCTTGCATAAAGCGGTTTGGAGACACCATGCATATCGAAGTTGGTGCGTCACTATGCTCTTGTTATCCAGCCTTTTATCGAAATATTCATTTACGCAGCCTCTCCTTTGCCGTCGAACATATTTTATTTGACGTGAGGCACGGGTAACACTGGCTAATATTTGACCGTGTCCTGGTCTTGAAAGAAGTAGTTTCCAACAAGGTCACACACAGTAGCTGCTCAAGGGGGCATCAATGCTGCTCTCGGGAATATGACATCGGACGACCGGAAATGGCATATGTATGACACAGTTAAAGGTTCGGATTGGTTAGGGGAGCAAGACGCAGTTGTATATTCGCTAGCTGGTTAATCCTTTACTGTAATATGCTTCTGCTCACATCTCCAATTTAGCAATATATCTGTAAGGAAGCACCTCAAATCATTGCTGGGTTGGAGAGATACGGAATGCCCTTTTCGCGCACTGCGGAGTGCAAGATTTATCAGGTTATACCTACAACAATGGAAGCTTCAATCCATATGGGGTTCAAAAAATCTAACCAAAAATAAGTTTGCAGCGACCTATTGGAGGGCAGTTCTTGAAATACAGCAAGAGTGGACAGGCCATGCAATGCTTCATACTTTATATGGACAGGCCTTGAAGGTTGGATGGCGCCAAATCCAATATGTGGTACAATCCGCGACTAATGCTTGAATAGCATAATTGCAACTTTTTCATTGAGTTTTTCGCCTTGGATCTTATGGTGTTGGACGGAGACGTTACGTGTAAAAGTGGGTTATCGTGATGATATTTTCGCAACGCTGGATGAGAACGAGTGTCCCAGCGTAGTGCCGACAAATAGGACATATTAATTGAGAACTGGGAAATACAAACATAAGAACATATCATAGTTATCTAGGATACAAAAGATAGATGAAGTTGCTACATTAATCTATGGAGTCATGGATGGGATATGTCTTGGTTTGACAGCGCCAAGCCTAAACCCGAAGTAACTAGTCATGTGACCCTGCAGAACTCAAGCTTGAACAGACAAACTGAGAAAAACAAGCAATGAAATGAATGCATACCGGAGACCTTCAACTGAGATTGTATTCGTTCAAGGCCATGCCGCGGTGACACAGCCGCCAAACTTCATGAGCCATTTCCTTTGTTCAATTCGGGGTAGGGTCGTGCTCATACACAATGGCTTCTGACGCTGCTTCCATCGGCGCTGGGGAAAGCCAGCTGCTTGACTGCGTGGAAAATGCGCCACAACCGGAAACAGAATCTCCCAAGACTCCGAGAGATGAGTCGAGGCAGGAGAGTAAAAATACAGAACCGAAAGATGTTCCAGGTGATAGGGACAACGAGGATGATAAGGAATCAGGCGAGGAGCTGGAGGAGGGTGAGGATGAGGCAGAAGCAGGAGAGGAAGAGCCTGACAGCTTAGCTCCACCCCTACCGCACGAAGACCTCCCACCTCCCCTCCCTAACGAAGCACCCCCTGGCCAAATTGAAGATGATGGGTGGGATCCTGTTTGGGATGACAATGCACAAGCTTATTACTTTTATAACCGGTTCACTGGTCTGTCACAGTGGGAAAACCCCCGGGTACCTGACACACACGAACAACAACAACAGGAGCAGAAGACAGACGCGCCACGATTCTCAGAACAGCAACAGCCTAGTAAGGCACGAGTTACTGGCGGCTATGATCCCGCAATCCACGGTGATTATGACCCCACTGCGCCTTACGCTCAGGTGACCGAACAAGAAACAGGGGTAACCGCTGCAGCGGCCGCTTCCTCCTCCGATCCGAACTACATCTACACAGCCACAGGCACGTTCAACCGGTTCACGGGCAAATGGCAACCGGGCTCTCTGACTCCAGAGACTTTCAACGACGAGAGTAAAAGTAGAAGACACATGAATGCATATTTCGACGTGGATGCGGCGGCCAACAGCCATGATGGCAAGAGTCTCAAAGCCGAGCGGAGTGGGAAGAAACTGACCAAAAAGGAGTTGAAGGCGTTCAAGGAGAAGAGGAGAGAGAGGAAGGAGGAAAAACGGAGAGCTTGGTTAAGAGATTGATTTTGTGGTTTACGTTTGTCTTTGTTATGCTGCCCTTTTCACGAGATTGGGCTCTCGTGCCGCTAGCTTTATCTACCCTCACGACTTAATTGACCCAGCGATTCTATCGGTGTTTAAGTTGTGTCTCAATTGCACCCAGGATGCAAAACTTGGATTCTTGCGCATATTCCATGGAGTTATATATGTTTTCTTCCTTGGCTTTGTTTATAAGACGAAGCTTGGATCGGTTTTTTTCTTTGGCTTTTTTTTTTTTTTTTTTTTTTTTGTGGACATGCTCTCCGGTTCTGACTCCCTCCGCTGCTTTCCTCAGGCATGTATTTATTGGTTTCTCCTGCTGTACCGATAGTCATTATCTCAGTATTGTATCTCGTAGACGACCTATTTCCTAAGTGTGTGCTAATTTTCATATCCTCAAATCCATTCCACAAGTGCCGAGTTTCCCCCAGTCCTTCTATTAGTGTTCGTGGCTCGTTGAATTGTGCTGAATTGAATTTGAACCGCCTTCCGCTGCCAGGAGCAATTTTATATCACGTGGCTCGGTATGATAATTTTTGTCCCTAATTTCAAGATATCCGCAACAGCATCAAACGACAGGAAATTGGGATTCTCGTATGAGAGGAGATATATATATATATATTAGCCCTTAGCCCGGTGAGTATTTTCCTTTCATTTGATTTGGATGCTGTCTCTTTCCGCTACTATTGTAGTTATACTTTTGTAACCTTCTGGTTACCATATATATATTTTTTATATCCTTATATGATTATCGCTAGCCCTGGAAAGCTTAGGGTCGTGGAACGAAAAATACTTTATTCTATTTCTTTTGGCCCATCATGTAATATGTTCGTTCCTTATCTATGACGGATCGCACTTGTGCTGTGAATCTTTTATTCAATGCGTGTGCTAAAGCTGCGAGGGTGATGTCTTGAAGTTTGCTCTATACTCCTGTTCCAATCGTTCAAGCATGTGTGACGTTCAGGAAGTTTGTTTCCCGTCATTTGATCATGCGAGGAGAAGATGGATCTCTCCAATTTCTTCCCGGTTCTGAAACGAAATCGGAACAATGAATCATTATCGTTATAGTTACTTGCAAGTGTTTTCAGCCAACTGGATGACTTTTCCGGATACCCCTCACTTCACCTTCGCGTCCCTTCTGAGATGAACTACAGACAGGATATGGCACAAGAACAATTCTTCGTACTAGTATCTAACATTTCCTAGGTCAACTATACACGAGAGCGAAGTATACTCTAGCTTTATTTTGTCTCTTCCGTGGAATCCTTAGATATCCTACAGGGGGACATTTTTTCAAACAAAATTTTCGAAAATCATTTAAGCCATGGAAACAAGAACTGGCCAAACGACAGGCGTCACGTCGCCCCTGCCGCTCACGTTTGAGGAAATTGATGACCTCATCTACTCCGCACGTCTGGGAGACGTAGATGCGCTGCGGACAGATATCACGAGCCTCAGCCAGAAATACAGCTGTTCCGCTTCTGATATCATACAGTCCGCTATCGACATGGAAGATGAGAGTCAGGGGGGGACAGGGGCGTGCTTGTTGCATTGGCCCGCTGCGAACGGGAATATTGGTATGTGATCGTATATGTGGAAAAAAATATACTCTCCTACTTTATTCTATATCTCAGTCCCTAAGGACTATGATTGACAAAATCACTGAATCCCAGAAACGCTCAATTACCTCCTTAGCCTCCTCTCGACGACGCCAACACAAAGCCAATCACAGACAACAGCTACTGCCCAAACATCCCAAGACTCAACAACAACGGCAATACCGATAAGCCCGATCATAAACCATCGGAACAACTCTGGTAACACTCCGTTGCATTGGGCGGCGCTAAACACGCACTTAGAGTGCGTTAAGGCGCTCGTCCATGCTGGCGCAGGCATTGCCATCAAGAACGACGCGGGCCATGATGCCGTCTTCCTCGCTGAGAGGTCAGGGTGGACCGCGTTGCCTGCAGATGATGAAAAAGGGGAAGATGGAGAGACAGAAGCAACTACGAATGGTGTGGAGGGAGAGGGAGAGGGAAGGAGGCCGGTTTCGAAGGGCATGCAGGTTGCTGAGTGGCTGTTGGAATGTGAGGAAGGGGAGGGATTGGAGAGAGGGGCGGGGATCCGGGGGAGCGAAGATGGTGATGGAGATGCGGGGAGAATGGATGGGTTGGAAGGGGGAAATTGATTGTTAGGGCACAAGTTGTTTTGTTCTTTCTTAATGACTAGTCAGACTGAGTGAATGAGGCAAATCATGGTGAGGCGAAGGCCTAATTCCCCGCTCGAATATAGAGGCTCAATTTTTGCAAGTTTTCTGGTTTTGCCCAAAGCGAAGTAACTTTGGAAGAAACAAGGCCAGAGTGCAGAAGGATATGTGCACCGACGTTGGAGGAAAGGGGCTCTGGTAATGTCATTACATATGCATATCACTTAATCGCTCCTGGGGATAACATTCGAGGTATCAATTTGCAAGTATAAACAAATGGGGTATGGGGAATGACCCAAGTAAAAGACGATGAGAGACAAGATGAAAATGGGGAATAATGCGAAAGGTATCCAAACGTTGTATCGTGGTATTTTTTTATCACAACAAATAAGGAAATAACAAAAAAGGAAAACAATATTAGGAATTATAGAAGCGAGGAGTGGACTTGGGTGGGTAATATGGGGAGGGAAAAGTTCCTGTAATCAATTCCTAAGTTCCACCCCGCGAGTTTTAGGACTTCGCTGGCGTACATCCATCCTCCCCTTCCCATGATCGTTTAGAGCACCATAGCCGGTCCTTTCTCCATCCCTGGACTGGCTAGAACTCCGAAGTCGCACCGTTTCGTCTCCGTTGTGTGATATTTCCCCCGGAATCTTCGTCGCAATCAAATCCATCCCTACGCGGAATGTGTGATCTCTCCAAACAACCGTTGACCCACCATAGAAAGCACAAAGCCAGATGGGCAACGCCAATGCCTCCCTACCCACCCACGCAAGGAACCACTCATGGAACGGGCGTCGGGGGCCAAAACCCTTGCCACGGGAGAAGCTCGGATGAGGAAGCGCGAAGGAAGGCGTATGTTCGTCTACTTCGAGAGCAGCGGCAGAATGCAGTGTTAAATAGAGAAGCCAGTCAATGACGATCCAAAAGGCGATGCTGAAGGACCAGAATGAAAAGAACGCACTCCAGGAGTTTAGATACGTGGTGTATTGGGGGAAATAATGAGCAAGGAGGTTGCTAAGTCCGAAGGCAAGGTAGGTTGAGCAGAGGAATGATTCCGTACCCGGCTCTGCAAGTGTGGCAAGCAGCACGGTGTACTTGCGCACACGGAGCCAGCGGATGCGCCGGCGGAGGTAGGATTTGACGCTCATACGAGCTACTGGTTGGATGGCAACATCACCGTATACCAGCTTGTGTCTACCCCATCGCTCCCCTACTTTGACCGGGGGTTTCCCTTTGAAGAGGCAGTCCCCGATGAGATGGTCTTCGCAGATGTTATCTGAGAAGTAGTCAATTCCGGGCCGTCGGGGTTGCGCTTGGGGTTTTGAGACGGCAGGTGAAGTAAGGTAGTCCAGATGTGAGCGGCGGAACATAGTTGATTTGCCAACAGCACACGGGGCGATGACGATGGTGTTGATTGCAGAGTAGAATTTTGGGTGGGAAGATGAGAGGAAGAGTTCCTCTAGACGGCCTCCTGCTATGTCTAGGATAGACGGCGACTGCCCTCTAGTTTTTGCCCCTGTGGATGCTTTCAAGGGGTTAATGCCGTTGTAGTAGTTTTGATATGGAAAGTCCTGTCGCTCGTCCGGTCTCTCGTCCGCATTCCTCATTGGCGGTTCTTCATTTCCCAAATCGACCGCGATAGGCATCTGGTGGACGAACCTGTACTGCTTGTCGACGGTGCCATCGTCCGCGACTATTCCGCACAGTTTATCCACCATTCTGCCACAAACGCCTTTCCCCATCCACACGTTGCAATCTGCAATCCACACGATATCGCCCTTGGCTTCGTTATACGCACGACTCATGTTCCTAATTTTCGGGTTGGGTCCAAGGTTGTCACTCTCCCCGCTTTCCTCCTCCACAAAAATCCGAGCGTCTGCGTCCGGGAAATCCTCCAATAGTTTCTTCAACACGGCAAACGCCGGGTCGGTTTTTGTTGCAATGCAGAGATATATCGTAAGCTTATCCTTAGGATAGTTCTGACGGAAGCTAGCAGCCAGGCACTCGTAGAGATGGGGCTCGAGATCTTTGACGGGCCGAATGATGGTGACATGGCGAACTTGGAAAGGTCGAAGTGAGGCGGAGAATGATTTCTTCGGGGCGGAGGAGTAATTTATTTGTCTAGATACAAGGGAAGGAAAAGACCTGAGCGTTAATATGTAATTTTTTTTCCACATCTAGCATCAAATTCAACAACAAGAAGATCTCACAGTCGAGTCCATCCCACTAGGATCACAAAGGTCACAATCAGGTACCAGATGACAGCGGCCCAACTGGCCGCAATCAGCCAGGGCGGATATTGTCCCTGCTGCAACGGCAGCCCATTCCTAAGACCAACAGGAGAATTGGAATTAGAGAAATCCGCCGCCGCTCGTTCTGCCCGCATGAGGCTGCTGACTACGGAAGCCTTTGACTCGAACGGGCTATTTGTATTACGGTAGGGGACGGCGGAAGGAAGTTGGACGTATTGTGCGGAGAGGTGGGCTGGGACGCAGTCAACGACGGGCTCATACTTAGACGGAGCGGGGCAGAGCAGTGTGGTGTCAAGAGAGGGCTCGGAGTCAAGGACGATAGTTGATACCCCAGCAAAGGGGAAGGAAAATGAATGAGGAACGAGACCTGTTTTTCTTTTCTTTTCTTTTCTTTTTTGGCGACGGTGACGACCGGAGTGGGTTGCATGTTACATTTCGCATGCTGAAGGCTGATTAGTAAACGCTGATGGTCCTCGGTTCTGCCGGAAAGCGAACAACTCCGCAGCCGGTGGAGAAACAGCTTTGGGGTCTCGACAACTTTGCTGGAAATTGCTGTCCGCTGTTGGGGAGCTGATCCTGGTTGCCTGGAGAATCATTCTCTCCTTTACGCAGAACAGCGGTGACTCTAGGCGGTTGGAGCGGTGAACGCCTTTTATTTTGCTCCCGGCATAAACGAATTGATCTACTTGCCATCGGACACAAAACGCGGACAGAAAACGTGGACATCCCAGCTTCGCTCCGTCCAGGACAGGGGTGATAGCGATTGAAGAGAGTATAGGCCGTCCTCAACGCGATCGAAGCCCATGATGAAAGCAAGCAAAGACTCTTGAATCAAGCACGGATCCTGGATCGAGCACGTACGGTTTGCGAAGGAAAAGGAAAATTAAGCATGGAAGAAGTAGTAACTCGAGGATACTAGTAAATATTCTTTTTCAATGAAAGTCCCACCAATATATGGAGTAACATGGCCTTGGTTCCTACGACTTCTACCTCCTGAAAGCCATGTAGTTGGGCAATCTCATTGTGAAGCGAGGAGCACCCAAGGATCGCCTGTAATTTTACAATAATGGCAATGCGTACGGAGCCGGACGTACCGCACGTAAGGTTGAATAGCGACATCCCTCTCCGGACTGAGTATTGTAAACGCAAAAGGACCTTTGAGGATGAGGATATTTCAGATTTAGCTAGCAGAAGCATAAAGAAATAAACAATCTGTTGGCATCCCTATTGCTCGCTAGAATGCCACGTGACCATACCTATTTAAGCGCTGCGCCCGTTAGATACTTCGTAGCACATTGAACCAACCTTCCACCTCCATCACAATCATACCACTATATTGGAATTTAACCCTCTTGCGTCGGCCTATCACTCGCATGGCCTCGTTATTTCCGCGTTCAGGTCGCAAACACTTCCGACGAAACATCTGCGCCTAACGTTGCAGTCACTCCTATTGCGCGCAGTGCTCACAACAAGATGACAGTCTTAGTAGGAAAAAAAGGAAAATCAGCTGTCGCACGCATCTCGAAACACAGACAAAGTCTACTGGAATCCTCCTTGACGGCTCTGACTTGGGAGAAGATCTTGATGATACAGAGAGTCTATTTGCGTCAATATAGATTATTTGGAGAAAGGATCTTCATCCGATGCATACATGGTTATGCATGAATTTTGCCCCTGGGATTTAAACGAATTGGGAGATATGAAAAATAATTTCTGTGATATTGGTTGCCTTTGTGCTACGGGCCATCTCCGATTGTGAAGCTGAGGAACAAGCTGCAGGGTGTTAAGAGCGGGTGTTTCTGTCTTCAAAAGATTTTAACTCCTGTAGAAAGGATATAAAAATGCAGCAGTTTTCCATTCAAAAAGATACGTACATGTACTTCCATGTACTTTATTTTGCATCACATCTCTTCAATTGTTAGGCTGGAGTTGCGGAAGTGGGCCCCCTTGCACTTTTTTCCCTTTTACCTACTGAGCTGGGTTGGTTGCCTTCATAAGATTGCCAATGTTCCCCTTCTGATTGCCAGCTGCCACGCAATTGGAATTGCTCTCATACCGAAAGAGCTCACAGTTGTGGTTGTTGTCATGAGCCTCGCCATCAGAGCAGATATCATGGAAATAAAATTCTCCGCAAATCTCTCACGGCAGTCAAACTCTCAGTACTGTTTCTTTCATTTGCGCGGACAAAACTGCCACTTTGACAAAGTTAACATCATCGAGCTGTATTAACTTTATCCCCCCGATATTCGCTAATATATTGGATTTTCTAGAACGAGATGTTTGTGGCCGGTTGCTTCACTGGTTGAGAGGAATACACCGACGAAGCTTCGCAGATATCTCTCATGAGAGGAGAACACATCGACGGCTCATTGGGAAGCTCAATACATCGGCCACATGGAACTAGGGGGTTTGTGCAATGCGGCAGAGTTTGATACTTCAACGCTTTGCTGCCCGCGTAGCAAGATCGAAATGGATGGTGATTCGAAAATCCCGGCCATAAGTTCCGGAATATAAAAACAGCCCTTTGAGATCACCTTCAGCAGCCAGGACAAGTTCATGATCCGCATTACGCACTCCTTACACACAGATGTTGAAGACCATGTATGCGCAGTTAGTTGTTTTTATTGTTTTGATTTACAGTCACGAGCTAACTTCTCCTAGACTATATTTTAAAGGCACGCCAGATGCCCTGATTCCCCAATGAAGCAGTGTAGTTCAAAAAGATGACACTGTTTCGAGTGCGGATCCATCACAAATCGAATCAATCAAGAACAATGGTCACTCGTGGGACAACGCGTGATGATTGAACCAAATGCTGGAAAAGGCTGTGGTGATAGAGGTCAAGGATAGAGTTAAGGAGAACTTGACTTTGTGGGGCCTTGTTGGCCTGATATAACCAGTTGTAAGTGCTTGTTGGTTTATTTCCGCAAAATCTTCACTGTTTAACAAATGTTCAGAATTTTTCAGCGTCATAAGATATACATAACGTTATACAGACACTAGAGACTTCAAGCTAATCAGGCAAGCAATCACCACCGATCGTGAAATTATCAAAGCCATGCCATTCCTTATTCATGGGATCACCGAGCTTGATTGTGACTTCATATTTTCTCCAGGGAAGTTGGGAAAATTTTCAGTCAATCGTTAGAAGTGTTCCTAAACCGATAACCCCCAATGATAATCAATGGGAACAACTCTGGAAATATGAAGAAACCTTTTCCCCCCGCACAACAGGGAAACAGAATCTTCGAATTGTTAAGGGATTCCAAACACACGAGAATACTGCAGCTATGACAAGAGATGAGGTCAATGATTTACCCGTCTTGAAGATAGCCGATGTGGGCGTTGCCCTTGGTAGTGGCTCCGATATTGCCATCGAGGCAGCAGACACGATACGTTTCGATGCGTTTTCAGCAATTGCTAAGCATATAAATATGGGCGGGTGGTCGTAGGTACGTTCGTTAATTTTATTTCCTGTTCAAGATCATGCCTAGTGGGCTTAGGTTGCTTGAGAGAGCTGTGCTCTATCCCTCTCAGATTAATATCCGGCGAGGTCAGAGATGCCTGATATATCCAGACCCTGGTCTAGGATACCGACATCTCTTTATAGATTGCGGTAGATGTTATCACTTCAGTGTTTGAACTTTTGGAATTGGCGTTCTCTTTCGACCACCCCGTGCTCCAAAGAAAAAAGGGTGGTCTGGTAAATATCAGACTCATCCCCTATGCCTACAGATTTATTGGTGATGAATGTGCAACTTGCTTTATCATGGAATTCTGCTACATGGGGGCACGTTATGCAACACCTCTTGCCCCCTTGAACGGTTGTCCTTGAAATGAAATCACTAAATTAACAATTCGTCATTTCCTTGTTTGTGTATAGGCACACAACATTCCATTCCGTGCCGTGAAACTGAGGAATGGCAATTTGGATTGCAATAGGGTCCGGACTGGCTGTCAATATATCAAATAAGACGCAATCGATATATACACTTGTCAACTTCGTCGTCCGCACCAGATATCTAGGCATATTCTCGCGGCCACCGATTTTCAAAAAATAACAGTCCAAGATCCTATTCCTCCTTTTCGCTATGGTACAGGTTCTGTGCATAGTGTTCATACTTGTGTCTTTTTTCTACCGTCATTTTGCTGCTTCGCCTCTTTTTCCCTGAGTCGACGCTGATCGTTTCCTTTTAGCCATATGTACTTTCCCCTGCTTCTTTCTACCGTCAATTGACGGACTGTCGCTTCCCTTGACCACAAAAATCAAGAATGTTATATTGTCCTCCGGAGATTGCTGCAAATCACAACATTGTCACTAGAGCACGTTTTCCCTATCGTTCGAGTTTTGGTCTTGGGCCCCTTTTCTGGACGAACTAGAAAATACAGTGTTCGGAGTTGGCTGAACGGGATCCTTGCGAGGATTTCCTGGTAGTCAAGCTGCTTACAGAACATATACGGCTGGCAAACTCATCTAGGTTAGATGAGCCGATTTATGGGTTGTGTAGGTAGAGTTACCTGTGGAATCAGGGAGGCCTATCTGCAACTACATTCTTCTTAAGAGTTGTGGTCAACTGAGATGGCCAATCGCGATGACAGGCTACAGCTCCTATCTCCCTCCCTCTTGTAGGTTCTTATTCTGCTTGATCGACATCTAGGATTTTCTGGTTCGGAGTTAGGAGAAAAGAAAGGAAGAAATATCCAAGAGCAATTAACCCATTGCCTCCCTTCATTTTTTATCGGTTCGCATCATGTATCTTACTAAGGTATTAGCACAACTGGGTGGCTATCATGGTTAACTAGTTCAACTCTGCTTGCGTAACTTGTAGGTTAGTTGAGATAAGTAGGAATAAGAAAAGTCATGCTTTCTTGTGAAGGTTTTGAAGAAACCAGGTCAATCAGTACTTGCATAGTACTGTGGACATGAAGATCAAGCCGGCAGATCAATTTTAACACCGTGAGCCATTAGAACCCGTTGGAGAAAAACTTGTATTGGACCCGACAATTCGGTCCCAGTAATTTTTGCAACGTTTCTGCTGGCTCCATTAGCGCATTGCATGTACACGCAGCATGCCTCTGCCAACCACTCAGATGTCCAACAGTTTCAATATTTGGCCGTTGCTATGCAAAGCTTCTTGGACTAATACCGAGCTAGCTACTAGGTTTTCCGCCAGTCATATGGACAAGGGTTAAAAGATCATGGACGCCACAGGAGGGTTATTAGCTTTCCTTCGCTGGTATCGTGAGCAAGCGTTAGGGTGTTTGGGCAACGAGGACGACGTTTGATCGGATTTTCCCCACAGAGCAGGATCAAGTGGCGTCCCGCCGGCGCATATCCTCGTTTTCCCATCTCTCATCAAACCATACGCGGGGTGGAACAAGCGCTTTCATAACATGGATATAAGCCAGATCCTTTCTCGGGGCTTCCGGGCTCGCTCAACATCAATCTCTGGGACCGATGCGAGTGTTCCATCTCCTCGGAGGCATTAGATGCAGTAGCTGAGTTCGATAGTTCGAGGGCTGTTCCAAGCTTCTATGGTCCTTTTCAGCTAAACGCTTGTTATCATTAGACTCGAAAGAGGCTGTATGCCAATTCTCTTGGCCATTGCCATGCATCTCAACTTAGACTGACGGCCCAGCGATGGGCGAAACTGACCTTTTCTGCGAGTGTGCCGACTTCGTATTTGAACCTCTCATGAGTCTCATCGTTGTCGCTGGCTGCAGGTTTTACCAAACAGCGTTAGTTAGTGGCACCCCGCCAGCATGAAGTTCGCGATGGTCTCAAACTCCTTCGGCAGATCAAGATAACCCTAAAGGTGCCACATCAAATTCAGCCCGCGACATTCTTGTTCTCGTGCTCTTTTACCATAGCACTTTGGCGCAAGATCTTCTTGCGGATTGTTATAAACTTTTGATAGCGACTTTATAGTATATGCAGTTGCATGTGGTTCAACGTAACGGAGGAGCCCATTTTTGTTATGCATTAATTCGGCTTAGTAGAAAGTTAATTATGGATTGGAGAAAGAAAGGTGCTAATTAAAAGTGCGCTAATCTTCAACAAATGCAAAGTTAGCTGTCGCTCCTACCAGCCGCTTAAGCGTCAGCAGTCAGAGTCGCATTTTGATACGGGAGAAAACACGAAGTCTCGGGCCCGTTGCCCCACTTCGGCCCACGCCTTGAATTACGTCCTTGATCCCCTCATCTCCATGGTGCTCCGGCCAATTCTTGAACCCGTCCACACTGAGGGATTCCCTGCACATCAATATGCAACTCTAAATAGTACTTTTAGCATTTTCATATTTTTTCTGCCATTCTTCATTCACATTCCGATAATCCTCGGGGCCATATGGATCCCAAATCTCAGCCATGAACCCTCTCTTCCGGTGGGGTTCCAGCCCCATATCGCGTAGCAGCATGTCGAGGTACGGAACGGCATCAAAGATAAAGCTAGGAGCTCTGCTGCCCCAGTCTGTAGGGTACCGCCATTTGCCAAATCGGTTGTGCAACACAGCCTCATAACACAGTGCCTGCATAGCTTTTTCGTCAGCGATCGCCGCTGCGGGATCATTCGCCAGGAGCCCAGAGAAGTAGGCGCTGACCCAAAGACCCTGCAAATGGGCAGTGAGGATGTTGCTGAAGTTGCTGACCATGCCAACAAATGCCACGTCGCGAGCCTTGAGGAAACGCTCGGATGGGGGTACGATGAAGCGATGTAGCATATAGGGCGTCAGTGGTGTCCAGGGCGTTATATCATCCGTTGTGTTGATGCCCGTTTGAGATGTCAGTGGGACGTAATCCTTGTTCCAGGCTGGTTGGTCCTTAAGCCGCGGGTAGCGCTCGAAGATCTCTCTGTCGGCACGTTCAATAAGATCTTGTTGGTTGGCGAGGTCTTCTGCTGGGGCATCCTTTGAGCGGGCATGCGGGAGTCCCAGCTCCTTATCGATTCCCTCAGGAAGGAACTTCATGGGTGGCACATGTTTCCAGCCGGTAACGGCGAGGAAGGCGTCTGAGTCCAACTCTGTATCATCGGCCAGGTGCACCTTACCAGGGCTGAGGTGGCTTACTTCACCAATGTGGATCGAGATTTTGTCACCCTTTTTGATCAAGTCGAAAATGTCAGTGTCATAGTTGAAGATGCTGAAACTAGTTCCTGTGAACATTGGATGAGTCCATGGCTTTAGTTTGGCTGTTTCCGGGTGTTTGTCGAATCCACCGAGTGTTATGACATCTCCGCCAAGGATGCTCCAAAAAGTGTTGACAATAGCTCGGCCGATAGCAGTGCCGTGGAGGAAATTGCGGATGGCGCTGTAGCCACCAGCTTCACTAAAAACGCAGGGACTAAACCAGGTCAGGAAGCGGATGTCTATGCAAAGGGATTAGCACAATGCTGTAGAAACGGCCTGGGTTGATGTGCGCTGTTGCCAGGCGTACTTGCGAGCTTTTCTATCCATTTCTTCAGTGGTGTTACAAATGGCGGCGACATCCAACATGGGCCTCGTCCCGTTGCTAATATTCTCATGTCAGTCTCCGATAACATATCAGTATATTGCGGCGGATAGCTAGCACATACACCGGATTACCCAATTGACTTTTACTCCGGCCATTGCGTAAGCATAGGCAGCGTCCCAAGCTGACTTGGTGGCCCCAAAAATTGTAACAGACTTCGCGGTTGTCAATGTTCCTCTGTTGAGCATGAAATGTTTATTATGAAATATGGGCCCGCCGAACGTCTCTTGGCCTTGAAAATGGGGCAAGAATGCCTCAGAAGTCAACCCTGTCGCGACAATGAGTCGGCGAGTGAAGACCTTTGACTCCTCCTGATTCGAGTTTGTAATCGTCAATATCCAGCCTCCCGCAAGTGTATCCTGGTGTTCTGCCACAATGACTTTCGTCTGTAGACGAATTAGGTTGGTAATATTAAATTTATCTGCGTATGCCTTGAGATACGCATTGATGACTGGGCCGGGGATATGTTGACCGGGCTTAATACCAAACGTCGCGGCATCCATAGGAAAATCTGGATATTCGTACGTCCCAAATAGATTGTTGCTCTTTAGTAGCGGATATAGGCGCTGGTCACCCCATGTGCCCCCCAGTGAGGATTCGGACTCGAAGATAGCTAGAGAATCATCTGGTCGTGTGCAATTATACTGTTTTGCAGCTCCCAAGCCATACCACCCTGCATAAAACATGGTTCAGTGTGGTCTTTGACCATATATTTCTTTTCTATCCTCAAATGAAAAAAATGGGGGTTTGTGTTGCGGCTGGGATCAGAAAAAAGATTCTTACCGGCACCTATAACAGCGCAATCCAGCCTTTCCATTTTTGTGCCGGTGTTGGACCGCGACAGAGCCGTTCTGATACAATTTGTGATATCTGCGTTCTGTGAAAAGTTATTGTATCCCAGGATTTGCGAGCAGAAACCCTGCCGGGAATGAAGAATGTGAGGAATTGGAAATTCGGACGACGTGACAGGTAATGTATGTTGTTTGTGTGACACCACAGTGGGATCCGGAATGAGCCAAGAGGAAGTCTCTTCTCTGGTTCCGACCTGAGCCCCCGGTATGCAGCTACTCATCAACCTTGTTGTATCCAAAGAGGCGGGCTACCTCCTATTAGCCAGCGGGGATGGGGGAGTGTTCTAACGCTTAGCCAGGTGGAATCCAATGCTAATGTTCGAAAACTTGTGCCCAAAGAAGTTCAGTGTCCAAGTCACAAAGGATGGCAACATTGTCGGGGGAAGCGGGGCAATGGGCTACGACTAACAGGGATTGCGAAATTGTGGGCGAGCTTCTCTCTGCGTTTAACCATCGTAGGTATTGATGATGTCAAAAGCGCCGAAAATCTTCGTCCTCAAGGTCTAGGATTTTGACCAAGCGGAAGTAATTCATTCTGACTATTACCAAGGCATCCTCAGGCCTTGTTTTCCACAATATTCTACTTCCAGGGACATTCAATCCTGTATCCTTGGTGAAGTCAAACCTCATCCAGCCTAGGTGGTGCAAATCGCGACGGAAATTGTCGTCGGCAGAGCGAAGGATTCTGGGATCACTTAGTCCAATTAGTGATACTCACGACGATGCAACGGGAACGGTGAGTTTTCCCGCCCTTCCGCTCCCTGTCCAGGCACAGCGAGACCGTGGTGGGTCAACCGAAATAACGTTCACTCGGGACATGGCTTTGATGGGCTATTTTAGTCTTGAGTCTAAATATTGTCGTATCATCAGTGTATCATGGTAACTTACGCAAGAGTCAACTCCTTCTTGTTGGTTGATGAGCGACGGAACATTCCTGATTTAATCTAGGGTATTTTGGTTTCTTTTTTAGTGCTTCCTTTGCAGCATATATCCGTTGGGCTTGTATGTACCGTACAGTGTCCGATACTGCCGGTTCCATGGCGGATATAATCTCATCCTCGGTCCAATATCCGGGGCCGAACTCCTCCCCCTTTTCCTCCCTCACCTGCCGCATTTGGTTTGAGTACCCTAACATGAAGAGGTCAGCAAAAAATAGTTTCGGCAGAGGCAGACGAACAACCCAGTCAAAATGCTTGGTTTATTGTTCGAGTGGACCTGTCAGAAGAGACCGAAAACCGACGCTTGCTGAGTTTCATGTCAATCATCGCCGTAAATGTTCCACCTTCTGGTGGGTGAAATTTGAGGATCTTTTTTGGCATGTTTTCTGATGGGCGGTTGGTTCCCTTGCGAACAGGGGCAACAAGCAGTGCACATCAATCTTTACGGGAAATATAACAGGAGCACTCCCTCAAGTTGCTAGACGCTTGTCAATGCTCTACCCTCATGCTCGCATGCAAGTGAAAAACCCTCTTCTTTCAGCAGCTTCAAAACGCTATGTCTCTACCTCCTCCATCCGATCCCGCTGCTGCTGCTGCTGCCGCCGCTGCGGCACAAGCGGCTTTCCGTAGTTTTTCCACCGAAGCATGGACCCTCCTCGCGGTTGCGATTCTGGTGACCAGTATCAGGATGTACGCTCGGATTGACGGCGTCGGATTCAGAGGCCTTCAACCGGACGATTACCTAGTGGTGGTTGGGGTGGTGTGTTTTCGCTCTTCCATATCTCGTGATTTGAATATTCGTTCTTCCTTGTCTCCAATAAATAGCTAATATCTGAAAACAGACATTCTACACCATTGAAACAGCTCTCGCATACTCTGTCGGAAATGTAGCCAAAGGTTTGGCCAACAATGGCATGACCGACGAACAGCGGGCAGCTCTATCGCCTGACAATCCAGAGTACCGACTAAGGTAAGGGGACTAAGTAAATCACCAGCGGATGACGCGAATGGGACTCATACTTTGTGTGTGTAGGATTATAGGCTCAAAAATCCAGATCTGCGGCTGGACGACCTATGGGATATTGTTATGGTCGCTGAAAGCGTCGCTACTGGTGCTATACATGAGACTGACTGTACAAACCCCTCATCGGCACATTTTCCAGCTCTTGTTACTGACTGGCAAATATAGTTTGGCTTAAAGCGAAAATATCGGATCCAATTATACATTGGTTTTGGTTTCATCGTCGTCAGCTGGGTCGCCGTGGTTCTGAACCTTTTCCTCGCATGCCGTCCTTTCAACAAATACTGGCAGATATATCCAGATCCCGGAAGTATGGATTTTCTTCAGGCAGTAGAGAAACACCCACGCGGCTAACTTCTCGGTTTGCGCTCTTTAGATGTTTGCCAGCCAGCAGTCTCCAACCAGATAATTTGGGTCTATCTCGGGTTCAATGTCGCCACGGATATGTACCTTCTGAGCATACCGATTCCTATGCTGTGGCAATCAAGTATCAAACCCATGAAAAAAGTAGGATTGACAGTCCTATTTAGCGGAGGATTGCTCGTCATGGCTTGTGCCGTCGTGCGGGTTGTAATGATCGTGGTGGTGAGTCGATAACTTCGCCGTCTAAAATAATTTCGGAAATCCAATGTTCTGATATAGTACCGTAGGATCCAGTCAATGGTGCACAGTCGGCAGGGTCATGGGCCGTCCGCGAAACTTTCATTGCGGTAATTACCACGAATATGCCAATGATCTTCCCGCTGATGAAGTCCTGGTTTTCTACCGTCTTTGGTTCCCTAATTACTTCACTCCGCTCGAACAAGACGACTGGTAACGAAGGATCAAAAGACTTGCGCACATTTGGTAGTAGTAGAAAAGGCCGCGGCCCTCCTACCGCAAACCCGATCCCGAATGCAACGTTCACCGAGAGCGAAGAGAGAATTGTGGAGTACAAAATGCAGGATATGACCAGCAATCAAAGTAGAGGCAGCGGGAGAGATGCGAATTCAATAGAGCAGGCTAATGGCACTGACAAAATGATTCAGAAAACTGTTGACTTCACCATTGTTACTGAGAATGGATCTACAGAGGGCCGACGTACGTCTCTTGGCAAGGATGATAATGAAAGGAGGCATACCAGGTTCGACTTTTCCGGAGAATCTGCGACAAGACATTTCCATACTGGCATTCATGACAACCATGCCAATATGCGGCGCTCTTGATGACGATCTATCTGTTAGAATTAGAAAAGTTATCGGAAACGGGATAACGGCGTTGGAATTGACTTTTATGCTTGGTTTGTTTATTGGTTTGGTTGGTGGTTGTGTCTATGTAGGTCCTGGCGATACTATTGAGAAACAATGAGTTAGAATATATTATTGATAGCACAATTATCAGTTGGCGTGTCAGATGCTACCTTGGATTGCCCCTTGAGGTGACAACTCGTAGGCCAAGGTTTAGATGGGTGCCTTTCGTCCTATTTTTGTATGTGTGGTGTTGGTCGGAAAAGTTGTGATAGGGGAAAAAGCCGCACGTGGTTCTGGTGGTTGGCAATGCAAAGAAGAGAGGATAAAGAATACTTAGAGTGGATTAGGTTGACCTTGGAGCAGCGAATACCGTACATCTGTACCGCCTCCCTCCTAATGAATTAACAGATTGGTGGACTCTCAAATCGAAAGGTTTATCCTATCTTCTTTTCCGTATATTAATTTTTGTAGATAGGGGGAGCGTTGTCACGTGAAATCATGAAGGGAAATAGAAAAGTATTAATATGTGTCACAAATAATAACGCAATAAGAATATTTAAAAGTAAAATCATTTTAGGATTCTTCTTGCTTCTTCTTTTTCCTAATCACAGATGCATTGAGAACGTTGATCGTAGGAGTCATTATCTGTGGGCCACTGTTGGGTGATTGCCTTTGCTGGTCATCATGCCCTTCAAGATTAGCCACAACAGAAGAAGAATCCGGCTCCTTTCCATGCACGCTTGGAGTTCCAGTATCTCCAGCATCCTTTTTCCGTTTCCTGATCAATCCTCCTCTTAGCAGTTTTGAAGCGTCTGCAGGTTGGTGCGTGAAGTTTTCAACAGGTAGGGATTCACCTATCACCTCTTCTCCGTGGTTGTTTCGACCAATCAGAGTGGAAAGTTTGGAAATCCAAGAGCCTGTGCTTTCGATAGCTGTTTTCTCGTTGTCGAAATCAAGTTCAATGAGTAGGCCCACGAGGTCGTGGTAACTTTTGTCGTCTAGTTTTATTATACCAGTGTCACCTTCGAATGAAGCGCTAGTTGGGCATGTTGGTGGGTCTTTGGTCATGACGTCATTTTGCGGTAACAACTCGTTATGGTAATCTTCCGCGGTTGAATTTCTAACTTGTCCACTTACCTTCGACTCCGAGGCCGAAGATTCTAGGGTGGCATCTTTGCTAGGCGTTGATTCGATGTCCCGCTTTGTTTGGTTATGTGCATTCTGAGAAGTTGAAGATATCATGGGAACAGAGTTCAAAAGTCCTGGAGGATTTATGACCACCCACAAGAACCCAACCAATCTGCCAGAAGAACACTCTTGTCTATACGCCATCATCTCCCAAAATTGATCTATAGTCTTGATGCTGCGCCATCGTCCGGTGCTCGATTCATTTGTAACATCAGGGACTTCATAATCGAGATCCAGGAGGAACCGGGCTTTTGGATCATCTGGAAAACGCGGTACTTGGCAACGGGGTGGCGCATTTTGCGATCCACATATTTGGTGCAGAGGATACGAATTGAGCCAGCGTGGTCGGGTCTGGGGATCCGATTTTGCGGATGGAGGGAAAAAGGTCCTAGACTCGAACTTGTCGCAGCCCGGGACAATGAGGTACGCCGTTGCTGAGGTGGTCTGCGCTTCAGTATCGCGATTTTGCTCCTCTGCTGGGTGGCCATTCGCATCCACCTTTGCCTCAGGCTCGTGGCGTCTAAGGATGGGGTCTACCACGCGGCACCACCATTTGACCAGTCCCCGATCATCCAAAATATGCTTGCGCGGATTCTCCACGCTACCCGGGAAGAGGTACTGGTTTTGTGCGCGTGCAAAGAGAGAAAGAACAAGTCTAATGCCGGGCCTCTGATGTGACGAGACAATATGCGATAGGAACGAGGTTGAAATACTGCGCATCAACGATTTCGCGGTGGGTGGAAGCTTCAACCGGTATAGATATCCAGTCGAATCAGCCTTGGAAACAAAAACGGTTGTGAGGTTTGCAGTGGTGAAAACCAATATCTCGATTGCGAAGATAAATAGTTCGACTCGATTATTGTCCCTGGTATCATCTCTAGGCACCTCTGGCTGAATCGACACAGTAATGAAATGGTTTTCACAAGTCGTGGGCTCCTCACTTTGTCCAGGTGGCGGAGAGAAAAGTGCGGGACAAAGCGTCGGGTCAGTGGCCAGATGGCGGATAATGAGCTCTACATCTTTTGGAATCGCCTGAGCGAGAGCTGCTCGCAGACTAGGGGAAGCCATTCAATCGATCGATACATTAACACACGTGCCAAGACACCTCAGAAGAGCCCAGCACAGCCGAAGCTCCTGTAGGCTAAATAATTAAAATTTGCTATAGCAGATACACCATGCGAGTTGGCGGAGATCCTTGCTTTGACAGATATTCCCGAGTATCTTGCTAGCTTTTAGACAAAGAAACAACAGATGTAGTTGTTTGCGATGCCTCAGGAGCTATTATTACATAATCGATAGAGGCACATATGTGCCGTACGCTAGTCCGTAATAGGTAGTGGCGCGCAGTCAACTTACACTGGTACACAATCAATTCTCTATCACTCACTCACCAACTTGATGTGCCTCCATACTTTTACGAAAATCTTTTTGTTTTCTCACAATTCTACCCCATAATTGTATATTCTATAACATTCTTTTAATTAATGCTCCATAGTAGTGTAATCCTTGATATGTGCTTGATATTCTCAACACGCTACAAAATGAGTTCATTTTGGAGAAGGATGATGAGGAATATCATGCAGCCGGAGAGGAATTGAAGGAAAAGTGAGATGCAATCCTCTAATCTAGTTTTCATTGCGATCTAGTGTCAATTTGAGATTCCCTCATTCCCTCCCAAAGCTGCGTGATAATCACTCCATGAAGGCCCCCTGGGCATAGTTGAGTAACCACCACATGCCATAGCTTTCTAGTGAAATACACTTGGGTAGGAACAAGTACCAGTCATCGTCCGAAGAAGGACTGAGACCGTTTGTGCTCTTGATCAATTCATGATACTCAGGATAGAACCCACTATATTCCCAATCTAGAAGGCCAGTAATTCGGAATTGGTGGTCACCCCTTGGTTCTACAGTGATATTATCTGGTCGTAGATCACCATGTGTAAAGACACATCTAATTTCTAATTGCTGGGCCGGGACGTAGGGTTGCTGAAGCCGGCTGATAAATTCTGCGAAAATAGAAGCGCGCAAAGAGGGGAACAGAAAATCCTTGAAATCTTTGACAGTCAGAATAGGTTCAGTACTGCGACGGAGATGTCTCCTAACATCTTTACAGCCTTCACCACAAACTCCTCCAAGAGGCGTCCCAGTAGGGTGTGAAAGAGACCTCAGGTCAGCCAGGATTTGGTTGAGCTGATCTTGGATGGACTTTTTCTGTGATATATCCAGCCCGGCCCATATGTCTGCCAGCGTTGTCGCGGAGGTGTAAGTCATAAAAATTAAAGAGACATCGTCCATGCGCAGTAATCCAGATGGCCTGGGGGCAGGCACAGTCGGCTTATGAACTTCCAGGTACTGTAGTGTTGTATATTCAGTGTAGTCCAGCGCGTTCTTTATTGCTTTGATGACAATATTTCCATCGCATTTGAAAACCATTTTTTTTCGAGGAAATGGGCTTTTCCAAAGAATTTCGCAACGACGCATAAGCCCTACTAGCGCCTCGGACATGTCCGCATCCGCCAGCAGACTTCGGACTGAGTCAGCCAAGGGAAATACAATGGCAGTGGGTTCGGAAGGCATTAGAAACATGCGGATATCTTCTTCAGTGACTGAACCTGACGTTGTTGCAGCAGTAATAGGTGTTACTGTCAGAGAAGTTAGAAAAGACAGGCCGTAATGATGGAGGGAATCTTAACTTGTTGGAGAGGGTAACGGAATCCGCATTTCAGAAAGACGCTTAGAGTAATCCTTTGGGAAGTCTGATGTCAGGTCAATTTCCGGGTCCGCTGCCACAGCTTTTTGCAGCCGCTTTAATGTGTGGATGTTGAATCGTGCTGCTTTTGACTGTTTTGAGCCTGCATCACCGGGCTCCTCGAGTCTCTTTCTTTTTGACATTGTTGGGCCAGAAACTAAGATGAAGCACCTTGACCACCAAGAAGATGGAATATTTCTGAAGGGCAGTGTTTCAGTTGCCTATGTGTAAGAGAGGTTGAACATGGTTGGTTGTTTGTTCGAGTAGCTAGCGGCAGCTAATATATGTTGGTGGTTTGGATTGGTTCGTCCCCTCCACTGCCAGCATGGCGCTGGTGATCGAGCTCCTTTTGCCCCTAAGAAGGCTGAGGCATGGATGTGCAGTGCGCTAGTCTGTAATAGGTAGCCTAGAGTGACTGCGTTGTGGGAGCTATGCCATAGGGCTATGCACATTCCCAAGAGATTAACCATCCCACAGATTCCGCTATATATCATGATACCAACTTCACAACTTCACTTTTCTTCTTGCTCACATCGTCCTTGGGAACAACATGATTCTTCGTTATGACCGCACAGCTGTGCCTAAGCATTTTTACTCGTATTTGTGTCCATAGAGACTCTCCGTAGATTGTCCTCCAACCTCCCTCCTACCCGTCTATCGCACCTGCCTCGTCTGATACCCACGTCAAGCCGTGTCCTCAAAAACCCTGAGAAGTCTACCGGTATGTTTGCGGTATCACCAGAGATAATACTTATAGCTATTCATCTCCCAAGCCAGTGGATTCAGGTCTTTTTCCCCATACAAATCATGGCTAACATGCAAATGCCTCGCCCCAGGCGCCCATCATCTTCCTCGAGACAGATGTCCTCTGAGAAATCCATAACTTCAAATGGGGAGTTTTCTGAAGCCATTAAACTTCAGACGCGAGCTGCTTGTGGAGACAGCTGCTGGGTTTGCGAATCAGTACCAACTGATATCTGCCATGTTTTTGATAGGAAGGACAGATACCTCGTATGGATTTTCCATGTGTCCTCCTGAGGATCTTGTAGTTGACTTCCATATGTTTTAGGAGCCGTATATGCGTGAGCATGGATTGTTGAATTTCTCTTTGGTCTCCTCTAGCAATGCCATTCCACTGTGCGCCCTTTGCCATCAGAACTTCGATTTTACGAGCGACCCTGGGTTCACGTTCATACCTTCCGATCTCTCGTTCTTCATTGAGTTCGAAATCGCCGACTACAACAGACGACTGAGAGATGCCGTGGCCGGTCTACGGACCCCCCGGACGTGCCCAACTGCGGAAATGTATCGGATCCACCAGCAAAGCCTCTTACCCACAGATGCCATAGGCGGCCTATATCGCTGCATAATGTTGAGAGCATATCAGCCACATTTGCCAAGCACGGTAACTGACCCTCTGCGGTCATGGCACGGGGCGCCGATGGCGGCGCTGAGACGCGGCATTCTAGCATTGGGAACAATGCGGATACACCGCTTTCCTGGAGATACTGTAGCTCAGCTCCAAAAGCTACAGTATTTATACTCGCGTGCAAACCCAGAGCCAAGCCAAGACTATAGTGACAGCCCTTCCAGAACAGCCCTAAAACACCAGTCTGACCCTGCTGACTCCCTCACGCTCCCCCCGAAGTTTCCTCGTCTTGGAGCAAGCGTCCCAGAGCCGCCATCGAATATCGATGAGTCGAGTTGGGTCCTCGGACCCCAGAGTTCAGCACAAGATGCCGTTCAGAGGTTTCACTCTGTGTTAATCAATTCCCCCTCGTATTATCTTTAGTTATCTTTGCCGTTTGGGTTTGCTGTCGAGGTACCTTGATGCAGTCCCTTAATTTAATTGTTTAGTTTACCATTAGTTTATCCGGAATAAAAGAAACACATGTATGTTTTAGGTTTTAAAACAACGGTATTATTTTCTTTTCAGTAAACTTGCCTATGTTATCCAAAAACAAAGGAGAGAAGTTCAAATGAGTCGCCAACTCTCTTGCGCTTCTGTTTCTGAGAATGTGTTGCAGCTGCAGTATAAGGGGCTGCCCACTGCAGTGTAGACTTTCAAGCAAATCCACAAAAGCCTTTGTCATTCATTGAATAATCATTGATAAGAGATCTCGGAAAGAATCCAGCCTGAGTTACACTTTAGACTTCATTCAAAACTGTTTATATTCTACTTAGCGTTTTTCATTATTTGATATCTGTTATAACCTAACATCTTTGCTTCCCCCCTTTCCCCTACGCGCCACATAAATATAAAAGACGCGAGTTCTCGAAGCACGCCTGGAGCTCCTAGTCATCACTCTCAAAGTCGCAAGAACACTACCATATCTTGCGAGTTTCCCAAATCCAACCCTCCTTGAATACGCGAATTATCTCATTGGGCCGGATCCAAGCTTAGATTTGAAGCTCCAGAAACGGGAACTACAACAACAACAGCTTCAACACGCAGCAAGCAGAACGGAAAGCATAAAAAACCAGTACGGGTATATTTCTGAGGCAACAGCAACCTCCAACATAAGATCTAGAATCTTAATATTCTATTGAAAAATAATGGCAGGATTGATCATCGGAGCCGGATTTTGCTACCTGTGCCGTCCGGGTCCGGTGAAATCCGAGTTCAACATGTCAATTTGACACAAAAGTCTCAAAATAATGAGGACACATGAGCAAGGCGGAAAGAAACAAGGTGCTTTTGTTTCATCCCGTGCACGTTGACAGTAGCAGTAAGAGTTTCCGAGGGGCTTTTTTTGCTCTTTTCTTTTTGATTATTCTCGTGGCGTATCACTTGAGTTGCTCAGGCCCAAGGCCAACTATAGCCGCAAGCAAAGATTTCGATTTTTGGAACTTTCGGCGAAAAGGCATGAGAATGTGATCGAGAAGGAGTCGAAGTCTGCAGATACTGATGTTTCCCGGCATATTGCTGTGTAGCAGATACAAGCTTTGGAGCGCTCGCTATGCTCGCTATCAAACGAGCCTCTTAGCGTGCTTACTAATGGCGGAGCGCAGTGGTCAAAACATTTAACTATTTGAAGTAACTACAACCTCACCTAATCGGTTATTATGAGCATTTACTTCTTTGGACACCAAAACGACCTCGCTGTTAGCAACAAAGCGAACTCGGAAGAAAGACTGCACGCATCTACCCCGGTCAGCGGTAAAATATTGAGTGAATAAATCCTTTTTCACGCTTGGCTCCTTGTCAAGTTATTGATGCGCCGCATACCTGTTTGAGGGATGTGTCAAGAGAAGTGGGACTGCTTGGTTTCGCAAGCAGACTGGATTGTGGATACTGGATCCTGGACCAGACAAGAAAGTGGAATGCAGTATAAATATACTATTCTTGGCCATCCAGATCGAACAAAATTTCCATGCATTACGATTCCATTGACAAAGGTGTCGAGTGCCCGTATCTGGTGATCCATGATATAATTTAACAGGAGCTGTTTGCATTTTGTTTTTTTGCAGCAACAACTGAGCGCCTAATATGCCCTGCGCGTGAGGCTTTGTCTATTTGCTGAAAGGGGAACTTATTCCGGCCTCCCATCCTTGATGCCTGTCATCTAAGATTCCGTGGTTTTGGCCGATCTGTCCCGACCTATATTGCCATGGAGTGGGCCATGCCAGGGTCCATTTTCCCTTTGGAAATATTGTTTGTTCTGCCGTAGCTTCGCTGGCGCTTGTAGAAGGTGGTACGTGCACATGGTACTGTCCTCCTCTACTGGTGCCCGTACTACTTCGATGCAGTTGCAGCAGCTGGGAGTTGCCATGCTTTTCTAGTTGTGCACAGCATATATTTTGCAGGTAATTGATTCTCACGCCCTCCTAAAATGGCTGGACATACTCAAAAGAGGGTAGCTTGCAATTTTTCAATAATTCCTGGAGGCACAACAATCCTTTGAGCGCTTTTTTTGGTACTGGAAGCCCATTCAAATCCGCCGCTATTCCTAGAGAAGTTCCCAGGCTTGTCATTTGGAGCGCATATTCAATGTTAGATTACAGGTGAAGGGAGAATGAATGAAGTAGACACATATAAATACGCACGTTACTTATACGTACAGGTCTACCCAATTCTCCTCTTCCTCTAACACCATAATCCCAATATTTCATATCATCTCCATTTAACTTGGCTGCCCGACTCCATCGTTCTTCTGCTCATAAGTCGCAGCCAAGTGCCACTTCAACTGCCGCCAAAATAATTTTCTCAACAACCCGCTTTGATATTGCCAATCCCATACAATCTGTAATGTCTTATACACCGATTCGACGTGTTGTCACGGGCCACAGTCCATCTGGTAAAGCCATGATCGATTCAGACACCAAGCTGACACCGTATGACCCCTTATCTGCCGACTGCTCTCGCGCCGCATCAGACAAGCTCGCATTCACCACAATATGGCGCACCGAGTCCTTCCCTGCCAAAGTAGACGGGCCCTGGACGGACTTCAACGGCACCCAAATCCCACTCGCTGACTCCGTCGGCACTATTATCCGCGCTGTGGATTTCCCACCCGGACCAGGATTCATGCACCGAACTGTCAGCATAGATTTCGGCATCGTGCTCGCGGGTGAGATAGTGCTGGAGCTGGACAACGGAATCAAGACGACCTTGGAGAAGGGTGATGTTGTAGTCCAACGCAGTACGGTCCACGCATGGTCCAATTTGACATCTGAGCCTGCGCGTATGCTCTTCGCCATGTTACCGGCCAAACCGATCAAAGTTGGCAGCCAGACTCTCGAGGCCACCGCGATTCCGCCGCCCTCGGGGCCATCGTCTCCTGCCCGTGGCGGATCTGCTTCCCGTAGCGTGTCTTCTTGAAGTGTTCGGGCGCAGACTCGTCCCCTATCTTTGTTATGTACTGCATTACGGAAGTCAATGACATGTTAGTTAACTATGTTCTTTGCTGAATCAGCCACCAGACTTGAAGTCGAATCCACCCCTATTCAACCCATGTCTTTCCAAGGGGATACACAGTCTTCATTTGGTAGAGAAACCCTGAGTCAATAGGGATGGACTTCCAAAAGAGTTAGATTTATAGCCATCAATAAACCATAGCCGCGAAATAATGAAATGTCCCTTATTGTTCTGTCTCTTTTATCTTTTATCTTTGTTCCTTATTCTTACGTTTCCTCGCCTTTCTTCCATTGATTATATAGTAGATACAGCGTGGAGTATCGCAAACAACCCCCCGGGGTAGCGCAGAGCACTGCGTCAGACATCTAGATCTACGCACTGCGCCTATTACGTATATAATTCGCTGTGCCACCATACCCCATATGGATGTATCATTTGCGAAAAGGGTGACCCTGGGCACCCGGTTATGCCCTTGACGTGCTTCAATGCGTGTTGAGATTTTGTCCCCTGAGAACCTATTGGACACGGCTGCATTTCATGCTACTCGAGGCGGTGTCAGCGGGCTGCCCACGTGTTGACAAGCTAGCAAGGTGATTAAAAAGAAAAAAAGAAGGAAAGAAAGAAAGAAGGAAAGAAAGAAAGAAAGAAAGAAAGAAAGAAAAATAAAACATGGGCCCCTTTTAAATCAATGGATAGAGCAAGGGATCCTGTGATTCTATCCTGTAAAAACGCGGAGGGAAACAATCCGTTAGGGTATGTATATAGAAGTATATCCGGAGGGCAGTATAGATGTCAAACAGAGAATCGAAAAACGCCAGACACATTTGAGAATCCAAAGCAAAAAAAAGGGGGAATTACTCTCACTCATAATTCATTTGACATCTAGCCGATCCCCAAACAGAACCGGAAGTCTAAAAATACTCCTGGACACCCTCCAGATCATCCGCATTCAGCAAGACAACCCCCTCCTTCAACAAGGTTCTCCACACCTCATTCCGCTCGCGCACCGGCCATCCAGGCGTACCCCAATATCTAGCCCCAATCCCCTTCTTCTTCGCCGCTTCAATTTGTCCCCTCAAAGTCCCTAATTGCGAGCTATTCAACCACGAGGGGTCCTTCTCCCCTTCGTTCTCGCCTTCTCTAGGAGGGAGAGTAATACTATCCACACCAATAGCTGCTGCAAAGTTCGTAGATGCGATTGGTGATATATACTTTGTGATGTCCCGAGACCCCTCCTTCTGGAGATCAGCCAGCGGCCCGTCGTAGAAGTAATCGCGATCAGGGACGGGCCCGACGAGGCTCAGTGGCGTATTTCCAGTGCCGATGACGGTAACGGGGCCCGCGGTAAGGGTGTCGTTGTTGCGGAGGGTTGTGAGGTAGTTTGCAGCGCGGAGGGGCTCGAGGGCTGCGACGACGTGCGGCCAGGTCTCAGGCCCAGAGTTTTTACGTCAATGAAGAGGTAGAGGGTTTGGAAGGGATCTGTGTCGTAGACGCCGCTGTATTTGCGTGTTAGTGTTGCGATTGAGGCCTGAATAGAGGACACAAATTGACACAGATATGTGTGTAGTGTACAGGTCAGACAAACTTTCTCGTTTCTCCGGTAATGTAAGGGCTCCGCGGGTTCTGGCGGCGGAGGACATCCAGGATCGGGTCCACGTAGAGTGATTTTAGGGTGCGTGATTTAGTAAGAGAGGATAAGTCGTGGCCAACCTGTTGGTAGATTGTCAGTAGCATGCACATCGGTAACCGAGAAGCGGAGGTGAGCGTACGAGTAGGGTGTCATCGAATAGCCAGACATCTGCCTCAATTGAGATACACCCGGCGGAAAGAGCTTCGATCGGAGAGAAATTGTTAGCCTATACTTATTTCCACATATACAACAACAAAAGCGCATTATCACAGGTTATCCGCGTACCGGAATAGAAGGGAAGGTCTCTCCAGTAGTCACTGTCGCAGACGCAATCGGGTCAATAAGGATACTATCTTGCGAATATGCCCCGCGCAAACACTCGGCGCAACAAGCAAACCAGAAGCACAAAAAACCGCGAGAAAAGCATACTTGTGCGAATGTACTGGTATCTTTATAAATGAGCATCATGTAATAAAGTTAGTTGGCTGCAATTATGCTCCCCTTAGCTGCTCAATGGAAAATGTGTACCGGGATGATTCCCCTCGTCAGGTCAGTCGGATATCCGTACAAGTCACTCTGGTCTGTGTTCTTCAGGATATTCTGCAGAGCAGGCGAGCTAGGAGCAGCGTGAGCCAGACGGACAATTTCAAATGACCAAAAGACGAACGCAAGGGCTGCGATGGAGCAGGATGCTGGTGGGAATTGCATCGCTGCGGAGGGGAGGATCGGTGGATTCGACTGCTATGACGAGGGCGGCATCTGGCGGGGTCTTGCAGTAATTTCGCAACTGTCTCTGAAGTATTTAACGGAAGTATTGGATAGTTATAGAGCCGCCAAGGAATGATCTCTCATGAACAGTTAGCAGGGTTGTCGTCGTGTTTGTCTGTCAACCAGCCACGCCTTATGGACCCGAGCTGCTATTGGAGAGCTACAGAAAGCCCCAACGCGCGAAACTAGTAAAATTCGAAGCTGGGTGGGATACACACAGAACCAACCAACTTACAACTGATCCATTAATTATTATTACATCAGTCGAAGCCTGGGAAACTCACTCATGGCCATTCTTTTCTTGTAGCCAGCGTTATTTTAGGAGTTGTCAAAGCAAAATTAAAGAAGTCGTAGTTATAAATATTCTTACTAGACTTATATACATGTAAAGGAAGAGAACATGATTATTTGACAATGGGGTTATCTGAGCTTAAAAGAACGAACGAGAAAACGAGACGCTATGCTAAAGGGAAAGGTAAACACGCCATAAGAAAGATAGAGAATAGGAGAGGAGAGCTTGTAGGGAAACTGGTTACATCATAGTATCCCGGAAAGCCACCTCTTCATCTATTTGCCGTCACAGGGCAACCGATAAACGTTCAAAATAAGACCCTCTTAAACATCTCTTCCAGCCTCGCCCTGTCCTTCCTGTGACCCACTCCCGCGTCCACGAAGATTCAAGTTCCCAATACGCTGTACCAGATTGCTACCCACCGCATCCACAGCGCCCTTGGGGGCCAGCAACGTTGGGCCCTGAGCAGCTGTTTCCTGCACTTTAAATAATTTGATGGCTGTCCCATTCCACACCCCAACGGCCCCCGGCGTTGATCCTGATGCTGAACCAACTAACATCTCGCTGGCAAATATGAATCCCCATAGTAGTGACTCATACCAACCAAGGGACAAAGGTGACCATTCAAACAAATGTACCCTGATAGGTGACGGTTCCGCTATGAGTGCGTGGACTCGCGGCTCCTCTGCAAAAGAAGGAAGATTGGAAATGAAAGTTCGTGCATCGGGGTTTAGAGTTGATTGGAGAGCGGATGAGGGAATATGTGGGGTTATTGCAGATATCAACGTGATGATGGTGTGTAATGGAAGTTCGGGGACCCAAGATTCGATCTAGATACGTTCGAAGTCAATAAATTATAGATTCAACGCGACAAATACGGAGATATATTTACTCACCCACGAACTTGTAGGGGCGAAGCCACCGGAGCTAGTAGGAATAGTCGGCGTATAACTGCTTAGGCTTGTGGTGCTATTCTGCCTCGAAAATGTGACCTGACCCGCGGGCATTTTTCCACGTGCCTTCTCGGACATTCCGCGAAGTTGGAGCGGAACACTATCATCAGTCGCCGACGCGACTGAAGGGGCCCTGGAATTTTCACGGGAAGGCGATTGTGAGGGAGTATTTTGTGGCTCCTGTTCCTCTTCATCAGAATCATCGTCTCCAATGGCAAAGGCGCCATCTTCCGGCACATGGCTTAACTGTCGTCGTCCAGCTCCGGAGCCTCGATTGTCGTCTCCGGAATGGGAAACTGTCGGGCTCAAAAGAGCATCACTATTACCACTGATTTGGTTTACTTTTCTTCGCTGGTTTAGTCTTTCTATCTCTTCTTGTCCGCTTTCTAGAGTGAAAGCACGGAGAGCTTCGAAACGCTTAGCAGACTTCAAAATTGAGTACACTAGCAAGGGGTTATCTAGGTAACGATTAGTCCGTGTCCCCATCTTCGCCTTGCTACCTGGAGTTGCTTACTGCTATACTGGTGTTCCAGCACCGAGTTAAAAAACTCAAGGAGAGAATGGAGCAGTATATGATTGGATTCATTCGCCAGTAAAAAGCTAGGGGAGGACAGTAATGAAAAGAGTTGAATGATTTTGGAACAGGTTGTGGCGGACAGATGTTCGCAATAGGCGCCGATATTGTTAATAATCGCCAGCAAGGCAGGGTATACTGCATCGAGTTTTCCCTTGCTTGTTGTCAAAAGGGTATGGATGGACTACCATGCATTGTTAGTCACGAATAGAGAGGGAATTCCAGATGAGATCACTCACAATGATCAAGAAGTCAGCATACGATCCTCGGAAGTTTTGCAGTCGTATGCTTTGCGGCAACGTATCCTGGGACTCGAATTTTTTATTGAGGTTCTTTCCGAAATTTGGCTCAACACTGAGTGTCTGTAGGATAAATATACACATTTTCACAACACCCAGTTTCGATGCATCAGTTTTGTACTCAATAGCATAGAATATGCAAAGAACAACAAAATCAAGCGCGCGAGATGAGTCGATCATATATGATCGGAAACGCTTATTGCATTGTAATGCTTCCCAGAACAACATGATCATCTCTGGTGCCCATTTGACTGACTTGTGACTACCGGGTAGGTACGAAGTCGTTGCTTGCATCTGCACTCTCATTAGCCTCTAAACAGTAAAACGGATAGGTTGGGGACAAGTCTAACTGGCTGATTTAAAATTCTTGTCATTCCTTCGACTATGAATTGGAAGTCCTGAGGGCGATGCAAGCGACCATAGAAGTGACGATAGTAGTTTTTTGGAGGTGTTCCACGCCCATCTTCTGGAATCGGATAAAGAAGAAGAACCAAAAGAAACTGCAGACAGTAAATAACAAAGATTTGCTTAGGATCTTTCCAGACAACATGGTCATAGGGTAATCTCCAAGGAGTTGGATTATATTTGATTGTCTATACGATTAGTTAGAGTGGGCTCAAGTAACAGTGATTGGTGTAGTGATTGATGGTGTCAGGATATACCGTGTTTAATAAAGAGCACAGAAGTGAGAGGACCACTTGCTTGTCTGGACAAGTTACAAGATATGTGATTGTCTTCACTCCTTTTACAGGGAGCAAACCTGAAATAGGTTAATATAGACGCAACAATGGAAGGCATTTGGCTAGATAACTTACTCAAAGGCATATACATAGACTGGCTTGATAGTGTTAGCAGGAGCCTTAGTATCTCACACCGATTACTCTCCAATTCTTTATTCGATCCCATTGCGGTAGTGCACCCAACTCCGCTCTGCCAAATTGAGTATGATACTTTTCCTTTCGCATTGGGTATTGTCGGTATGGTAAATCCGCTGTAAAACAGCAAATCTACTAAAGTATCAATGAGCTCTTCTGCCAACGGTTTCGCGTCATAGTAATCATTCTGGTGGTCCTGTGGATTCGACCGGCGCATTTCGTCGTCCTCACTCGCCCCATCGAATAACACCTGAGACGCAATTTGCGCATGCCGATGTTTCTTCCTTCTTCTCCCCCAGAAAAACTTCTCCTCCCATGCCTCCAAATTCTCTGATTCATAAATGAAGGGAAGGATACGTGTGAGAACGCGAATGCAGTTGAGCGCATCTCTATCAGGCGCAAGATCAGGGTCCGGGAATGAGGGATGGTTTTTTAGAACAATAAGACGGGAGGTGACTGCCAATATTAACGTCTCTAAATTTGCTATGGAAGCATCGCGTGTCCGTCGTATGTCGGCTGGAGAGAACAAGCTGAAAACATCTTCAGGCGATTCGGGGAGCTCCCAGAACTAGGCAGTGCAAAGTCAGCATTCCGAATAGGCGAATATAAAAAGTCTCTTGACTGTCGTGAATAGCATCTATAGAAATTACTCACCCCAGTCCAATAGGGATCGTCGGCCGCAATGTTGCTTTCTTCTGATAGCCGAAATATGCCTTGTCGAAAGGCCAGCTTGGATTCGGAACCCCCCATGACCTGGCGGGGAAAGCTAATGGGACGGCCGCTCTATAAGGACATGTAATGGAACACAGTGGATAATACCTCCCGAAATTATAAGGAGACGAAAGCAACGAGAAGATGATTGTCAGTGCGACAGACTGGAGTAGATGGAGGGACGAAAGCTTGCAAGATTAGGTTGGTATCAACCAGGGTTTCGTGCCTGGGTCTTGGATGCTTGTTGGAGAGGGTGCCAAGGCTGTCCACAGATCTTGGACAAGGGGCCCACCGCACGACTTTTAGCTTGATACTTGAGACAGGATGGAACACGCAGTTAGGCATAGTAATGATATATATAATGCTACAATATCATGATCATTCTTTGAAGGAGAAAAAGTGTGTTGAAAACAAATTTACAAGCATAAAAGATACTTGACCCACGCCGCCAATTCTCTCACTCATTCCCATTGCGCCTTGGCTTCAAATTCCTGCCTATAGATTCACGCTCATAAATTGCTTCCACCCAACGAAGGTCCATTACGACCTATAGACACTACTATTGGGAGACATGGAACGTGTTTTTTCGTATAACCATTTGTTAGTAAGCACCGTGTTGGTGCTTTTCCCATTTCCATTCCCATTCCCTTTTCCGCTCGGACTTGGGGTTGAGGGTACTCTAAATACACTCCTTTCCCGAAAGCTCGACCGGCCTAAAGGAGAGGGAGACCCAAAACTCTGTCTTCGCTGCACCTCTTTCGTGCCATTCCCCATAGCCTTGTGAAATAACGGGCTTGGCGAAGGTGAATATGGGAATCCATCTTGAGACTTGCCGGTTGACTGGCTTCCAGATCTTCCAGAGAGTGGTGAGGAACTTGGACTAATCGGGCTGGCCGTTCTAGAGCCAGATGACAATCTATATCTTGGAGGGGTAACATATTTAGTTCCAGGCGTAGCAGGTGCGCTGTGGCTCGGGTCGAGGCCGAGAAGAGACCGTTGTGAGGGTGTGAGGGGGATGTCGGATAAATCATCCTTTGGGCGATATAGAGGGTATAGAGCAACCACGATATTTAAAAGAAGTAGAAGGCGAATGGCGAGGAGAACCAAGTCGGGATATGTTGGTATATTCAGCATAGAACCTAGCCATTGGTAGCTGTTGTCTTAATTAGCATTATTTGGCTAGTTGGCTGGTTTCTTTTGCCTTTATCATCCGTACCATTGTCTGAATGAAGTTCCCAAAAATCCAGAAGTTATTAAACAACCGCCATTCAAGGCGATCTTCTTAACATTGCGGTCTCCGAATGTTGACGCGTTTTGCCTTCGAACAATCTCCTTGAGCTGTGGATGTCGCCAGGTGCCTGGAGAAGCTGTGGACACCGAGTCATTCCCTTGTAGCGTTGGGGTAGAGGGGAAGGGTGGGGGTGCCATGCGACGTCGATTGGAATTGAAACACGCTGCTAAAAATCATATGCCATAAGTTCAAGCTCACAACGACGCTATCAAGCAAAGCAGCCTGAACAATCGGAGGGGTGGGAGTGCGCTCACCTTTTGGGGGGAAACCTACCTAACTTACCTATAGATTCTGCACAAAGCTTATGTCACAGAATCATTGGGTTGCAGGTTGTAAGGGTAATTTGGATGTTGTTCACAGCCTCTGACGAGTCGACTTGGTCATTGTTTTTAGTTGGTCGACTGGCTGGAGAAGCGTCAAGACGTTTTTTGTTTGTTTGAGGCTTGGTCAACCCGGCACCACAAGCGCATTTGCCGGACTTGGCGCCATTATCCAACCATACATTTCAAGCCAGCAACGCCGGAGATAATCTCATTCCTCATATATCGACACATCTCCAGATTCCAGATTCTCCGGATTCCCCAGATTCATGCTTTCTGTCTTTCGAATTGAAATTTTAAACCTTGGAACAGAATCAAGCCCAACGTGATTTACGGCCATCCATCCCCGCTGCAACCTTGCATCGGCTATCAACTACAACTCCACGTACCTCGGAGCTTTTCTGCGGATCACCTCTCTTGCCAGCAAAGATTCCAGACATAGCATCAAGCTCCAATGAAATAGAACTACTTCTTCATCAAACGATGCCTTCAAGCAACGCCTCCATCTCTGGAGTGGATGTTTTGTTATCGGGCCTCTTTGCTGACTGGGGTACCGACTCAACACTGATTGCCTCATTTATTGCTATCTTTCTAGCGTACAAATTGTTCTTTTCGAAGGATCCCGACACTCATCCCTTCTTCCTTGCCAGACAAGCTGTTAGAGCCCCCATAAGGTTGCCAGGAGAGTCTGCCAGTTTCCGCGCTCATGACGTACCCCACGGTTATCCGCTGAAGAGCGGGTTGAACGTGAAAGACCCTGACAAGCCAAAATGGACAGCAGGTCGCAACGGCGATCTCCGCGACATCTGGCGAGCGGCTCTCCGAGGCTCACTAGCCACCGATGGGACGCCGGCAGGGAAACAAGGGAAATTCTATACTGTGCTCGGGAAGGACGTTGCAGAGCATAAGCTGGATGATATCTCACAGGAGATCAATATCATTGGCCAGTACATATATGAATCAAGGGCACGAACTGTTGCTATATACCTCCCGGACTCCGTAGAAACTCTCGCTGCTATTTTTGGTTAGTAGTTGTGTCGGGATTCTCTGTTTGTGGCCATGTGCTATTCTTCACTAACAATTTTCCAGCTGGCGCGTTTTATGGCTTCAAAATCGTGTTGATTCCTCGTCAGATATCTTCCGAAAGACTTCGATCCTACCTAGCTATGGCGGGTGTCGACCTCTTAATTGCGGAAGCTGGCACATTGGAGCTATCTGCGTTGTTGCAGGGAGCCCCTTCACTGAGGGGCGCCGTTTGGGTTGCGAATCATGGCAGCCGACATATGGATTGGAGCCAAGTACCGGAAGGGATTGGAGGTGATATCGAGGTAGCTGTGTGGCATGAGCTGGTCAAGGACAAAAAGGCTCTTGTAGGGACAGAGGTGCCAGCTACTGTTTCGGACACCCCAACCCACCCTATTGTCGCTTTCTGGGCCACCTCAGCCGAGGAAGGACAATTCGTTGAGTATTCACCTGCTGTATGAGACTGCTACGTTTTGTTAATACTGTGTCACTTCTGCATGTTCTATCTAACTTGTCATACTAGGCCTTGGTGGCCGGAATTGCTGGCTTAGGCTCCGTCCTTCCCCATGGCCAGCACCTAACATCCTCTGACCTGGTTCTCTCCATCGACTCCCTGACTCGCTCGTATCCACTTTGTATCATCCTCGCCGCACTATACGTGAACGCTTCCGTCGCATTCAATTCCGTTTCCGGCGAACATGTTAATTTTGCCCTTGCAACGGCTGGCATCTCTCCCACCATTATCATTGCCTCCTCCGAAACAATGCAGAACTACCACACCGAATATATGGCCCCTCAAATAGGCCTCGTAGCCAAGTTTGGTCGATTCATACAACGCAGATCTCTTGATGGCGGTTCAATGCCTAGGCAAAATATTCTTACCAAGCTTGCCAACTTGGGGCCCACCGCAGAACTGTCCCTTGAAAATCTTCGCCTGATCTTCATCTCTTATCGAATCGACGCTAACCCAGAGAGCCAACTTACCTCTGAACAATTGACGGATTTGAGAGTGTTTACTGGGGCGCGGGTGATATATGCGTTGACTGCTCCGACAGTTGTCGGTGCGGTTAGCCAGACGAATGCGTTTGATTACAGGAGCTTTCCCGGCCGCAGCCATTTCGGAGCTCCGTTGAGTAATGTTGAAATAAAATTAATCCACGATAAAGAGGAGGATGCCAGCAAGCATGGAAGACTGGCAGACGGAAAGGTATGCACGTGCCCCTCTCCTTTCCGGCATTAGATTTGCATTTGCCGCCGCTCTCCGGTTATACCAGCGCTGACTATCAACACAAGATATTTGTAACCGGTCCCGCTACTGTCGGAGGAAAGTCTTTATTGGAAGCCCGAGGATACTTCAACGACGATTGCACACTCTCTCTGTCTTAATTGAAATGCATATCTGACACCTTTATTCACTCGCTCCTATTCCCGAATGAATTGTATTCCGAGCGACTTTTTGGTTTTTTTGCTTCGCCATGCTTCATTTCGCTTTCTTGCCATTGTCAGTGTAAATGGTCTGGATGAATCCATTTTTATTTTCACGATTGTGCACCCTGAATAAGGAAGGTAATGTTGTAGTAAAATTGCATCATCCAATAAATTTGTCCAACTTATTCTACACCTCGCACAAAAATATATCTAAAGTGACAAAAACAAGAAACTATGAGAGAAAAAATGACAATTCTCGTACATTTGTTAATGATACAGATTGGTTTTGGAAAACACACAATTCTACCACTCTTAAGCCCGGGCACCATCAGCTGGAGTTCCCAGTTCGCTTAGCCGTTCCCTGAGAGCTTGGCTCAGCTTCCCATCCTTCTTGATTTCTTCCACTTGCAGGGCCATCTCAATACCCTTGCGTACAGATGGAAGGTCGGTAACCTTCCGGATATTCTTCTTTGGGTATTTGATAGGATCAAACATTCCTCTCAGTACCCACGTGCCCAGTAATTTCTCAGCGTATGAACGGACGTCGCCCAGGGTGTCCTTGCCCCCGAAGGCATCAAGAGCATGAGCAGCACTTAATTCTAACAGCACACTAATAATATTCGGATGTCGCCGTGGGTCCGGTTTCATCTTATCCACAGGTGCATGGTCTTCAGAGTTCATCAACACGGCAACGCGCTTAGCTTGTCTTAGCGCCGTCTCGACCTCCGCACCCTTATATCCCGCCGACTCAGCCTTGGTATGGAGGTTCGAGAAGAGCAGCTCTGCCAGCACGTAGTCACCTAGTGAGAAGCCTGTGCGGTGAGATTGCTCTGCACAGTCGATGATGACGGAATTCATCCCCGCTTCGCCCGCCTTGCGCACGATGAATTCCCAGAGGAGGAAATTGGGGGTGCGTTTTGAGCTGTGTAGGCCCCTCAGCAGCGGGACGAGGGTGTGCCAATCCTGTGGCTCTTTCATCAGTCCGATCGCATCCCGCACCACGTTGTTGCTGGGTGTTTCGCTAAATTTTAATGGGCGTAGTTTGTAGGACTCTTCTGTTGCTCCTTGAAGGGTTATAGTTATGGGATTCTGATCCAGTGTCGTAGCGGCATCTTCTTTGTATATGAGCCTTCGCTGGGCAGCATTGAGGAAAGCGGGGATAAAGACGCGATCGCGAAACAAGGAGAGGAGTTCGTCAAGATTTTGGGAGGATGTTGGTTGGAATGTTGGGATCCACGCTGTGAGTCTTGATCAGTATTTTTGGGAGGATTTTAATGATCGCATTTGATGTGGCATCAAGTTAGGAGAAAGGTTACCTACCTCGTTTGTGTGTTACTGAAGTAGTGAAAAATCGCGTTTTCCCTCCCCCCAGTCGTGCCGCTTGATTGAGGCATCTCCGGCAAAAAAATACTCTGCTCATGATGCTCTGGGACATGATCACTTGCTGTTCAGAAAAAAGCAGTTTCAGGCCGCGACCATCCGCGAGAATTACAGCAAGACCCAATTGAGTGTCAATACCTCCTCATTGAGTCGTAAAGTAAATCACAAGCAATTGGCAAAGAAGACCGACGGCGCGGAGTAGAGCTGCCTGAGAATGAGATTGATAGATATCGTGAGTTGTCGCAGAGCCGCAAAAAGTGCCAGAGGCCCGAGTCTTGGCGGAGTGCACGGACCATATCCAGATATTCTCCGCCGTCAAAAAGACGGAAACATCATTCAACATCGCAACCTAATACTGCCATACTCAGATCTATTTTTGCAATCTTCCACTCGCTGTTCGGCGGCGATAATGGCCGCTCCAATGTCAACTATGCGGCCATTGGGTTGCTGGAATTTGGTCCGCCGCGGATTGAAAGGCCACGAGCTTGGTCGACGGTTGCTTTATACAATTTACTCTCCACCCAAGGACAAACTGCCATTTCCTAAGGACCTACCACAGCAGTTCATGCGCCAGATCCCAAACATCCATAGGCCTGACAGAGGTATAATTCTCTTTCTTTGCGTGTTTCTGCTTGGTGCTACTCGCCCGCCTTCGTGGCGGTCTTTCTAGGTGAATGCAGAATCTCCAAAACTCTCAAAGCTTAACATGTGTTTTATTCTATTGTAGTGGTCGGAAGGAAGATAAAAGTGCCCCCACCCCCACCAAGCAAATGCAAGACAACAAAGGACCCCGTCGCTGCGTTCACGGCGGATCAGCTTGCTATCTATGACCCGACCGGTGAGAGAAAAGCCATGTTCGATAAACGGAATCCCCATTGCGTCAGAGTCGGAGATGTTCTGCGAGTTACATTCAAGTCCGGAGACCCTTTCGCGGGCGTATGCCTGAATATTCGATCTAGAGGACTCGACACGTCGTTCTTGCTGAGGAATAAATTGACGAGGATTGGATGTGAGATGTGGATTAAAGTTTTCAGCCCGCTTGTTCAGGCCGTTGAGATTGTACAACGGACGGAGAAGAGGAAGAGACGTGCTAGATTGACCTATATGAGGTATGTTCTTTTTTTTTACTCTCTCGTGTTGCTTATGTAGTCCATACATATCCTTTGATTTCGCCACAGTTTTCAGGAATTTTGCTAACTATTTCTTGAAAAGGAAACCGAAACATGATATGGGCAGCGTTGAGGGCATTGTTCGTCAGTATATGAGAAATCGATCACAACAGCAAGGAACATCTGTATGAGATTCTGGGACGATAGGCGAAATAGATGACCGCTGTTATGGGAACGCTTATATATATATGTACTATACTGTACTCTCTTGATTTCTTGCACGCTCTGGCATATTCTTTTCGCCCAGCCCACCTCTTAGAATATCTTTGAATTACCAAAATTCAGCCTATGTCTCAGTCCCAATGCCTTCCTACTTTTATTTATTCCTTTTTTGCCCAGAAGCATTTCGCCTTTGGTATTATCTGTAAGGAGCATATAATTTCGTCTTATTCAGTCTTATTCAGGTATGATCCAAACATTCATGGCCAAATCAAATGGGAAATAAAGCTAATAGGGCCACTAGAAGCATTCCATAACAGTAATTTCGTCCAGCCACTAGCTCATAGAACTTTTTCCAAGAACATGGCAAAATCTACCTCACTCTGATGTCACAAGTCTTGACTTTGCCAGCCCACCTTCCCGGCTCCAAACTTTCCTATGTCGCCTCTGACTAGAGGATGGATGCCCTTATCTATAAATCCGGCGAGTGGTGTCCTGTTGTTCCCAGTTATGGGGTTAATTTAATAGTTGCCTACTACTTTGATCGCAGCATATGGCTACCATCGCAAGCTCGGAAAAGTAACTATTATGGCAACATCGCGCGTTGCAAATGTTTTGGAAACAGGGAGAAAAGAAGAAGCTAACATTGCGCAGGATGTGAGCAACCCGGCAAGAGATAAGCAGAAATTTGCAGACCCGAGTGGCGAGACGATGAAGGCTTTAGTATGGCTGGGGAAAAACGATGTGGCCGTTGGTATGTCGAAATTGTACAAAATATATCAAGCAAGGGATAGCCCTCTAGCTTCTTCATGGGGAAACGAAGTATTCATTTTACTGATACGAATTTTGGGAATAACAGTGGATGTTCCTAAACCCAAGATTATCGAGGATACAGATGCAATTTTGAAAGTTACCGGAACGACAATTTGCGGGAGCGATTTGCATCTCTATCACGGTGCGCATAGATTATATTCTACTATCTTTACAGCCTCCAAATATACATGCACATTTTTGCGGTACAGTTTATTCTGATATGGTCGCCCTCCAGGTTCCGTTGTTGAAATGCAAAAGGGAGATATCATGGGCCATGAATTTTGCGGAGAAGTAGAATCCGTAGGCGTGAGCGTCAAAAATCTGAAAAAGGGCGATCGTGTCGTCGCATCCTTCCAAATCGCCTGCGGTGATTGTAAATACTGCAAGCAGAAGCTCTCCTCGCAATGCGAGCGCACAAATGCTAGCCAGTTGGAAAATGAGATGTATGGGTCACGCACAGCAGGTCAGTATTACCACCATTCTATTTATTTTGCAAGTCCTGGGTAGCATGGGTAGAATATGTTAACCACTGAATGTTAAATAGGAATGTTTGGCTACTCCCACCTCACTGGAGGTTTTGCCGGTGGTCAAGCTGAATATGTCCGTGTGCCTTACGCGGAGACCAACCTCCTTCCACTCCCCGCCAACGTCCCTGATGAGAAGGGCCTCTACCTCTCGGACGTGCTCGGTACAGCTTGGCACTGTGTGGTTGACACGGGCGTGCAGGAGGGAGACGTCGTGGCGATATGGGGTGCGGGACCCATCGGGCAGATGTGTGCAGAGTTCAGCTTCATGCACGGCGCGGACAGGGTGATTATTATTGACGGCGGAGCGGGTGCTTGGCGTTTAGGCTTTGTCAAGGAGAAGCTGCCGCGTGTTGAGACGGTGGATTTTTCGACCTTACGGAGTGGAGAGTCGGTGACCTCTGTGTTGAAGGAAATGGTGCGTGGTGGGCAGGGCCCGGATGTGGCGTTAGAGTGTGCAGCCGGGGAGTATGCGAAGGGCTGGGCGCATTATATAGAGATTATTCTTGGGGCGGAGACCGATACGTCGGAAATCTTGAATGAGATGGTTACGTCCGTGAGGAATTTTGGGAGGTGCGGGATTACAGGAATTTATGTGGGCTATGTAAGTGATTCTCTCGACACTAGCTTATAGATCCGCAACATGGAGTGAGCGTTGGATCAATGTGTTAAGTGTTTCATTATCCCCTAAATAAAGTTTAGGTGAGGAACTGGAATATCAATCGCTGACAGTGACAGACAAATCACTTTAATATTGGATCCCTCATGCAGCGCGGTGTTAGACTGATTGGTAATGGCCAGGCGCCTATACAAAAGTACTGGGAACACCTACTCTCGCTCGTGAAAAGTGGCGAACTTGATCCATTGCAAATGGTTTCAACCCGTGTTAAGCTGGAAGACCTAGATCTTCTCTATCGAATGTGCGACGAAAGAAAGAAAGGTATCCAAAAGGTGTTTGTGCAAACCAAGTTTTCAAAGGAGCCATGTCCAGGGTCACCAGCGTTGGCTGAATATGAGTAACGAATGAAAGGAGTGTCACACACTTTTCTGAAGTCGAGTCATTAACAGATGGACGAAAGAAAAAGTACGGTTATGTTGCGGAATCTCAACTTGG